ATTTTATTTGCCATGGTGAGGTGAATTCTTTTTTGCTATAACTTGAAACCTATGAAAATTTACATTAAGTTTCATTCTCATATTTGTGATCAACCTGTTTAAACAATTAACCAGTTTCAAAACGATATTTTTGATATTTTACTGCCTTTAAACCTTTGGAAGAAACAGTTCCAACAATTAAGCGTATACCCTTCGGAGGAAGCTTACTACAAAGCTATTATAAATCTCCTTTACTAAGTATTGATTTAGCACGACCAATGGAGAACATCAATAAATCATCTTGCTAATATTTAAATTTATTAAGATACTTTTATATTTTATCTAACATTTACTTCAAGACATATATTTGATCAAGTTTATTTATATTTAATAAGTAACACTTATAAATCATTTCTAAGATCTTCAAACATTTTTAAAACGTAACGGGCCAAATACAATTTCTTTTTTTGCCAAACACAAACATTTCTATGATCACACTTATAAATATTTCTAAATTCTTCGAATGTTTTTAAAATATATCGAGCTAAATACAAAATATTTTTTTTTAAAATAAAAATATTTCTAATATCTAGAGATATACTGGGCCAGGATCGCGCATTGTGCGATCAGACATCACTAATATATAGAGAGGGGAAAGTAAAAAACAGTTAATAAGACAAATTAAGATGGGTAGAGTGGAGTGGTGGGGGTCATTTGCCAAATCAACCATTTTTTACACCAACCAGAATGAGTTATAGTGTTACTGTATGTAATTTGGAAGGGATCAACGCTTGAACAGGATCTAGTGAACGTGATAGCCGTGATAATAACGCAACATGCATGGGACGATGTTTACGGGAGAGATGGCCGGCGGGTCATTGGGTTTTTGGTTGCCGTCCTTTAAGGTTTGTAGTACTTTTTTTTTCTTTTTTCTCTTCTACGGTTTCTATCCAGCCTCTTTGGAGAATGACAGCAAATGACCAGACTGCCCGTTGTCCTTCTCAGTGATGATGATAAGTTGAAGAAAAAAAATTAACGCAACCCCGAATTAGTATAACCAAATTGCTTTCTAATTTCAAAGAAGAGAAAAAAAAAAAAAATCGCCATCAACAAGGGCTAATAGGCTAGCTACAAGCCTATATGAATATGTATGTAGCACTTAATAGATTTTGCACTTTAAGGGAACGAAAAAAAACATCACGTGTTCTATATATTCAGAGAATTTAGATGTAACTTGTTTAGTGGATCTGTTGAGAAAAAGACTGTTCAACCAAAAAAATGAGCACATGGATTGTTGTTGTTTCCACTTTGCAGTAGTAGAATACTGTGTACATAACGTGACATTCTCCCAAGTCCCAACAATACACAAATCTTTCCAAGTACAATGAAGCGTTGTGGGAGTGACTATTCCCAACCTGCCAAGAAGGTCCGATCGTATCGTGGATGACCCGGTCAATCTTTATGATAAAAAGTACACTCCTTTCTCATGTAACCTTAGACATGAACATTAATCGTTTACTCCCCCCACATAAATTTCAATCTTTTACAACGTCATTAAGTATAATTCCTTCATCCATAACACTCCCAACTAAAAAGAATTCTCAACTTTCAATCCGTGAGAATGATGAGATTCAACTTTTGCACTGTATGTTTTTTTTCGTACATATATATAAGGCACAGTAAATGATAGGGTATTTTTAGCGTTAATTAACCCTCAATCGTCCATGTATTGATTTTGAAAAGCCCCCACCTTTAATTATATTTTTTATTTTCTTTATTACAATAAGAAAGGACACAAATCTAAATTAAAATAAATTGTAAAATGTACAAGTCGTTGAAACAATATTAATTCCGGCACCTAAATAATCTACTGTCCAATTTTAATTCCGTGATACACATGCATTGACTCAGCCCCAAATACCAGGATTGATAGCTCTTTAATGACATTTACATATTCCCATCTTTGATTCGTCAATCCAATAGTATATGAATTTGATTACGTGCGCTTATCCAAATACGCCGTCTATATACATATGAAAACAGACACACTTCACCTTGGGAAAACATTATCACTCAGGGAAGTGCCCCAATTTTACCAAGTTAGCGTACTCGATTAATTAAGCCTAAAATGAAAGATAGTATTCAGTAGAATTCACGCAACTTCAAAGTCGTAATGCGTACGAAATAAAGTTGCCAACGCGTCCGTCTTTTCGTTGCGTTTCATTTGGTGACCCAATATGATCACATGCATTTTAAAATCTTTATCGATTGAATTATAATTCTAAAACAAACAATACTAGCTATTTCTTGAGAAAGGAGTTAGATTAAAAAAATAAATAAGTAATCATCGGCCGGGCACATTTGAGACTTCCATTGTAATGCTCCTTTAATTATAAAGATTTGTTCTAGTGATTTTATTTGGTTGAGCTATAGAAAAATATGGGTTTCATTCATTTCAAGTATATATATATATATATATATATATATTTTTTAAAAAAAAATTTGGTTTCATCCTATTGTAATAAGATGCTAACAAATATCGATCATCACATGCATAATCAATTGAAGTCAAGTGCAGTCGAACCACCGCTGAAATATGGTCGGGTTTCACCTCATATATTTGATCCATTCCCCTTAAATTCTAAACCCTCCAAAACGCCCAAGCTAAGCTTGACCCCAATGTCCAATTTAATCTCTTCAAAGTCTCTTCCACCACATGTTTTTAGCTGATTTGCTTTGCTGACTCCTGAAAAATATATGAACCTCTCCTCGTTTATTTTCCGCCGACAGACACGACAACGTTATATGATCGAGAAAGAAATGTACTGCCCAACTAGGTAGCTAGCTGTAGGGATGAGAAAATTGATCAAATTTTATTAACGCACGATCGAGTATTATACGTACAGGTACATGATGCATCAACAACAACTCCGACGATCATGATCATTTAAAATTCGAAACTTAATTAGGTGGATCGTTCTGGAGTTTTAGTGGCTCAAGTGTACTGCACGACGTAACCATTGTTAATCAAGTGACGTTAAAAAACTATAGACTAGAAATCAAGATTTTCAAATAACTTACAACATTTATCTCATATCAAGTTGTAAGCATACCCGGCTCTCTTGTCCACTTTCCATTTCAGGTTCTCATATCACCATATTTCAGGTTTTTATATCACTATATCAGTATTTGTAGAAAGTTCTTAGTTTAGGGATAAGGGTAAATCAGGAAACTGACTAGTCAAATATATATATATATATATATATATATATGTATTCCAAGTTATTATAAACGTCGAATTGAAAAAGTATTAACACCCTGAATAAAAATCTAAAATAATTATGCATTTATCTGATAATTATCAGTGATTCTTACAGTATTTATATTTCCCATATCCTAAAAAAATTATTCTTTTGGAATTTTAACATTTATTAGTAAAACCATTTTAAAATCTGAAAGGTTATTGACACCTCCACTGTATCTTGATTTTAATTGGAAAATCCGAATGAAGGTTAATACTAGCTAATAAATGTAAAATTAGATAGGCATGTTAATCCTGATAGCTTCCACCTTTGTAATGTATCGATTAAGTTGGCTGAGACTGATTGTCATCTTGTCTGAAAATTAAACTCGGGCTGATTGATTAGTACAACAAACAAAACTATAAAACTTTATCTAGAGAGGGGAAAGAAGAAGTTGTCCAACTAATAATTAGAATTGAATAACAGTCTATTGGTTAACGTGTTGTGTTTTTTAAAAATAAATACATGTTTAAATAGGATTCACTAAAGTTTTTTTTTTTTTTTTTTGTTTTACCAAAAATGTTGTCGAAAATGGCTAATAACCTACGGAATCTATAATAGGTGGCAAATCAAATTTCAAGGACTAAATCATCTTTGCATTAATAAATTTGCACGACTCAACGTCTTTTAAAACTATAAAATGAATGATGTCAATCATTTATTTAAGGCCACACTGCAAGTGAATTATTATCTCTAATGATATACAAGTAATTAAAGAATCATTAGGATTTTTGACAAAATAAAAATGAAACATTGAATAACAGGTGCAGTTTTCAAACTGAAGCATAAGTATATTATATACTTAAGCAACACAAAACCATATTAAATGATTATTATTTCATCACTGATTCTTTTATCAAAAAAAAAAGAAACTCATCACTTATATTATATTGATGAGTAACAGATGTATTTCCACCGCCTGATGATATCAACGCACTAACGTCAGCTGTTTTAACTGGCGCACGTCACACTATTACTTCATTCAAATATTAAAACAAAGACACTATTCAAGTAGTACTACGCAGTAGTATGTAGTACTCTTTCCTTCGAAACGAACGTTCATCATTTTTCTGAAAAATCCCATTAAAATGAGTTTCCTTTGTCTCAAAATCCAAATGACACAGGTACTTTACAAATTTCTTCTTTCGGCTTAACATCCCTACTAACTTTTATGTAACCTTGGTAATTATAACAATTCGTATCACTTATGTTATTTTTCGGAAGAAATGACCATTTGTTGTTCTTTTTTCATGAGAACATTTGTCACGCACATGGCATATTGAGATTGAACGGTCTCGGTGTCCAAAATGATAGTTGTTTCGTATGCTGAAAATTGATAGAATAAAAATTTTAATTTGTGAGAGAAGGAGCACCATTCTACTTTTTTTGTGATTAATTGATTTGATTCGGCAAATTGGAAATTTTATGATACCACATTGAGAATTTAATAACAGGCTATAAGTTAAGATATCATGTTCTTTTGGGAGTAAATTGAGTTTAATTATACATTTAAATGAGATCGGGTGGATTTTTTTCTTAAAAAAAAATAAAAAAGGTCACTTTGATGGCATGAAATTAAAACTTTTCACATAAAAAAAAAGAGAATACGTGGAGATCACTGATTGGATGTAGACTTTTGAAGTCAACTTAAATGAATGCAAGATAGTATGACACCACCGTGGCTCTCTCGCGATGCCTTTTTATTTGAAGGGAGTGGCACAACATTTTCCCAGCAGTTTCCTTGAAGCGACTGATTCCTTCGTTTTCATTTTTTATTATTGTAATTCTTTTTTGTCTTTTTTTTCCCCAATCATATCCTACGTTGGAAACTCCTAAAGCATGGAGGCCAAAGTAATTTCCAGCGGAGTCAAATATTCGAGCCTCCCTAGAAATTACGTCCGACCTGCGTCAGACCGACCCAACCTCGCCGAAGTTTCCGACTTCCACAACGTTCCCCTTATAGACATGGCCTGCCCTGACCGGTCGCTCCTCATCTCCCAAATTGGAGATGCTTGCCGAGATTTCGGTTTCTTTCAAGTAGGATTCATTATATACTTAATTCCCTTTTTTTTTTTATATAATAATTTGAATCACAGTCGTATTGTGGCTTCTTCATCAAATAATTTTTGGGATATCCGCAGGTGAAGAATCATGGGGTGTCGAAAGTGGCGGTGGAGAGAATGTTGAAGGTGGCTAAGGAATTCTTTGATTTGCCGGTGGAGGAGAAGTTGAAGCTCTATTCCGATGATCCTTCCAAAACTATGAGGCTTTCTACCAGTTTCAATGTCAAGAAGGAGACCGTTCATAATTGGAGAGATTATCTCCGGCTTCACTGTTATCCTTTGGAGACTTACGCTCCTGAATGGCCTCACAATCCTCCTTCTTTTAGGTGCGTCATTTCTTCCTCCTGTTTTCATTCACATTATATTAGTACTACTTCTTCTTCAGTTTTCCTCTTTGTCACAACACTTCTTTCTTCTTCCTCTCTCCCCCAAAAAAAAAAATCCGCATTTATTCCCGAAATAAATTCTCACTCCCTAGGCTGTCCACGTTTTACATTTTCATTATTATTCATTTAATTTTCGAGGTAAATGTTCAATGGAGAAAATGTGAGTCTGAAATGCGGCCCTAATCGGGTCTACATTAAATTTACAACTTAAATACTGAAACATTAATAAATTTCTGGAAAAATCTAAAGATAAGAGAGACCGAATCAGTTCGCATTAATTTGTGAGCTTGGTGAAGCAAGCTAGTGACATATGCAAATTAGGCAGCCACCGATGTCATTGTCTTTTCTATCTTCTTTGCTTGAAAAAACAAAAGGGGTCTCCATTCATTGCGTCATTTTACTAATGGAACCGAAGTCAGACTTCCTACATTAGATTTGTGCGTGTGTGTATGTGGTTTTTTTTCTTCCGTTGCAACTACACATACTACTTTCACTTACAATTATGTTAGTAATAATGTTTAAAATAAAAGTCTAGTATTGATGAAACCTTTTTAATGTGTCATTCACCCCTGCGTGTCGAGATTCAATTGGTTCATCCAGATAATTAATTAAGCTCTCTTATAAGGCACTCCATCAGTAGTAATCCAGCACAATTAAAACAATGCATCTAATTATCTCACGTGAAGTTTGCCATATCATGTCATGAATTTTGACTTAAAAATCATGTTGATTTTTTTTTATTTTTTTTTTTGTTTCCTCTACCCACATTTTGACCGGCATTGCTAAAAATTTTTCTCAAAAAGGATGTGCGCCCACAATCCATAATGGAGGAAAAAGAAAAACCCTAGCTAAACTAGTGAGGCATCTAGAAGATTAGACTACAACTACCTACTAGTTAAGGTTCATAGGATCTAATTTTCATGTTTCAGAACAAGGATCAGCAACAGTTATATTCAAACTTGTTATTCACGTAACCTTACAGTAATATATAATTTCTACATTTCAGTGATTTTACCTTACTCTGTGAGATAAATAACATAACAGTAAGATAAAGACTTAAGTTTGATAGTACATTGTGGGATTTAACATCTCAATAGATGCATGGACCTCACATTTCTGCAAGTTGGCAGATTCTTGAGTGCACTTTTGACACCTTTTTAGGGTTTAGTTAATGACTTTTTGAAGTGGTTTCTTTCATGCCACAATGACGGAAAAGGGGTCATATTCTAAATACATATATAGTACAAAAAGGAAAAGGCATAGGGGGGCAGAGATCCTATGTCGACTCTCCGGCTGCCGGCCATAAATAATGAACGGTCACACAATTCACATTTCACAACCCGATCAGGACTCGCTCGGTTAGAGTCGGTCTACCCATAAACCCCGAGCGAGAAGGCCTGAATTAGTAGCAAATTGAGCCACGTGCCACGTGCCGGTCCGACTATCTTTCTTTTTCAACTACGTATTCGTACTTTGTTTTGGTCGCTTCTACGGTGAGGTGGGGCTACATTGTTTTCCAGCCATAGTTTTGGTCATGGCCGGTTGGGTTTTTATCCCAAAGGGCAGCGTCACTTTCCCTCCGGCATATGTAATTTCCGAATGAGAGGAGTAGAATACGGGAAAAACCTTTTAGCGGATTCCGGAAATGTTTAAGAGAAGAAGAGACCTGTACGTGAGCCATTATTAAAATTTCTCAATTTCATTTGCCCCTCGTCACAATATTTTAAGCCAAGCTAAACCGAAGCCTTAAAATAATCAACGTAAATCAGCCATTATTCATAAGAAAGACTAAAAATAGCTTTGACTTTGTGAACTTCTTTATTTTCCTTTGTTTTGTTTTGTTTTATTTTTTTTTTTTGGGGTCAGAAGACTTTCCAACTCTGGTTTTAAGAAAGGGAAAACCCATATTGAACTAAGGGCATTACTTCATTATTTTTTGGGTTAACTAAGAGCATTACTTTGTTCTTCTTTTTCATTTTCATAATAAAAACTTATTGTAATATCCCGATTCAACAAAATAAATTCTAAAAATGAGGTAGAGAATAAAATTGAGTTTTCAATTTTTACTCAGTCCTATACTGGTAAAGAAACGGATATACGTAACCCGGGGAAAATATAAAACATTATCACATTGCTCTGCCGGCTACGCAACCAGAAGCACTGGGGGTCAATAAATCCGGCGCAAGGGGGGAAGAAGGGATGAGACAGGTGATGGAGCAGCTGACGATTACGAGCTGACCTCATCTTCTTGAGATGTAGATGATGTAAGAGTAAATAAATTATTCTTTTATTATTGCTCCTAAAATTATTGTCCAGTTTGAAATTTCACTTTTAATATAATAAAATAGAAATAAAAACTAAAACTGGATAAAAAATTATGAAACGGAGTATTATTATTGTTTGGGTTTCCTAGAAGAAGTGTCCAATTTAACGTCCGGTTGATGGCCGAGTAGGGATAGTACTAGTACGTAATGGTCACTCACTTACCGGGGTGGGGGTAGGGCGTGTGACGTAATGGATAGAGGACGCGTTGACGTAAGCGAACCACATTGGACGGCACGCAGCTGAATCATGGAATGTGTCATCAGCTCTATCGTCGTCGTGGCCGTGGGCCCGTGGCGTACGTAAGTGCAGTCCTAATCCAAAATTAAGCGTTAGAATGAAGGAGTAGCCATTGTGAAGAGCTCTACCTATTTCTGTACTACGTGGGTTTTTTCTGATTGATTCTCTCTGATTGAGGCAACGCCATTTGATAGTATTTGATTAAGTGGAAGATATTTTTCATGTTTCCATTCTTGGTCGGCGGGCATCAAGACTGTGGGACGATGGAGATTGATGATGGTATATTGGTGGATGTTGAACGTTATTATGAGAGATTGAGGGAGGTCGTCCACCACCGCCTTGTCGCCACCACCTATTCCCGGTCCTCCTCCTCCTCCTCCTCCTCTTTGACTAATACAGTCATAGTTATTAATTTATGAATGATAGGGACGGATATATCTCCTCCACTCCAGTAAGACAATTCAGAAAACATCTTTTTACTTTTCTATCTTCACAAATCAACACTTCACACGAAAATTATTCATCAATTAATTAGCCCACAAATCAATTTCCCTTAAGATTTGGAAAAGTAAGATTACGCGTCATTCCCCCAAAAAATTCATTTTCTTGTTTGGTTCCTTTTTTTTCATGCTTTTTTCAGAAATTTTTTATTATTAAATATCTCATTAGGAATGTAAAAAGATATTCTGAGATAAGACATATATTAATTAAATTTTTTAAAAAAACCGTTTTCAATTAATGAAAGCCACCATTATTTGGTTAATGTTTACGGAATTAACGCGTTCATCTGGCTTTTTGTCGTCCCCCATTGGCATAGGTCACCCTCCCTTCTTTGTTAATTTAAGGTTATGCTGTCATCGTCGGATTGGATCGTTGTGATTTCCGGGAGTTGAATGCTGCTATTATTGGGTTACAACACACAATTGAAAATTATACTAACTCTTTAGGGACCATTTTGCAGATTGCTAGGACCTTCTATCTCTTTCTTTTCTTTGAGTAGATTCCCACCCCTTTTTCCTTTTCTTTTCTACTTAAAAAAAAAAGTGCTTCTTCTTTTTTAGAATGATAATTGGTCGGTTATTGTACTAAAAATAATACAAAAACTATATAATCCTTTTCGGACAGAAGAAATACTACACATATCTTGCCAATACATTTTTTTTTTTATGTTTGTTTCGTTTTTTTAATGTGTGTTTTTAGGTATTTTTTGTATTGTGAATATAAAAAAATGTATTGGAAATGTAAAAAGGTATGATGGGACGAGACAATCATTATTATTTAATTCTGAAAAAACCAACTAAAAAAACAAACAAAGACATTTTTTCCACGTAAATGGTTTTACTTTTTTACTGGTGGATGATGAGATACATATATCTTGAATGGACAGGGAAATAGTAAGCGATTACTGCAGAGAAGTGAGGGAACTTGGGTTTAGGCTGCAAGAAGCCATTGCAGAGAGCCTGGGCCTGGAAAGTGAGTCTATCAAGAATGTGCTGGGTGAACAAGGTCAACACATGGCAGTTAACTACTACCCTCCTTGCCCTGAACCCGACTTGACTTATGGGCTTCCAGCCCACACCGACCCAAATGCACTCACCATTCTACTTCAAGACTTGGACGTTGCAGGCCTTCAAGTGCTCAAGGATGGCAAATGGTTATCTGTCAAACCTCATCCCAATGCCTTTGTCATCAACATTGGTGATCAATTACAGGTGCTTTTTTCCAATCCATTATTCTATCACAAAGTGTAGCATTTTCCAAAAGATGAATTTTACCAAATAAATGCTTTTGGATTATATTTTATACACAGGCAGTGAGTAATGGGAATTACAAGAGCGTTTGGCATCGAGCTGTGGTTAATGCCGAGAAGCCCAGGCTGTCGGTGGCTTCCTTTCTTTGTCCCTGTAATGACTCCGTAATCAGCGCTCCCAAGCCCCTCGTAGATGCTACCGCATCACCCCCTATTTACCGGGATTTCACCTACGCCGAGTATTACGCCAAGTTCTGGAGCCGAAACTTGGACCAAGAACATTGCTTGGAACTTTTCAAGAATTGAAATTGTAGCCCTGCGTTTAGGTAAAAATTTATTAGTTCCCTCCGCTTAGGTTACATTCTGTACTTTGTTTTTCAACTCCTTAATCACCTACACCCCTATGGATATAACATGATTCATCATCATGTTTTCTCCATCAATTTTGACCTTACAATGTGCTCTACTGTTTCGTTTTAAAGATATTGTCCACTGAGCTTAAGAATTTTAGTGATCATTTATGACTATTTGATCTAAATTTTAAAGTGAATTGTTGCATGGCATATTAATATCTTTGGAAGTAAAACTGTCCAATAGTTTTGCCAACAATATTACAAGGAGGACTGGAGGAGAATTAATGTCTGACCACTGACAGAATCAGATTGAATTTTTTTTTTTTTTCAAAAAAAAGTGAGAACCCAAATTTTAGAAACCAAAATATATAATAGTACTAATAAAGTTCACCCCTGTTATTTTCCAAATTAATACGCATAATATATCCATTTATCTGTTTTTTTTTTTTTTTCAATTTTTGTTGTCCAGATGGATATGGGCATCCTGGGACGAGTTTCAGGACTCGGATCATTAATATGGTAGCTATTATGAGGTCCATCTCCATGGCAGGCGGTCCCAAATTAGCTTACAGATTTAAAATTGTAATCATTGTTGTTGTATGATAATAATAATAATAATAATAATAATAATAATAATAATAATAGTAATAATGTAAGCTTATGAATCTTCTGGCTTTGATTCTCATTGAAAGTTCAGAAGATTTTGATTTGTGAGACCGGGAAAACTCCTTGTTTCCTGTCCTCAAGTAAATCATGTTAGTCTTTGGGTTCCTTGGGCGAGCCGTTGATCAGGTAGTAGTACTGCTTGTACATTATAGAACACTTGTAGCTTGATTTAGGTTTTTGTTATTGTTAAGTATAAATGTCTTATGCTACCTGTATTGTGTTATCTGATGCCAAATGCTAAATAATCAAACCGATTCATATGATAACGTCAAAGATTTCTGTATATGATTTATCTGTTAATCTTCAGGGAGTACATAAGTTGTGCGAACTTATTTGATCAAAACAAACATATAAGAACACATGAGGTGGTGCCTGTAGAGCAGTTATAAGTAGATCTACCTATTTAGTTAACGAAGACTAACTAAATCAAATAATGGCACTGTGTGGAAGGAACATAAGGTTGATTGATTGATAATTTTATTGCCATGTACAAATGGTCCATATTCCATATCATTTTTTCCATCTCGACGTTGCAAACCAACAGGTGGAAGGAAAAGAAAGAGAGAAATACACTTTCTCCATTTACAAAAAATAGAGACAAAAGAAAGCTAGCTATGATAGTATGATGGCTTCATTTCAAACTCTTAACAAAATCAAACAAGATAAAAATCGTCAAATCACATCAAACGCCACGAATCTTCCCCTCAATTTGCAGAGAAAAATCAGTTTGATTGATCATTTCAAGAGTTCCATGATCCAAGTATTGACGGCAGAGCAAATCTTGTGGAATTCTCTGAATCCAGCACCCTTTGCCAAGGCCTCAAATTCCTTCTCAGTCCTCTCTTTCCCGCCAGGGTTGTGGGCTAACATTATCACGTCCACATGGACGGTGTTCTGTGTCGCCAGCGACGTGTCCGGTGCTTCCGGAAGTATAAACTCAGCCAGGATGACCTTTCCGTTCGCCGGAAGGGCATCATAGCAGTTCTTCAGCAGTTTCCGGCAGTGTTCATCGCTCCAATCATGACAAATCCACTGCAAACATCGCACATAAAACCATGGCATTTCATTACTTTTTGTCACTTTTTTTCTTCTTTTTTTTTTCATTTTGTAATCAGTGTGCTTTCACTTAAAAAAAAAAAAATTGGAAAGGTGAAACATACCTTCATGAAGATGGCATCTCCTGTCGGAACGCTAACAAACATGTCCCCTCCAACATGCTCCACGCCTGCATGTGAATGAATTATCAAAAATCAATTGGCAAAGTGAAAATTATGAGTCTGCTACAAAAGAGTTCTCTATGTGTGACATTTAAACAAATAATAGTAACAACCAAATTCCATACTATATATATATACTTTCTGGTAATTAACTAGTTATACTGTCGTGCAAAATGATATACTACAATTAAAAGAAAAAAGCACGATTAAAAGCACCTGGATAAGGAGTAGCATCTTCGACAACATGAGGGAGTTCAAAATTGATGCCCTTGATAATGGGATACTTGGAGATGATCATGTTAAGGGTGGCTCCGGTACCGCCCCCGACATCGACCACCGTGTTAAGGCCGCGGAAACCATCGTAGACCTCCAAAATCTTCTTCATGGTAATGGTGGAGTGGTTGGACATCCCTTGGTTAAACACCTTGTTGAACCTAGGATCGGTGCCATGGTACTCAAATGCTGTCATTCCATAGGCTTTGTTGAATGGGATCCCTCCTTCCAGAACTGCGTCCTTCAGGTGGTACCTTTAATAGTAGACATCACATGATCATGTTGTGATATTATTAGCCTATCTACTCCAGCATAAATGTTTTTGTACATGAGTTTTGACTTTTGAGGATAAACAATTAAGAAGATTTTAAGGAAAAAAAGAAAAACGCATATAAAATTCTTGGTGGATCGGGCAAAAGCACACATCTGTATTAATTTGTACTTGACGTGACCAATTCTCACCCACTCTTTGTTCTCTTTCCCCTTTTTTTTTTAATTAAAAAAAATTGGGACCAATATATTTATGATGAATTGTGTTATACGGAAGAGGGGAATAATAATTAAAAAAAAAAAAACTTTGTCAAACTTTTAGTCCTGAAAGATAATCCCAAAGAGAAAAGGAGGGAAGGGCTTATTTTCTTTCCATGACGAAATTACATTAGTCTTCCAAGTTCAAAAGCAAAAATGACATCTTGAACGTAATATAAGTGTTCAAAGCGCATAAGTTGTATTAGTTTACACATATTTTCGAAATTTCTATCGATCACTTTCAGAACTTGTTTATAGGTTATAGGATTAATTTAAAATGTTCACTGTTGAAATCAATACTAAATAAACAAAGGCTCAAATTCATGAACTGCAGAGGAGCTAAACATACTGATTAAAAGAGCTTTGAGGCGATCTCAATGAGAAAACTATCAGATGAATCATCTAATCTTCACATTTAAGATTGAAACAAGAATAAGCACAATTAGTAGCATTAAAAAAATATAAATAATTTTCAAAAATGAAGAAAAAAAAAGTACCAGCTTTCCATGAGGACTTTATCTTGATTCATCAGCACCAAAGCAGCCATGGAAACTCCATCCGCGTTCTTGGTCAAGTACTTGCACACCGGCGCCAACCCATAAAGCCGCTCAACTCCGCCGCCCTCCGCTTCCCGGAGCTTACAGTTGAGCACCGAGTAACTGGCCAGCACCCGGAGAATACGATCCAGCATCACCGGAGCCTCCGGGTTGTTAGTGACCGGAAGCTGGGCGGCGAGTTCGGAGGGAGACACGTAAGCGCCGGGGCCAGACTTGGCAATCAGCTCCAGCAAGTCGAGTTCGATGGCGGATTTCAAAACCATCGGAAGCACGGATGCCGAGGCCAGCTGCATGGCGTATAAACACGCCTCTTGTTCTTCTTCTTCTTCTCCTCCCGCCTGATTGTATTTATTACTATCATTTCCCGTTGAACCCATTTTATTTTAATTAAATTTTTTTTTTAAAAAAAGAAAATTGTGGAGTGTATGATATGATTTGATGATGATCAGAATTGAGGGATAGGATAGCAAATGGGAAGGATTTTGATGGGTTTTTATAAAAAGAAGAAGATGAGTGGAGAAGTGGGGAGGAAAAAGGAAAAAATTGTTGGTGTCACTCATCAATCGCTCACTCAATTTCAGCCTTCATTGTGTCATTGTCTTGGGGTGGTTGGTGAATATTACTCCATTTGATCACTCTATAAGTCTATATTATGATTTCTTAAATTGCATTTCAACGTTGTATTCCATCTGTTCAAAAAAAAATAGTCCCAATTGAGTTTTATAATACAAAATTCAAAACTCAATGTGGACTATTTTTTTGGGGACGTAAGTAGTATTAATTTGCTTTAGTTTGGTAACATGAATTCTTAGTTATTTCAATATCATAATTAGATCTTTCATGTGCGTGGCCTACCCGAGAAATTTGTGGAAATTTGTTTAATTACTCCCTCAAAGTTTTTGCAGATGAGTTCTTTAATCGGAGATTCGAAAAAAGAATAATAATAACAGCAATTAGGAGGCATTTTGAGAAAAGTTAGGAGCCTGAAATTGTATTATTAGTTTAATTTAATAAAAGTGAAATAATTTATTTAGAATGAAGGGAGTATTATAATTCCATATATACTACCACAACATGGTTGACTGGAACAAATCAATTAGAAACATAAAGGAAGCTCTAGGGAAACAAAATTCCATATAGTACTTAGTTACATACTAAAAGTATTGATTTAAAAATTATTATAGTTTCATGAAAAAAACACATATATAACTCCATTACAATATCAGTCGGGTAATGATTTTCGAACATTGGATGCAGATATATACAAAATTGCAGCTTCAATGTGAAACATATTATTGAAAGGGAAAATTAAAAACAAAAAAACACCAATCATCGTTTTACGCGGAGTAGGATTTCAACATCTCCCTCCGCACCCATCTAAAATCCAACCATTTTGCAGACAAATAATGACCACCCAATCTTAATTGATTAATCAATTTTCAAGAAATAATGAGAGGACATCCCACTTTGATTGAATTTGTGTAAGGCAAGCAGTCAATAACAGCAATCATTTTTCTAAAACTTAATGGGGATGAAATCAGGAATGGGATGTGCAATCTGTGAAACCTTCAAAAGAAGAATAAAAGGTCGTATTTTCACCAACTTTTCCACCTACTACTTTCTACTACTTCTGCGCCTGCCTTCGTACCATTTTTTCCAAAGAACACACAGAAAAAAAAAAATGCAAAACAAAAAAAAGGACAAAATAGATCGATCGTGACAACTTTGCTCCAGTTTCTGTTTCCCCCTCACTGGCCTAGTATACTTGTTGACATTATCCTCCCAATTCCCAAAGTTTTTAAACTACCGTGTTTCTTTTTCCCAATTAATTTCAATGCATCTTTTCTCAAGTTCAATACAGTTTTAAAATATTTTTACTAGAAAAATTACGCTCCGTAAACAAGTTCAAACACATACCCAGTCTTCTTGTTAACTCTTTTTTTTTTTTTTTTTGGTCAAAAACGATATTCATTTCTTAATAAAAGGATCAAGTCCAAAGCGTAAAAATTTACAAATGAGTAAGACAATTTGCGTTAAACGCCTCATCTAGCTACAAAAGAGTTTGGTTATCCCACTTTTGTGTATATTTGCTAGACAAGGCTAATTTGACAAAATTGAAACTAAAGGAGTTCCATTCTTTTCAAATGTACAAAAATTTGCAGCTGTGAAAGAAAGATTTCAGAAATTGAATGTCCTTAACAATGGTAATAACATCTGAAACAGGAAAGATTTTTCCTTGTAACCAAGCAACCACGTTTTTTTCATCGAACTGGACTTCAATTCTTATGAAATCTCTCCATTGTAGTTCAGCTATTACTAATATGTCCATTTCCAACTCTGCAACCAAAGCACTCTGTACATTTTTCTGGTAGATTGACTTAGCCAACAACAGTTTTCTTTCCCCGTCCTTGATACTAAAGCCCATTCCCGCTAAGTTGTCCCCTAATTTCACCACTGAACTCACATTTGTTCGAATGATTCCATCCCCCGGGGCCTGACCGTCCCTGAATTACATGCACATCTCTGTTCTGATTTACACTCACCTGAGATCTAGGCTGAGCTTCTTTAAATTCACACCACTCCTTCATTGTTGTTTGCACCACATCCACTGCTTCGATCTTTAGTCCTTCAAAATACCATGCATTTCAGGATTTCCACAGTTACCAAGAATGTTCACAATGATCTCCACTGTCCTGTATTCTGTCACCTTTCTCAATCATTATCAACTCTGTCTACCATCCAGCAAAGCTGTCCATCCTATTACTTAGCCCATCCTAGCCAACTGGTGCAATTTTTCATACTGTTTTTGCAAAGTCACAGGCAAACAGTATATGCTCTAAAGTTTCTTCCCCTATTATACACCTTCGACACATCTTCTCCACCCCTAAACCACTTTTATTTAAGTTTACACTAACTGACACCCAACCTTTTATACAGTTTCCAGATAAAATGGTGCAGTTTAGCTTTGACAGCAAGCTGCCAGATTCTCGACCAAACTTTTTTTGCCACTTCTCTTCCATTACTAGATTCTCCACACCTACTACCCTCCATTTTTCTTCTTTTCTATGCATTTAAAGGCAGAAGAAACAGAAAATCTCCCATTCACCTCCCCACCCCACACCAAAGTATCCTGCCCCCCATAAGTACTTACAAGGCATTTGACATACCTTGCTCACTTTTTCAGGTACAAGAATTTGCTTCAGAATGTCCTTCTTCCATTCTCTGGTTGAGTGGTTAATGAGCTGGTTCGCCTTTATTAGATTTCTATCAGCTCCTCCTCTGTTATGCACTTCCACCACACACCCCTCAGGAAGCCAGTTATCATTCCATATATTCGCTTCACTTCTATTTCCGAGCTTCCATTTAACTTCTCTCAGCACACCTTTACTCGCCCCTAACCAGCCTTTCCACAACCAAGAATTAGAACCCTTCTATTTGACTTGACCTAGAGAGCAATTTGAAAAATATTTTCTTTCATCACTTTCGCCATAAATGAATTCGGTTCAATTTTTGGCCAACATCGCCTCATTTATAGATTTAAGGTTTCTAAATCCCAGTCCCCCTAACTCCTTTTCCTTTGCAATCTTATCCCATCACCCCCAATGTATCTTCCTCTTCCCCTCTTTATCCCCCACCAAAAATCAACCATACTTCTCTCAATCTTTTGACAAACATTGTCAGTCAACTTATAGTAAGACATAGCATAAAGAGGGAGAGCTTGTACCCCTAATTTTAACAGAATTTCTTTCCCCGCCATTGATAGGAATTTGTTCTTCCAGCTTTTGAGTCGTTTGTCAACAGCTTTCGTCACGTACTTGAACACCTCCGCCTTTGATCGTCCAATCACCAATGATCGTCCAATTACTTTCGAACTTGAGATTATTGTCCAAATTGAATTTTTAGTTTTAATATAAAATAAAGTAAAAGTGAAAAATCATAAATGAAAAATAATTTTATGACAGAAGAAATACAATAAAAGATTTGATATTTATTCTATATCGTCATATTCATATGCATAAATTAAATTAAATTTTCACTACTAGATAGTATTACTTATCAAAAACTGTTATTCGAGAAAAAAAAAAACAATAAAAGAGTATTACAAGACAATGCACAACCGTGGTAAACAACACATCTAACATATGGATGGATGATGGAACAAGGTAACAGACTAACATCCATGATTCCAAAACCATGATTGTTGATACCAAATAGTGGTTTAGTTTAAGTGTTTGCTACGTAGTATTTTCGTGTGATGGATAAGAATCAATTAGAGAATAATAAAAAATATAAATCCACGCTGACCCCCAAAAAAGAAAATAAAAAAACGAATCGCTAGAAAATATGGAGCGATAATGTTGGACCATTTAATTGTTTATGGGGCTTTGAAGCTCACATCATTCCCATTTTCAGTTGGGCCTTATAACGAACTGTCCTTTTACATTCCCAATCTATATCTATTCGTCTTCTTAAAAATACAGGATACAGACCAAACTTAAAAAAATAGAAGAACCCTCCAAATTCTCCGCTGCTTTGGCAAAGTTCAAATTTCAAACAATCAATCGTGGGCGACAGCGGCTGCCAACTCCGTTCAAGGATCTGCTTCCGCCACCACCGTCCCCATTTCATCTTTACTTTGGATCTTCTTCCCCCTTTTTGAACCCAAGTCCATTACAACCCAAGTCTTAAACATGTCGGCCTCCCAATCGCCTTTCCCAAAAGAAGAAGCTGAGGTTATCGATTTGTGCGGTTCAACTCCTCCTCCGCGTCTTCGCCTCCGGAAGTTACCCGAAGTGATTGACAACGGTAGTACTCCTATTAGACCCGTATTTTGCGTGAAAAGTAAAGAGGCCATGAAGGAGATTGAAAACAAGGAGGATTGTTTTATCTTGGATTTTGACCCTGATGATTATGAGCCCTCCTCCATCGGCCCTAAGATTCCAGATGCTGCTGCTACTGCTAACGCCTCCCCCGATATCACTGTTGTAGCAGAGAAAGGCCAGGTTAACATAATTGTATCTTTCTTTGTTTTCTTTACCCGAATTGTGCTTGAAGTGGTACGTTTGTAGCTTGGCTGAATTAATTGATTTGAATCGAAGAAGGAAAATTGGGTTTCTTGTGGTAATCGCTCGCTGAATTTCGACTTATTTGCACTTATGATACATTTTCTCTATTTTATATTCATGCGAAGTTAAAGGTTTTGTATTCCCAAAGCGATTGTTTTCTAGATTAAATGTTTAGGCAACTTTAGAATTCCTGGAGTCTTTTTGAATTCCAGGACCAATTTTGTATCTTGTAATTGTAAAACCATACCCTTTTAAGTTGTTTAAGCCCCGTGTTGATTGAATTGAATAGTAGGGTTATGAATTGTTGAGCCTGTTGTTTTGTCTTCTTATACGTACCAGGTAGCATGTAGAGACTATCCACATTCAAGACATTTGTGCATCAAATTTCCATTTGCGCAATCATCCCATGAGAGCTACTGTAAACGGGTAAAATATTGTTTTTTTTTTTTGCCTTTTTCTTCTAGGATTAGTTTTATTTATTTTGGAGGGTGTGAAAATTATGAATTGCCATTCCATACGTTGAAACTGTCCATTCTTGGCCAAGGGACATGTGAAGTTGGATTTGTGAAAAGATTGACAAACTAGTATAAATGTGTATATTTGGTGTAAATTTATGCTTATCATGTTCAGTTTTATCATTGATTGATGATTCGACACTCAAGGGGTTAGGTTGAATGTTGACTGCTATTTTACTGGTCGTTTCCTCAAATTTGGAGAAGCATTCATTTGTTTAATCAGCTTTAAGCGAGAGTCGATGTAATCAACCCTTCTTTAAATGCCTCATGCATCGTTCACATTGTTGTTCTTCCTATTTAATGTGTCTGATGGAGGCTCCCGGCTGCAGTGCTTCTGTTTTGTCTGTGATCAAGCTGCTCCCTGCAAAAAGTGGACTGGAGATTCAGGACATTGTCATGCTATAGATAATGAAGCTTGGAAGTTGGAGAGGAAGAGGTTGCTTAAAAAAATGTCTGCATAGTGCTTGGTATCTCTGCTCTTGATTTCTTCTCTTGGATGGTTCTTTTGTGGCATTGTTTCTGGGAATGTCATCATTCATGGCCGAGGTAGTTGTGCATAGATTTCCCCTTCTGTTTGCTAGCGTGAAAGGTGAATTATGCTTCAACTTCTTTTGTAGAAAAAGTTGTCGATGAAACAGTTAGCATTGAAACTAAACAATTGGAATCAAGGTCAAGTGGCTTGTAAATATTAAGGTTTACCAGATTCACAACGCATCAAAATTTTTGCATGTGAATATTTGGAGCTTTATGTTGCCTACTGATACTATCACATCTACATGTGAAAATCTGTGGATCTATGTGGTTCCTGACTTCTAACGGCGTAGGTGTAGCATTGATGTTAAGTTTATAATTCTAGAATGTGCAAGCTTTTCTTGTTGGTTATCTAGTAAACTAGTATGTCTTCAACTCTCATATACTAGGAGGCATATGGCCGCGCACCTGAGGGCATCGATAGCCCAGAAATGGATGTTATTTTATCATGCTTTCATGTTTTTTTCCAAGATTGTGAAGTTATAATTGCAGTATTCTCATCAAGAAAGCAGCTTGAGTGATGTATAAAAATTGAAATCAGTCCAAATAAAAGTATGGGGGAACAATGCAAAAGATATCATATCTGTTCAAGTTATATAAGCACGGATCATGGTGGATTGGTGGGTCTAAAGCAGCCCTATCAGAAACTTGTTACTATGAAATTGTCCAACATTTCTGTTAACTGTTAGGGGACAGCAGATGAGTATCAGCGAGGCGAGGTTGAAGAATGTTACGGGAACTGAATTGTCCAACTCTTGTGTTGGTGTGATGATGATTGAAATGATACGTTTGAACCTGAGACCAACTGACATACAAATTGGGTAATCCCCAAATCAAAATGTTCGACTTGCGTTCAAAACAGTCCAAGTTACAGAAAAAGTATGATTGGGATTAACAAAACAAGAAGATGCCACTTATTATATAACAAGATTGAACGGCTAACAGTCAAACACCATCAAGGAAGTAGAAGCTCAACGATATTTTGGAGCTGCCGGTATAAAATATTGAAAATGAGGTTGGCTCAGACCTGCTCTAATCTGGTAGAAGAATCATACTAACAATTATCAAGTTCAAAATTTTTAAGTGATCGAGTTGTGGTTTTTTTTTTTTGTTTTTCCAGAAGAAAAGTAGAATTTGCAAATATTTGAAGTGAACAACAACATTGTCAAGCGGCCTAAATATAAACGTACAGAACCCAAAAAGACAGCTCCAGAAGGCCCAAAAGGCCGCTTGAATTTGGGCTGAAAAAAATGATGGTAGTTCTGTTCATGTAGTCCAGCCCACAGGATGTAAACCCTAGCTTAAAAAATGGAATTGCCCCCCGGGGTAAAATAATGTCATCTCCTTCATTGCTGCTTATCCACTGAACGTCTGTCTACCTTTTTCCGCCATTCACAAGCACAAGTCCCGTAGAACAATCATCATGCCTGGCCCCGTCGTCGAAGAAGTTGAGCTCGAGAAAAAGCTTGAGGTCTTTGCACTATTTATTTATTTCCCTTTTTTCCATCTTTATTTTCCTTGTGCCTCATAATCAATCATTTAGTTAAACTTGCTGTTCAATATGGTGTGCAGATTGAGGAACCAGTAGTGGAGGATGTGAAAGAGGAAGATGACCGCGAGGACGATGACGATTCTGACGACGACGAGGATGACGACAAGGACGACGGTGCACAAGGTGGTTTTTCCTTTTCTCACCTTGTTACGCCTTTTCTTTTCATTTCGTTTCTTCCTAGGGTTTCCATTGTGCTCTTCAGGTTTTCCTTTTTCTGTTCTCCACCATCCTTTTGTGCTGTTTTGTTTTCTGAATAAAGCTGTTTGGTCGGAAATGTCGGAAGACTTTATTGAATTATAATGTCACTGAATTTCAATGTGTTTTGAGTAGTTGGGGGCAGCTTGTTGTTAAACACACTGGAGCTATTAGGAATTCAACTCCATATTTGTAGCTTGGTTAATATTTTGAAATTTATAGCTTTGGTCACTCCTGAGTTGGTGTGAACCCACGAGGATATGTTTTGTTTATGTTTTATGTTTGCATCATCATATTATAATTTGAGAACACATTATCAGACCATTACCATGTAGTGAGATAGCAGCTTTGTTGCAAGGATCAGATTGTTAAGTATTTACATCTGGGGGTACTCAATTTTATCAAGTGTTTCTGTTCGACACTTTTTGTTCCCGCAGCAAAGTCTGTTCTATTGATGTATTTTGGCACCTGTTATTCCCTTGCTTACTATTTTTTAGATGATGATCGTAAAATTTTGGTTAAATGTTCCTTCCGTTGCTTATTGGTTTGTAAGTCTGCAATTTGACATTTTCAATATGCCAAATGCTTTTTGAAATATCATTAATATAGAAAGTTATGTTGTTGCAGGCACTAACGAGGGTTCAAAACAGAGCAGAAGTGAGAAGAAGAGCCGCAAGGCAATGCTGAAGTTGGGGATGAAACCCGTGACTGGTGTGAGCAGGGTCACCATTAAAAGAACCAAAAATGTAAGCTTAAATGATGGATTGCTATTTTTTGAAGCTAGCGATGGGTCGTGGTTCCTAATTGCCAACTACATTGTTTCTTTGCAGATACTCTTCTTCATCTCAAAGCCTGATGTTTTCAAAAGCCCAAATTCAGAGACCTATGTCATCTTTGGAGAAGCTAAAATCGAGGACTTAAGCTCTCAGCTGCAGACACAAGCTGCCCAGCAGTTCAGGATGCCGGATATGGGTTCTGTGATGGCAAAGCCTGGAGAAGTTTCTGGTTCGGCTGCTGCTGCTCAAGCAGATGAGGAAGATGAAGAGGTCGATGAGACAGGTGTTGAGGTTCGTGATATTGACTTGGTGATGACACAGGCTGGTGTGTCGAGGAGCAAGGCTGTTAAGGCTCTCAAGGCCCACGATGGAGATATTGTCAGTGCTATCATGGAGTTAACCACTTAAGTAGTAGTTGTTACAGTCTTTCGACATTTTTGATTGGTAATGCATCATTTTATTCCCGAGTTTCTGGAATGATTGTACTCTGCCTCTGGAATTCTACAACATAAGACAGATGTTATCAGTGCCATTTTTGTGCATTTTAAATTTTTTTTTGCCGGGTTTGATTATTTCGTCTAGAGAGGCTCTTTTACGTGTTGCAGTTCATGCTGCCTTTTTTCGTCCCTCTATACTTGATAGCTGGGAAACCGATATGATGCTCTAACCAAAGCTACTGACTACGGTAACATCCTATTGGTTCCTTGTGCCGTTAACCACCTGAAAGTAGTTTTGGTTTTTCATTATTCTTGACTTGTAAATTCTAAATGCTGAACAAAAAGGGGAAACCATGTTCTGATAATGTGCAAAGCAGCAACGGCTACAATTTAAAATTGGAGAGGAGGAACAGCATTCATTAATTCAGTACTGAATACATAATCCACGACTGACAACTGAAACAACTTATCATCTTGTTAATTGATTACTCTGCAGTTGGCTCGAATTTCTCCTACTTCTCCAGTTAAGACCCCAATTTGACCCATTCTTACCATTGCATCAGCAAACTTACTTCTCCAAACAAAAGGGCTCTGAGAATTCGCAATCACTTCATTTGCTGTCGCAGAATTTGTCAACAGAGTTTGGTCTGAAGTGAACAAGCCTCTGCTGGCAAGAATGTTGTTGTAGTAGCTTGTGTCCATGATTGTGGGGGTGAAAGGGTCCATCGGCACCACTGAGTTCGGATTTGTACTTCCTGGTGGACACTGCCGGCTCAGCTGCAATGCGTAAACTGGATCTAAACTCGGGTCTTGGTTCGTTGTTGTGTTGAAATTGAAAAGCCTGTTGCTGAATGACGTACAATGGGAACGCCCGATGGTGTGTGCCCCTACCCCCCAAGGTAACTTACAATATTAATCATTCTTTTTGTACTTATCATATGACTGGTAAGTAAATAAGATGTATTATCGCTCCCTGGATATGAATCATGCTTACCTGACAGCGTTACCATCTCGTCCTGTCTTAGTCCCTTGTTGGCGAATGCCTGTCTGAGCTGACTGACGCTGAACGATGGACCTGGCAAGTTTGCTGATGCCTCAGTGGCCAGTGAAATTCTGCCGTCTTTCCTACCTGCAGGTACGTCGTAGCCAAAGCCTCCTGTCTGTTGTGTGAAAAACACAAATCTAGTTCAGTGTTCCGCTCCCGAGAAAGCTCTTTAAAGCATCGTCTATCTACATGATTGTAAGATGAGATACTGTGAAAATGTGTCGAGGAATTCGACTAGCTCTTACCAATTCAACGCTGTCCCTGGCTGCAAAAGCAAGTATATCAGCACAGGAAACAGTGCCTGGGCACAAGAATTCCAGTCTGCTCTTTGCGTTGTCGATCACTTGGAACCCTCTCAGACTTGGATTATTAGCTGGTGCATCTTTCTCTGCTGTGTTGGAAGGAGTTGAATCAATGAGTACTGATCCATCACAACCCTGTAGAACAACAATATAAAAAGGTGAAAACTTTGAAAGCACTAATGCATGGGTGTATATATAAACAGGATTAGTTTTAGATCACCATTTCACCCTTACTTACCACCCTCTCCTGAGACGTTTTTAAATTAATTATTAGTAAGTGGACTTACTCGGACAAAACAATCGTGAAAATGCATTCTAACGAGGCCAGCAGCTATTCCCCTGTCAGTGAAGAAAGCCCTCTGAACCTCATTCTTGACGATGAACTCGGCTGAACTGCACGAGGCATCATAAAACCCGACTTGAAGCTCAGCATTCGAAGGCACCACATAGTAGTACTGATACACCAGCACAACAATCACAGTAAAAGTGGAAAGTGTAAGAGTTGGGAAAATGTTGTTGGACTCCATAGTCATGATGATCTAGTTATTATGTGTGAGTTAAAGTTTGAGGTTTTGAGAGTGTCTATATAATTTTAATGCTTAAGTTGCGAAGTTAAGGATGCTGTTTATAAATATGAAAGTTCATGCAGCGCATTAGTCAAATAATGAAGAGAGAAATGTTTTAGGTTAGTAATTTAATCCTAATCCTGGTTTGATAGTGGAATGTGAGTAGGCAATCAGCTGTAACGTCGTTTTTACTCGTTTAATTTAACGGGATGCATGTTTCCTATGGACAAAAGATAAAGGAAAAGACAAAAACGGGGTGGATCTTGTGGACTGCCCGGATAGATATAGTAAGTAGTATTACTGGAAGATTTTTGTTGCCCAAAATGATACTACTAGACTAGACAACAGTAGATTTTGAAATGATTCACATTTGGTGGAGCAGAGACCAAAAGGCTAGCTGCATCAGCGTTTGCTTAAAGCCATTTGTGGTTTTGACTTTGGAGCATAAAAATACAAAGTTAGTTGTTGGATAATTGATCTATTTGCGTCTAATTTATTCACCCATTTGTTTCTTTTATTTATTTATTTTTTATTTTTTCTTTGAAGGCATCGCATTCTCCTTTGTGCATGATCAGTGACGGGGATTCATGCAGTACCGGGAGCGTCTTTCAAGCTTTTGCACAGATTTTAGCTGAAAACCAAGGTTATACTGTTTGTGCCCATCGGACATGTTAATGTCGGAAGCTTGAATGTTTTATATTTGACATTTTAGAGTATACTGTGAGATTTTCCGCTTAGTTTCAGATTTTGGGGGGCAAATCTCACACTCTTGACTGGATGTAATTTGACATATTGAACTATGTAACCTGTCTCCTTGTAAACATCGTTGCTAAGCTATAGTAATGTACTTTGTGTAGTTGTGTTCAAACCTCTACAGGCAATGAATAGCGACTGTATCACGGTAAGAATCATTAGTTTAGTTTCATGTTTAAGACGTCCAAACTTGTTTTTTGGCTTATTTCATGCCGACTAGAGAGATAGAGATTCCGGGGTCACAAAAAGATTTGTAGGACATTGGCGACAATAAATCACCACTATGCTTTGATCAAAAAGACATGCTATATGGTGGTGGATTGAGACGTGCATATTTTAGCAGGATTACGACTACAATACAAAAAGGAGGAATTAGGTGAATTTAATCTCGCTTTCAAACTAGTCCTCGTCATCTACAGCATTCAGATCAAACCGTTCTAGGGGATTTGGGCCTTCCTTTTCATTTTCTTTCCCCCGTTTTAGGGGATCTTCATCACAAGTAACACCCAACTTCTTCACAGATATCACCAATCTGTGTGTATTGGTGGGCTTCCCCACCAGACCATTGGATTAATGATGCCTTTGTGCTGCTAATTTACGAACAAACCCTTTTCATTTTCACTCGCTGTAAATTTTGGCGAGGCTTCCTCTTACGGTCATAGATTTCACAAATGCCTTTGGAACGCTACTACATAAAAATTAAAACTTTTTAAATCTAGGATGACAAGCCAAAATTCAAGAAATAATCAAATAATCCAACAGAATATACATTGGGGAATCATGATTTAACCAAAATAGAAAGGAACCATGTTTTGTACAAGTCTGAAGACCAGTTTTTTAAGAGTTGATTTGACATTCCAGTCTGCATACCTACATAATCATCACTTTTGAACTTCTCAAAAGGCTTTCTCACAGGGCAGAAAGCCATACAAGAAAAGCCATGCATTTTCCTGAAGCTACCCCCTCTCTCACTCTCTCTCGTCAACAGTGGTGATTCATCGTCCCCCAGCCTCAACGCCATGGTATATCATCCTCTTTTAGTATATGTTCCCAATCCGACGAGCATGTGTCACTGGACCCTATTGAACACTGGTTTCTAGATGGTAAATCCGTTATGAGAAAATTAGACTGCTTTATTCGATCATCATCACCATTGGTCATAAAAGAGGGAAATAAATTTTTAACCAGCTCATACCTGGGACTGCTTCCAACATGCGGGCTGCCAAAATGTTTTTCGTTGACATCTCCTGTTGTCTGAGAACGAGTTTCACCAGGCACGCTCGATCTCAAACCCTCAGGCTGGCCTCTCAGGAATGCTGTGGTTTTTGGATTGTCCCTGCTTTTCAAGATGTGGAATCTGGTCATAACTGAGGCATCCACATCATCAGTATTGCAAGTCGAGCTTAAACCTAACTTGGGTTCTACGGCCAAATTAGGTTTTCTATCTTGTGCTTCGTCTTGAAGAGACTGTGACTTGGCAGGAGCGAAATCATCAGTGGCGTTATCTGCAGATTCTTCACCGACAAATTGTGTACTTCTTGAGTCTCCACGCTGTTTCAAAGCATCAAACTTGGTCATAATGGAGGCTGGAACAGCATTAGTGTTGCTGTTTGAGTTTGATTTAGGTAGGCTCCAGATTTTGGATTCCAGATTCGAGTCACTTGTGGCCTTAGATGATGGAGGCGCAACAGAAACATTCAGATCAACCCCTGACCTAGCAGGACCTGATGTTTTATCCGACCTATCTGTGCCTTCTTAAACATTTTAAAAGTAGAACCAAAAAAAAGATAATGAATAAACTAAAATCAGGCGAGACAACAATTTTAGAAAAATGTAAGTGTGGAAATGTTTTACCTTTTCCATTATTGGACTTAAATTTCTGCAACTCCATCTTCATTCTTTCAAAACGGACTCGGTAACTGATGGAACATAATTTGGCTTCTGCCTCGAGCCACAAACTCTTAAACAAAAGAGCTTGTTGTGATTCCATTTCCTCCCCAGAAAGAAAGTTTTCCTCGAGGACTTTCTTTATTGCCTGCAAGGCATGAACAAGCCATCAGGCAACAGAAACTACATGCCTCCTAACTTCCCCTCTGATGTAGAAAGTATTCAAGTTATAAAGTATAAACTCTTTAAATCACGAAAGTTGTTTCGAACGAGTCGCCTGGAAATGCTTACCTGAGCCATACTATCATCTCCAAGAGAATCTAAATCATCCATTGGAGTATTAAAAGGCTGAAAAATCCCATCCTTTCCAAGGGAAACATACTTGTTTATCATTTGGTTGTCGCTGCTGAGGCAGTTGAGCGATTTTCTAACCACATCATTCTCAGGTTGGTATTTGTTTGCAGTGCAGCTCTGTACAGGGAACCATTTCAACCACATGTAAGAATATGTATTCTTTCCATCTTTTAAGCAGGCAAAGCAAAAGATTTGAGCATTCCAGGAATGCCTGAAGTGCTACATCAGCAAAAAGGAGAGAGTGTGTGGGGGGTGGAAACATTGCAGAATGGAATTTTTATGAGCAAATTATTAGCTAACCTTTCTTCCACTTACCAAATCCGTAAGTCAAGAAATCGCCACAATAGAGTTAAAGTATGGTAATCTACAATACACACTATGCAAAGAAAACAGTGCAGATGAAACCATACAGAATGAAACTAACCTCTCTTAAATACTTCAAACATTTAGCCATCAAATACTTGCATGAAGGTCACATTCATCAAGAATTTTGTAATGTTGGTTATATTACTTCAACAACTGACAATTATACCCCTCTTCAAACAACTTTCTAAACATTATATACTTGCAATAAAATTGTAAAAAATCTATTTGTGCTCAATGATGGTGACATACCATACGCTGATTCAGTGAGTCTCCAACTTTATCACAAGTATCTCTCCGGCAAAGCTGTACCTGTTTTGATTCCGTTAAATACTCAGTTTTCTTAGAAGCCAGTCTCTCGAGATTATTAATTACATGCTTAATGGCCTCAATATCCAGATCTTTGAGACCACATGAGTCTGTGAAACTAAACCAAAGCAAGTCTGAAACGTTTTGTAATACTTTAATCAAGGATTGAACGTCCATAGTGGGGAATAATTGACCTCCACTTGCTTTCACCAATTCCGGGCCACCTTCTTCGGAAGAAGGTGAACATAGAACATTTTCTGCAGCACGGACAGCAATAGCCCCTGCTGTAGTATCACTCAAGACAGAGTTAGGTCCAATAGCCCGACTACTTAGGTCCAATGTGGCGGTAGTATTATCCTCTTCAACTCCAAGTTGCTTTTTGTCAGAAGATTTTGACTCCTCCTTGTTCTTCGGATGCGTTGGCAGCTTATAATCTTCTCTAGGTGCATCCATCTCGTCCGATAACTGGACTCCCCTATTGCTTATCTGGTTTGTACCTTTCAATGTTTCTTTTGCCTTATCAACTGAGCAATCCACCTCTGATAAATTTCCAGGAACTGATACAACTTCTTCTCCATTGTTTTGTTCAAGCACTTTTTCTTCACTGGCTTGTACAGAAGAGCATCTAATTGCGTCATTTGGGGGAGGAAAAATATGATCAACATGAAGATCCGTCTGACGAGAATTTCCCGTTTTTGATCCAAACTGATGTGCAGTTTCAACTTCTGGAGCACCAAATGGAGAAAAGTTTGAAGCCGGGGCCCCTTTCCAGCAAGGAGAGTCCACAGCAAAATTGTAATGATCAAAATCAAAACAATCAGGGCCAATATCAAAAGTCTTAACAGATTGTAAGTTATCCGCAGCAGAGAGCAAAGAGGCACTCCCACTGGCATTAATATATCGGACTGGTGACTCAAAGTTTACTTTTGAATCATTTGTACTCTTGGACTTGCTTGATACTTCTCCCATAACAGATGACGCAGAAAATAGCTGGCTGTTATTACCATCTTTCTGACCCTTGACTTCGCTGGTAAACAAAGAAACTTCTCCAACTTCTGGATCAAGCAGAACCTGAGGGTCTTTTCCTTTTAAATGACAACTGCTCCCAAGTTCGTCACTAGGTTGAAAAGCCGCAACATTTGCAGCACTGAGAGTTTTTGCGGAGAAAGTCTTTTTCCCAGAAGGCGGGGGACGAATGACCAAAGCAGGAGGAGGTTTTGTTACAAACATATAACTATGAGCACCAGGGGACAGATTTGGAGATGAGACTGGAACAGTGGTAGAACTGGAACCCGAAATTGCAGTAGTCCTGGTGGAGTTAAAAGGAAAAGAGAAAACACTCTGACCAACTGGTTGCGACACGTTATCCTTGCGTTCCATCCCCATCAAACCATTACTGCTAACTCTTGCAGTAATATCAGGAAACTGCCCACTACCTGCAAGAATGTATCCAGATTCAAAAAGTATAAAATCCCCATAATGTGACAGACATCTGTAAAGCAAGACTGCAACTAGTGGATTCGAAAGAGACATGGAAGGCATCAGAAATTCATCACATCTGGTTCGTTTACTAACGATCTAGGATTAGGAAGTGCCCTCATAACATGTTGGATAGGTGAAATTCTAGAATTTATGGCAATCAAGGCAACTACGATAATCTTTTCCAACAACATTTGCAAGATGGAAAATTTTCATAAGGTCAATCTTGTCGTTGATTGTCCCTACTACATAGTCAGCAACGAAATTCTTAGGCATATCTAAATCCATAAAAAAGATGAATTCTTTGAACTTCAAAAATCCTGACTCAACTAATAATTGCAATGCGCGAATCAAGACGAAAAACAAAAATACATACACATTAGACATGTGAAAAGGCCATCCTTACATTACAAAAATAATCTCCATAGTTTGTTTTTAAAATAAACAACAAGTCCCAAGAAATTGAAATATTTTGGCAGTATAAGTCATTATAAGGTATTTTTAACCCACAGTTCAATGGACAGTATCTACCTTGAATCATTTGCTTCTCATAAGTGCTAAGAGCAAGAGCTGGTGTGTCATCCAGAAAGGAACAACCACTGATTCCCGCAGGTTCATTCATCTTACCATCAAGTGTCCTATTCCAAACACCATGCAACTGTGTTCCATACTCAAGACCATGAGTATAATCCACCTGCGATGACAGATCAGCAGTAGATACAAGACCTGAGGAAGGCACCAGCAGGTCATAATTGTGCTCACTAATACCCAATGAAGGAGAAGAATCATGATCCGCCATGGGAGGAGCATACTGGTTGTAAAATGAATCCACCAAAGTGCTGGAAAAAGTTTTAGGGCCAGGGCTTGTAGAAGACCAAGTAAAGGCCTGAGAAGCAGGATCATTAGGCTTAGACATTGAATACTGAAACCCATAGTCATCAGGTAAAGGCACAGAGGTGGTCCTGGTGGAAGAATCAATCTCCAACTCAGACTTTGGATAGATAGTATTATCTGGTCGAGGGTTTGTATACGGCTGCCAAGCCGGTCCAAAGGGAGAACCATAGGCAGGGAATTCAGGGAATTGCATAGAGGAATTAGAGCCAGATGGTTTCAAATTGAACCGATCAACTGTAAAAGGTGGGGCTGAAGCAGACAAATTGGAAGATGATGATGAAGACGATGATGAAGGCCCTCCATAGCCCAAGGATCCAATACCCATCATCATACCTTCTGTGTTTATCCGGTTTGTGTCTCTCAACTGATAAGAAAGCAAAACCCAACAAACATATTCAAATCAGAAATGCCAAGAAGAAGCTGCAATTAAGTTAACCTTCAAATATTAATTCCCAAAACACATTGATCATAAACGACACTCCATAGTCAAGTACCCTAAATCCAATTAATAAGTCAACTGACCAGAAATTTCCAGAACCCAAGAAAGACATTCCCTTCAAACACGTCCCACAGGACCATGAGTTCCAGTCGAAAATTTAGTCTTTAAATAAGAAATTCTACCCCTTCTTTCAAAAACCACAAACCCGTCAATCATCAACCCTTTTTTTACTGATCACAAAAGAATTACCTTGAAAATCTTACCCAAAACCTGCAATTTAGTTTGGGAAAATAAATATCAAGAACATAACAAACCCATCATAATCGTCCCTACAGTGTTTTAGGTCATTTATAACTCAACTGATCACAGATTGCAACCCATGTAACACATAATCTACAGTTCAATTCTCCTCAAGAAAAACAGAAATATTTCTTCTAACAGGAAAGAAAAAAAAAAAATACAGACCCAGAATTACAAATCGTCCAAGAAACTTGCAGCCAAATAAAATTGACATGAGTAGACGGGAAAACGAAATGATTACCAGTGGGAGAAGAGCAAGTGACCCAGAAAGAAAGCGAGCAAGCAAAGGGGGAGCTGTGTATTTGGGTCTGTATTTTCTTCTTCTTCTTCTTCTAAGCCTTCGGTGGCCTATGCTTCTACATACCCACTTGAATGTGTTTTTTGTCTATAGTCTAAACTACTATACTAGTAGTACTGTTCTTCTACGCTTTCGTTCTTTTTTTTTTTTCTTTTAACAGCCCACTTAATTTTATGCTAACTGTTTCAAAGTCTTGGCCTCTTTTTTATTTTCTCAATTCAGATGTACCACAGCATCATGTAAATGTTCTTTCTTATCCCATTAGTGAATAAGTCCAAGACATTTTAATCATCATGCATTTTTTTAATCAACTTTCTTGCTATCTATTTTACCAAAAATAAAAATAGTGGTAAATATATTAGTTGGTAAGCACTCCCTCCGTTTCAAAATGTAAGTCACTTTAGAAGTTGCACGTATACAGGAGATAATTATTCAATAATTAATTTATATGTTAAATATTTATTTTAACCCTCATTAATTACATTAAAATTATAAATAAGACTAAACGAAAATAGATTGGTATCATTTATTGAGGGTAAAGTTGAAAAAAAAGTCATCAATTTACCTATAATTTGTAAAATGACCTACATTTTGAAAAATCTCTCCAAACTTAAAACGATCTATAAATTGAAATGGAGGAAGTACTAAAGTGGGTACTCAATTTTGTGAAGATGGTTTTGTAAGTGGCATGCGGAAATAATAGTACAAACTAACTTAAAAATGAAGATCAACTTTAGCATTTTCAAGACTGGGAAATAGGAATAATACCGTGAATATTAATCTTGTTGATAATAGGGGAGGAACGGAACGGACCAAAGGAAAGAATAAGAAGTCGACCATTAATAATGATGCTTAGTGAAATAGTATAAAATAAAAAGAAAGGGCATATTCGTATCATTAAGGATACAGAAGTACATGCAAGGATTGGGAAATTAAAAGAGGTTAATGTTGTCCAATTAATGTAAAAGCCATTTGGTTGGTCGCTTGGTGCCGGCATCTTTTTGTGTTTACAAAATTTTCATCGCTGTTAATAACAATTAAATTACCTCTTTTTCTCAAAAAAAAAAAAAAAAGGAATCTTGGAAAGTGGGTCAGTTGCTTCGTGAGAACACTTTCCTTTGATTTGATTCTATAATTTCTTATTGGTAATCTATATCTTACTATATTAGAAACAAAAACCGTATTTTAGAGAAAGCACCACTATTTGCCATGTGCATTTCCACATTATATTTAAAATAAATTTTTATTTACACATCTCCTAGATTTAAAAGGCAAATGCAGTACAAATCCACTTTCACCTCCTATTTTCGCAAAAAAAAAAAAAAAAACACGTGTTCATAAAAAACCCAAATCCTCATCCCCATCTGCACGACAATCGACTCCCTAATCAATCCCTTCTCCACAATAAAAAAATAAATAAATTTCTCATCAATCATCAGTTGATAATATGTGGTGAAATATACTCCTTTCCTATTAGCATGTTAAATTTTTTTCATTAGTGATAGTCAACTACATCCTAATCTGATAAAATTTCGAGTTCAAAAAATATTCTCTTTACCTCACTATATAAAACAAAGGAAAAAAAAATTCTCATTGATCTTGCTTCGGTCATTATGGTGGTGCCATTACAGGTATTAAAATTTAAATGATTTTATTTCCACAAATCATTTGTTTGGCTTTTATTTTTTTTGTTTTTTCCGTTCAAGAATAGTGTTATTACTATTATTTTTATGCGTCCATCCGTTACAGCTATCGTAGCCGTTGTCAGGTAATATGATGTGATTTTCTATATGGTTAGTTAGCCTAGAATTTTTGTATGACTTTAGTTACAAAGTGTGATTTTTTTAATTTCTTTTTTATTTTTCATTCAATTAGACTGATTTTTTTTAATTATGGAGTCTTAGGGTTTTTTTCGTATATAGTCAGTTATGAAGTGTTTTTTTCTTTGTTTAATTGCTTTTGATTTTGTTTCATACTCCCAATTGACCCATTATTATTATTTTATTTTATTTACAAATGAAGCGCTTTTTTTTGTGTTCGGTCTTTCAAGAATATACTTTTTTGAATTTGGTTTTTGGACTTTTTTTAGTTCCTCATCATATAAATAGTTCAGGTCGCTTCTTCTAACTAATTTATGGGGGAGGGAAGGAATGATTTTTCTACGTTTATTTGTGTTTTTATACATCATTTTTACCTACAGAAAAAAAAATAAACTTCTAATTTTTAATGGACTATTTTTTACTTTCTTTTTTTTTTTTAATTTGTCATGGTGAGGTGAGTTCTTTTTTACTATAACTTGAAACCTATGTAAATTTATATTATTTTCATTCTCATATTTGTGATTAACCAGTTTCAACAATTAACCAGTTTCAAAATCATATTTTGATATTTTACTACCTATAAACTTTTGGAAGAAATAGTTTCAACAATTAAGCGTATACCTTTTGGAGGAAGCTTACTACAAAACTATTATAAATCTCCAAAACTAAGTATTGATTTGGCACAACCAATAGAGAACATCAATAAATTATCTTACTAATATTTAAACTTGTGAGGATGCTTTTATATTTTAGCTTGCATTTACTTCAAGATATATATTTGATCAAGTTTATTTATATTTAAGAAGTAACACTTATAAAACATTTTTAAAATCTTCAAATATTTCTAAAACGTATCGGGCCAAATACAATTTCTTTTTATGCAAAATACAAACATATCTATGATCACACTTATAAAACATTTCTAAATTCTTCAAACATTTCTAAAATATATCGGTCCAAATACAAAATAATTTTTTTCCAGATACAAACATTTCTAAAATCTACAGATATATTGGGTCAGGGTCGCGACCAGACATCACTAGTCTAATAAAGAAAACGAAAAGATGTAGAATGTGGAAATATCTGACTTTTGAGTAGCTTATTATATTTATTATTATCCGTTTTATGGTATTATAATATGACTGTAGTAGTATGGGAGTGATAAAGACAAAGTGAGACATTTTGACAACATAGCCCATGAGGCCCATTAACTATTGGGTCCAGTGCCATGTGGTAAGATGAGGGCCCAATGTATGAGAGAAGAAATTACAGAAAATTTGGTCGGAAGTAAAAATACTAAAAGAGAGGGAGTTAGGAGGACAGAGGAGGCAGAGGAATGTGGCAGTGCTGCAGATCATCAACACAAGGAGGACCAGTCTAGGCAACCACAAAAGAAAGCAAAAAAAACACTCCAGCGATACGAATTATAACCTTCATTTTTGAAGATCAATTGAGTGTTGGATAGTTGAGTAACAAAGTATCATGGTCTACTGTAAACCAATTGATATATTGATATTTATCATACTCTCCAGGCCTCCACTGTGAAATTGTATGAATTCATGGTCTACACTCTTGATCTGGGAACATTATAAACAGTTGGATTTTAAAATCCGTTGCATACTAAGTGGTTCAGTTTGATGGTGATATGATCCAAAATCAATCTGAATAAATCAATGTATTTCAAATTTGTACTCTACAAATGAACATATATACCAGTCATTTTCATGATGTATTCTTCGCAAAACATAGTATATAGAAATGAAGAAAAAAAGAAAAGAAAAAAAGAATCCCAAAAACAGAGCCAGAATAAGAAGAAAAAAATGAAGAAAAGAATTGGGAAGTATACACTGCCCCGCGCGGGGGTTGATCGATCTAGAAATACACAACGAAGGGTGAGGGGGAGGCGTGATTGATGTGCGACGGCGGATGAACGACGGCGGATGAGCTGTTGCTTCTGCGAAGAGTGGTGAGGAGGAAGTGAAGGTTCCATTGAGAAGAAGAACGAGAAAGGTGCTCAGTGACTCTGGCCATGGCCATGCTGTATTCCTCCAACAGCTCCACCATTTTCCCCAATCTTATCATCCTTTTTTTCTTGCAACTCAAAACTGATACGGTCTTCTGCTTCTTTCTTGCTGATAGAATTACACAAACTGAGAGGAGTCCTAATTAGCTTGATCAGAGGAAGAAGAATAAAAATTTGTTAATAATAAATGAATATGAGAATGTGAATTTGGGGAGTCTAATCTCTCTCTATATATATAGAAGAATATACATAGACCAACCATGTACCAGAAAAAAACAAAGACAAGAAAGAAAAGAAAAAAATATACTTCTTCTGTTCCAAAATTATTGTCTAATTTGAGATTTCACGTTTAGTATAATTTAAACTAAAAATGAAAACCCAAACTGGATAATAATTATAGGATGGAGGAAGTACTAGTATAAAATCAACAAAAAAGAAAGGTCGTGGGACATTCAAAGCCACAATTTTTTAATTGGTCCTCTCCTCTGGAGTGGTTTGATTTAAATCATCATCTATCAATCAATTGACTGAAATTATAGAGTACGAATCGCGGAAAAGAAAAGGTTTTGACTTGTCAAAACTCAAGACCAGTCTGGCTTATTTTATTTGAGATGTAATGTAAGTAAACAGCAGCCTCCGCGCCTCAATTTTAATTTTAGTACAATGCCATCTCATCCTAATCTACTTCATTTCTAATCTAATCATCTATATCTAATCAGGGTCTTGGTTTATTTTAGATTTGGAGCTCTCTTTTCTCAAGTCAGACGGTGAAGACGGCGGAGGAGGAACGGCAAATCTACCTTTAGTGTCCAATAAATTAACTGGCTCTATAATACTCATGTACTCCACTTATTAGTACTACTAAAGCAGCCAATTAATAATTAATTAGTTATTGGAAATGAAAACAAACTATGCAAAAAGAGAAAGGCCGATTAAGTTGATTATAATTGACGGCCCAACCACAGCGTCGGGAATGTATGTAACCAAATGGAACACGTTCTAAACAATGAAAGCTGTTGCTGCGTGGTCTACTATATTCTGCAACACCCATTCTTCTTTTTATGTACTCCTTCCATTCCAAAATAAGTGTCATTTTGGCAAAATGGAAAAATTCTAAAATAAGTGTCGTTTTCGGATTTTAATGCATTTTTTGTCAAAAATTTCCAAACATACCCTCAAAAAAAAAATAAGATTATTGGGGAACATTTATTTTAATGGGGTTGGTTGAGGATATTCTAATAATTTAGTTACCTTATTTAATGTTTTCTTAAACTATGTGCAAACTCTAAAATAACACTTATTTTGGAATAGAGAGAGTATACACATTTTCCCAGCTCATTATCATTCCACTCTCGCGCGCCAATTAGTAGTAATTAACTACTCTCTTTGTCCCAAAATGATTGTCCGGTTTGAGATTTCAGTTTTAGTAAAATTTGAACTAGAAATGAAAATTCAAACTGGACAATAATTATGGAACGGAAGGAGTATATCACATTCCTACGTTAAAAAAAGGTCCGACATCAGAAACTAAAAAAATGATATTAGTAAATCAATTTGTTGCTCAGAAGTCAAAAAAAAAAAAAAACAAAACAAAAAAACGAGGAACATGCCGTGTGCTTCAAGAGGAGTTAGGCCGAGTGGTATTACTTTTACTTTTACTCGTTTCCGTGTTTCGTACCAAGGGAAAAAATATATATAAAAAATACTGTACAAAGCTATTAGTCAATAACGGATAATGGTCAGAGTCGATTACAATATTCGCGGTCTTATTGATATATAAGTCATTCCCGTTCATGCGTGTTATTCATAATTTGACTTGGTCACCATCAAATACTGTGTCTTGCAGTACTCATGGTTGTTTGAATCATATTGTAGCAAAACTTGATGAATTTTTTTTAGAACAAAATACAAGAACTTATCTGTAAGAATCCAAATAGTAATACTATTTTTGTTTCAAATACAATTTCCGAGAACATATTTATCATGTTTCTTCCAATTCATGTTCAAAAGAGTTTGGTATTCCGCCCCTGCCAATTCATTTATCAACAGAGTTAGGCGAGAAACCGACAAGTTCCAAAATTCTAATACAGATAGTCCGATACCATAGGCTAGTCTAAAACATCAATTGCCATTCGGATTCGTGTCGGAAATTTCCCATCCTCCTAGTCCTTGTGGTTAACGGGCGTACGTAAGTTATCACGCACGTTGAAGTTTTCATTCGCGTATACTGACTAGTAAGAGTTCGTTAACAAAAAAAAAAGACTAGTAATAGTTCGTTGATGCGTAATCCTCTAGCTGGGTCAACAACGTGGTTAAGACTTGGGTACACTGTGGTTTTTTTTTTTTTTCATATTTGCAGGGTGTCCACCGTCGGTAACAGTGACTAATCTCTTTCGTTGAATCATAGACACCTCAATGAGTGGGACAGCTGGCCAAAGTGTCCTTTCTATTCTACCACAACCACTTTGGTTTATTGTGGTTTTTGATGAAGGGTATATTGTGGTTGATGGTTGTAGTAAATACAAATGTGGAACTTTTGTGTAACTTTTTTTTTGGTACAACAAATTAATCGAAAATATTAAATCAAGAATTTAATACAGTTATTCAATGCATTCATGTAATAACCTAATTAATTAGTTGACTCTCCATTGTCAATCAATATAATCATTCAAAAAATCACACTCACCCCCTATTCAGTGTCAAATCATTCTATACTCTTTCAGGCAAAGAACATGTTTCCTCTAATCAGCAGTGGATATAGAACAAATTTATATTGGGTGCCATAAATGTATTAGCGGAAAAATAGATAATATTATTTTTAACTATTTTCACAGTATACAATATATGCATATTACAATGTTGTTTTTCAACATATAAATTAAACTAGATAGATAAACATTCAAGAGCTACACATTTAGAAACTCTTTTTAGAGCTATTAAATCAGTAAGCAAAATCAAAGCTAACATTTTTTAACTTAAAAAATTTCAACAAAATGCATGTAAGCACGAAAGGAAAAAAAATGTTCATGCATCTTTTTGAACACAGAATTAGTATATATCTTCTGACCATTTGTTACATAAATTTATATAACTTGCAACTTTATTTGATTTTTTTTATAATCAATCACTTACTATTACAAATTCACTTTAAACGTTGACCATTTAATCAATCCAAAATGCGATTAAGAGAAAATAAATTAAGCAAAACAAATTATCATAAGAATAATACAAAACATTATTATTTATTGTGCAAAATTTAATTAATTATTTATTTAATTAATTAAAGTTAAATAAAATGTATATATAATATATTGTCTAGAGTGGGGGCCAAGGCCCCATGGCCCCCACCCTAGATCCGCCCCTGCCTCTAGTTGAGAATTTAACGATACAGAATCAGACTAAATAAAGAAATTTATAAAATTTGAATTTTGATTATTATTTATATATTCTACAAACAATCGGTGTTTGAAGCCATTCCCACTTCAATCGAGAAATTTTTAATAAATTGATGACTAATTATTAATGTAAATGAACTATATCTTAGAAAGTGTCGAGCTTTGAGGGAAGACGCTATATACGTTAATGAATTCCGATCACGGTAGTGGTGAGCCAAAGGTAATGTTGATACCGATTTCGTCAATGGTGTCGGCCCAACAAGTGATATAAACTGATTGTAAATAATGAAATCCGAAAAACATCAATGGGTACAGATCGAAAATTGTTTAAAGTCGGAAGTCGTAAGGACCTTAAAGTGTAAACATGATCAACCACCGATATTATGAATTATGAGATATTTTCTATAATTAAAAGATTATATTTGAAGGCTAATTCTATAGATTTAGGAAGGTCTCCTATTTATAATATATTTTGTAGTATGACATCGGCCAAATTTCTATTATTTAGGTGAAGTGCACTACTTTTCCTTTTGGTGAAGGATTTCTAACGTGGAAGAAGTACAAGCTTAATCAATTACTTGCTCTCCAAAACTGATGCCCGGCCACTACTCCTATATAAGCAAGGCAATCGCGATCATATCAACAACACAAGGCCTCTGTCGCCACTTTTTCTTTATTGTTATTTCTTTCAGTTTTTTTTATTATCATATATTTTATTACGTTTTTTTCAATGTAAGTCCTAGTACATTATACGTGTTTATCTGTTTTTCGTTCATAGAAATAGATAGTCGTTCATGCATTCTATTTCAGTGATTCCATATCTCTGTAATAGCATGCCATCAATATGAACTTTCATGTCAACCCTAATGTCTTTAGTCCGTGTCATAGCGTGTCATCAGCTATATCTAGTCGGCGCTAATATCTGAGTCGTTATAATAGCGTGTCATCCATTGGGATTTCCCTGTCGCCGCTAGGTCTTTTTCACTTATATATATATATATATATATAAATCGAGCCGCTTGGCTTGTTCCACTTCTTTGTCTCTTTTTATCTTTTTTTGTTTTCTTTGTTTTTTACAATCAACAGTACACCGTAAGTTCTTGATTCCGAGTCCGAGACTTATTTTCGAACTCATCCACAATATAACTCATCCACAATCGTTTTGATATTTTTATGTTTGAGAGATTTTTACCCTTCTTTTCTTTTCCACGGTTGAAGGTGATTTTTTCTGTACAAAAATAATGGCACGCCTAGTGGGACGAGTTTTGGTTTGATTTTTACATCGTGGGAGTTTTTCTTTTCTTCGAAATTATAAAAAAAAAAACTATTTTTTCTGAAGTCTCGAGGGGCTAGCCACTGCAGGTGTTCCAGCCGACAGAGTTTCATTATCCCTCCGACACAGCACTTATCCTCCGACACAGCATCATTAGGTGTTACTATCAACGGGCCGATTCATTGTTGGCCGGACTTCTGGTTACACAAGCATAAAGCATTTGTTCCAAATACATTATGCCTCGGGGGGTTTTATGTTGACATCGATTTCGTCAATGGTGTCAGCCTAACAAGTGATATGAATCGGCCTGCAAATATTGAAATCTGGGAAACATTAGGATCGGAAGTCGTCTAAGTCGGAAGTCGTAAGGACCGTAAAGTGTAAACATAGTCAAACGCCGACATTATGAATTATGTGATATTTCTTATAATTAAGGGATTATATTTGAAGGTTAATTCTATTCACAATCGAATTTGGGAAGCTCTCCTATTTATAATGTATTTTGGAGTGTGAAACCGGCCAAATTCCTATTATTCAGGTGAAGTGCGCTACTTTTCCTTTTGGTGAAGGACTTCTAACGTATAAGAAGTACAAGCTTAATCAATTACTTGCTCTCCAAGATGATGACTGGCCACTACTCCTATACAAGCAAGGCAACCGCGCATCACAAGATCAGCACATCACCTCCGATCATATCAACAACACAAGGCCTCCTTCGCCTCTTTTTCTTTATTGTTTTTTCTTTCAGTTCCTTTTATTATCATGTCTTTTATTATATTTTTCGCAATATAAGCCCTAGCGCATTATAGGTGTTTGCTTGTTTTTCCTTCGTAGAAATAGGTAATCGTTCATGGATTCTACTTCAATGAATTCCATATCTCTGTAATAACGTGCCATCGATATGGACTTCTATGTCGGCACTAGTGTGTATCATAGCGTGTCAACAGTTACGTCTAGTCGGTATTAATATCTGAGTCGTTGTAATAACATGCCATCGATCGGGAGTTCCCTGGCGGCGCTAGGTTTTTTCACTTATATATGTATACATAAATCGAGCCACTTGGCTTGTTCCACTTCTTTGTATCTTTTTATCTTTTTTCTCTTTGTTTTTTACAAACCAAAGTAAACCGTAAGTCTTCGATTCCGAGTTCGAGGCTTGTTTTCGAATTCATTCATAATTATTTTGATAGTTTTATGTTTGAGAAATTTTTATCCTTCTTTTCTTTCACACGGTTGGAGGTAATATTTTAGGCATAAACATATAATATAGATGGATCTTGCTGATAATGGATCAACCAGGCGGATCCTTTTGCAATATCTCTAATTTCTTCACATATATGCATAGTTTAAATATTTGTATGTTTGAATTAAGAAGGCCTTCTCCATTTACTATATCTTCTATTCTAGATGTTCCCATCAGACCATTTTGGAATAAAGTGAATGTTATATAGCTATTAGGAGAGACCATTAAACGTCAGAAATGGAAAGTTGTTAAACAAACACATGACTAAAGAAGTAAAAGTAATTTGTGGACTCAAATGATGTAAGGCGACTTCTAATTTCTTACAAAGCCACAACGCCTTCAAGTAGTAATAAACTAGTAATAATTATAAACTACTCCTCCGTACTAGGTTAAACTTAATTCAATTGGAGTGCTGCAGGAAAAAACCCAAAAAATGCACATTACTATAACTAGAGTGTGACAAATTAATGTGCGAGTTATGAAAAAGAGTAGGATCTGATGAAGATTTTCTTCCAAGATTTCCAACCGAGTGATGGGGCTTTGAATTTAATGAGGGCCAAAGCAGCTGGATTGGGTGGGTGGCGGCCCGTTGGGCTTGAATCTGAAGGCAAGGCATCTGCCAAATCCAAGGCTTGATGTCCTAGCGATTGATGATGGGAGTTGGCATCATCATCAGGTGTCCAGAAACGGGCAGCTCTCCTCTTGCTCCGAATGCTGGAGAGAACGTCCATTTTGTTGCATATTCCCCACACCGTCACCTTTTGTTGTTCATAATCCACATTTATCGAGTATATTCCTGCCCACCCCAAATAATTTTAAGTACTATAAATATACCGATATTAAAAAAAAATAAAAAATAAAAAAGAATAAATAATACTACGTGCTGAGTGAGGGTGGTAATTAAATTGAATTATGAAACAAGGGAAAAAAAATTATACATACAAGATGATGTAGAGAGGGTACCTTTAAGATGGGATAAAGCCCCCTTGATTTTCTTGTGGCAGCCATAAGAATAAAGGGGAACCTTCATCTCTACATATTGTGCCTCAACCAAGCTCTTGCAGCTTGCTGGAACTATCTGCATGTTTTCCTCCATTAATAATTTTCCAAGTCTGTCCAACCAACCAAAATGCTGTTGTTATTCTTCTCAACACTCGGTAGTACCAGCTCTATGACGTCCGTCCTCAATTACTAATTCATGTGCATTTTGTTCTCCCGGATTGGATGGACGCACACATATATATACTATTTATAAAGGCGATTGAACTATATAATTTAATACTACACATTATCTACTGGTGGATATTACAGAGCTAGCAATTAATCATTAAGAAAATAGTATATTATAATTAAAAAGGACAGGCAGCAGACATACAAGAATATTCCCGGTACATATCTGAACATGCATCCCCATGTTAATTATTTGGTGTATATGTTGTAGTCAATGTCCACTAATTTGCAACCTTTCTTTTCTACCCCTTTCTACCCTTCAAATATACTCCAAACATCACTCAAAGAACACCGTGAAATCTTAAAATATGTCGCCTCAATTAAGATTAAATACGTCGTTGTACATGTTTAAAAAAGAGATAAAAAAGAAGCCCTAGCTAGGCACAATGTGTACAGACTAAGACCATACCAAAATAAGTACTCCTTGGTATATATCCCAATTATAAGATATTTTGATTTATTCTAAATTTTATTTAATATATTTTTTTAATTGAAAATAAAAATTTTATAATAAGGACCGGAAAGAGTACGGGAGATTAATCTTATTTTTTTACTTTTTTTTTTTATGAAGAATGTTAACTAAGCTCTTGTGAAATTGAACAGGAGGATAAATGTTGTGGAACGAGGACGTGGCTGCGGCTCCTTTAATTAGAAGAATGTTATGGAGTGCAACCCTCTGTCTAAAAGTGTGTATCAGAAAGAATTAAAAGGAGGTTACTCTTTTTTCTTTCCCACTCGAACTTACACACACATCCATGATCCATGCATGAGACCATCAGAGATGATGACTCATTCATCTCTCTCGTCGACCCTACAAAATTGTGAGACCCATTGTTTTTATTCAACCTCCCGGGGGCCCCCATGTGGATTTCTCATTTCTGTGCCGCTTTTTCTTTCCCACCCAACCTTACTTATGAACCAAGGAAATTGCCCCCCATGCATGCATTGACGTTTACTCTTTTCAAATACCAACAGTCTAGTTTTATTTATATAATACTCACTCCGATCTTTAATATAAGATATTTTAATTAAATTTTAAATTTAATTTAAAATATCTTTTTAATTTGAAAAAAATCTTACAAAAATATTTTAACATCCGTTGTGTTTTCTCAATTATTATGAAATATTTTTAAAATTTTTATTTCAATTAAAAATACATCTTAAGTAAAACTTAAGACGAAATCAAAATATCTTATAATAAGGACGGGAGGAAATAGTAATAATTATGACTCACAATTACTTATATACAATTAACGTCTGGCCCCATCTTTACTTTGTCCGCATGGTCCTAATTTATGCACAAGATAATCTACCCCCCATCCCCATATTAAGTTTGAATGAAGAAGGAGTGTTTTCAAATACGAAACAATTAAGAAGTAGTGGTCGTTCGAATTTTGACCATGACATCATGGTCAACCAGATGTTAGAAGTAGTGGATTTGATCCAGCAATTCAATTCAGATGCTATAAGATATATATTCACGTACCATAACATCAGTGTCAACCACAAATTGTGAATGTTCCCCTCCCAGCATGCAGTTGAAAACTTGACATTACTGGATGATAGTAATAAATAATCATATAAATTTTTTTTATTTACAGGCCTTGAGGTTTTTCAAACAATATTATAGTAAAATTTGTTTCCGTTTGATTAGTACATGTACATATACATATACGTAGAAGTACAAATGGTGGGGTTTTTTATTATCCCTTTCAAATTCTGGTCTTGTTTTAATAATCGAGATTGGAGGCCTAAAAATCTAGAAAGATCGAGTGAATGTTATAGCACACAAGTCGGGATGATCTAATCCCAAAAGGACGAGTGGAGAAAGGAAGAAAGAGGAAAATAATACGATGATGTTGGGAATCATGTGAGTGATAAGGACAAAATTTGACACCTAAAAAAAGAAAACAAAGAGTATGCAATTATAATCAGCATCTAATCACACACACACACACACACACACAGAGGCCACGTCAGTCCCAAGAGTTTGTGGGAGATGGTTGAATCAGATCTCCACTCCCTCACTCTGATTAATTCCAGACCCCCTCTCAAGTCCCACCACGTGAAACCCATGATTCATGTTACGCTTTCCTAATCCCAAATTTTGGTTTTCACCTTTTTTTTTGTTTTTTTTTTCCAAATAACAAATAATTCGTGAATATTCGTAATCACATTCCAATCCATTGACAAAATGTTGTTCCAAAATTGTTCTCCTATTATTAGCTCTTAAAAGTAACGTTTTTTAAGGCATGATCTTATTTTTGCTTTTGAATGTAGTACTAGTATTTTGTTTGGCAATGGGAATCCACCCGAGCCCAAATTTCAATTAAATAAGTTCTTAATACCTGACTATTTTTTAAGAATTCGGGCCGTAAGTAAGCACTACATGTTTTGCTCAGTTGTTCCATTTCAACAACATTAAAACGCAGAAGAGTAAATTAATGGACTGTAATGTTGTTTATAGAATGTAGAGTTCAGGATTAAAGCTCGCGTTACAATAATCCTTTTTTTTTTCCCTCCCCATATATTTTTAAAAGGCTAAAGTACTAAAAAATAAAAAACGTTGCAACAAGCAAGGGAAGTATGTAGTAGGATACTAGCGCTAAAGTATAATTAGAGCATGTTTTAGCTTCTTTTTTCTTTTTTTTTTATTAATAATGGCGCTCAACCTAGCCAGCTACGTACGTACATACACATATTAACATTGTTCAGTCACCGAGAAATCAGATTTTTGTATATTGGTCCATTGGAAAATCTTTGATGTCGTCTGACTAAAGTCCTCTTCCCACAATTTTTGTGGACGAAATTGTGTTCATAGGATATACTGTGTATGCGCGCCCTCGCTCATTCCACCAACACAAGTCATGAAATAATATATATATATTGGGAATCCATAAAAATGGGGCTTAAAATTCATTAACCAGGTGCGCCCCATAAAATAATGCGGTTTAGGTAGTGATCAGTCTTATTCTACTACCAGGTAGAGAAAATTTGATGGCATTACTATGAGAACAAAAAATATGTCAATATTACAGTAATATTAGAGACGTGATGATTATAAACCTTGTCTCCTTGTATTCACAAACATATACACACGGACACAGTGCATGATGATCATCAAGGAGTAAATTAATTAAAATATTAATATTGTGGGTAATTTTAAAGAATTATAATCGGGAGTGAAAAAGTGGACATTCAAATCTGTAAGAATGAGGCATGATCATAAAATGAATAATATATCTTGTTTTTCATTTAATCATATATTATTAGGATATGATGCGGTGGTTTCAGTCCTATTTTGTGTTACGGTCCTTAGGATGAGGGGGCCGTTTAATTCATCTCGCGAATACTAATTAAAACCGGAGGATGAATTAGATGATGCTGAATTTGGGCCTCAGGAAATGGAACAGGCATTTGGGTTCTCATCGGAGAAAAGCTGCGGCGGCGGGATCCGGTCGATGACGTACATGGGCGGCTGATGATAGTACTGATTACTATAATAATGCATGAGCTTCTGATGATGCTGCTGCTGCTGCTGCATCATCATCATCATCATCATCTGGGCATCAGGAGCATCACCAGTATTCTCAGCTGTTATCACCACCCCATCTTCTTTCTTCTTCTCTTCTGCTGCTTCTGCCGGCGGTGGGGTGGGGGACTCCTCTTTCTTCTCTGCCTCGGCTTCTTTTTTCTCTTCCGCGGCTTTCGGTTCTTCTTTTGCTGCTGCTGCTTCTTCTGTGGGCTTCTCCGGTTCTTCCTTTGGCTTCTCAGGTTCCGGTGGTGGCGGCGGCTGAGGCACCACCTGGGCTTGCTTTTTGGTGCGTCGGTAGACGTAGTCCACCAGTCTGTTGGCGTCCATCGTCCCTGTCACCGTCACTTTACCGGTGCTTAACTCCGTCTCCGCCGTTTGGACTCCTGAATCATCATCACCAGTTAAAAGGAAAACGAAATAAACATTAATAATATACTCGCGTAGAGTAGTAACATAGGGGGATAGATAGTATTTCTGCTCATTTTTCCACCACTAAAAAAATTCCATCCTGTCGCTAATTAATTAATTACTGGTACTTGTAGATCATTTACCTAGACTGGATTAATTATTCCATGTGATTGATTCTAATTTTTAGTTTCTTAATTTCTTCAGCATTAATCTTTCGTCTCTATTCTATTTTTCTTTATGGAACCAAATAATAATAATTGTCCCATAATACATTCGGCAACCAAAGCGAAGCAGCAAAAAGTAAGAGAGAGAAAGGGCTTTTAATTTTTATTTTTTTAAGGAAAAAAAAAGGAAAGGAGAAGAAAAACCTTTCATTTTGAGGATCTTGCGCTTGAGTTGTTGGGCGCAGGCTTCACAGTGCATGTTGACGGTGAGTTCGACGGTGCTTAAACCGGGAACCTGGGAAGCAACCAGTTGAGGAATAGGTTCCCCCTCGGCTTGGGGCAACGGTGACACAACTTTGGCACTTCGTTTGGACTTCTTCTGGATGAGGTTACATATGGCTTGAGGCTCTACCACCCCTTTTATGGTCACTTGGTTTTGTGCCATGTCCGTCACTACCCCTTCCACTCCTACAAAAAGTTCGCAACATTTTTCATTCAGTCATATATATATATATATATATATATATATATATATATATATGCATATGCGTAAGTGCCCTTTGTGCGTTTAACTTCCAGTACTTTAAATCGCACTTCAACAGTATTGTTACCATTTGTTCCTCATTTTTTAGCAAATAAAAATATTGTGGAAGGGAGAGAGATATATTGGATTAATAGTTGCATCATTATCATGGGCTGTCATCATCAAGTAAGTAAAACACGAATTCCAATCTGGTTAGTTACACATAATATAATATATCCATTAATATATGTATACGGAGAGATACATACACACACGACGTACCTCTAATCTTTAAAAGTGACCTCTCAATCTTCTTGGCACAGCCGGTACAATGCAAGTCCACGTACAACACAAATGGCGGTGGAGGTGGCGGCGGCGGGGCCTCCTCCTCCTTCTTGGCTTCTTCCTCCTTTTTCTCTTCGGGTTTCTCTTCTTTCTTTTCTTCTGCCTTGGGCTCTTCTTCCTGCTCCGTTAATTCCCCATTTTTCCCATTATAATTCTTTTAATAAAAATTAACAAATTATGCAACACCTATGTTTCGCAACCCTTAAAAAAAAAAAAACTAATAAAATAATCCACAAAAACCTGTTTGGGAGCTGCTTCTTCACCCATTGCTAGTTGTGGTTGCTCTAAAAATGTGGGGAAAGTTTTGAAGGAGTACTTGGGGGGAAATTCCAAAGGAGAGAGTTAAAGGGGAGAGGGAGGAGGGGAGAGATTAAGGAAGAGAATGAAATGAATTTATAGCGCCCGCCCCCAAAAAAATTAGTGTCAAGTAAAGTAAGTAGTAGGAGTAGTAGTAGGATTAAAAAGCAAAAGAAAGAAGGGCGGTGGGATGATTACCCAATAAAGCCACCAATATGTGATGGCAGAGCACATGTATAGCCACTATTTTGTGTGACATCCATCATCAGACTTACGAGCGACAAACCAAAAAGTACTGAAACCCCCCGGAACTAATTTATAGTATATTATATATATTAAGTAGTATTTGTTCTTTTGTTTTAAGGGGGGGGAATATTTTCCATTCGTTCATTATGCAGATTTGGAGACATGGGAGGAGCCGAGGAGAAGTTGAGAGATATAATTTCTTCTTTTTAGTTTTTTCTTTGGGGGAACAGAAAGATGAAGAGTTAACTGTCTATTGTTAGTATTGTTATTAATTATATATATGTGTCAATCTTTTTATCCCCTCGAGGATAATCAAATTTGGGATTTTTGCATTCGATCGGCTTATTAACATTTATTTATGTGCTAATTTTTGTTGGTTCAGAAAATGGAATTCTAAATAACAAAAAAATTCAATTTCGTTAAAATAAGATATTACACCAAAATCGATTGTTTTTTCTCAGACGACGGAAGATGTGTACATGTTAGTTAGTATGATCCGCATGCAACTCCATTTCCGCTTTGATTAATTAAGATTGTTATATATATTAAGACGCTCGCCAATCCAATCTCCATATCAATTTAGTTTACGCACACGAGACGTTAACAAATATATTACAATTATACAACATAGATCGTTCTACTACCTACTGTTGGTATTCCACGTCACTGTTCATCAAAAAAGAAAAGGGTTTGCAGATTGATTATTTTACTTTTTACCCATTTGCAGGTGTTTTTTTTCCCCATATATAAAAGACTGACGACATCTTATCAATTTTAATGTGCCAGGCGATGGAGTCGGCTAAAAAGACAATTTATCTCCTCCCCTTTCTGAAAAAAAAAGGAAGAGAATTTATCAGAGTAAATCGTAACTTGTACGACTGAGAGAGATAAAATAAATTATAGAGAGGTTTATTCATTACGAGACGAGAGGAATATTGTTCAAATCCAGGGACGGGATCGTCTACTGCTCCAAATATGACTAGACAACCTACGTCATGCATCAGTTGGTGTCACAAATTGACATTGACACATGGGTTGTTCTGCAAATGCAACCCCCCAAATCCAAAGTATTGCTCTATCAAATAATTAATCTCACTACATTATATTTTTCACTATTGATCAGTAATCCCAATGTGGAAAATCATTTTCTATATGTACTACTCCCTCCGTCCCATAATTATTGTCCAGTTTAGCCAAGATGAAAGAATTTATTTTTGGTCAAACTTGATTATATTTTAGCTTCAACTTTCGAAAATACCCCTGTATGTGTAATGTTTAACCGGCAATTATTTAAATATGGTACATATTAGCTTAATTGTTTAAACAGTAATTGTATATAGATTTATAAACACACTTTACTCCTTTTCTCACACTAGCACCGACCGAATGTAGAAGCCATCCTCAGTTGAAATACACCACCGGAAAAGTTTTCGCCAGTACGGAAGGCAGAGAATTCTTCGATTGTAAAAGTCTTCACTTGTGCCAATTGAACCAATTTTTAAGATGAAGAATCTCAAATTCGGAGAATCTTCATGCTCTAATGCCTCTGATGGGGAATTTGAACCTACTGCACCTATCTCTGTCACCATCGGCGGCTATGGAGGAAATGGAATTTTGACGTCTTACCCTGATAGAATTTGGTGAGTGGTGAGATTATTTCAATTTCTCTCCTCTTATGTGGCTATAGTTCACCGATGCCTCTACTGATTGATGTTGTTTTGGCCTATTTGAGTCGAAGTTTTCTTCCCCAAATTCCTTTCCGAAAACCACCGGCATCACCGCAGGGAAGCCGCCTTGGGCCGTCGGAGTTTGGGCTTCGTTTGTTTTTTTTTTTTTTTTGATATTGAAACAGTTTCATTTGCTGTTACTGGGTTGTATTAACTTATACTGTGTGTGGTGTGTAGCCAATTCAATAAAATGATTTCCGGATAGTAAACTAAAGGATAAATGTGTAACTTATTTCATAAAAAGTCAAATTGGACAATAATTTTGGGACAAAATTTTTTTGTCAAAGTGGACAATAATTATGGGACGGAGGGAGTATAACAATATGTATATACGCTTTTTATAATAATTATTATGGTGAAGGGAGTATTCGGTAATATAAGACTAACGGTGAAAAAAAAAAAAAAGTAACAATACATCACGATTTCCATAACATGTAAAGTAAAAAGAATAAATAAATAAAATAAGAAAGCTAAGCTTAGCTCCATCCCGAAGCTTAAGCAAGTATCATGTTGACGGGGTAAGCTGGTTTTGTTATATAAGGAAATTGACAAATTCCCCTGTCAATGCCTTGAGTCTTGAGAAACCAAATAACATGCAAATTTTGCAAGAATTCCAAATCTGATGGCAACTCCAACTTGATGGATAAATATTGATGGTTAAAGCGTCTTGCGTTAGGATGACTCAGCGTTGGGAATTACTGTCAAAGCATGCATAGAGGAGTTCCAAACTATTACATTAATTACTCACTAAAAATTTGCTCAAACTTATATAAGTCAGATTGTGAAGTTAAATGTTGGACTACTTCAAAATCCTTCCTCTTTTTTTTTTTCTTTGTTTTCTTTTTAATAAAAAAATTGGATGACTCCAGGAGAATCGAACTCTTAACCTCCTAATAATAAAAATCTCCCATCCTAACTACTCCACCCAGCCCTCTCTCCCCAAATTCGTCTTCTTTTTTTTTTTTTTAGAAAATAACTAATTTATTTCATTTCTGAAATACCAGTCGGAACATATAATTTAAAATCTTCTTAAACTGTAATGAAAAAAAGAAAGATATGAGGGACTAGCAAGTCATTTACCCTAAAACATTGGGTTAACCAAGCACCACAACGTTTTAGAAAGAAAAAGTGGTCAGAGGCCATAAGAAAGAAAGGAGTGCATTTTAATTAAAGCCTAATTAAACTAAGAGTATATATATCAAATCAAGTTAGGTTGACCTAAATTTGATAAGACAAACGGTGTTATCCTAGGTGCCCTACTTGCTGAGTTGTTTGTTCCCAAATGTCTGGTGTCTGCTGATAGATTTCTAAAAGGTTCTTCTACTATAGGTTGAGAATTAATCACAAGATTAATCTGCACTACTAACTGAAACTACATGCATTAACTGTGTGTGTTGCGTATTTGATTAAGATTAAGATGTGTTTAAAAGCGGAAAAGAGGTCGGCAGCCTCTATAACCATTTGTTTTGTCTGCTTTAAGTAAAACTTAATTTTAGCTTAACCTCATGGTCCATTCCCATAGGCACATTGCTTAGTTCATTAACTTCTCATCCATCACCTAGTCTAATTAAAGTGATGCTTTTTGCGGGTGAAAGTGATATTAACCACCCAATAAAATGGTACAATGAATTATGTGATACATATAATTCAAACGCGCTCATTAAAGCAACACGCACTTTCTTTTTGCATTTTGTGTATTAAGCACATAAAACTCCATCTACACATCTTAGGACCAAATTTGTGTGTCATATTCTGAAATACACCATATCATCATCGCATTACCTCAGTACCTATAATATTGATCTACTGTACAACACATCATCACACTTTGTGCTGCTGGAAACCATTCAAATATGTTTCTGCAATAGCAGTATGCAGAGCTGCACCGATTGGTAACACGTCCTCATCCAGAAAGAAGTATGGTGAGTGTGGCGAATGAAAGGACCCTTTATCCTCGTTTCTGATCCCTATGCTGAACATCACTCCTGGGATCACCTCTTGATAGAAGGCAAAGTCTTCACCGGCCATCACTTTTTTCGCCTCTTGGACACGGTCCTGGCCGAGGAGGAGCTTGCCAACTTTTTGGACGTGATTGTGTAAGCTCTCATCGTTTGTGCAAGCTGGGTACGGTACCAAGTCTGTCTCTTTTAGGTCAACGTAGGCTTTGCATCTGTGCACCATTGCCTGCTTCTCAATAACCTGCATTCCAAGTGGTCAAGGATTCATTCCTCATTTTCATGGTCCATCTCCAAGAGATTATATATCAATGAGTTCAGAAAGCTGGTTTGACTGGGTAAATTCATGGCTCAATGCGACGGCTAATGCATTTGGCAAAACAGAGAACAAAGGTGTTGAACCACTTTGCCAAGGTTACATACAGCTGCTTATAATCTTAGTTATTCTCAGCTGAACACAACAACAGATTCCTCCAGCATAGGTCATTAGCATATAGCAATACCAAACTCAAAAGGACTGCTTCTCTAAGCTACACACTGAACGACTAACTAACCATCCCGGAAACACACATTACCGAGAGAAGACAGCTTTACCTCTTTCACCCTTGACATGAGTCTATACAGGCCATTTGTGGTCAGACTTCTGAGGGTTCCTCCTAGTTCAACATGGGGAGGAATTGCATTCAGTGCTGATCCACCTCTCACAAAAGTGATCGAAAGAACCTTCAATTTAAAAAAAAAAAAAAAAACCTCAAATCGAGCATTAGTCCAGGAAATTGGGAACATACAGTATGTTTAAACCAACAGTATTGAGAAAATACGAAACAAGAAAATTCATTGTAGCAGACAAACAAGGTTAAATGGATCCCATTTTAAGTGGAAAGTATCACATGTGAGCTAACTCCAAGGGAATTAAACCAATTGAACAAAATAACTAGAACTAGCATCCCTGCATTCTTACTTGACTTTCGAGAGGATCCATTTCCCTGGAGGTGATGTGCTGCAGTGCTAAAATCACGGAGGACGCTGCAAGGATTGGGTCCACGGAGTGATGAGGTCCCGCAGCACGTCCACCTTTTCCTTCAATTCTCGCTTCGAAGACACTTGAGGCAGCTAAAACAGGTCCTGATCTAGTGGCAATTGTCCCTGTAGGTAAATATGAATCAATGTGCATCCCAAATATTGCTTCTGCATTACCAAGAGCACCTTCCTTTATCATGTGCAGTGCCCCAGCTCCTCCTTCCTCAGCAGGTTGAAAAAGAAGTCTCACAGTACCCTTAGACAAAAGAAACTCAGATTGGATTAATGTGACCATCTCCATTGCAGACCTGTACTGAGAATCTGATACAACAAATCAAAAGAAAAGAGACACATGATAAAAACATCAAATTCATATAGAGTATATGATCTCCAAGCCAATCAATCAAAAAGTCCAGCAGAAGTGACTAGTAACATGGGTGTGATTGTTACAGAATTGCACTTAATTGCCGCAGAAACCCCAATTTCAGGACTGGATAAATCTGGATGAGAACACGAACTTGGAATTCACGAATGAGGAGAATAAATTACTGCATTCACCAAACATGGAGCAACGAAGAATAAAGATTGATTTGATAGCTATAAAGAAAAAAAAATTTTACTCCCAAGAAGGGATCAACAGGCTTCTTCTTCTGGCCATAACCTTTTATTCCGTTTGTTCTTGATCACATACATAATCAGCATTTGCATTCAGCCAAAACAGGCTAATTAATTAGCTTGATCATTTCGTTCTTGACTTTATATGCTCTCTTTTTTACCCCAAATTCAGGCAAATTTTCCCGTACCAAATCAATGAATCATGCATTTAGTTATTCGAAAATGCCTTCAGTTTAAAATTGATACAGTAAGTAATTGTAGTTCTTAGTCATCACAACCTGACCCCACTAACCACCACCACATCCAACCTCGTTCTAACTCTGTTTGTCTCTGCTCCATTTCCCGGTTTCTGTATCTCGTCTCTTACCGGGAAGCACAGATCGATGGAGGGGAAAGCTTTCAAAAGCATGAGCGAGGCCAAAGTGACAGCCAGAACAGGACAGATAAAGATCAAGATTGTCAAGACGGTGGGCAAATCAATCGCCTCGGTGGTAGCATTAAATTTCATACTTATAGAGTAGGACTTACTACAACATAAGACTACTAATAATTATTTTTAAAAACCTCTTTGTTTTATGATTATCCACAAAACACAACTCAAAAGAAACACTATCGAACCATCCGATTGGACCCGAGCTGAACTGGGAATTCTAACCTTGAGATTGTGCTTCCTCTCATTCAATAACTTGGCAGCCCCAAGCAACATTGTTGTGTGCGCATCATGCCCGCATCCATGCATCTTTCCATCCACTTTACTCTTATGCTCCCACTCAACTAGCTCCTAAACAAACATTAATCTTTCAACTCAATACTCTCAATCAAGAGAACCAATAAATAAATTAAATAAAGAGAGACGCAATGTTCAAGTAAAATTCGCAAGCCCGCAACTAGTATAGAAACTACATGTACCTGCAATGGGAGGGCATCCATGTCGGCTCTTAAGGCAACAACAGGGGAGGAAGCAGAGCCAATTTGAGCTACGATTCCAGTGTGAGCTAAAGGGTATTCATAATATATGCCAAGTTTGTCCAGTTCACTCCGGATGAGGGCACTGGTGTTGTGTTCTTCGAATCTAAGTTCTGGGTTTTCGTGGATTTTCCTCCTTACGGAAACCAGCCAATCTTTATCCATCTTTGCTGACCGGAGAATCTGGGATCTAAGTTCTTTTTCATCAGCGTAGGTGCTGCCATGGACGACTGTGATGACGATGATGACCACCCAGAAAAATGATATCACTAGCAGAGGGGATGAAGGTTTCAAACTGAGAAACAACATGAATCTTCTCGAGTTCTGTTTCTTTATGAAGCTTCGGATTAAGGTTCTTTTTTCCGGATAATTTACCAAAAATGGGAGAAAGAGAAAGAAAAAGAAAAAGACGTGATTCCAACTACCACGTAATCTATTTGCTCTTTTGCCTAAATACTTTTAAAAACTCCAAAGAAGGCTTTTAACTGTTTTTGGTTAACATAGTAAACCTCTCTAAAATGAGATGACCCAATGAACTGAAAAATTGAGGAATCTAGCAAAACGATAGGAATCTATCCTCGTGGAATAGAGAGTTGGATTCTCTTCTTATCCGTTGCCAGAAAAATAATAAGTTCACCGGCCCAACAAAGAGCATGGTCTGAATTCTGAAATGTGCAACTTCCAAAGAATAGTAGTAACCGCCTCTGTCAACATACATAGACCTGAAATGTTCTGTGAAGCTTCTCCCCCTTGCCAACAAAAGCTGACACCACAAACCTTGGATCATTAATCCATATTGATGTCAAAACATCTATCCAACTCCATATTGTGGGAAATTCCCACATAAAAATGTTACAACCCAGGCGTCACATCCATTTATCGAAGAACAATAAGTGGGCGGCGCTACACTACACATAATTTATGGCATAAGGGTTCATACTGCAAACCGTACAGGAAAGTAAGCTTAAATATAGCGATTTCCCCGTACCAAAAGAAGAGTGCTATTTACAATATGTGCCTCCATTGTCTTATATATATATATATATATATGCATAACCGCTAAGCACATTTCCAGGTCACCTAAAACTCCAGTTAGTTTAAAAACGAAAGAACAAGCACGAGAAATGAGAAGGAAACCTCAAATGCTACTACACATATATGAAACTAATCATCCTTGGAGATCCTGGAGAAATCGCCTAAGACCTGCTTCTTTTCTCTCACTATAACTCAACTCTAAAGCAGCCCCACATGCCGATAAGGACTACCACCAAGCTCACTATCACAAGCAACATAGATGTACGCACGGACAAAGGAATAACACTCAAAGCTGCTTTTTTGGTGGGGGCGGTGAAACTATTTTCCAGAGAAGTTGTTACTGAACCCTTCAGACTCAAAGCTGCTTTTTTGGTGGGGGCGGTGAAACTATTTGTGGGGGCGGTGAAACTATTTTCCAGAGAAGTTGTTACTGAACCCTTCAGACTCAAAGCTGCTTTTTTGGTGGGGGCGGTGAAACTATTTTCCAGAGAAGTTGTTACTGAACCCTTCAGACTCGTATGAGTAGCATCTGTGGCGCTTTCAGAGTCTTTCCCATCCTGCATAATTAATCCAGCATGTTTACTTAACTAGGGAAGAACAATCAATCACTGAAATCAACAAACTGATGCAAAGAATAATTACCTCAGCCACTGCAGGTTTTCCTTTGTCATTTAATTCCCTACCAACTGATTCTTTAACCATGCTGCACTGCACTGGTCCAATCTGAAGTTTCTTTTGGAAACGGATTCTTCTCTCTGCGGTTCCCTGTCCTGCTATGGATCTAGAGTCCGTGGACCACTCCCGTATCCGAGGAGCCCTCAGTTTGATTCCAGTACCAGTAGTAACACTGCCATTGCCTGAGAAGTTGCTCTGATCATATAGAACTTCAGCATTACATAAGCCGGGGTCAGGAACAACATTACGAACAGCAGAATACATATCTAATCCAAGATTATTGATTTCCATCACATCCGTTTTTTTCTCTTGACTGCCAAAGGAGTTTTGGTAAGCATCATTTTCCACAGCCATCTGCAATTGAAAGAGATCCTCTTGCTGAAAACTCGGTGAAAAGTCTCCTTCAAAAAAGAAGGGCTCAATCTGCCAAAAGAGAAATAGATTTAATACCTCAAGATATCAATCAGAATTTTGAAAGACCAACTTCAACATAGTATGAAGACATTCACAATTTTCTGGATCTTGAAAAACTTTCAAGTGGAAGGTCAAGTATGTTTTCATAGAGTTCCATTTACCTGTCCTTGCGTAACTTCTGGTTCTGACTCACTACAGGATCCATTATCATGGCCAAAAGCTTTAGGCATGGCATTAGCAACCTCAGGGCTTCCATTTTCAACAGCTGAAAATGCATTTATGCTGGAGTCTTCATGTGAATGTTCATCAGAGCTGACAAGCACTGAGCTCAGAAACTTGTTAATATCAGATGCATTAGTCCCATATTGAAAAGGAATCCCCTTCTGTTGGTTGTTGTCGATGAAGTCATTGGCGACTGGATTGCACAGATAATCAGAACCAAGCTCCACCTGAAATTGAGAATGAAGTGGCGAGAACATTTTCCAGTCTAAACCCTCTGGTATAGGATCATCAAAAATGTCTCTTAATGATTCCACCAGTTCTGGATCAGGCTGCCGCATAAAACAGGAAAAGTAAGCAACGAGCACAAAAGCCATTCAACGAGACAACATAATTTAACTGAATCTAAATTCTATTTATCATCCAATCAGAATTAAGGTTATGCGGCTTACCGGGATACATGCTGGATCTAAAATTTGATCCTTCACTTCATCACCGATCCAATTCTCATTTTGCCACGTATTGGGCAAAGGATTGAGAACAGTGGCTCCGTCAGAAGCTATAGCAGGGGAAGTTTCTACTTTTGGAAGCTGGCTTTCACCTTGGAATCCAGCAGTTGGAGTAACAGGCTCTGAATTACCATTTTCAACAGGCGACTTGGCCACGCTTGGAGAAGGAACAGTTTGCTCAACATCATCGCAGTTTGAACCTTCAACATTCTCATCTGTCTTTATTTCCTGCTTCCTAAATAGACGACAAAGTACATAGGCACCCTGCACAAGTGAAAAATTTTAGAACACAATTCATTCAAGTTAGATCGGTAAAACCAATTGAAAAAACAGAGAGCAGCGAGTGAATAAATGAAACAAAAACCAACATACATTACAATTTAGAAAATAAGTCTTTCGTGTATAAACAAAATTATTCTACACTACTGTTTAAGAGCAATCAATCCCCTGAAATAACAGAATGAAAATGTATCTTTCCAGTCATGGAACCATCAAGCATTGCATCATAAATGGCACGGAGTCATAAAAATCATTTTCGGAAAATGGTTTTTTACACATCCCATGAGGTTCAATCATAGAGCTCATAGTTCGATAGAGAAAATAAACAGTGTTACCTGCCCAGGATGGGTGCCATCGAGGCTCTTATCTGTTGCTCGATATTCATGTATGACCCAATGAGTTCTCTTGCCATCTGGGGCGCGACCAACGTAAAAGACCAAAGTCTTTTTCATCCCAATCTTAACTCCTTTCCGGGTGGTGATATTCCTATCTTTACCAGTAGCCTTCCAATAACCCTTGACTGTAGCCCGATTCAGCCTCTGACCATTCTGATACTTGCGATCCTTGGGGCAGAAGAAGAACCACTCATTATCATACGACTCGACCAATGACATATCTGTGACATGGCAAAACCCCAAAATCAGTGTGCTTTATTCAATTATCTAGTAAAAGTCCAATCTGTGCAAGCACCTACGGAAGCACATATGTAACTTAGGCATAAAGCTGATAAAAGTATACATACAGGAGATCAAATTGTCGAACTAGTCCCCCACTTTTTCAGATGAATCTCGAGTCTCTTAAATGTCATATGGGATAAAAAGCCTCCCACATTTACCGAGTTGATATCTATGGTCCAAGAAATTCAAAAACTACATATATACAAGTCAACTAATGGTTTTTATGTCCGAAATGTGTTCAGGCAATGAACAAAGCACCCAAAACATCCATTTGTTTTCTAATTTGACATATAGAGAACTAAAGAGGCCATTTTGATCAATGAAATGGAGATACTTAGCGACTTGATATCATACATCACAGTGATCACACAAATTGCCACTTTGGATCCAAATCCAAGAAAATCTAAAAAACTCCATGCACGCAAAAATATACCCATCCCAGAGTGCTAAACTGATATAATTGGTAACATAGGAGTCAAGGCCAGATAGCTTATTCCTCGTGAAAGTTATAATTTATTCACGACAGCAATATGTAAAGGGAAAAAAAGTTCTTTTGTCCCTAATACTATTCACTAATGGGAGAAAAATAAATACTGGTAGATAGATTATTCTAAATACTCGCCGTTAAAACCTTTTGCATTACCAGGCTGACATAGGCAGTAAACTGAAGAACAAACAAAAGCCACTCTTCCAGATCATTCTAATTCTCAATCAAAATTGACATAAAAAGAAATCCCTAAAAATATTTGAACCGAATAAGCGAGCAATAACAGAGTTGTTGATTACCAGGTAAGTCCCAAGGCTCCAATTTGCAGATGTCCACTTCGCGTATAATACTGACTTCTTTCTCGAAACCGTTTATTTTGAGGCGGAGATAGTGATCGATCAGCTCCTCGTCCGTCGGCCGGAACCTATACCCCACCGGCAGCGACTTAACCGGTAGAACAGCCATCATCATGTATAAATTCAACAGAAAGTTAAAACCAGGGGAACAGATTCCACGAAGAATCTATCCACAACACAAATTTCTGGGGGCGTTAGACTCAAATTCGAAACCCTAATCTGCGGAATGATTTGGGATTAGAAGATTTAAAAAAAAAAAAGAACAAAGGGGAAAATTATCTCGTCGTCACTTTTTATCTGCTTTTTTTGATGTATATAAGGGAAGAAAAGAAAGAAACAACTGAGAAGCTCACTGTAAAGGTTTTTTATTAGTGCGTGAGTGCGTGAGAGAGAAATAGAGAGAAAGGGGAAGTGATGAGACTGTACGAGTGTGTGTGGGACCCCTCAGTTTTAAGATTTGGTGGTGCTGTTCTGTGTATATACCGCGTAAAAACGTTGTAATCATTGGGGTACGGTTTTGTAGTTAATATCAATCTTGCCATCCCAGATGTTTTGCTAGTTGTTTTAATTATTTGAACGTCCTCTATTATTTTGAGAACTGCAATTTGTTCCTAAAATTTGAGTAAACTTATAAACACATCATAAATTGTTCCTAATATTTGAAAATTTTTACAAATATCCCACTCTAGCTAACAAGCCCACATCATAAAATGTAAGATATGAAGATTGCGGAATGAATTGTCAGAGTCATGACTTAGACTAACAAGTAAATATATTAACAAATAAAATGTATATTCAAGATTGTCGAGTCAGTAATCACAAATGGAATTACAATATTAACAAAGAGTCAGTAACTTTGATGATTATGTAAAAATTAAGACTATTTTATCTATAAATTATAAAGTTACTTATTACATCGCCAATAAATTAAGGGTATGTTTGGTTCTTTTTTTAGTGTGTGTTTTTATGTTTTTTTGTATTGAGAATGTAAAAAAATGTGTTAGAAATGTAAAAAGGTATGCTGGGATGGGACAGTTATTAATAAAATAAACTGAAAAAACCATTAGAAAAAAAAAAGCAAACAAACAAAGCCTAAAATTTTCCTGAAATTTAAGGGACGAGTAGTAGTTTGCTCAAAATCTGGGGGATGGTTAAAATAATTTCTTTTGGTAATTTCCTTGTGGGCACCTTTCGGCTGCAGGTGGGGATAAAATCGAGGGAGTAGGGGGGCAGGGGCAGTGCTTGGTAAAATCGGACAGTTGTCTAAAACTTAGCGAGCAAGCTTAAGATTGTGAATTAGTCAATAGACCAGTTAAGATGTGCCACGTGCGCTGAATGCAGTCATCTTTGGTTTTCTCTTTCTGTTCCCTTTTTCTTTTTTAAATCAAACATTGCCGTACGATGTTAATCTTGGAGGAGGATGGAAATTTAGGATTTGATTTATGGTAATACTCCTATATAATGTATATCTATATGGATAAGTCCCCCGAATTACCTCTAAATAGAAAAGTTAACCCTCCATCAATGAAATAGTTAAAAAAAAAATGAGTAAAATGACAATAATGCTCTTTTAAGATTATTTGACAAAGAAATCCCAAGCTTATGTGTAAATCCCTCGTGTCCTCTTGAATTTTTTTATTTTTTTATTTTTTTAAAAAAACTATAACCATGTTGACAAATCTATAATAATAATATGTTACTACTCTATTTTGTTTTAAACTACAAATTCGAAAATCCATACAAGTTCCACCAATACTCTTTTATTTGACAACAAATTTCTTTAATTTGTCCAATTACTAGTGAAAACTCATAGCATTATAAATATTCTATTCAAATTTGTGAATTTCCATAATATCTATTTTATGGATGTTGAGCTAATTATTTAGTTACAGACTCTGAAAACGATCATGTGGTTACTTAGTACAGTTTGGAGTGTTTTATGTCTTTATATTTTGAAATTTATAAGCAAGTTTGGAATATTAATATTATAAATTTAGTTTTATTAATTTTTTTTATTTAAAATATAATCACCATCTTGATTTTTTAGTCATTTTAACACTCATGACTTCAAATCAAAGAGGGATCTTGTCATGTCCTTTTAAGAAAACTCAGGTATTAGTTTTGAAACATAATTCAGAAATTTTGTCCTTATCTCATATGTGATCAAGAGGCCAAGGCTAAAAGTTATTGAAAAACAGGGGCCTTGCATATTCGTGCACGTTCAAGGTGGGAGAGATGGTAAACTGGTGAAAGGTTTTTCTTCCGTACCTGTTGGTGATTTTTCAAAACTCCTAAACTATAACTCGTTAGTAGTGCCCTCATTCATGTTTGATAAATATTCATTTGTAGTACAAGTACTAAAAGTGAATCATTTAAATTTGACAATTATTTTATGAGTTCAGGTGTTTTATTAAAGAATATAAAATGTTATTTTTAAAATATATAATCAAATCAAAACTAAAATAATCCGCACAACAGGCAACTATTAGTTAATTAAATTATTATTTTTTATTACAGCAAGAGAAATTAGGTTATATTAGAGGTTTTGTAAATTAAATTAAATTTACTTAAATGTTTGGAATGAGATTAAGCTTTGAAAACATACTGTCTTGGTTGAATAGAATGGAAGGAGTATCGGCTTGGAAGGGTAGAAGAATGTTACTTGGTTGACAATTCGAAAATCGAAACCTGGCCAAACATACCAAAACAAACAAACTTGCAGGAATCTAGATGAGCAAAAATGCGGAAATGAAACGACATCACCACCGGAAAACTTGCAGATCAACTCCAACACCCTTTATTCCTTAGAGATCTATGCCACAAACAAGGTCGCTATGAATTCAAGTTCACCACCAAAATTTCGATCTCCTAAACACACAGGTTGAAGAACAATTACAACACGGGGAAAGCTTGGCAGTTTAAATTTACAAAAGAGCAATTGAAAAGGGTACAGAATCTCAAAAGATTCACCAAGCATTCAGACTGTCCAAGCACCCTCATCACCTAGGAATCCCACTCTCCATTCCAAACACCACACCACGGCGCAGCAGCCCAGATGGCAGAGGCCATGGCCAATTACCTCAAAATCAACACTGTTACGCTGCATGGCCTTTAGAAGTGTAGTAATCTTCATCCGAAATTTGTATGCTCAAGCTCCATAGCTCCAACGCCGCAACAAACTCCACTCGGCGTTCGTTTGTCCCAGATTATTCATCATATGTGCGCGCATGTACTTGAACCCTTTTCCGGTTCTTTCCCACATAGGACTTTCCAGGGTCGCACATAGGAGACACAACAAAGTATTGCTTTTTTCGTGTTGAAACTAGCCTGCCATTGATTGTCAGGACGTGAGACGTGAACAAGGCATTCTCACGGGTGAGAATACCACAGTGAGGCGGGCATGATCGGAAAGGGAATAGTCTTCCGGCCACAAGCCCTTTTCTACTTCTGTAGGGAAAAGAACTGCATTCTTCACACTGAACCCAATGGTTTGCTCTGTACCATAAGTGAATTCATCACATGCATCCTTGCTTATTACTTCATCTCCTCCCTCTGTCCAAGACGGGTTCCAAATTCGTTGCTGCAATTTCATTAATCATTGGTCCATCAGAATAACATGGTGAAATGCTTCCTCCAAATATATCAGTTGAACCTAAAGCGAAATGAAAACTATTTGATGTTTGCATTTAACTATACCAGGAGCAGGCCACCTCATAACATTTTCCTTTTTTTGGGTAACTTTTTTAGTTTTTGAGTTAAAAACCCGTAACATTTCATATTCAACAAAATTAAATGTTAATATTCTTGAAAATAATGTGCAATAGAGCAGAATAATTTTAAGATTCATTCCATGCTATTTCACTGGCCGGAAAAAAAAGTTTAACATCCTATAACAGAAAATCACTTAAAGCTAGAATACCGTTGATACCTGGAATTCTTCAAAATCAAGAACACCATTTCCATCAATATCAGCTTGCACCCAAAGGTCCTTCGTCTCCTCTATGCTGAGTCCATAACAATGGCCAACCAATTTTAGCTGAATAATTATCCAACAAAAATACTCAGCACAAGGTCTACTTGAAAGATTAATCAAGTCAAGGATATGAAATCAAAATGCAAAGTACTAACAACATTTTATACAATTTTGAGTTGAGAATACCTGACGCAGTGCCTCACAGAATCCAGTGTAGGTGATGTAATCACCATCACTATCAGCTTTCAAAAAAGCGAAAGCATCATGCTCTGTCAATGAAGCCCGTCGAAGTTGATACTGAGCCATTTCACAAGAGAACAAAAGAAAAATGCATTAGTAAGTGGAAAGAAAAATATTGTAACGGCTAACACCAAAACAGTTATTCAAACAGAGCATACCATGTTGAAAATCTCAACTGTAATAAACACAAACTGCTGTCCAAGGGTTTATAGTATGAAAAATAGGGGTCAAACCGAAAGAGCAAAACATACAAGTTTCCATAACAATTTGCAAAATTGCAAAGAGAGAGCAGTACTTCAACAATACGTGGGGTAACTATCCAAAACAACAATCGACACTAGAAACTTCTAACACCGCGATAGATTTATGCATGAAAAAGCTTGGGATAATTCTCACCTTGAACATACCAAACACAGCTTCACTCCAGCTTGTTTTGAGTAATTTTCGGTATCTGTTAGGATTGAGAAGCCATATGAAATCCACACCACAGATATTGCCACGATGATTACGATGGCTCACCCACTGCATAAATGAATGAGACAAAAGATATGAGAACAAACCCAGTATAAAAGATCTGTATTACAAACTATCAAACCAGAGTAATAACCTTGTGCGCGTCGGCATCAGCATACTGATGGGCAGTGTCATATGACGACACAAATCCCTGTGATCTGAGAAACTTGTAAACATGGCCTTTCTTGCTTCCATTCCAGTCACTGAAAAGACAAAAGTTAGCAAGTCGATGGTAATGATCAACTCTTTTGCAATCTTCTTGAGGTCAAAAGGAATCAAAGGATTACCCGCAAAGTATAATAGGAAGGGGGTTAAGCTTGTATTCTTTTTGATAAGATTCCACGTATTGCAAAATTTTATATACCTAATAATGATGTATTTCCCAGAACAAAAATCCAAAAAGGCAGTCAGTGAATGTCTCAAGGTAACAATACAGGCAAATCAAGCGGATAAAAATTGAAGGCTACAACAGAGTAACAAACCTGCCGAAGTCTCTCGAGACACAAACTTGAATTGTGCGGAAACAATAAATGGGTGTTAACAATTAGAATCTCTTGCCGGACATAACTATTACCCCGACATTGTGAGAAAGGAGCAATGAGTTCCACATGTAATAGCTGAGCAACTCGGTCTCCAAAATCATTAAACAGCAACTCTCTGTGATTTATCACCCTGAATATATCCTTATGTACAGCAGTCAACAGTCCTGTGAAATTCAAGAAAAGAACATCAGAAGAAATGCGAAAGAAAAGCACATCTCCACTAACATTTAGGCCCATATCTTCTCTTTGACACTTTTGGAAAGCCACTAAACCAGGAAGTGGTCAAGTCAAAAGACCAAAACAACTTTAGGGTGAAAAAGAAGTTAACAGTGGGAATCTCTGATCAGAATTAATCCCAAATCAAATATTCCATACAATGGACAAAGGAATAACAAGGGAGGCTAATGACTGAGTTATATCATCAATAGAACCATGGAAAGAGACATAGAAAGTAAAGCAGGGAATCATACCGTCACCACGGTTGTTGGTTCGGGCCAATTTAAAAATAGTATAGCCAGCATCTCCAAGCCTCTTTTTGTAAATATTGACAAGCTCTTCGTTCCCAACCCAGAATTCCTAACAGAAACACAAGAGAGTAAGGTCTCAATAAATGCAAAAGAAATAGCATCATATCAAAAGCCATATCAGGCAATAATAATAGCCCTATATACCAGAAAACCAAAAAATGATACCTTTGAAATTCCTTGAGCAACAAAAATACGACTTTTTAACCGGAAAAGAAGGGTAAAATTACTAGTACTTTACCGTTTCCTTAAGCACCAATAAGTAACATTCTATGAATTCTAATAATCAGACTGTAAAGGCAACAAAAATAATGAATAAACGATGCAAGAAAAAAGTGTTTTTTTTTTTTTTGAAGTGTCCAATCCTGAATACCTGGAGACAAATGATGGAAGATCGTTCATCCAAAAGCCAATCCAAAATCAAATGGTTGCGGTTCAACCAATAGGCCTTGTTCTCGCTTTCTCTGATACTCTGGTCCTGTTCTTCCCTCCAACCGAAAAACAGAAAACCCATCAATTGAAACCCAAAAAGGGATTAGATGAAAACTTTGGTTTTTCTCTGCTAAAAACCAAACAAACGGAGGAGGAGGAGGAATGGAAACAAAGGAGGGGGTGAGGTTACCTGGTGATTGAGGCGCTTGTAGATAGGAGCTAAGATATTAAAAGTGGTGCAAGAGATACAAGAGGGATCCGCAACCGAAGACGCAATGGCATAGTTTCCAATTCTGGACACCTTCCTCCCACTCCTTATCCCTCTAATCCTCCTGCCCATGCCTTTCCCCCAAAAATGAGTAACAAAACAATGTACAACTAAATTCCACAACTTTAAACAAAAAGGGAACGAGAGGGGATGAACACAACCCTGATTAATTAATTACGGATGGAAGGAGACAGTTGCTTCCTTTTCTGTTTTTCTTTTTTGTTTTTTTTCTTCCCCCCTCGATAGTTAGTTTGTAAAATTACTTCCAATAAATAATATGAACGAATATTAAGGTTAGGAGTTGGGAGATGTGGAGGGAGAATGAATGTTGGTTGGTGGTGGTGGTGGTGTAGGGAATTGTGGGAGTTTATATAGAAATCATCGGGCAGTTGTACACAAAATGGGTCAGGAGAGAGACAGAGGAGAGATGAATGAAAATATACTACTAGAAGAAAAAGGAAAAGAAAAAAAAAAAAAAGAGGATTCGAGAGAGAGAAGAGAATTGGGGGAATGGCAGAGAATTACAGATACCTTCGTCCAGTGGTCAGTGGTGGTGCTTCATCAATCATCAAATTAAATTCAATTATAAATGGCGTCTCGAATTTTTGAGGGGCACAAATTTGTAGTAGTCGTTTGTGATTACACCTCTTCCTCTTTGTCGGCCCCCTTTTTTTTTGCCTTCCAAAAAAAAAAAAAAAAAAACAACAACAGTTGTGTACCTTTTCCGTTCGGTATTCTGTTTTTTTTTTTTGGCTGAATGATCTTTTTTTTTAATTAATAATAATAATAATAATAATAATATCAATATTGAATTCTTCGATAATTTGCGAGTAAAGTTTTTTTTTAATGATGAATGCTAAATACAAATACTATAAAATTATTGTTAGTTGTTACCCCATTACATAAATTGTGAATTTATTTATTTATGTTTTACTTATTCCAATAATAAAATTCCACTTGAAGCAATAACTCTAAACAAAGCGTTAGAACGAAGCAACAGAAAATATCTAAAAACAATAATAATTTAAGGAAAAAAAGGCTAGACTATTTTTTTTCTGATTATTAATAATTTTTGTTCAAAAAGTATATTCCTCCCAGCAGGAAAAAGGGAAGAATAAGAGAATAAAAAAATGTGGGCAGTATTGCACTGTCCCTAGTTTTGTTGATTCACTCATTAATGTTGTTTTTACTTTGTTCAACATTTGTATATTTCTATGTTATCTAAATTTTAGCAATGTAGGAGAAAGACAATTTTGGATATTTTATTTATTACTCCCTCTTGTCCAAAAATTATTGTCCAATTTAAACTTCCATTTATAGTTCAATTTGTACTAAAAATAAAAATTAAAACAGGATAATAATTTTGGAGCGGAAAGAGTCTATTATAGAGTAATAGCGAAAAAAGAAAAAAAAAAACACCACCAAAAACAAGTTAATGGAATCCACCACAGAGCAGGAGCCAAGAAATGTTTTCAATATTCCATCAAGTTGGGTTGGGTACGGGGGCTAATCATACTTGGCCGAAAGCATAAAACCCTAGAGGAGTTTTTTTTTTTTAAAAAAAAAAAAGAAAAATTCTTCCCAACTTAAAGACGTGTTAATTACACGCCTGTACAATGTCTCAAATAAATATGGTGGTTGGTTGTGCTGAGGAGTGAGGACGAGCTATCATATTTAATTAGTGAAATTAGCTTCATTTATTTGGCCTAATAAGGACTTGCGAATTTCACATCAAAAATTGGCCGAATAATTAAGAAGATAAGTAGTAGGATATTTATTTGATTTCATGAAGAACACACACGCACACACAGAGAATAGGCAACCAGCAAAGCAGAGAAGATTTATGGGAGATGCACGCAAACGCGTCCCCAGGTGGGTGGGTGGGTGGCGGTGCCATTTGGTGTGGTTATTGGATTATTTACATCACCGACCCTCATTTATTTATTTATCTATGGATAAACTGACTGGTTTCTGTGTTTCCAAAATTGTAATTTACCATGTTTTATAATATTGTAATAAACCAAACTCAATATAAACAAACCTTCTTAACATTCTAGTATCGCTTATATTATTGTTGGGATCCTTTTTACGGTATATTTTTTCATTATTTATTAATAATAAATGTCTAATCCCAACATAGTTTGTTATATTTTTAATACACCTTTTTACATTTTCAAAAGAAAAAAATACTTAAAAAACCCACTGTAAAAACGATCTAAACATATTAATCTGTCTATTTTAAAATGTAAATCGTTTTGGTTTTAAAAAAAAATTTCAAAATGTAAATAATTATTATTTTTCCAAACTTTTACCATAATACTAAACCATGTTCATTCCATTTTCATTAGTATTCCTTCTATTTTAAAGTAATTATTTAGTTTACATTTTATTTTTACTGAAAGTAAAAAAAATAATTAAACAGCAATTTCAATTTGGATAATACCGGTATAGGTAATGAGCAGTACAAACAATATTTAGAACATACCAGAACAACACTTGTAGTAATTCAGCAAAAATTTAACATGCCCAATAACCAAATTAACTTTAAATTACGTATATGTATTAAAGAAATGAACCCATTATCAAAAGAGTCAGTCGCGAGTTGAGAAAGTGAATGAAGCATCGTCATCACCCATACTCAATCTGTCGTGCGTGCATGCGGCAATTTACATAAGCTTTTGCCTGATTATTTAATTTAATTAAGCTTGTCCTGATCATTTTGTTTAATGCGTATACTGTATTAAAAAGATCATCTGACAAAGTAATCAACTAGATTAGTCACCCAGTAAGTAAAGGCAGCGGACGTACCAACTAATCTCTGTAGTAAAAAAATTTCAGGTACCCACCCATTCAGTTCTTACAAATCTAGATTAAGGTTTTCCTTTTATAACTACAATGATAATAAATCATGCCATGACTTATATTATGCGAGTTTCCGAGGCAAACATACAATTACAGTTATTACTACCACTAAATGTCAGTGGATATTAATAGGAAGGCTTCAAAATGTCAGCATACTTCCATAATAGTAATTTACTATCGGGCAGAAAGAAAAGAAAAAAGAACGTGGATATCATTTTTTATTAAGTAGTGAACTGAGCATCGTCGTTGCTTGACGTGACCCGGCCGTTTAAGTTTTAACCCTCTAAACCAATAATATCTTTAGGCACCTCAATCCTAAGCTCAAAAGCCGAATCAATCACTTTCATTATTGACCCTAATATTGCCAAATTTTAAGTCATTTTGATAGAAAGAAAATATCTTTTCTGCAAAAAAAAAAAATTTCATCATCTTCTTCTGCGCACTAGTAAAACTATACAGAAATTACATTGAACCAACAAGCCAATAAGGGGGAGGCTCACAACCTGCCGGCATCTAACACGACAGCTTCCACGCCAGTTGTGCCCCACCCCCGCTTCTCTGTCATGTCTTCGACCTATTTTTCCTTTTTTTCATTTCAATCGATAAACTTCAACAATAGAAGAAGACTGAGTTTGCGATGTCTTGGTGATTTAATTAATATAATCTCGTTTTCACAAAAAAAAAAAAAAAGTACCACAAACAGTATCAAAACAATGTCAGCATCCACAAGTTACAGTGTTAGAGAAACTGTAATGCTACTCGAAGAGTGCAGCCACGCCCAAGTTGAGCATGTTAGTAGTAACATTAACATAGAGGATTATACTAACAATTGACATTATATTATTCATGTGTTTTTATTATTATTAGGTTCAAGAACCCCAAAACCGACACCAACCTAGACTTGCCATTTTTTGCTGCTCATGCATCATTGTCTTCAATAGCCAGTGGTCCACACACCACATGAACATGACACCACCCCCATTCCCTCTTTAGCTCTCCTTTTTCTTTGTCCCTCAGGTTCATTACTACAAACTTCAATCACCCCCACCCCCCAAAAGTAAGAATCGCCCCAAAAAAAAAAAAAAAAGAACAAACAAACAACTGGTGAAGATGGAGGAGCACCGAGATACAAGGATGACAAAAGCCAGAATCAAGAAATGGTGCAGGAGGGACAGAATAAGTTTTTCAGCCAGGTTGCCTCGTGACGTTGTTCTAGGTCGAGGGGTCTTTGAAGATAGCATCATATGTGCAGTGAAGTACTCCACCAATCCATTTTCAGACATCAGGGATTCAATACTAGAGATGATACATTGTTCAGGCGGGGTTCAAGATTGGAAACAGATGGAGGAATTGATTTATTGTTACATTGTTCTTAACCCCTCAGAAGTCCATCATGTTATCAAGGATGCCTTCCTTAGTTTGCTTGCTTCTAATCTCCAGTGAATGCATGCATGATGATGAATTAATTGATGATGATAGATTTAGAACCTACAGTATCTAGGTTCACTGCTTATTCCGCTTTTGTAACTTTGAATCAAGGCAAATGTTATTTTGAATTTTTTTTGTCAACCAATTAGTCTTGTATCTTCCCCTAATAGTTGACAACATTATGCATCTTTTTGATTCACCTAGACCAGATCACCAGACATCTCAATTTTCATCCCCACACAAAAATCAATGTTGGTGTAATGAGAACTAATTACTTTCCACTACTTAAATTATTGGGAAAAGAATATATTACCCATTCTAATATCTCATTCCCTGTACAATGAGCCACGAGGGCAGATTTCAATTTCTGGATATTGAGAAGCTGCTTCAAGATAAAATAAGAAGAATACCTCCACATTAGCCAAAAACCCATCAATGGGAGTAATGTGCACTTGCTTAGACTACTTTAATTTGTGTTTGGTGTTAGTTCTTCCCGCAATTCATTGGTCTTCAGCAGTTGTTTTTCAACTCAACATGCTCTTCAGTCTCCAGTCTCCACCAATAGCAGGAACCAACCTGTGATTTTCAGATACATGATTACTCCCAAAGCATCACAAGCATATTTCTACAAAATTTTCTTGTCTTCAAGAGGAGTACAATAGGTGCATACCACACATTATTGCAACCTCAGCACCAGAAGCTGTGTAATTTCGAGCAAGGACATCCAGAAGGCTCATTCGAAGAAAGCAAGTGATCAAGCCAGAATGTCGAGGCCACTAACTAACCATTCCTCCCTCATGATACACAAGATCTGGCTTGTTATCGATAGAATGGTTCTCAAGATCCCCCCGTTTAATTCAAAACCGTTCTGTAATGTGCAGCCACCCTAGGTCCCGAAAGGAATAGAAGCAACAGAACTAGGAAATGAATTACCGTTCAAGCATGAACTCTTCCTGTAGACCTCACTTAATCTTCCAGTAGACCGCACAAGTAATAAAATGCATCATGTTCTTGGCCCTCAAAGCACTGGCAAGACCTTTGCCTACAAAGCGCTCTCACCGTAAAAAACTTCCCGGTTCAAGAAATCATAATGAACCCAAATTTGCCGTCATGAGCCAAACAACCTAACATTTTAGCAGATAAGTTAGCTTCTCTGGATGAACCGACTTGCAGCCTACTTCTAATGAAAAGCAAGTACACTATTCCAAAAATGCTCGACTTAAGTCCACCAACTAACACCACGTATCTTCGATAGTCTCATCTCTTTTATCTTACCCCTCAAATCTGCAACTTCGGTCCACTCATTTGCAGCAGCATAAATGTCAGATAGCATCACGTAGTTACCAGTATTAAAGTGTTCAATCTCAATAAGTCTGCGGTATACCTCCCTCGCTAATTCAAGTTCACAATGTAACTTACAAGCGCTAAGTAATGCACCCCAAGCACCAGCATGTGGTTCCACAGGCATCGATTTCAGAAGTTCATAAGCTATTTTGGGCTCTCGAGATCGGCCCAAAAGGTCAATGACACAAGCATAGTGATCAGAAGAAGGCTCGAGCAAGTATTGATTAACCATGGACTTAAAATAACGGCAACTTTGGTCAATTAGACCGGCATGATAGCAAGCACTTAAGATCACTGTGAAGGCAACTTTATTGGGTACAATCCCTTCCTCCAGCATTTTATCAACCAGCGCCACAGCTTGAGATGCATGCCCATGAATCGACAACCCTTGAATCATTGAAAAATATGAAACAACGTTACGTTTAGGCAGCTGTTCAAACAACGATCGAGCTCTCTCCATGTTCCCACACATGACATTCATTTCTACCAATGCACCAACAACATGAAATCCGTGAAGATCAAGTGATGGCATACTACTACTTTGCAAGTCGAGTCAAGGCGTTTTGCCATTTCTGAAGAACCCAACTGAGAACAAGCTGACATCAAGCTAACCATAATGAATTCGTCAGGCTTCATCCCCAAAGCCTATATTTTGTCAAACATCTCTATAGCCTCTCTTGGTAGGCCATTTTGGGTAAACCCGGATATCAAAGCAGACCACAAGACTAAATCAGTTTTCCGTCCTGACTGCTCAAACAACATCATAGCAGAACCCATGTCCCCGGCTTTAGCGTATCCATCAATCATAGACGAATAGCTCACGGCATCCTTCGCAGGCATTTCATCAAAAAACTTCCGCGCACTACACATATCAGCGAGCTTCACAAACCCAGTAACCATGGCATTCCATGCAGCCAAGCATTTCACAGGCATTCTATCAAACACCTTCCCAGCCTCCAAGGCATCCCCATAAATCATGTACCATGTCCAAAAAACTTCATTTCTCGTGGGCATGGCATCAAACACCTTACGAGCACAGTCGATCAGCCTACATTTCCCATAGAAATCGATCAAACTGGACCCGGCTTACACATCCCCCTCATTCCCCCACCTCAAAACTAAGCCATGAATAACTTGCCCTTCCCTCAACGCAGCTGCATTGGCACAACTCCGAATCAACGACGGAAGGGGATAAATATTCACGGGTTGATCCTCGCCCTGGGCCGGAGCCCGTAACATCATCTGTTTGAAAATGCCAATGCAAGCATGTAGAGAGGAAGAACGACGACAGTAACCCTCGATCAGGGCGGTCCAGAGAAAACTATTGGGCCGTTGGACGGACTCGAAAACGCTGGTGGGGTAATCAAGGTTGGAAGAGAGAGATGAAACGGGTGATGAGGAAGGCATCTTGGTGGCAGCCTTTTCGGATGATATGGGGGTGTAATGGCTCTAAGCTTCGGAGGTTATTGCAGCGTTTCAAGTGAGTGAGTATTGAAGCCGAAGTTTTGGGTCTTCTGCTAATGGGTAATAACCCTCGGGAGATATGACTCATATGAGCATGTGGGTCGACGGCGGGGTGGAGATGGCGGTGGCCGGGGAGGGAGGAGATTTGTAAACTAGTTTTAGAGGGAGATGAAAAAGGGAAGAAGTGAACCGAATCATGATTTTATCATGTTGGGTTTGGCTGTATGTAGATTACTAGATATAAACCGTGTAATCACGGCCCCCCAGTTTTTTTTTTAATTTTTTTCCGACCGGTGTCATTACTATTTGATTCTAAGATGTTTGAAAACTAAATTGATCCAAACAAAATAGTCTGCATTTAGAAATATAAATCTTAACATAGAGTTACAAAATTAGTACTCCCTCCGTCCCATAATTATTGTCCAGTTTGAATTTTCATTTTTAGTTCAAATTATACTAAAAGTGAAATCTCAATCTGGACAATAATTTTGGGACAGAGGGAGTATAACTTAAAATTGATTATTAAAATAATAATTATAATGAAACTTTATTCAATTTGTATGTTTTAATTTTTTGAGTGAACCTTAAAACAAGTTATCAACCTTTAATATATTTCCACTCTAGGTCATCAATTGAATTTATTTGTAACACATGTTACTTTACTAAAATTTTAATCCATTTCAGATTATTCTGTTAATTTTGGCCGTTAAATAGTGACGGAAATCTATTTTTTCACATGTTTTTGGATTCAGGGTATTTTTTTTTTATTTTCTTATTTTTTATTTTTTTAATCTTTTAATTTTTATTTTTTTTTATAATTCTTCTTCCTATACTTCCTAACTTGTATATACTGATAGTATAATTCTAAATTTTAAAAATTTATTTTCTTTTTTATTTTAACTTCTAGATTATAAAAATAAAATTAAAAAAATTTAAGAAATGAAGAAGAAAAATTTAAGTTAAAGTAAACATGAAAATTAATAATTTACCATTTAAAAAAATAAAAATTAAAATAATTAACTAAAACAAGTTGTTTCTTCTAAGTTATTTAATTTTTTTCAACTTGATTGAATTATTTAATTATTAATTTTCACGTTTCTTAATTTTTTTTAATAATCTATAAGTTAAGATATAAATGACAAATTAATTTTCAAAATTTGTTTGTCATTTGTATCTTGACTTATGGGCGGGAAAAGCAGACTCAAGCGTCCTGCTTAAGTATATAGATAGAGATAGATAAAAATGTAGTAATCATTTTGATGCTTGATTAATTTAATCTTAGAAATTTGATAAAGTAGCAGCCTGGTTCAATGTATGCATATTTTATTATTCTTTTCAAAGCCCAGTTGACCATTTCTCAAGGAAATCGAATTCCGAACAACGACATTTTTATTTTATTTTTATTGTTTTTGAACAACGACTTGATTGAGCAATGAAGATGTCATTCCCGACAAAAAAGATAATAATACTGTACATTAATTTCTCCCAGTTGTTCTTGACGACTTTTATAATTTCGTAAACAAAGTGAAAAGGGGGACCCAAAAAAGGTTTTTAATTTCCAACTATGGCTTCATTAATTAGTGAGTGTGTGTGTGTCTACTGCATTCGTGCGAAAATAATGAAATTACTACATTTAGCATTCTCTTGAAAGGGGAAAAAAAAAGAAAAAGGAAAAGTCATTTTTTAACATCTAGCTAGGCTCGCTGATTTGGTAGTTCTCCTCCATATCCGTGCGGAGGGAGTGGTGTCACCGCCACGGTGGGTTGTGATGCCTGCCCAACGGCGGCACTAGTCGTCGTAATTACCACCACCGCGCCTTTTGCCTCTTTCCTCTTTGCCCATAAGAAATAATATATCCCAACAATTATGAGGACCATCCCAATTAAGCTGCCACCGATAAGACAGAAATTAGATTATAGTCTTTTGTAGTAAGATCGAGATTGGTCATCGAATCAATCAAGTTCACAATACATTTAGGGGGTGGGGAGACTGGCTACATTCTTGTTTTTTAATCTCATCGAGGAGTAATGTTTTCTTTCTAGCACAAACTTTTCGAAATAACATGTTTTACTACATTTTTATTTTTATGTTTTGAAAACAGATGTTGTCTGGATGAGTTATGAGTTCGAGTTTGATCAGAGCGCTAAGTGGGGAATCATTGTGAAAAAAAGTTACTACATTGAAAATGGAGGGAAAACAAAAGCCCAAATACCTACCTTCCAAGGGAGATGGGGGAAGCTAGGAGAAGAGCTTCGGCGATGGCGACGAAAATGAGGGATAACGGGTTGAACATGGAAGGATATGTGGGCCCCCTTTTGGACACTGCCCACGTTATCAAGCAAAATGTTGCTGCTGTGGCCAATGCTCCCTGTTCTTCTACTAATTAGTAATTAGCATCGTTATGATATTTATGTTTATTTTATATTCCTTCATCATCATCATCAGGAATTCCAAAATGAATAAAAATAATATGTAGATCCCATAGGTACCGAGTAAAAAATGGTGAGCAATTGGAGATCCCATTCCAGTTTCCAGGCAGATTTGGAGCTATCTATGTACAATCCAATGAGGACTTGTTGGGCCGATGCTATGAGGCTTGTGTAAAATGTCGCCCAGTACTTGTGTGGGTATATTCCGATCAATTTTGCCTGTTTTATACGCATTCAAATTGAATCAAGCAAATACGACGAGTATTCAACACAAAACAGACTACTTGGGGCCTTTTTAAATTGACTTAGAAAAGTACCTGAGTGATGAACCACAAACCATAGGAAACGCAGCTGCAGAGTAAGAAAATGGTGCCACGGACCCAATGAGGGTGTCGCATTTGAAGCAAAGGAGAATGGTGGTGGTGGTGGTGCTCCAAGTCCAGCAAGAGGGGATGGCGAACCAAATACAGCTCTTTGCCTTTGTAGAAAACAATCACCAGCGCTCCCACAAGGCACAGAATCGCCCCCATTATCTTCACTTTCCCGTTTCTTGTGTTTATCCCCAGTTTCTCAAATCTACATCCACCCCCCCATAATCATCCAATTCCAGCCTCATAAGAAATGGCCACTAACTCATGGTATCAATATTTATTACTCGTTCCGTCTCATAATTATTATCCAGTTTAGGTTTTCATTTCTAGTTTAAATTGTTCTAAAAATGAAATCTCAAACTGGATAATAATTTTGGGATATAGGGAGTAATATGTTTGTATAATTTTTTATTTACTATAAATATAAGAAAAGGAATATATATATATATATATTTTATATAGTTTAAAATGAACTTGATGATATTGCAAAATTGAAGTATGCATTCGTACCCCAAGATGGTGGAGAAGAGAAAGGTGGCAATGGGGATGAGGTTGAGGAAGTTGGTGGCGTATGTTGCCGTCGTGTCTCGTAACCCATAGTAGAACAGCCCCATCGCCATTGTTATCCTGGAATCCTTCCAAATTTCATCATTCTCTTCATATTATTAATTAATTAATTAATCAAAGTGTAACATTCAAACTTCTAAATTGATTAATCATCGTGTTTGACACATGATGAATACTTTTACACTTAGTACTTATCACGAGATCATCGTCACTTAAAATCACGCGTTATTAAATTTACAATCTGTATAAAATCTAACACGCTAGCTCATACGGCCATGGATGATGAAGATATTAATTACAAACAACAATACGCAAGAGCATACATCGTAGCTCAACAAATTATTGAGTTGTTTAATAATTAATTAACCACACAGGCATGCCGTTATCACCCTTTGATTCGATACGCAACAGTAATCTGCAGGTTAAGTATAGGAGAGATCAACCTCTTAATTTCAGGGGAAACAATGTATGCATGTTCTAGTACTACAATATTGCACGTCACGCCTAAAATCCTAATTTTTGTTACTGGTAATTATATATAGTATATATGTTTCATTTTCATCACTAAGAAACATAATCGGTGTTGGTTTGTATATAAACTCAACAACGATGTTGCACGTGTTTATGATTTTGGGGAAGCTGCCTAACCGCTACACTAAATTAGTAGTATTTCGTTTCCCTTGGGATCATTCAGTTCCCTAATAGTATTTGATACTAATGGATAATAAAGTTTTTTTTTTTTTTTTTGCAAACTCTGCCTAATTAAGTATGCAGTTTTTATATCTCTATGTCATAATTAGCACCATTTTTGTGACTAGTTTGGCCTCTTTCGAGAGATTCAATGGTTCACCCCCAGTTTTCGTAATATGAATGTATTATTATAGTGTACGTGTTTGTTATTGTTAATGTAGTTCTCCCTTTGTTCTAAAATTATTGTCTAATTTGAGATTTTACTTTTATTAGAATTTGAACTAAAAATGAAAATTAAAATTGGATAATAATTATGAGATGAAGGGAGTACAAAATATGGTAGCCAGACTCTCTCTGTATTAGGGTTCTTGCTTCTTACATATAGGTTTGGCAATTACTTTCTTTGTTTCTTCTTTTCTGCAAACTGCAAACAACGCAAGTTGAAAAGTCCATTCTCACTTTTCCCCTATTTGGTTTCATTTCCATATTGTTAAATTTCAAGATATATAATTAATAAGACTGTCACACGCACGAGTGAGATCTGATTTGATTTGTTTCCAAAAGAGGTTAGCATAATTGAATATATACCTCTTCTTTATTAACTACTATAACAAGATTTGTGATAAGGGTCAGAAGTCAGCCTCCCAAAGTAGGCAAAATCTTTTTTAAAAAATGGTCAAAATTACCAATTCTGATAATGGAACAATTTGGGATGCGCGAATTCAAAACTTACAACAAATGCTGATTCAGAGAATCCTTTTTCTATCTTCTTATTTCTTCCAAATAAAGCCGTACAAAAATTATATTGTTATGTATTAGGAGCGCTCTCAAAAAAATTAGTTCTGGAAACAAAATAATGGTGCCACGATGATCATAAGTTTTTTTATTTTCACTTTTTTTCCCTTGAAAACTAATTAAGTACATGATCATAAGTAGTAGACAAGCTTCTTTTTTTTTTTTTTTTCCTTCTTTTTCTTTCGTCAGAATATTTTATCTTTGTATTAGTTACTCCTATCTTCTTATTATTACTACATAATAAAATTCCTCATCTTAGATCCTTCTCCTTTTTAGTTAACAGTTAAAAAATGACTGAAGTAATTAACCACTGCAACGTTACGATCGAACATTCACTAGTCTTGCTCATATTCCATAAAAGATTATTAATTGTTCAAAAAAATAAAAAAAATAATAATAATACGCCGTATCGATCGATCTCCTCCATGAAAAAGGGGATTGAAATGGGTGTATATCCAGTGGCGGAGACAGGGACCAGCCGGGGCTGTGCTCCCAATTTAATTTTATTTTTTATAGAGAGTGCTAAATTTTGTAGCATAAAATATCAAGAAAAAGAAACCCCTGTTTATTGAGAAATTTATCATTTCACCTCCTGCTACTTTCTGGCTTGGCCACTGTATATATTGTAATTCAATCTTTAAGGGGTAGGTTGTTTCACGGTTAAGTTTTATTTGAACTTAAATTAATCAATAACAACAAATCTTGCAAAATAATAATAATAATAACAAATCATGCATTAGAAGGGAACGAAACAAATTAAGAGATGGCGTAGTACCCGGTGAGTGCAACTGCAAATAGCCAAGAGAGAACCCGCCAGCTGCTTCTGATCAACTTCAGTCCCTTACCTCTGCCCAAATCAAGAAGAATGAATTTAAATTTACTCTCTAATTTGCATGGAATTGAAGTAAATGAGAAAGAATAAATTACTCATTCTGTCTCATGATCATTATTGGCCAGTTTAAATTTTTATTTTTAGTTCAATTTGTACTGAAAGTAAAAATCTAAATTAGAGAATAATTTTGGGACGAAGGAAGAAATTAAGAGATATATATATATATATATATATATATAAAAAAAAAGCACGAACGAACTAACGAACCTTTCGAAGAAAAGAGCAAAGGGAAGAACACAAAGAGCTGCAACAATGTGACGATAAAACATGTAAGCAAACACAAAAGTGCCTTGGTTCAGTATTAGTCTCGATAGAAGTTGCAACCCGGTGGCTATTACTTGTACCATCACCATCCCTATTCCCACTCTCCCTTCTTCTATACTTTTCTTCAACCTGCTAATTCCTTCTTCCCCCATTCTTATTATTGCTTCTTTTAATTTCCAGGCCAAAACCAAATTCGATATCTCTCTTATTGATCCCTTCCTCCTGTCTTCTTTTTAAATTTTATGGGAATGAGAAGGGTGTAATTTGTTTTGGTGTTTCCAAATATATATAGAAGAAGAGTAGAGGGCAGAATCAAGAAAGGCAAAAAAAGTTGGCCATCACATTTCACACACTTGTTGCTTCTCCTTCTTTTATGGTATTTCTACTAGTGACTCAACTGACCAGTGACTACCTTTTTTTTTTTTTTGACTGCCTCTAGTGTGAAGTGATTTCGTTAATAACCGGGACTTAGTTTTTTTAAAAAAAAAATAAAAATAAAAATAATAATAGAAAATAATATATACAGAGAAAATGAATATTGATATGAGTTAGTAACTGATGTGACAGACATATATTTACTTAACCGTTTCTTATTATGTTAGTAATTATGAAATTAAAGAAGGTAATAATTTTATCTTTTCACTAGTCACTATCTCAGTTCACTAATTCTAGTAACTAATGGGTAATATTCATAATTTGTTAGCCCCTGAAATTTGTTATGTATGATTAATAGGTGTAACAACATTTTGTTTTCCCCTCTCGTCTTCTAAATTTTGTTTGGAAAACTTTTTTTTTTTTTAATGGCGATAAAAGTACTCTCAATTTATTGGTGCTTATCACTATGATATAGTCCTAGTGGAGTATAAGACGACAAAAACAAATACATTAGGTGAGCCAAAAAAATGCTTGAAAGGTAATAACAAGATTTATCCTAGATAAATTAATTGTGTGGACTTAAGGGAATCGTAATTAGTTGTTGTCCCTAAACCCTAAAGAGAGAAAATTAACTTGTCCAAGGATTAGGTATTATTTGTGATTTCATGTGCGTTTGGTTTGTACAATGTCTTCTCATCAAATCATTTTTACTCCTGCAAGATTAAAAAAAAAAAAAAAGAGACAGTAAAAAATGTTACAACTACTTACAACAAGAGTAACAATTAAGAGGGTAGTTTTGACTCAGGACCGGCTAAGAAGGAGGAGAAAAGGGGTTTAGAGAGGGTTCAACCAAAGAATCTCCAGAGAAGGCACCAATTTTGTGAGGGTTCATAATTTTTTTGGCACTCATCTCATCTTCCCCACCCCACCCTAAAATCCATTCCGATCCGACCCGCAGTTATGAATACCTTGAGATCCGTTTCCCGTTCCGCCAACCAACTCCGGCAGCTTAAACAACTCCACCACCGCTCCCCCACGGTGTCTCCTCCCCCTCTCCTCAACCACCACTCCCTTCTTCCCACTCACTTCTCGCCTTCTCTTCTCGCCGTCCGTCACATCCGCACCGGTCGTGATCCCAGGTTATTCATCTCTGTTCCCTCTTTCCCCCTTTTTCTCTCCCCTTTGTTATCTGAATTGGATATCAAAAATTGAGACTAGTTATTTTTATTCTTTTTTGTAGTTCCGAACGCAGATTTGATAATCGTTCCCCACCCTTCAACTGGGGAATCCACTTTGTGCCGGAAAAGAGGTCGTATATCGTTGAGCGATTCGGCAAGTACGTCAAGACCTTGACCTCTGGACTCCATTTCTTGATTCCCTTCGTCGACCGAGTCGCTTATGTTCATTCTTTGAAAGAAGAGACTATTCCCATTCTCCATCAGAGTGCCATTACCAAAGACAATGTCTACCTCTCCATCGACGGTGTTCTCTATGTTAAGGTTTGAACTATTTTCGTTTTTAATTTGTTTTTCCCTGCTTCTCTGTGCTCTATGTTCACTGAATTTTCTTTTTCTTTTCGTATATTTTAGCTTGTTGCCTCCGTTTTAGCCTCTTGTTATTCAATTTAAAAGGTTAGGAGAATGATTTGTTTCATTTAGGTCTATTGTTTTACATTTCTTATATAGGGAGTCAGAATGGTTTACATAGGCTACCGTGTACTCCTACTTATGTTGTTATTAAGAGATTCTAATATGTGGCTAAACAATGACTACTTATGCAAAAAGGCTCCCTTCTTTGCTTGTTCAATCCTTTTATCAATTCTCGTTGCTATCCTTTTTTAAACTTATATGGTGGAGTGCAAACAGATTGTTGACCCTAAGCTGGCGTCATATGGGGTTGAGGACCCAATATATGCTGTGACTCAACTTGCACAAACGACCATGCGTAGTGAGCTCGGGAAGATCACATTTGACAAAACTTTTGAGGAGAGGGACACACTCAATGAGAAGATAGTGGTAATCAATCTCTCTCTCTATCGATGTTCTGTTGGCGTTGTATTCTGTTTCAACCATTTTGTCCATTATCATCTTTCTCTCTAGAAGCCTGTGGTTTGCTCAATTTTTTTACAGAGTGAGGGTTTCATAAGTTGTTTGCCAGAGCTTTTAGTTCTTTCTTGGAGATTTTATTAGGAAATGGATGGCTCGAACTTCTTCTAAATTTCTTCCTTGACTTACTTTGAAGTAACTGTTTCCTACGTATCACTGAGCATTGGTTTGGATTGTTAAAAGAAGAGCTTTAAATGACCTTTGAAGATGCCCCTGTTTATGTTTCAACCTTATTTTTGAGTTTTGATATTTGACAACCTTTGACCTAAAGAAAGATATAAAAGCTCACCGTGCTTGTGTCTTTTATCCATAATTTCTGTTGTGTGATTGATTACGCATCTATGCTCATTTCTATGTTCTGATAATGGCATGTTAAGAAGTTTGATCAAATGGTAACCGCAATTAGGGGGTTTCTCTTAGTGTCTCTAATTGACAAGAACGAGTTGAATTTTCCTGCAGATAGCCATTAATGAAGCAGCAAAAGACTGGGGATTGCAGTGCCTCCGTTATGAAATAAGTGGGCTACTATTACATCCTTGAATTTAGTTGGTCAAGTGCTGTTATTAGTTGCACTCGTTTATCTGACTATGTGGTTTGGCTTTCCATTTCAGAGGATATATCTCCTCCTCATGGAGTGAGGGTAGTCATGGAAATGCAAGCAGAAGCAGAACGGAGAAAGAGGGCCCAAATTTTGGAGGCTGAAGGTAAAACTTCTGTGTGTGTTTCTTTATCTTGTTTATTATTTGTGGCTGTGATCTATGATCTATGATGACCGCACTTTAATGTGTTCTATCATTCTGTTGCAAGTGCACCACATAAGTACATGAGCTTTTGTTATGACTTTTTGTTAGTAGATCAAGAATTAGGCAAAAGTTGGTCTGTTCTTACATTTCGAAACACTTCAAAAGTAACTGCTTTAAGAAATATAATGTCCTATTCTTCCTGTGGAACTTATATTTTTCACAATTATTTGCTATTCAAAATACCTTCCGTTGAAAGATTGTTTGTCATCCACTGGTTGGTGAATGTTGGATCTTTAGGATCTTGATTAATATAGGCTTTTCATTAATACACTCTCTCAATCAGCTAGGTTCCTTAGAATTTGCATGTACTAATTTGAAGATGTTAGGTGTTCATGAAGGAGGATTGTATTTTTAATTTATTTTGTTGTGGCACTGAATCAAGCATCGCAAAATGTTTTAATCTACCATGGTAATGAAGACACTGCATTGGCTAAGCTTGATGGGTTTATCTTCTCTGATGAATTGGTTGATCATTTGGGTCAGGTGAAAGGCAATCAACCATACTTACTTCAGAGGCTGCAAAGCTGGACCAGGTTAATAGAGCAGAAGGCAAGTGAATATGTTGTTCTTATTAGGTTCTTGGGCACATTTTATTTGCAAGAAAACATTGTGCTCTTTTGCATATTGCCTGGATGATGCAATTTCCTTTGGTTCCTTACCTCGGTTGTTGTAATTTAAATATATCAACAATGAAAATATGTGCTACATCTTTTTCGTTTTAACCAGGAGAAGCAGAAGCCATCCGTGTTAAATCTGAAGCGACAGCAAAAGGAATAACCATGATATCACATGCGCTGAGGGAGAATGGAGGCCTCGAGGTGAGCCTTCGATTTATTTGTCTAAAATCTCAAGCCCGTTGTTAACATTGCTTGCGCTGTATTGAATTTGTTATAATATGTAAACAACTTAATTGTATGAAAAGTTTCGACAAACTTGGCCTTTTCCTTGCTTTTTTTTTTTTTTTTTCTTTTTCTTGTTCAATGCCAGGGATTCCAACAACCTTAGCTATGTAGATCTGAATCTATCTTCATCTGGTTTTAATCATTCATCGAAGAACGTGCACTCATTCATGTTTGTGATTGCTTTGTGCAGGCTGCAAGTCTTAGAGTTGCCGAGCAATATGTCAATGCTTTTTCTAAGATCGCCCAAGAGGTACTACATGTCTGATTGTTGCATTCTTTGTGCTAAGTTGTGGTTTACAAGCAACTCACAAACTATCAATTGATATTTTTTGGACAGAGTACGACAATGTTGCTTCCTTCGAATGCATCCGACGCTGCTAGCATGGTATCTCAATCATTGGCTTTATACAAAAAAGTGATTCTTGATCAGCAGCATTCAGGTCATGATGTGCTCGTGGAGGATCTGAAATCTGCAGGTACATCATCTGCAGAATCATCATCCACAAACAAAACCGATGAAAGATCTGATGGTGAAGAAGCTGCGGTCAAGCTACCCAAACTCAGGAAATAGAAATGTGTTTATATCCGCTAAGAAAGGGCATATTTATTTTGACTGTATTAGGTATATGGAAATGGCTAGTTCTAAAGTAGGCAAAAGGGGGGAGATTTGGATCGGAACCTTGTTTTGCAGGAGAGACATTTCTAGGATCAATTTTTTTGGGGGGTTGCAGTTACATTATCTGAGAAGAAGATGAGAGTGCATGAAAACTGTTTTGACAGTGGTAGTACAGATGAACCACTAGCATTTGAAACATCTCTCTTATTTACTTGGGTGGTCTTCATTACAATTATGATGCAGGGTTTAAATCGAATGATTCTTCCGCACCAATTCGTATCACATGAAGTTTTGACTGCAAAATCCTTTCTTGGCCTGCAATGTTAAGTTCCGAAACTGCTCTAGATTCCACTGAAAACAACTCAGATTCCTCAAAAAATAATTTGAATATCGTAATTCCCCACGATATACATGATACTTTTACACTATATTATAGTAACAAATTAATATTAAGTAAAGGTTGGTGAAGTCCTTAAAGACGGTTTAAGAACTATTTAAGTGAAACGAGAGAAATAGTGATCACCGGCCCAGAGTATCAAACCAAATACAGGGATGAAAAAGGTAACAAATTAATATTAAGTAAAGGTTGGTGAAGTCCTTAAAGACGGTTTAAGAACTATTTAAGTGAAACGAGAGAAATAGTGATCACCGGCCCAGAGTATCAAACCAAGTACAGGGATGAAAAAGATATCAAACGTTCTAGTTTAATAAATAATAAATTTACTTCCACCATATTTACCAAGTTTGCCCAATTTTTAGATCAATCCTAGCATTTAGTTGCCCACCACAAGATTAAACGACAAGTTGCGCAGCTTGTTATAAATTACTTTAATAAGAGTACTCCACAAGTTGCCCAGTTAGTGCTATAATACGGACACACTACTGTAATGGGAGTAATCCACAAAACGTCCAACTTACATTTCCTAGCAAAATTATGACATTTAGACTAGAATTAGAGTTTTTACTCCTAAGCAAACTTCTATTCACTCTCCTCGCTTGCTTTATATGGCCTCTTGCAAAATATGTTTGGTTCCTTGACTATCTTTGATCGCCGCTAGCATGTCTCCCATCTACATCAATTTTCTTGATCTCAAAAGCGACACATTCCACGCCCCAAACCTGAACAAGTTCATTAATCAAATCCTGTACCAAGAAAAGGAATGCTATTAATTTCGACGCTTGCAAAAAAATTCTTTTTTTTCCAGCAAAACTACATTTAATTCTCATCATAACTTTTAGGTTGCCCGATCTACAGAAATCTAGTACTCCATGTATTAGAATAATTCTAGCTACCTCCATCAGTAGGCGCATACTTGGACAGATTCCCCTTAAACTCTATTCACAGATTTACTAGTCAAATTTACAGATTTACTCTCATCATAAACATCTTCACTGTAATCAAAATAAAAGCACAAACTTAAACTCTATTCACAGATTTACTAGTCAAATATACAGATTTACTCTCATCATAAACATCTTCACTGTAATCAAAATAAAAGCACAAACTTAAACTCTATTCACAGATTTACTAGTCAAATATACAGATTTACTCTCATCATAAACATCTTCACTGTAATCAAAATAAAAGCACAAACTAGTGAAAGGCTTACCATAATTTTCTGGTGAACTACATCTCTCTTACTCAACAGCTCTTGGACAGTAAACTGCTGAGCTACATCGTACAAACTTGAGGTTGCCCGTTGTGTCACACAAAAAGTTACATCATCCACCCGATATGCTGTCAGTATAGGTTGAACCACCTGTAAGAAAATCAAAAAAGAGGAAGAACTCTTAATTCGGATGATCCATATCAAATCTGACCCGCAGATTAAGATAGACTGATAAAGAAACACAAAGAGATCAAGGAATAAGAGAGGTTCAATTCTGCCACACAAAACGAAAATACAATGAGACAACCAGATTACCAGACCCCAGGGAGAAAATTCAGCGGCTTTACCTTGAAAGAGAATGTAGAATCTAGCCACACTCTCTCAAAATGTTTTGTCGAAGCGTACATATTGTTCAAAGAGAACGTATGCACCTGGACGGAATATGCAAAAGGTATATACTGGGTGAGGAGGTCAATCCTATGTTTTCCGGGAGTTAAACTTTTTACAAGCACCCCTAGTTCTTCAACGACATAGACAACACCTTCCTCGACTTTCACACTCTCTCCACGAATCAGCGGCGGTTTTAATTGAACACTGTCAAAGGTACGTAACTTTAAACGTTTCGGAGCAAACATGCAGCGGACTATCCGCTTGGCAAAAAAGCTCAAAACTTGGTTCCAAAAATAATCTCCAAAAGAGTCCAAGTTGGCAACTTCGTAGAACCTTATGGCCCTTTGCAACCAATCTAAACCAGGGGACTCTACATCCAAATACCTATCAGTCAAGCAACAGCCAACAACGAAATAACTTTCAATTTCTAAATGAAAGCAGAAAGAACCCCAAAAAAAAAAAAAGGTACGAGAGAGAGGAAGGGGGCTTTCATTACCTGGGTTCAGAGGCTGAAACTTGTACTTCTCCCGTGGCTCGAGATTCCGGAAGGATGGATTCTGTTTCTCCTGGTAAAAAAAAATAAAATGTAGCACACAGTCTCATTATCAATATGTTTAAATTACAGCTACCAAGGTAAGTAACCAAAGCATATTGCATCATCCAGATAACAAGCCAAAGAGCAGCAGGTTTCTTTGCAAATAAAATACGCCCAAGAACCCTAACAAGAACATATTCACTTGCCTAACAAACTTCTCCATTCACGGACTGATCTATCTAGCCTTCTAACGGATGCTTCCACCTTTTCACTAAAAACAATTTTGCCTGGCAATAGGAAACACAAAAAAAGCACCAATAAAATTTAAGTTTGGATCATTTTATAAGTTATAACCTCAAAGATAAAATCTGATTTGTTCAAGTGAGATGTTGTCCACCTAATTCAAATCCAAGGCATACAAGTCCCAACTCCTTAGCCGCCTCATTGACTGATTCCTGTATCAGGAAAACAATTGAGTGCCAACTAATTCCATGATTGTAGTTCAAGACACATGCAATGTGTAGCCACAGTTAGATATCAGATTTCATACACAAATGGTGGAAGGAGGAAAAAACTCCAGAACTGGGAACATGAAATCAAGACTCAGGATAAATGGCAGGCAAAGACTGAACAGCTGATTTTCAATAAACAGCAGAAGACCCTCGCATAACACAGAAGTCATGAAACAAAGAAAGTGGAACAGAACATGCATAAGACGATTTCGTGTGGAAGTAGATAGGAATGCTGGTACATAATACTGAATACAAAATGCTCCATCCGTACACATCGACAGGTGGGTGAAAACAAGAAGCAACTAAACCGAAAACACCAACTAGACGGAAAATGACACATAATTTATGCTGATGTGGCACTATTTCTTCTTTACAATAGACTATAGATTGGTGATTTATCACTCATATCTTAATTTGTTAATTTGCTAAATATGTTAAAACTTTAGGGTTGTTACAAACGGTAGCATTAAAGATAGTTGCCCATCACGCAACTAAAAAGTAAATTGCCCAGCTAATAACTTACTCCTACTATAGTAATACGTAGTACTGTTATAGGAGTACTAAACAAAAAGTCCGTCCACCAACTTGGATTCACCTTAAATTAATGCAAATGAGCAACTTTCACTCGCTCTTTGCTTGCTTTTCCATCGTCCCACGCACGTATATCAATTCTCCCAAGGTCAACACGTAGACATTTGAGGCCCCAACCCTCAGCAACTTCATTTATCAAATCCTGTACCAGGAAAAGGAATGCTATTAATTTCAATGCTTGCAAAAGGTTTCTTTTTTCTACAGCAAAACTACATAAGTTCTCATCATAACAATTTGAGGTTGCCAAAAAAACACACACACACACACACTTTGAGGTTGCCAAATCCACATAAACGTACCATATAAGAATAATTCTAGCTACTCACTAGGCACATACGTGGACAGATTATTCAAGCCTTCAAACTATTCAAATTCTCATATTTATTCTCATCAAAATAGCACACGCAACATCTCCGGCCATCAAAATATAAAAGACCAAATTAAAAGCTTACCATAACTTTCTGGCAAACTACTTTTCTATTAATCATCAGCTCTTCAAGAGTAAACTCTTGGGCTACTCTAAGCACACTTGACTTGGCCCGTTGCTCCACACGAAAAGTGGGAACATCCACCTTAACTGCTGTCAGACTAGGTTCAACTACCTGTAAGAAAATCGAAAAAGAGAAGAACTCTTAATTAGGGTGATCCATAAAACCTGACCGCAAATTAAGATAGACTAACGAGACAAAGAGATGAAGGATTAAAGGAGGTTCTGCCATGCAGTAAAGGAAAAGAACCCAGGGGGGAATTAAAGTTTGTCTTTTAATAAATTAGTAGTTCTGCTTACAAAAGAGTTCTTTAGATTTTCCATAGCAATCCAGCCGAGTACTGGTAACTTCTGATGAGTCCCCCCTCCCCCCTTCCCCAGCCCTTTTAATCTTCAACTATTTTGACAATGTAATTTATAACAAGTGGGGGTTAATACATACATACATGCATACATACATACATATATGATGAAAATTTTGTTTTACCTTAAAGTAGACAACAAGATCCAGCCACACTCTCCCAAAGAATTTCGTGATAACTTCCATAGAGTTGAGAGAAATTGAGTGATCACGGAGAGAGTAGCAATAAGCTACCCGCTGGGTAGCAAGGTTAATAATATGTATTTTTCCAGCGGTTAAGATTTTTGCAAACGCACCCAGTTCTTCGACTACATAGACAAAACCACTACCTACAACCACAATTCCTATAGTAATTGGCGGGGGCGGTAATTTAACACTGTCGAAGATAAGTGAGTTTGCACCCTCCTGGGACTGCACGCCACCTTTCGAATCAGCCAAGTTACTGTCAACAACAAAATAAGTTTAAAATTCTAAAAGGAAAAAGAAACGAGCAAAAAAGGAACCAAAAAAGAAAAAAGGCAGAGGGAGGAAGGGGCTCTCGTTACCTGGGTTCAGAGCTTAGTGCTTCTGACATCATGGTTATTCCATTTGCTGTCGCTTGAGATTCAGCAAGGATGGCTTCTGACTCTCCTGGTAAATAAGAACGAGATGTAGCACACACTTTCATTATCGATATGTTTGAAGTACAGCTACCGAGTTAAGTAACCAAAGCATATTGCATCATCCAGACGACAAGCCAAAGAGCACCAGGTTTTGTTGCAAATAAAATATGCCCAAGGACCTAACAAGAACAGATTCACTTGCCTAACTTCCTTCTCAGTTCACGGGCTGCAATAGTTGCAGCCTGCTTCATAATGGATTCTTCCACCGTTTCATGCTCAACAATTGTGCCTGGCAATAGGAAACACAAAAAAATACCAATAAAATTTAAGTTTGGATCATTTTAAAAGTTATAACCTCAAAGTTAAAATCTAGTTTGTTAGAGCGAGATGTTGCCCACCTAACTCAAATCGATGGCATACAAGTCCCCACTCCTTAGCCGCCTCATTGACTGTTTCCTGTATCAGGATAACAATTGAGTGCCAACTAATTCCATGATTGTAATAAAAGACACATGCAATGCATACCCACAGTTAGATATCAGATTTCATACACAAATGGTGGAAGGAGGAAAAAACTCTAGAGCTGGGAACAGGAAATCAAGACTGAAAATAAATGGCAGGCGAAGACTGAACAGCTGATTTTCAATAAATGGCAGAAAACCCTCGCACGACACGAAAGTCATGAAACAAAGAAAGTGTAACAGAATGTGCATAAGACAAGTGCGAGTGGAAGTAGATTGGAGTGCTGGTACACAGTACTGAATACAAAACGCTCCATCAGTGCACAGCTGCAGGTGGGTGAAAACAAGAAGCAACTAAACCGAAAACACCAACAGGGATGACTTCAGTTGCTGTAAGATATGAACATCTATGGTCTCGACATGCAATAACTTCATAAAAGTTTCAAATATTTCAAGCTCAGAAGGAATCCAACATCTAAACTGATTTTCAGTAAAGGATAATTCCAGAGCTGGGCACAGCCGCACAGGTGAATAAGACTGAGGATCAAAGGTAGGCGAAGACTGAAAAGCCAATCTTTAATAAACAACAGAAAGCCCCTATATGTCATGACATGGAATTCATGTAACTAAGCAATTGGAACAGATAATGCATAAGAAGAGTTCGAGTGGAAGCAGATTGAATGCCGGTACACAGCACCGAATACACGGGCGGGTGAAAATACAGTGAATCAACTAAACCGAAAGCACCAACAGGGATGACTTCAATTGCACTGTTCTCGGGTATGCTTAAGTGTAAGATATGAACATTTATGGTCTCAACAGGAAATCACTTCTTCATGGAAGTTTAATAAATTTTAATCTCAGAAGGAATCCAACATCTAAACTGATATTCAATTGTTGACTTACTTCCGTTCTCTGGCACAAGATAGTCCGTGACTTAAAGATCTCTTCTATGCTCATCTTAGCCATCTCATGTCTCATGTGGTTCCCAGTCTTCCAGACAATTGTAAAAAGTGGGTTTGAGAGGCGATATGATGCCTTAAAAGGGTCCACCACCTAATAATCCATAATGAATACTAAGTTCATAGAAACTTACAAAGACTTCATAATCAATGGTATCAAACATTAAGTTCGAAGTAATTCAAAAATATGACTGATTAGAGGGTTCACATCCTAAAACTAATAATCAATTTTCTGGAAGCTAGGTTAAAATAGTTCAAAAAGATTATTCATGGGAAGGTCATATGCTTAACCTTGACAGAGAAATGTCCATCAAAGGATAGGATGCAGTTATCCTGACTGATAGCCGTTTGCTGCTGGATGAATACAGGTTTGTCTTCCAAATTATACGCAAAAGTTATCCGGTCAACGAGTGGAATAAGCAGATGAAAGCCCTCGTCCAACGTCTTCAAGTACTTCCCCAGTCTTTCGACAACGTAAGCATTTTTGTGTCGCACGGAGACAAATCCAAGATGAAATGCTGGGGGCTTCAAATGAAGTGAGCTTCAAAAAAAAATTATAATAATAAGCAGCAGCAGCAGAAAAAGAAGAAGAATAAAATGAGTGTCTTTGTCATAACGCATAATGATTACCTCAGTCATTTCCAATCAAGTGAGCTTCAAAATAAAAATAGTATATATAACGACAAAATCAATGTTGATTGCCGCATAATGATTACCTCACGCATTTCAGTAGAAGTTATTATATCCTCTACTATAGCTAAGACATTTATCTGGCTCCTATCTACTTTAATCATTATATAAAGCCTCTGCCACTGAGACATTCCAAATAAAAGCCCACTCACCAACATGTACGAGAATCCCACGTTATATTTGGCAGACCATCAGTTGGGTAATGAGTTTTGGAGAGCTATTGGTAAGATAGGTTAAATTTGGAGGGCATTGATACAGGACAGCCCCTAACCGGAGCCAAAAGTAGAACAGGAGAGAAATAATAAGAAGTAATAAATTAAAAAGAACAAATGAGTAGTTGAGGGACTCAAGTGGAGGCAACCAAAGCGTACCAACAAGCACAAATAAAGAACCTTCAAGGCTGGAGGGTGTATACCAACAGCAAACCAACAGAAATAGAAAAAAAAATCCAAAATCAAAACATTCGATGAAAAGATCTAAAATCAACTCAAAACCAATGGAAAATAGCCCAAGCCAATATAGGAAACACTTGTGACGCCTTTCTCAACCACTAGTTGGTTTGAATTATAATGCTAACACCCTAAATTGGAAAGCAAGCCACAGGGGCTTCATGAGAATGAAGGACTAAACCCAACCCTAAAAAGTAGAAGTTCAGCAGAGATTATTTCAATGAGCATTGACAAAGGAATGGTTACGTTTGGAACTCAATCAAATCCCACAAAGAGGACCCCTTTAACTATGTTTCCATCTAGATTAATCTGTTCACCCCTTTCGCACCAAATAATTACTTTAAATTTCTAACAGAACTTCTATTTGAAAAAAAAAAAAAAAAAGAAGACGACGAAGAAAGAGATGAAGGGGCTTAATTTCATTACCAGAATGGTTCAGTCCTGAACGGACGGACAGCAAGGAATGTATGACTAAGCGGACGGACATCATGGAATGGATGCCCAAGTGGCGAGACGGGTCGAACCGGAGATGGACGTTGGCTGTGGCAGAGAATTCGATTCAGCTGCTGCCGGAGTAGCCCGGCCGACCGGCAAGATCTCAGACCCTGCATCATCATTGGTTGAGCTTCCGTTATCCCTTAAAACCCTAACCCTTCCCCTACACTTCTTATATACTACCTCAACTTCCTTTTACTCAGGCCTGGCTCTACTGCAAATTGTCAGCAACAGACCGATTTTAACTTCAATTTATAGAATTATGACGTTAAAGCAAAGGAATTTCAGAAAGGAGAAGGAAAACGAAGAGGCTGTTAACCTCCGCTCTCTGTGACACTCGTAAGCTTCGAGGGAAGCCAATATTAGACTACTAATACTAGGAATAATATTTTCTGTGTATAATTTGGATTTTGGCTTTGACAAAATTATATAAAAGGTCCCTTACATTTTACTAAATCAAAATTTTAGTCCTACATTTTAACATGTTTGTGAAGTCCTTTTATTTCCATTTGTTAACTGTTCCACGAGTTGGGATATGAATTTTTTATTTTTATCGGAAAAATTATAAAAGTAATAAAATATTTTGAAAATAAGAAAAGAAAATAAAAAGGTAAAAAATAATGAAATAATAAAATATTACTGAAAATTTAGAAAGAAACCCAACTACATTGTAAGGGTAGAATGGTTGCGTTGGGTGGTTAGGGGATTAAGATAGAAAAAGTTATTATCAGAAGGTTGATGGTTCGATTCTCGCTATGCCTATCCAATTAAAAAAAAAAACTACATCGTCAATGAATATCATTTCAACAAAAAAGAAATTGGTCAGATGTTTAAAAATTAGAGGCTTCCGAATGTGAATGATGCAAACTCTCACACTGTAATCATTTTTTGAAGGGCTCACATCTTCAACAAAATTGTATGAATCTTCCATCCATAAAACATAAATTAAACTGAAAATATCAATCAACTTAACTTTGAAATCATGAATTTGTAATATATAATGTATATTACAACAATCACAATACAATTAAAATCTTACTTTTATCTTCTTCGAAATAAATTTTGTCTTGCGATTCAATGTTCGTAATGAACCTCAATACTTTTGATGTTTAAATAATGATAAAATCTACATTGAAAAATGAATTTCAAAAGTTTAACATATAATTAAGTTATTTTCAAATGTAAAATATTTTTTACCGTTGATGAAAACCATATAACGCCAACATAAATTAATGATGAATAATCACGAAATTGTCAAAAATATTAATACTTTACACAATTAAAGTAAAATTTATTTGAATTTGAAAAGTATTGCATAGAATGATGACATTTTTTTTTAATTTTAAACGTTTAGCCAACACTGAAAATAACAATGTCTGAAAGTTTAACAATAAATGTTGCAGAAAAAAATAATGAAAACCATACAATAATGGCATACAACCATGAATAAACAATCATCATCAATGAACAATGCAAAAATAAATGCATCAATACTCCCTCCATTTCAAAATAAGTGTCGTTTTAGCAAAATGGAGAAATTTCTAAATAAGTGTCGTTCTCACATTTCAATGCACTTTTTGTCAAAAGTTTCCAAAATTACCCTCAAAAGAGTTGATGCTATTGGTGGACAATTTTATAATGGGGTTGGTTGAGGATATTCGAGTAATTTTATTACCCTATTTAAGAGTTTCTTAAACTATGTGCAAAGTGTAGGACGACACTTATTTTGGGATGGAGAGAGTACGTTTGATGGTTAAATAATTAAAATCCAAATTTAAAAATGCTAAACAAATTTGACCATTGATGAAATTCATACATCGACAACGGAAATTAATGATGAATGATCATGAAATGAACAAAAATATTAACACATTACACAATTCAAGATTAAATTTATTTGACCTTGAAATATATTGCATAAGACGATGATAGTTTTTTTAATATTAAAAATATGTAGTCAACACTAAAAATAACAATTTCAATAAATTTAATAATAAATATTGATGAAAATATTACATTCAACGTTGGAAATATAACTTTCAAAATTGACCATAAACATTGCACAATGAACAATGCAAAAATAGTTTGACCAATTAATCTTGATTACGGGTTTCAGACATTAAGGACTTGTTTGGCCAACATTTTATTTTAATTTTTTATTTGGGTTTGAGATAAAATTTAAAAAGTTATTTGGATAATATTTTAGACCACCACCGGACCACCTCCACAACCGGCGCCGACGCCGGGCCACCCACCGCCGCCGCCGACGGCAAGGGGCGGTCCGGCGGTGGCGGGTGGTGGACGAAAATTGTGTAAAAATAATTTTTGGAATATTTTTTAAAAATTAAATTAAAAAATTATTTAGATAGTATTGGAATTTGTGTGTGAGATGTTTTAAGAGGTAAAATGAGACAAAAAGTCAAAACAAGTGTTGGACAAACAAGACCTAACTTTTTTTAGCGAAAAGAGACATTTATCAACAATCTAACTTATTACATTTTGGGGAAAGAACTTTTAACGTAGTTTTGACACGTGTACTTTTTAGGCGGGAAATTTTTTTAGGAAGTTAATGTTATAGTAGTACTAGGTGTTAGACCCGTTCGATGGACGGGGAAGGCATATACATTTGGACATTTTTACATAAATTTTGTATTTTTATAAAATATGTAATAATTTTAGTTTTAAACAATGTTACCTCTGGATTTACATGAATTTGTTTTTTTTTTAAATGTCATTTTAAATTCACTCATGATAAGGTTTATGCAGATCTCTCTAAAATTTGTTAGGATTTGGTACTCTCTCCAATCAATCTCTGTGTTAGGATTTGGTTCATGAAAATAAGGGTTTGGTTTTTATTATTTTTTTTTAAAAAAAAATTATTTTAGTTGCTTTTTTTTGTTTTACTATTTTATTTTGTGCATTTTTAAGTCTAAGAAATTAAGAAAATGCCACATAAGATTAAATCTTATGTGGCATGTGCTCCAAGCCTTTAGTTTTCTCTCTCTAGTTTTTGTCCTAGTATAGTATATAGAAGATAGATAGATATCTTGATTATATATTCAAAGACTTATTTTTTCCCCCTAAAAAGTGTGCGTGCACATAAAAATCGTGTTAACAATTCCGTAACTATTGCTTCCTGTTGGAGGTGCAACTTCACTTGGGCCGACAACCATTCATGGGTCCGATAAATATTCCTTTATGGTTTATTGGGTAATTAAAAGCCCTAACAATGGCCCAAGCCATCATTGAAAGGAATATTCTCTAGGAATATTCCTTTCACCTTATCTATATATACCCCATTTTTGGTGGTGAAGAGTAAGCTCTTCCTCCTACTCCATTCTTGGCTCACATTTTATACATTCACTCTTGACACTGACTTACTCGTCGGAGTGTTAACCCTTGTTTTGCAGGTCTCAGATCCATAGATACCGTTGACCCTCGTCCTAACAGAATTCACCCTCGACAAGTGGCGCCGACTGTGGGGATCACTTTGCGTTCCTGATTGAAGGTGAATCTTGAGTTCTGGATGTCTATGGATCTGACCAATAAGGGTTTTGAGCTTTGAAATGGTAGCATCGGCAACAAGCCACGTCCGGCTTTCATCTCAGTCCGAGGACGCCTTTATGTCCGAGGACGCCATTTCAGTCCGAGGACGCCCATATATCCGAGGACGCCTCCATGTCCGAGGACGCCCTTTCAGTCCGATGATGCCCACATGTCCGAGGACGCCTCTATGTCCGAGGACGCCATTTCAGTCCGAGAACGCCCATATGTCCAAGTACGCCTCTATATCCAAGGATGCCTTTATATCCGAGGACGCCATTTCAGTCCAAGGATGCCCACATGTCCGAGGACGCCTCCATGTCCGAGGACGCCCTTTCAGTCCGAGGATGCCCACATGTCCGAGGACGCCCTTTCAGTCCGAGGACGCCCACATGTCCAAGGACGCCTCAATGTCGGAAAACGCCCCCATGTCCGAGGACGCCTCCATGTCCGAGGACGCCAACATGTCCGAGGACGATATCTCAGTCCAAGGACGCCAACATGTCCGAAGACACCGTCTTAGTCCGAGGACGCCATTTCAGTCCGAGGACGCCTCTATGTACGAAGACACCATCTCAATCCGAGGACGCCAACATGTCCGAAGACGCCATCTCAAACCGTGAACGCTATCTCAGTCCGAGGATGCCCACGTGACCGAGGACGAAGGCTACCAGTTTGAGGACGAAGGCGCCCACAAAGTCAGCCAAACCCATGGGACCTTTGTGGTCTACGGTACTCCTATGATCCCCGTGACCTTGGAGTATTTTACAAGTCTGTCTCGACCTCCGTGGCCGACGGCATCGCGTGGCCTCCACGGCCTGCGAAATTCCTATGGTCTCCGTGACCTGGGAGCATTTTACAAATCGACCCCAAAAGTTTAAAGAATTATCAAATCGATCCCAAAAGTTCAAAGAATTATCAAATCGGCCCCAAAAGTTCAAAAAATTATCAAATTGACCCTAAAGTTTGAAAACAAGACAATTAGACCCCTGACGAAGATTTTGGGGTCCATCTGGGAGCTTTACAAGCCAATTGCAAGGATCTCGTGCATCATTTGGAGCTCTCCGAGGCTATAGCCCCTCGTCACAACCAAGAAAAGTGTTCTTAACCACTTTATCACCATTCGAGGGTCAATTTTCTTAAATAATTTTATTTGGGGGGAAGAGTTGGATAGGTGATTACACATATTTCCTCCTTGCTACTTGATTATAAATTCAATCAATGCTTAAAGTGATATAGCCAATATAAATACACCATTATGGCATGACATATAGAGAATAGAGCTATCATGGTTCATACACTCTTTGTGCTTTCGAATGTGGTTCGTACTTGACTATGTGCTATGCACCTAGTTACCCTCAGAAATATGAGGAAAAGGAAATAAAACTATTTAAGAAAATATATACTTGTTCTTGGGTAATATATCTATGATTGGTGGTTGGAAAAGGTGGGTTGTTTTTTGAAAATTGGTCTGAAGACGATCTACCCTTCACTTTGAAAAACCATTTTGAAAATTAGATATAATATCCTTTCCAAAGTTTTGAGTTATTGAACGGGTGGCACATCTTTTATCTTGAACACTCGCATTTGTGTTGTAAACAAAGATGTAATCCTTCTTTCGAAACTTTGTTAACAAGTGTACGGGGTTAGTATATAACATACTCTTAATTGCCTTTATGTGTACTAAGAACAAAGGAATAACCTCTTTGGAAAATCTGGACGCCATGCAGGGCTTCACAAATCCGAGGACGTCCACATGTCCGAGAATGCCATCTCCGTCCGTTAATGCCTACATGTCCGAAGATGAAGGCTCATCAGTCCGAGGACGAAGGCCGTCTCGATCCCCGTGATCGACGGTACCGTGTGGCCTTCACGGCCTACGGCACTCCTACGGCCTCCGCGGTCTTGGAGCTTTTTTAAGCCCGTCTCGATCCCCGTGGTCGACGGCACTGTACGGCCTCCGCGGCCTACTGCATTCCTACGGCCTCCGTGGTCTGGGAGCTTTTATAAGCCCGTCTCGATCCCTGTGGTCGACGGCACTGTACGGCCTCCGCGGCCTACGGCATTCCTACAGCCTCCGCGGTCTGGAAGCTTTTTAAGCCCGTCTTGATCCCTGTGGTCGACGGCACTGTACGGCCTCCGCGGCCTACTGCATTCCTACGGCCTCCGCTGTCTTGGAGCTTTTATAAGCCAGTCTCGATCCCCGTGGTCGACGGCACCGTGGCTTCTGCGGCCTACGACACTTCTATAGCCTCCATAGGCCTTGATGCGTTGGAACCTGTATTGTCTTCCAGAAAGCACGAGTTCAAGGCAGACGCTACTTGACAGCCTGGAGGTGCTAGAGAGTCAGTCAGACCTCTTCGACCTTCTGGGGATGAAGGTCCGATCCCGCCACACTTAATCAGGTACATGACATCTTTCTAAGATCTTTTGTAAACGTACCATGTTTTCTTTTTATCTTGAAGATCTAGCATACATGTGAATTGTGCCAACTCAAATACTATAATGATATAACCCATCTAGCCCCAGCCGGTGATGGGCACTAATTACTCCTTGAAACCGTGTCGGTAAGCTTGTGGGTATGAAACTCATATGGTCTTGATTTGCCTTAGGATTAGAAGCTCACGTGGCATTGATCAACCTTCGAGTTTCACACTCGTATGGGTTTGACTTGCCTTCGAGTTGAGCACTTACACGGTGTCGATTAGACTTGGAGTTATACGCTTCTACAGTTTAGATCCACCTTTGAGTCAACAGCCCCTTACGGCATCGGCCATCTTTTGAGTTTTATGCCCAATAAGCTTTCGTTCGCTTGTGGGTTACTTACACCCGTAGTCTCGATCAGCCCTAGACTCGGCCTAATTTCGTCCGTGAAATCCTACTACTTCCTTCCCAAGCAGAGGGGGAGGGCTCTTAAGGTGGACGATGTTGCTTTTTATCGTAACCTACCGGGGCAACAAGCATCAAGGCTGGGGGGAGGGGCAAAGAAGTTAAAATAACACATTTACTTCAAAATCCTCTCAAACTTTTTTCTATTATCATCTCAAATACGATAACTTTTCATGTGCTCGTGTTCATCCAACCGAATGGAAACACGACGAGCGGCATAAGTCATACAGCTTCGACTGACCCTAGGGTTAAAAACTCACATAGCATCGGTCAACCTTTGAGCTCTACAATCATACGATCCTAACTCGGCTGCAAATTATACGCTCTTACAATTTTGAACACCCTGAGTTAACAACCCTCACGGCCTCAATCAAGCCTCCTTATCTCATACTCTCTCGACTCTGGCTCTATCTTGAGAAAGGTACACACACGTACTTGATCAGCCTACGTGTCGTACGAATTCCGTTTTGATCGAACACGGCCACTGGACGGTAATCACCTACGTAACTCCAATCAATTGAGTCAACTAAACTCAACACGTGCCTTCCATGATTGAACCAATAAAAGGAACTCGAGGGGAAGGTCAGGCTATGAGACAAACTTGGCCCAAAAATATAGTTCCTCCTATTAGTCCGGATCCGCTAACACGTTGTATGAGTTAGAAAATACCATAATTCGATAGTCTCCCGGGTTCAAGATAAACGATTACAGGACCAAGTCTTAAACATCGGTTTGAAAAACCCGAAGGGGCAATCTTTATACTTAGCATGAAATGGTACTTACATTCTATGAGGGCCAACTCTGATAGGCCTCGGATAAAATTCCGTGATGGTCTTGTGTGCGCGTCAAAGGGGGAGCAAAAATTCACCAAAGCTTCTTCCTAAATAAGCGTAACAACCATCCTTTCGCTTGAGTGGCCTCCATATTATTCAGTGGTAGCCACATCTTCTATTCTTGCTTCCCTCACCCTCGAAGGAGGAAGCAATTCTCATTAATGAATCCTTCGGGTCGAATCATAATCCCCGATGGTGCATTATTGACTTCAAACAAATTTAACGATAGTCTTCGATGGTGCTATTCGGACAACACTTTGTTATGCTCCGTCGCCATCTTTCTTATCAAAGCGTGACTTCTTCTCAAGAGTTTATATATATATATATATATATATATATATATTACTTGGCTTCAGCAACCAATGTCGCGCTAATCCTCCTGGCTCAGTCCATTATGACGCAGGTCAATGTGGGAGTCTGTTTATTGACTCGTCTAAAGTTTAGGATAAGACTCCTCCTGTTTACCTACGCTTGTGAATATTTTTTTACCTTCGACGATGAAAGGGGCAACCTGTTCGCCCCACCTTCTTCGAGTACGAATATATGCTGATTATTCGTCTCGACAACATTCCTCGACTTACTACAGGCCGCTGAGATTTATGTCTTCTCGACAACGCCCCTCGGTCCGTCCGATCGCTTACACACTTGTCCAAGGGTACTGGCACGAGGATTACTCCTCTTCGCTTATCTGTTGATTATCGCGAGCGTCCTTTTCTGAAAACACCATACGGGGGCAACTTCTTAGCTCTAATCACCTCTCCTGACGGTTGAACCTACCTACTGACTATTGACGTTCCGATGATCATCATACGCTTCTTCACTTATCGTCAGGTTTCACATCTTACTCACGGAACGTCTGTGACGCCTTCGACCTTTATCAAAGCCATCACTGTTGGTTTTCGTCACTTGACAGCTTAACCAACGTCAGCTTATTCTAAAGTAAACTTTTGACTCCTTATTGGTCGTCTTCGGCTGATGATAACCTAACTCAGTACGGAGGTCCATCATGATCCACTTTTCATTGTCTCTACCTATGTAATTGAAGCTTCAGACCTCTTTTGTGTCCGCAGGGGACCGCGGATGCCCTTACTATGTTATCCGACGTATCAGACAACGTCAAACACCAAACTCATGCTCCTAAGCAATTAGTAAGTCGATGATGATTTCCCTCGGTCTACCCTGGGCCGACATGGGTTGTAATTAACTTACGTTGTGTCCATAGAAACCTTTTGGCCTTCTTTGGACCATCATTATTAGCTTATGCTACTCGGCTACTTCTTTAGCCTTGGTTTATCTCCAGCGAGCTTTTAGCTCCTCGGACGTTCATTCTCGTCTATTGACATTCAGATAACATTCTTCTACCGAGTCAGTCTATGCTGTGTCTCGGGTTCAGATACAAGGCTGGGTTAACCTCGGGATCGAACTTTTCCTTACATACCCGCTATTGACCGATCACGCAGCAGTTACAAACTTCTTTCTATCATGCCCCAACAAGGTCTAACCGTGTTGTTATTCCAACCTATCACGTGCCGTCATAAGATTTGACGTTACCTCTCCGAGAATAACCTTCTTTCTTTCGTGATTTCTTTGTTGGATCGGGAATAAAATCCTCAAACGATTTGCACCCGCACAAGTGGCACACTCGGTTTCAGCTTATCTCTGGGTATGTTCGGTAACCGAATGTGACGGTTCCCTCGACAAGGGTTCGACGTGACGATGTTTTGCACTACGATTACAGTTACCTGTTATTACTCTTCAGCCATCACGAAGGGTTATGGGTTTATCCGATCAGGTGGACCCTTGAATGGACGGATCCCCCGCGAGTCCGCACTACAGCTCCATGTTATTATTTGCCAAGTATTGTATTCGAACCCTGTTATTGCATATATGTGCTTCTCTACTAACACTTGGCAGGAGCATTTGTTGGAGGTGCAACTTCACTTTGGCCGACAACCATTCATGGGTCCGATAAATATTCCTTTATGGGCATTGGTAAAATTTAAAAGCCCTAACAATGGCGCCCATCATTGAAAGGAATATTGGAATATTCTCTAGGAATATTCCTTTCACTTTATCTATATATACCCCATTTTTTGTGGTGACGAGTAAGCTCTTCCTCCTACTCCATTCTTGGCTCACATTTTATACATTCACTCTTGATACTGACTTGCTCGTCGGAGTGCTAACCCTTGTTTTGCAGGTCTCAGATCCATAGATACCATTGACCCTCGTCCTAACAGAATTCACCCTCGACACTTCCATTGACAGTATTACAATATTAATTAAATCGGTTAGATATATTGTCGATTGAAAAAAACTTGTTAAGAAATAATTAAAAAATGTTTATGAAAGAATTTACATCGGAGAAAGAAAAGAAAATTCAATTAGCATTTTTTAACTCCACATATTAATAAATTCTTAGGTTTTAACTCAGCGTGCATGTGTAAGCACGAAATTTTTACCACTCTTATTAAAAAATAAAAAATGACCTTAATTTTAGAGTTTGCTTTAGGCCCTTCCAAGGGTTAAGTCACCTCTTCCTCAGTTGTCGTGTTTTAGGATGTGCAAAATCAAGTCCATTTATCATCTATCTTTATTTCCAAAACGTTATTAATTTTTTTTTTCTAGTTTCACTCCTAAATCTTTTCACTTTTGATTATTTATATTTCAATAACAACTGTTTGTGATGGATTTTCCCGGGAATAAAAAAAAAACTACTTGTCATTTTAAATTTTTGCACACTTCAACACCATTAATTAAAGAAAAAATGTGGGTGCACATGATATATATTTTCATACATTGTTTATACATCTGTCTTCTTTTTATTGACAAACTATATATCATTCTAACTCTTTGCCTCAGCAGCTGAATCTTGAAAAATTGGGTTCATCCAGCAGATGTGAAAACAACCGTTCCGATATATTTTGACGTTCATCCGCATCATGAAAAGGCAAACAATCTTTTTCCACCGGGCTCATTACTCACAAACAAAATCCTTTCCCCTAAAACCATCACAAGAAATTAACCCAAGACAGCAATCATACAACGTGGCAAGCGCTTTTTCCCTTCTACTACAACATCTACTGAAATATGCCTGCTCATCATTCTGTTGTGCTAGGATGGCACCAAGATACTAGTACCATATCTCAATTATGTTAATGCACGTTGACGACTTAAAACCCGCAGTTCTAGTGGAGGGAAACTAAAAGCTTAGTTAAAAATGATATTGGGGTGAACTCTGGACTCTCAAGCTTCCTAACTAAATCTTCTTATTTGTGTGGTGCCTTTGCTGCAATTATTCACCAATTCCCTTTCTCTTTCAACCTCGGGAAATTGTTTTCCAATGTCAGTTGCCCACTCTGTTCCCGATCTGCTTTGCAGAGCTGTCAAGTAGTAGATTTTGATTGTCCCTTTGCCATTCAGGTGTTCCGGATCACAGTTCATATGAAGAAATTAGGCACCTCTAGCTCCCACCCAGTTGGCAGTTGGTGACCAATGGGCTCATGTAGGTGTCATTCGGGAAAGCAAATCCCCATCATCTGAAATTTTTGTTGCTCTATTCGGCTTGCCCGCTAAGCTACATTTTATTTTTTAAGCACAAGAATATTCTTGGACGGTTGTTCCTCAAGCGAGCAGGATACGATATGTCCTTGCCAAGTCAAGTAGTGCCTGTCCAGAACGAATTCGACTTCCCTCCAAAACAGCGACTTCACACAGTTGTAACTTTCAGTACAAATCTATTTCCTGATATTACAATCAGTTATTCTTTGTAAAACAGCGACAACAACTCCTATTCTTTCTAATAATCTTTTCCCACTATTTCTGGTAACGGCATTGAGTGCGCCATAGAATTTCTTGTTTCAACTCTTTCACAATTGTTTCTGGTTGTGGAATTCCTTTGCCAAACTACACAGAATTTCTCTGTTTCCAGAGTTGATGGACAACAGCAACAATGGTAGCATATAGTACTGCTTTCTTAACTTTGCATTGATTCCAAATTTTCAACATTTTATTCATCCATTGTTTATGTTTCCTGACAGTCTTCCGCATCCTAGCCATGCTTCCAAATCACTTCGAACTTGATCAGAATACTTGCATAGGTGTTCTGCTGTTGCTTCCTGCTCATTGCACAACTAGCACTTGATGAGTGCTTGCTACAAGATTCAGTTTAACTAACCTGTCAGATGTCTACAGCCTTCCTTAGGATGCAATCCAAACAATTAAACTATCCTTAGAATACTTACTCCAATTTATATGAGCTTCTCTACTTTTCTCTATATATCTCCTCGAATCCATTGATATCCTGATTTCACAGAATTAAAGTCCCAATTTTGTACCCACCCATTGTTAAAACCATTCTTAATGTATCCTTTACCTTCATATATAAATTTGGGTCATTGTTTTGCTAAATTTGCCAAAACCATTCCCAGTAATTGAAACACTACAGAGTGACCCTCAGTAGGCACTGGACCATTCCCCCAGTTTGGTTTTTCCTCAACAAAAAGTTCCCTACCGATCATTACTCAAAACAAAATTGAAGTTTTTGAAGGATGAAAGGAGGACTCAAATCAACTTGCCCATAAAACTGTCCAACGCGGACTAAATTTCAACAGGAAGCATTGGACTGAGTTATGAAACCTGTCACCGAGCAATTCTAAACCCATTTAACCCAACTACCAAAACTATCAAACCTCTAACTGAATACATGACCAAGATTATGAAATAAAAGTAATCATTGTTTTCTTGGAGTTTATCCAAACTCATTGATCAATCGAACTCAAGGTAAAATGGGAAATCCAAGCTACCACAATTAAAAACAACAAGAAAGACACAATATTATTAGCTAGAGATTGCAAATTAATCCAACACGAAACTCTAATTCATTAGAAGTGAAAATTTAAACTAAATAATATAGTATCATTGAACAAATGAACATGAGTTACAAGAATTTACAACCAAAAAAGGATGAGAGAAACACAATACAAACATCCGCCAGAGATAGAAACTCTCAATCAATCAATTAATCAGTCAGCAAACAAAAATAATAACGAATCCTTTGTTTCAGAGAAGACCGAACAAGACGAAGATGCCAAGCAAGATGAGCCAAACGATGTGGACCAACAAGAGGGCTTGTCCGGAGAGTGGGCCAGAACCCCCGTTTCCAACCTCGCAGAACCCCAGCTTAGCCACCCTGGTGCCGGAGCAATGCGCGTCCTCACAGCCGCACCAGTAGGTGTTTCCGTCCACACCGCAAACGGGGTCTGTCCGAAAGCATTTGACCGGGCAAGATAATTGATCGGTGTCGGGTTTTCGGGGGCAGAGGTGAGAATCATCGGTATGCTGGTCGGCAAGGTAGTCCGACGACGGCAAGCGCAACAACGGATCGAATGATCGGACGGCGGAAACGAGGACAGCGACCACGAAGAACAAGGTGAAAAAGGATCCTGTTAACGGGGAGAATTTCGCGGCGTTGGGCATGATTAGAGAGAATCAATTGGAATAACAAGGGATTGAATAGTTGAGATGGAATTAGGAATTGCAAGCCCTAGAATTGGGGAATTGGGGGAAAACTTTCCAATTAGGGCTTGCGGGTTTGGTTGATTGGAATTATTGACAATCGAAAAACATCTCTGGACGGAGGAAAAGAATAAAACCGTAGACTAATTAAAATGAGTTGGATTTCAGGTGAGCGGGCCCCTTGCCCATCCTCCTTTCCGTAGGTGAGCTGCTTTTAACTAACACGACTATTTTCTGTATATTTAGAGGGTGTCCATCACGCACATATATTATTATTATTATTATTATTATTATTATTATTATTATTCTCTCGTTCCAGAATAATTATATTATATAAAAATAAAATTCAAATTATACAATTAATTATGAAAAGAGTATTATTCTTCTTTTCTGAATGGTGTTTAAGAATATGCTACATTTATTAAAAATCCTAAATTGAGATAGATATCGATTTTCTAGAGATAATATATTAGTTTGACTAATAGTACTCTATATTTCTCGAAAAAACAACACATATTTTAAATTATAAATTTTATTATCTTTAATATAATATAGTATACTTTTTATACAATGTGGACTATTTTTGGTTGAACAAAAGTAATATAAATCTTAAAATTTGTGGTAATTTTTAGTTTTTATATTTTACAATTTTGGAGTAGAATTTTATTTTTCATCTGGGAGATGCCCGGGAGAGAACATGCGAAGCAATTTGGTAGTAGAGTTTGCATGTAGATACAAAATGATCAAATTCAATCTGTTTGGTTTTGTTTTTTATTGTGTTTTTTCAAAATGAAATATTAATTATTATCCCGTCTTAATATATATTTATACATTTTTAATATATCTTTTTACATTTTTAATAAAAAAATACTTAAAAATACACACTAAAAAAATAATCCAGACATAGAATTTACTTTTTGTGTGGCTGAATATTCAATTTCTGCATCGAATTATCATTTTATCACTGGTATTTTGAAATCAGTAAAGTCCAAACTTGACAGCTAGGATTAAAAAGGCAAAGAGCATAATCCCATAAACTCCATATAATTTTATTTTCTTTTCTCCCCCTTTTCATTATCATCATCTTCTAGCTGGCACTTGCATTGGGCAAATATAGTAATTATTTAAGGGCCATTTTCTATGTTTATTATTGTGCTTCGTCATACCTTAAGCACCAGAGTTGTTTAGTTTTATTCTAATAAAAAATATTGTGTCGTCTATATATAACACAAACGCTAAGGTCAATGGGAATAAACTATAACATTAAAACTAAAAATAATTTAAAAGGAACTGCAAATTACGCATATGGCATTTCTATTTTCGTTACATTTTTTAGATATGCTACTCTATCATTTGATGTTCTAACTTTAGTCTAACTCCCGTTTGGTGGGGCTTCGAGTCTCCCGAAGGGCCTTGAGCCGCCAAAGATGTTAAGCATAACTCATTTCTATTTATTGTTGCAATGTTTCATGGATATAATATTTAATTCTTTCCGTCTCGAAATAATCATTATAAAAAGTAAAAATTTAAATCAGACAATAATTTTGTACTGAAAGTGAAAATTTAAATTGAAAAATAATATTGGTGTAGAGTAAGTGCTAATTTACAAAATTTATACGTTTACTACCAGTAAAAATTACGTGGACGTGAATGTGTGATGAAGATATTAGTCATTAAGTTAAGAACATCGCTCCCATACAGGGTTCGTCATTTGTATGAAACAAGGTTAATTTGTGTTATTATGCATGAGCAGTTATCATATAGTGTATGTATGTATGGAGTTGTTCCTAGTAACAAATTAAAATAATAACGGCAATAACTAACTTTTCCAGACAGCTCTATGATGCAAAAAGCCAAGACGAACAAAGAAAAACACCCCCGAAAACAAAGCTGTCCAAAGGTAAAATAAATAGAAACCAAGAAACAAGCTGAACCCCACATTCTTCTTGTCCACATAATTCTTGTAACCAAACGAACTCCAACCCTTCAAATTTTTTGATTTTCTATATAATCTCTTCGTTTCCCAAATACTGTCCCTCAGCCTCAACAAGACAAATTCTTTCCTCAGAGCAAGAAAAACAAAAACAAGAAAGTGAAGGAAGATTTTCTCCAGCCCTTCTCCTAACTCGCCTTCTTCCACTTTGCTTAACAAAAAATTAAGTGAAATCATGGGAGGCTGTGCGAGCAAACCTAAGGATTTGGACAGCGAGCAGGCTCCTGCCCCTGTCGAGAACCCTGAGAAGGCTGAGGTTTGTGTTTTTTTTTTTTTTTTTTTCTTTTTCTTGTATTTTAGATTTCAGAATGTATTTTGTTTGTTCATTAATAATTATTACCATGTTGGCAAATGCAAAGCAAATCTACATACCCGGATCACGCACCATATGCGTGTCAAATGACTAAATGTTTTCGATTGGTTCCTCGTATTGGTTGTTTTTATGCATACTAAATTTGATAATGGGTGGTTGGAATTTGTAAATTTGAAGTCCTGAATTCATTCAGCCTAGCTATATATGAAAGTCGCAATCAATCCGGTAGAGACACAAAAATGATGAATTATTGATCATGATGACTAACATTATTATTTATTATTTATTTTATATTTTTTGGTTGAAAATTAATTTACCAGGAGAAAACAACTGAGACCAAAGCAGTGGAAGAGCCTCTAGTGGATCTTTCTGAACCGGCAGCTGCTGAGGCACCCAAGGTTGAGGAGTTGAAAGCAGAAACCCCGATTGTCGCCGCCGAGGAGGCCGAGAAGCCGGTTGCTTCTGAATCAACGACCGAAGAGGCTAAACCCGAAGAGCCAAAGAAGGCTGTAGAGGAGGAGGAGCCAAAAAAGGTGGCCGAGGAGGAGCCAGTATTGAAGGAAGAGAAGAAAGAGGAGGCCCCTAAACCTGAGGAAAACTAAAAATCACTATACGTTGTAGTTAGCCTTACAAAAAAATTAATTATGACGACGATTATGCGGTGGGGGGAAAAAAAAAAGCAAAGAAAGAAAGACTTGTGTTTGTATGATCTTAATTACAGAAAGTTTTTAGAGCATTGAGGTTCAGGAAAATGTGAAATCGGAACTAAAAATCTCTAATTGTCAATACATTCAAATTTCTTTGGGGCTCATTGTAATAATCTAAACGCATCAATAAAAATTAATCTTAACGCATCATCATTCTTGGAGTACGTCTGAGCTAAACTGTACATAATGTGAGCCTGTTTTGCAGTCCGGATGCTACGACAAGTTACCAGAAAATTCTAGTAAAATAACTGACCAGTTGATGTATGCCTTATTGTTGGAATTTGGTGGAGCTCCCAGATCCTGCGATAATCTTAGCACTAAACTACTAATTAATTGTTCTCAAAAGTCAAAGGAAAAAGTATCCCTTTTTTAAAACAATAATAACGATATGTGCATGGAAAATTTCATAAGAAAATATATAAAAATGATCATATCAATCTATTTTTAATATTTGTTTACGGCTTATGGATTTAAGATTAAGTGAATAGCTAAAATAATTGACATATTATTCTTTGTAAAAATTTTTTTTTACTTACATCCATCACTGCTCATTCTAAAGTAAATTTAATTCAACCGTTTTCGTACGCACTTAAATATGGTAAGCAAATGACTATATTATCTTCCATCTCTTGATAGTACTATTTTCATTTTGAGGTTAATTTTGTAAATTTTGAAAAAAATTGTACTCCCTCCGTCCTAAAATTATTGTCCAGTTTGAGATTTTACTTTTAGTTGTATTGTTCAGTTTGAGATTCAAACTGGACAGGACAATAATTTTGGGACGGAGAGAGTATTTGAATTGAGAATGACACTTAATTAGGAGTTGCTCCACTTTACTAATAAGTCTAAAACCATAGTATTTATTTCAGAATGTATATAATTAGATTTGTACCAATACTACTGTTTGTGTTTTTGCCATTTCTCAATGCCAATAGTACTAAAATTGTACTACCTCCGTCCCACAAAAATAATCCATATTGTGTTATCAAATTTGTACTAAAAACAATATAAAACTCAAAACTCAACGTTGACTATTTTTTGGGGAGAGAGTACTACTGATAGTAAAGATAAACGATAATAGCAATGTTAAAATGTGAAGAGGAAGACACAAAAGGGCAACGTCAAGGTTTATTCAATATGATCAGCATTAAACAATGAAGAAATGAAGGTACAAATTCAAGTTTCCCCAAGAACATTTGGAAATTGGAATTGCAGGTTTCTAAAGAAACTCATCAGAAGTAGTCGATCAAAATTAAGGGTTTTCTTTTTTTGCTTGTGGAAAACATACTACAGACGAAATCAGGGGTGGGGGGAATTTTTCTGTTTCAAAAGTATATATGAATATGTAATATGTACTAAACACATACATACATATATCATTCGTATCATTGATTGGGGGGTCATCGGGTTTTGTTTGTATCAATGGAAAGCAGACAAAACAGATTTAGGGGGTTTCCCATCGGGTGATTCTTCTGATTCAGGGTCATCTTTCACAGCCATTATAATGAGAAGGGCCAACAGAGGATAGCTGATGGTACACAACAGCCAGTTGGCCACTAATTGGTTCATAAACGGCGCTTTGTGTTCGTCCACTTGCCATGAAATCGCCGCCCCTGCACTCTGCACCCCTTTGTAGAATCCAGCGTACCTGACCCCCACATTAAAAAAAAAATTAAAGAAAAAATAAAAAGGCCAAAATTGTGCCGTATATATGATGAGCTTACAGTACTGATTATGAAAAAAAAAGAGTAAAATAAAATAAAAGGCAATCAATTGAAAACGAGGATTAAATAATGTAAAAGGGGGTAACACAGAATATTGCTGAATCATTAGAGGGTGACACCAAGTGTGGGCACAGTGAGTCCGTTGTATTTTCAACAAAAATTTCAACAATGACTAAAATCGGCAAATTGCCAAAACTACTTACTACTCGTATATGATCTTTTCTTTTATCTTTTCTAAGATGATATTGAGAGTAGGTCCGTCATACATTAATGCACTACATATAATAAAACTTAAAACAATCCCTTCAAGGGGCAAGACATGGAGGAAGATGTGAAAGACCGAAAGTATGCTTTTGTTTATTTTATTTTGTTTTATTATTATTATTTTTTTTTTGTGGGGGGTAATGACTGAAACCGTGAGTTGAGTCATCCAGTCCATGTCATTTACATATTCCTTAAAATTATTCCTTATCAGCACAAGAAATTATTCCTTATCATCACAAGATTCATTAAAAATTATGTCATGTGTAATGTATAAGCAAATAAAAGATAAAATAATATTATTTCCGTCTCACGAAAATAATTCACATTAAATTTTTAAATTTGTACTAAAAATAATACAAAATTCAAAATTCAATGTGAATTTATTATTTTTTTTAGGACGGAGGGAGTAATAAATATAAATAATAACTTGCGTCCTGTGTAATGATGGATAAACACATAAAAAATTAGTAATAAAAATACTAATAGGCTTTAATCCGAGTCAAAGAGATAGGAGTATTGACCTGCTGAGAATCTCGGAATCATCCGCCAGAGCTCCGATGACCCAATAAACCATACTCTGAAACATGGCATCCAGCAACCCGTAGCAAAAATACAGCACAAACGGCCCCGCAAAATCCGTCCCGTCTTTAAAATCCAGCTTATCATCCGGCACACTGTCCCTTCTATAATCCAGCTGCTTCGCCAGTCCGCCACCCCAAATGGCGGTTCCGAGCACGCCCACCACCGCGATCCCAAACAAACCCCTTTTCCTCCGACTCTTAAAGCTGAAATCCATCAAGTACCCGATAAAAATCGACCCGATCATCTGGGCTCCCCAATAAAACACGTTGTTCAATCCCCGGGTCCGGAGATTGAAGAGCGCCCCGTTGACGTTGTTGAACTGGTACGAGTAAAAGAAGTTGCTGGCCCACGCAGCCGGCACGATGAGCAGCATCTTCCAGTTTAGAAACAGTTTGAGGATTTCAACGGCTTCGGTTGCGGGTTTGGAGTACTTGATATTCGTACACGTGGACCCGTCGTCCCGGACAACCCGGCTGGGATGGAGGATGGCCAGGGAAAGCACGGCTCCGATGGACATGAAGACCATGAACCCGATGTAGGTCCCATCGTTGACCGAGGCGGCTTTGGTCCGGTGGTAGTTCGACGCGAACGGAATTAACCCGCCGATGACTCCGCCCATGTTGAAAATGCTCCAGAACATGGAAATGTAAGTCCCTTTCCGGTCGTGGGGCGGGTATGACGTCATGATGGCGCCTTGGGCTGCCCAGAGGAGACCCGCCCCGACTCCGAGGATTCCGCCGGCGGCGACGACGAATCCCTGCTCAGGGTGGTGATTGTAATACAAGAAGCTGCCTGCGTAGAGGACGTAGGTGGAGCATCCGGCGAAGAGAGTTAGGTGGGGTCCTAAGATGTTGTAGATTCCACCACCAAGGACTCCGAAGATGGCGAAGGTGGTGTAGAGCGCGGTGAGGGCGTTGTTGGATGCTTTGGGGTCCACTTGGCCGCCTCCGCCCATGCCGGAGAGGGCGTTGAACATTCCTGGGCAACAAAAACACACTAATCCGATCAACCCCACTTGCACAAACGGCGAATTGTATCTGAATCTGTTGTTGTTTTTAGCTGAGACTTCTCCCACCTGGGATGACTCTGTAATTTTCCCGTTCTCTTCTTTTGCGCCGCCGCCGCCGCCGGCGTCTCCTCCTCCCAGATCCATGATCCCAAAGTCTGCTGAATTGGTTTGTATGAGATTGAAATGATTAAAGGAATGGATGGATGGGATGAGGATTAGAACGGGATTTTTACAATTACGAATCTGCCTTATTTATACTTAGTAAGTTAGGAATCTTTTGGAGTTTCCCATGAATCCGGCCATTCTCACAGAAACGATAAAATTGATGATGTAGCAATAGCATAGCATTACTTAAATTTTGTTTTTTTTTTTAATTAAAAAAAAATCAAATGCTGGATGATGAGTTCATGATCCTCTTTGGGAAGCGTATATGTATAAAAATTAATTTTTTGAAGCATAACTGTATATATTTAATACTGCTACTAAATATTCATATATTCTCTTCGTTTCGAACAATAATCGCAAAGGTAACACTATTTTTTGTTTTTAATCTATTACAGCATATACTACCAGCGTCCAAAAACCATGCTTGAAACCTGCTTAATTTGTGAACTGTGAGTTCATTAAAAACTTGTTTAGCATTTAGCAAAAGACTAAAATGTTCAAATGGTCTCTTATATGTGCGTTTACTCGAATTTACGTCTCTAACATTAACATTTCAATATCGTAGTACCAAACATTATGTTTTCAAATTTTTTTTTGTCTTATTTCATTATTTCCGGTCATTGACATACCGGAATCAGAATTATTTCCGTCTTTTAATTTAATTTGAATTTCTGTTAAAAATTAAATGATTAAAAATATTTAAAATTCGCATTTCATTATTTAATATGGCCCCACATTCATTTGACTTTTTTAAAAACTAAAAAAAAAGAAATTCTTTCCGTCGAATTTCTTGCCAAAATTTTTCTCTCCTCTCCCCTCCTCCCCGGCATGCCCCAGCCCTTTCTATCAATATCAAAAAAGCAAATTTCCGAGCCTCCTCAACCCTTTTTTTTCTCCCAAAATTTTTTTTCCCGTCCCGCACTGTAGATCCACGCTATTGAGTTTATTTCCTTGCCATATAGATATTAGCGTGGGAGAATTGGATGTTCCTAAGAGTTTTGATTCATAATTACTCCCAATTATTGTTCGATTCGATAAAATTGTTTCTTTATGTATGATTCTGTGACTTAGTGTACGATTAGGATTTTTGGATTTGGCCGGGAGGGGGGACATGTTCATCAAAATTATAAAGAGAGGGCACCATAAGGTGTCCAAATCAAAAGGTGAGGCATTACGACTACGGGCCGTTTCGGAGTTCTGGCTCTATTTCCACCTCCAATGTGGTGGTTAACCATGCTTTTCGCCCTGGAGGTCTGGCTACTTCGGTTCAAGCTCCGTCAACAAACTCTGTCGTTGCAGCTCCAATGATTAAATAGGATTACTTAGATTGTGTTGCCTGATGGGTGGTGGTCGTAGTGGCGGGTGGCCGGCGGCGGCGGCGGCGGGGTGAGAAGAAGAGAAAATGGATTTTTTTTTTTTGTTACGAGAGCTTCTTAATATGTAATTGTACGGTGCCTACTGTTTTGAATGCATTTATGCGTTTTGATCAAAAAAGAAAAAAAAAGGGGGGGAGAAATGGGTTTGGTTTGTTTGAGTTATTTATGGTTTTTGGGTTTTTCTTAAAATATTTTTTGACAATTAAAATCTAAAATCAACAACTTTAAGGCCCCGGAAGTCATTTTTAATTGTATTAAGTTTTAATAAAAACAAAAAATAAGAGAAAATTATTGAGTCAAACTAGTGGCCTCACTTTCTCGAAAATTAATAAAAATTGAGAATTTAACGGAAAAATAGTTGACCCATTAACTGCTCAAAATTTTTGTTAAATAGATTAAAATTATTGAGAAAAATATTTTAGGAATCTATTTTTACCAAATAAAAATTCATGGTGACTCGAGTTTGTTAGCCCCAAACTTTGAGGCCCAAAAGTGCAACATAATTATCGTTTAAGGTTTTCTGTGGCAGTCAAACTAAAATAGTCATGGTTTTGCTTTTTTTTAAAAAAAAAAATTGAATTTTGAAGTATTTACTGAAACTCGATAAATTTTTTAAATTACGGTAGGCCCAAGATTAAAAGTGTAACATAATTACCACTTCGGGTTTACATTAATGGTTAAAGTAAAAAAAATCTTGGGTTTAGTTTTTCTTTTTTTTTAAAAAAAAATTGAATTTCAAATTATTTACTGTAACTCGGTAAATTTTTAAGTTACAGTGGGTCAAAAATTAAAAGTGCAACATAATTATAATTTATTTTGTACTTAGGATAAATGGTAAATGAAAAAATTAATTCTAAAATTTTATAATAATATTTTAAATTAATAAATAATATTTTAATAATTAAATAATAAAATGTGAATTTTAAAATATTTTTAATGATTTACTTTTTAATGGAAGTTTAAATTTAATTAAAAGACAAAAATGCTCCTGATTTCTGTATGTCAACGGCCGGAAACAGTGAAATAAGACAAAAAAAGTTTGAAAACATAATGTTTGGGACTACGATATTGAAATGTTAGTGTTAAAAACATAAATTCAAGTAGACTTAAATGTAAAAGACCATTTGGATATTTTAGTCTTAGCAAAATCACTTGCTCATCATCCGAATGTTGCACTGTCACAAGTCACAGTTTAATATGTTCAGTATATGAGAATTTCAATTTATTTGTTGTACTTTTGGGAATAAGATTCTGATTATGGACGGGATCATAATTGGTTATTATAGATTCCCTTTTAAATTTTAATCACGGTGTTTATATTTTAACATTTTCTTTCTGACATTTCTGTACTGTTCAAGACTTAAGTTGACTCGCACAGCTAATTAATGGTTGCTCTTTGATTTTGTTTCTATGTGACAGCTTCGTGGGTTGTGTCGGAATCTCCAATAATCCATTGACAAAATTACAATAAAAATTCGAGCTAAGCTTCTACAGCAAATGATGGATTGAATTCGGGAAGTGATGCTTAGTTTAATCAGAAACTAATTCAATTTCGTTAATTCTGAAATTTGTTTAAAACAAAATAAAAAACCACCCAGGCAGTCTACTACGTTCGGCAAGACTGGGAGTGGAGGGGCGTCTTTGACTGTGATTCCGATGGTGTGTCTTTGAAAGCTTCAATACTAGAATCTCCATAGTCTTTCCTCCTCTATTTGTTGACTTTTAGTGTGCCTTTCTTTTTTATTGTAGGAATCATTAATTTTAGCTTTTGTTCTCCGGACAGCCATATTTTGGTCTGAGGGATGCCTTTTGAAGTTGACGCCTTTAGTTTCGGGTGTTTTCTTCCCAAAACGCCCAAGTTGAACCAATTTACCGTACGTAACAAAATTCATTTACTTTCCAAAAACAAGCTTTTTTTTTTCTTGGTAGCGGATTAGCAGCAGTCTTTTCTTGAACAAAACTAATCTCCATAGTAAACAATTTAGTAAACTAAGAGCATCCACAATAGTAGTAATAGTGGTAAATAACAAGTAAATAACTATTTTATTATACTGTTTATCATTGTGTTAAGTGTGATAATATTATAGGGTATAAGAATTCTTATACCGTATAATACACTTTTTGGTGTTAAAATATAATTAATGTGAATTTATAATAATACTAAAACAATTTCATTTTATTACATTTTTAGAGTGTAAACCAATATAGTGAAAAGTAAAATAAAAATATAATATTGAAAATTTATAACATTATATTCACAATAGTATAAACCATTTAGGATGCTCTAATAAAGTAGTATAGAGTAGCGGCAAATCAAGTTTAACGTCATATAAACCTTTACCTTAAATGATATAATGACAAATGGGGGAGAAATCATCGCATTCAAGCCTGCAAGATCGATTTCAACATTTTGTTAATTTGTTGCTTGTCAACCTCAATCATCATTAATTCATTGTCCGAAGAATCCATCAACTCAAGAAAGTAACGACCAAATTGAATAGATAGATAAGTTTTGCTCTGTATATATAGCGAGCTTTCTTTATTATTTATTAATTTAAACTTTTATTTTTCTTTTTTTGCCTCTTGTTCGTTATAGAGTACTTTGTTTCAATTTTGTACACCCTTTTAATTTTATTAGTTTATCTTGTTGTACTATTTTAGTTTTAACAAATCAAACTATAAATTAAAGTAAAAGTAAGACAGCGAGAGTAGCATGTGACATACACATACCCAAAAAAAAAAAAAAAAGAAGGAAAAACAATTGCAATAAGAGGTTTCTGAGCAATAGTAATATGGGGAGGATTTAAAAACGACATTTCACGTGCATAATGGTAAGTCGACAACAAATGGAGAATTTTGTCAAAAATATCGCCGGCCGTGGCCGGCAAGTGAAAGGCAGCTAATGCAGACATCGTCAATGGTGCCTTGGAATTTAGGATGAAAATGAAGGATTGACTGTACAATAAGGAAATTGGCCATAATTTAGTAGTAGTATTTGTAGTAGCTTATTATATCGGCACCCTAAAAAAAGATTAAACATTAGCAACGCCGTGCCGCATAAGACAACTATGCTTGCTTTGTTGTGGTATCAAACAAATACTCCTCATTTTTCTCCATTTTGGATTTCCTTGGTTGATTTTATATTGTGTTCACATCGCTACTTCATACATATAGATTTTTATTACTATCTCCGTCCCATAATTATTGTCCAGTTTGAATTTTCATTTCTAGTTCAAATTGTACTAAAAATGAAATTTCAAACTGGGCAATAATTTTGGGACAGGAGGAATACAAATTAGTTTTAAAAAAACTATACTGGTCCTGTTTTGACTTTTGAGGATCTACTATGTGTAATAATAATTTTTTTTTCTTTTTACATATTGCAGAGTACCCATAGTTGGCAACAATGATTAATCCCCCTCGCTAATGATAGGTATCTCGATGGATGAAAAAGCTGGTCAAAGGATTAAAAGTTATTCTATATGCCCGTAGCTGAGGTTCGAACCCTCGACTTATGTTTACGAGGAAAAATAAATTAAATGTTGCCTATACATGTTCGTGATTTATATTTGGGCTGATTCAATTAGCCCTCAAATACACACGTAACAGAATAAAGTAAATTCAGGTCCAAGCTAAAGGATTAGAAATCTGTCAGAGTTGAGGCCCATCAGCCCATTCTGCCCTGCCCTCACAACGGTCACACTCATATACAGCGGCTCATCTCTTCCCCCACAAAAGTTATCCCAAAAAAACCAAAATGTTGTCAGCTACCGTCTCCGGGAACTCTGTCACCACCGCAACCACCGTCGGCCGACGGAGAATGTTCTCTGTTATGACACGTATTTCTTCCCCTCGTTCATACAAAATACTAGCATCATCAATGACATCCTCGGGACTCACAGCAACACTGAAAACGACACCCAACAAGGATAAGATAGTGACGGACAGCCTGAGGGTGTTGGAGTGGGACAAGCTATGTGATTCCGTGGCCACCTTCGCCGCCACATATTCAGGCAAAAAGGCCGTCAGAGAACAGCTCTGGTCACTGGATACAACTTACGAGGAGAGTTTATCACTGTTGAATGAGACCAGTGCGTTGGTGCAGATGCACGACTTTGGAGCCATGCTGGAATTCATCTCCATTGACTCCTCACTTGTAAATTTCTCACTTTCATTCAAACCCTTCCCTTCCATTCACGGTTCTCCGGTTATAATTGATATTGATAAGAACGAAAACCACGCATACACACACAACAATGTGGCTAAAATCATTGATTAATTGTTAGTACTTCTCTCACGGGAAGATTAGCAACCAAAGGAATTTAATCTTAATGTGATGATGGATATTGCTATTGTTGGCTCTGTTCTTTTAAATTCAGATAACTAAAAGAAGCAACGACGATTATAAATAAGTCGATTATGACCTAGGATTGAGAATCAGAATGATGAATAGAAAGTGGCAGTGAAACGTATACAATTAATTCTCACGTAGAGTTCTCATTAGTGATTATCGTTTTCATTCAAATGCCACTTCAATCGAGGTGAAACAACCGAGTTGAAAGAGAATTAATGAACCATCATTATTCTGCCTTGTCCAGGTGGAATTGGCAATACAATGCGCAAAGAGGGATTCTCCTGTCAGTGCACAGGAAGCAGTGGCTGTCCTCGCACTACTGCAGTTTATGGAATCCTTGCAGTTCAATCTGAAAGCTGCAATAAAGAGAGACTCTGAATGTTATCAGCGTTTCATGCCTCTCTCTCAGAGGGTGACTATTTCATTTCTTCTTCATTCCCATCTTACGATATGAATTATTGTTTAATGTATGATCAGCCACCTCATTCTGCTTGTATTGTAAACTTCTCGAATATGGGAGTTGCATTAAGAGATTTAAATGAACTTGTCTTGAAATCTTTGGCAGATTATGGAACTAGTTGTGAGTAGATCCTTGATGAAGTACATTCAACAACTAATTGATGAAGATGGCTTCGTTAAGGATTCAGCCGTATGATCTCTTGCTTCTTCGTTTGATTTTTCTTTTCTTTTCTTTTTTCCCCCCTTCTCTTTTGACCTCAAGTTCTTTTCCTTTAATTGATAAGATTACATCACTTTACTTGATACTAAATCTTCATGAAACGGTTATACTGGATTGACGAAGTTCTGAAACTTATATGTTTTTGTTCTTTCTCTATCACAGAGTTCTGCCCTAAAACAATCCCGTGATCAAGTGCGGTTTCTAGAAAGGAAGGTACAAAATTCGCAACTGTAATTTTCATTAGATCTTCTAGCCCTTTCAGGGGATAATGATTGTCTATTTCACACTTTTTTAATCGTATTTGAGAAAGAATACCAAGCTAGCTAAAGATGGAAGCAAGGTCATTAGTGGTCTCAGGCTGTTGTGTTGTTTGCACTTTTTTATCGAGGGCTGTATCCAATTTTCTTTCTGACATTGTTTTAGTCTTCTTGTATTCTGCTCATCAGTTACAGGACTTGATGGCGAGCTTGATGAGGAACGATATGAACGGAACATCCTCTTTGGTGAGCTCAGTTCCAGTACAGTCTTGCTATTCCATGGATTTCATCAACTTATTCTTTGTAATAACGCAGGAAATAAGCAATGTTGATGGCAGATGGTGCATATCGTCAAGCAGTAAACTGCAAACAAGTTTTGATGGCCTGTTGTTATCAAGGTGCATACATCTTGCAACCTATTTTTAGCTTCTTTTACTATGAAGGATCTATATGTGGAACTTAAACGATCAACTGTGTGCTTTTGTGGAATGTTGTCTTGTCCTTTGAATGTGCTTCTGATATACAGAGTTTCGGAATTTAGGGAGATCCTCCACATCCCATTATCATTATGTGCATGTTCATCAGAACTATGGGCGAGAGTTTTTTTTTTTCCAGTTGTTTTACAAGTACGATGATATAACCTTCTTTATTGGCAGTTTTGATAATGATTGTGAAAGTGGGATTTCTCTCTTTATTTACGAATTTTGATGTTTTAAGAATTTGATTAGTTTCGAGAATGCTAGTTGCTGCACTTTGTATTCCAAGCTGCTTTGATTTTCAGGAACTATTTCTTCTTTTACCTGTAGTTGGAAAAAAGAAGGCTCTTACTTCAACATTGCTTTTTGTTTTTGTATATTCTTGAGGGTATACTGACCCCCCAGACCCAACCGAGTTGGGAATATACGGGTTATGTTGTTGTCGTTGTTGTTGTATATTCTTGAGGGTAATTTTCTATTGTAGTGGTTCAGGTGGAGGTAGCATTCTAGAACCCCTTTCTGCTGTGCCGTTGAATGATGAGTTGCAACGAGCAAGGGCATCTGTTGCAAAGGCCGAGGCAGATGTGCTCTTAAAGATAACCAAGAAGGTTTTCTGATTTACTCCCTTTTATGATGCAAAATTTGATCAAGTTCTTCACTGGCACAATTCCAACAGTTTTTGTTATTAAACAGATGCAGCTGGATCTTGTTGACACAGAACTTGTATTCAAGAATATGATTGAATTAGATGTGGTACGTCAATGAAGGATATTTACTGTTAATCTAATGTATGCCTCGAGCATGATATTGGACCAGTTCTTTACAATGAAAAATTAAGCTAAAGTCAATGAGTAGATATGGAGATATTGGTTATGTGCTCTATTTGTTTTGCAATTAATAGCTGGAAGACACGCATATACACTTGTTTCATTTGAGAAGAGCCAAATGTGTTTTTGCTGATACACTTGTCATTTCATAGTGTGAGATGAGAATGAGCTTGAATTTTGATGCCACCAGTATCATATTGCACAAAGTAATGATTTGACGTTTTACTGATTTATTGTTTAATAAAAGTCAATTTTATTTTATTTTTTGTCCAAAAGTGCAGATAAATGCAAGAGCACGATATAGCATGTCATTTGGCGGCTCATTTCCTGATATATACTTACCTAAGCCGCACGATATTGGCTTCAACACTGCTGCTCCCACTCTTTCCAAGGAAGCAGCTACAGCTTCGGCGTCTCATCCAACTCAGAGGAAGTGGACTTTGTATCTTCACAAAATTTATCATCCTTTGCTAGTTCAGCAACACAAGCAGAAACTTCAGAAGGCCAAGAAGGCTGTCAGTGATGCCAATGCTGTAAGTCAAGACAGACTCACTACCTCCTGATGTGTTTGCTCAATAATCTACTCTTGAATCTGATTATATCTTCACTTCTTTGTATTTCTACACCATAGCAGATTAGTTTTTGATGACTACTATTTCTTCTGTTCTTTAATATGTTGTACGTGATTTTAGCAACTTTGAAATGTAGGAATTAGGATGCTGATTTAGTTTCAGGAGATTTTTCCTCGAGATGTTCAAGCGTCTTTTCATCTGTAAAACTTCAGTATCTTATGATGAGCTTGATTTTTTGAATGTAGGAAATCAGGAGGAGGAGACTAGGTGGAAGCGTCACCGATAAGAAAGAAGCAGATTTGTACATATCAAATTTGGAAAAACAGGTTGTTCTTCTTTCTACAAACAAATTATCCATGCTTTTATTTTGATGTCATTATCAAATATAAAGTCTTTATCTTAAAAACTCTTGTCGACAGCCCCAAATCATGTGATATATTTCCCAGTTTTCTTGAACCCTGATGCTGATAAATTGTGTCAGGTTATTGAGATAAAGCAATCCGCACCTGTTCCTACTGATGTATTTGTTGGTCAAGACACTCGAGTTGTTGTGATAACGGGGCCAAATACCGGCGGCAAAACTATTTGCTTGAAGACTGTTGGATTGGCTGGCATGATGGCAAAATCAGGTGACTTTGATTTTAACTTGTTCATCAGCTTGTCCTATACTTGTATTAGGTAGGTGTTTCTTGAAGGTGTATTGGTTTTGCATTGGATTAAGGAGTAATTATTTGAAAATGTAAAAGTTATGTGTTGCCCCTAATTATATAGGGCTCTGCCACTTTATTCTCTCAAGACAAGATTGGTTGTGTAATGGGACTATAACTTTGGTACTTAGAAAGACAGGTAAATTGGGGAAAGAACAGAAAACCTTATACTGGAAACAAAGTGGACAAGTAATTTCACAATGCCCATTTTGGCACAGTGGACCGGTAATTTGAAGGAGTTCGTTTGAGGATTCTTGCCATGATGAAAATGTCTCTTCCAACTGGCATCTACGCGATTGTGTAATGTCTTACAGAAGTTTCCATTTGCAGGTCTTTATGTACTAGCTTCTGAACCAATAAAGATCCCTTGGTTTGATTATGTCTATGCTGATATTGGGGATGAACAATCCTTGTCTCAGTCTTTATCTACCTTCTCCGGTCATTTGAAACAAATTAGTGTAAGTTAGCATCTGCTTTGTTAATATGATTTTGCTTGATCGCTTTTGGCTGGCGAACCTCCTAAAGGTTGGCTAATTCTGACTGTTGCAAATTCATGAATTAGCTTAAAGTATTAAGCTTACTGACATTTCTGTTCATTTCAATGGCAATGATTTCAGGAAATCCTATCTAACTCAACAAATTTATCCCTTGTCCTATTAGATGAAGTACGCACTCACAAGAAACTCTTGCTATTGATTTTCTAGTGTGGAAATTTGTGCAGATATTATTATTGGTGCTTTTACTAAAATATTAATACAATTTTCATTTTTCAGGTTGGGGCCGGAACTAATCCCTTAGAAGGTGCAGCACTGGGAATGTCAGTACTTGAGGCCTTGGCCGAAGGTCCTATGCTTACAATGGCAACAACACATATTGGAGAACTTAAAACACTTAAATACAGGTAATAGCGAATTTATGGAAGGTTGAACACTTGTTTCCACGGTTGCCTGGTTAACATTACCCCAAGGTTTAATGTTGGGAAATTTGACTGACAGCAATAAAGCGTTTGAAAATGCATGCATGGAGTTTGATGAAACGAACTTGAAGCCCACTTTTAGGATTCTTTGGGGAGTACCAGGTTCAAATATCATTATTTGTCACATGGGGTGGTTGTTCAAATTGCGTTTTGTTGCTGTTCAGATACACGTGCATATCAGCACCTCAAACTTACCATTGGTCATTTTAGTCTGAGCTATAGCTGTAGTCTGTTTGCGGGCTACATTGTTGTAAACAGAGAAAAGGAAGAAAACTCTGTCACTTCTGTGGTTTTTGGCCACCTACCAGTTCAATATTGTTCATCCTCATGTAATTCATTGTTCCAGGGCGTTCAAATGCGATAAATATAGCTGAAAGGCTTGGAATTCCAAGAGACATTTTGGGAAATGCTCGTGAACTTTATGGAGTGGCTAGCGCTGAAATTAATGAGGTAACGGTTTGCTTACTAGAAATCTTTATCAGTATCAGTTAAGCTACTATAGCGAGTTTGACCATCATTTTGGAAAATCAACTTCAGATAAGTATTACAAAAGACTTACTTTATCCACATCTGCTTTCTGTGAGTTATGTACACCCTGCATCTATAATGACAACACTAAAACCAACCCAAAATTTCTTTTCAGGGTAGATTTCTGGTTCATAAGTTTATTTTGTAGAATTTATGGCAGCTGACAACATTTAACTTAGATGCGTTTACCCTGTGGACTATGTCATGCTTGGTTCAAGGTTACCTGAATGCTATGTAATTTATATGTCTTGCATATGTTTTGGTGCAGATTATAGTTGAAATGGAGAGATTCAAGCTGAATTTCCATACGCAAATCCAGGAAGCACAACAGTATCTGACGTAAGAAATTGTTTATTGCCTCATAAAATCTCCTGGTTCTGATGTTGTATCTACACATACAGCTCTCGTAATTGGTCAAGCTTCTTTCTGTTGGATTTCAATACTCTGTTTTTTCTCAATCTTATATATTGACAACAGGTTGGCGAAAAACCTTCATCGGAATCTGTTGTTGGCTAACAAGAAGATAATTGAACATCGACTTAATCAAAGGCAGCTGATGGCGCAGGAAGTATTGAAGGTAGCAGCTGATGCGCGTTCAAGGCTTCATTCGAGGGTTCGACAACTTCGTCTATCCCCTAAAGATGGCCGATTACATAACCAAGCGGTTAAAAGAAGTGAGAACACTGTGACATCTGGTGTTCAGTCAAGTATATCAGGGAGAAGCGAAACAACCTCTACGGTAACTGAGACTTCAACCACCAAGAATAATATTAGGGAGCCGGTTTCAGGTATAAAAATACAGTTGCAAATTCATATAATCCCACTGTTTATATAGATAACAACTGTAGGGGTTACATGCTTTTTTATGTTCTTTGTTGGCAATGCCAATCTTAGTAAGAAATGGTTGTCATGTTTTATAGGTAAAAAGAGAGCTGTAATTCCGAGGGAAGGCGACAAAGTGGTTGTTCGTTCTCTCAACAGGGAAGCAGTAGTCCTAAAAGTGGATGCATCCAAAGAAGAGGTAGTAGTTCAAGCTGGAAATATGAAGCTGAAGCTGAAACTCGTCGACATAAGTTGACATGGGTTGTCATTTTCATTAGCTTTACAAACTGTGGACCACGTGGCGCTGAATTTGCACAAAAGTTAGTTCAAAGTGTATAGTAGTAAATTATTGTGCATTTTGTTGAGCTCAGTTTGTGTGTATGTCATAAATAACATATTGTCATTCTTTCTTATTTTGATTTCGCAATTCCGGAACTTGGTGGGAAGCCAATTGTACAAATTCAAATCAAATCAAACATGGAAACGCTGTCGTGGAGATATGCAGCCAAAATTCAACTTGGATTGAATAGGAGCTGCAGCAGCAAAATGCAGAATTTCAAGGAATGCTTTGGTCGTCATAAACAACTTGAATCACACCCTCATCATCAACATTATCTTGAGCCACCGACCCAAAATGCAAAGCAACGTCCAGAAAGTAGAGCAAGCAGACCAGCACCAGGCAGCTCAAGAACATGGGGATGGGCCCAAACATCCACAAGAATAAAGGGAAAGAGAAGTAGAAGGTTCTCAAGCCCAAGGACCAGAAATAGCTCCCCCGGTTGACGGTGGTGGACACGTACTCCGTGGTAACTCGGTGCCGGAGGAGATGGTTCTTCTTGTTGATGTGGTTGTGGGGCGGCGAAGGCGGAGGAGGGACGTTAATGAGAATGCTGGCGTGGCTGTAGTACCTGATGGACTGGACGTTGAAGAGGAAGGCTAGTAAGAAGCAGACTAAAATGCAGAAGAACTTGATGGAGAATCCCAGCAAGCTCTTGTCCCCGTAAACGAAGAATAAGCCCATGGTGGTGGTGGAGGAGCCGCTGGTGCCAGTGCCGCCACCGCCGAGACCCGTCATCAAGACAGCGATGAGGGAACTGAGCATGATGGCGGTGGAGGCCAACAGGGTGGATGCCATAATGTTGTTCCTTAGAGTCTGGACTGCCAATACCCCTGTTTTGCCCGGGTCCTAGGAGCAACGACAAAGTTGGTCACAACAACAACAGCATCAACTAATTATTATAAATTTCCAATCAGATTAATAATACTATTCTAATAATCATCACCCACCAGATAATGATGGCGGTGTCGATACAGAATGTGTAATCATGAGAGTAAATAATAATAATTGCATTAATACATCATCAACAAATAACACAGAATCAAGCAGATGAAGAATTTTATCAAACGCTAAGCCTGATCGATTTGAACATACACAATAATTATAATTATCAAACGCCAAGCTTTGTATGAACACTCCCTTAAATCCTTTGAGATTCAATTGTATTTACTGAGTATATTTAGTACCATAGTATTAATTCATTCATCATTTGTTGCGTGACTTTATCAATCGCTTGTAACTTTATTTTCCGTATGATTTTCACTAATCGGTTAATTATGAATATACAACGTAATAGGAAATTCACACACAGTCACACACTCGATATATATGAAGATGAATAGAGATGATTGATGAATCAGAAGAAGCTGAGATCACCTCCATCATGGCGCGGACCCAGAGGCGGCGATTGACGGCGTTGATGCCGATGACGGTGGTGGCGGGGCGATACATGATGCGATGAAGAAGCCAAATGTGATACGCCACCATTGCCACCAGACCCGTCGGCACCAGCACGTAATCCAGTACTTTCCCTTCCATCCTTAGTCCTTACGCACCGCGCGTAATAACAAAGATCAGAACAATTATATATCCCCAAAAACTTGATTGATCGATGATAATGTATTATTAGAGAGTGAATCAGGAGCTCAACAGAAGCTCCGTATTTATAGCATCATGATGAGGAATTAGTAGAGAATTTGGATGTGAGGTATGATATCAGTAATTAAAATGAATGGGGGGAATTGTTGTTGAGAGTAATTTGTGCTGTGTTTGGGAAAACAAACAGATATTTGGCCCCGTAACAAACAAATTTACATTTAGTCTCACACGTTACGGACTTTATATATATTGCGCTTTTCCATCCACTCTAAAAATCGAACTAACTAAATTGTAGTATGTCCGTCTTCTTCTTCTCCTTCTTCTTGTATCGGAAAAGAAAGTTAGAAATAGGAGTTTCATTATTATTATTATGATAATAATTGGGGAAACTTGTATTATCGCCTATTTAACTTTTCTTTTTCTTCTTTTTTTTTTTAAATAATGCAAATTAATTTGCACATATATATATATGTATATACTACTTGTATTATACTTTTACGAAAATACTCTATCTGGTAAAGAATCAATTTGTGTACTAAATGTACAACCTTATTGGAACCTTAGTGAGTATATATATCTACTTAGGATAAAGAGAGAATTCCTTTCTTGCAATGTGGCATTTTTGTGAAATTTGTTTAATGCGAGAAAAAAAAAAAAAAAAAGTCCTTTGCTGCTTCTGGCGCAGAAGTCATCTAGAGACGAGTTACTTGAACAAAACCTTAAGTTTAACATAATTTATTACATCATTCTTTACCTTGTATAAGAACTAAAGGAGGATCAATTTTCTCCGGCCTACAACTTGGTCAAATTGTACGCACAAAACACCGCGCACACCGCACATTGTCCGGTGCACCTCCATCTAGTTTTTTTTTTTTTTTTTGAAATGGTACACCTCCATCTAGTTATATATGTAAAAGTGGGGAGTGATAAAATTAAAATTGGGGGTGAAAACAACGATTAGAGAGAGCCACCGATAGGAAAACAAATACTAGCTCTTCTAACGCAACGAATGTATCGATGGTGGTTTTAACTTTTAATTCTAAGATGTTACTACTGCTAAATATGAATGTTACTGTGTTGCGGAAGGATATGAAAAAAAAAATGTGACCTTTTATTATAATATAATATTGTTACTCTTACGTTGGGAGGGGGGAGAGAGTAATAAATTATGGTCAGTGGGGAAGCAGAGAAAACCATGTGTTCATTGAAATCCAATAACAAATGTGTGTCTTGATTGGGTTGGTTAAGGTTAAGGGTGGCTCACTTCCATATACTTTTTCTTCCTTCTCGGAAATGTGTCCCTTCACAATAAAAAGTAAAAAGAATAATAATAAAAGAAGTCACTAACCACCCCTTTACCCCACAGAAAAAAAAAAAAAAGCTATTGAAGATACTCCATAAACATTTTCTTAGTTCAAGATACTCGAAAAACATTTTAAGCTATTTTTTTTTTTTTTTGGTTAAAACATTTTAAGCTATTGAGTACTACTATAGTTCAATTGCTTTCACATTAATTTCTCACCGATCACCAAAAACATTTTCTTCATTCATCTCTAATTTTATTTTATTTTTCCTGTGGCATCCACAACCTTTTCCTATTTTACACCTTTAACACGGTGTCTACAGTGATAATCCATCCTCCTCCCATAAGTCGGACAATTGATTAAAAAACTTTAGTACTGTCCCATACCCATAATAAGTTTCAAACCTCTCTTTTCTGTGGTCACACATTGCAACCTATATTGGGTGGTTCTTGGAATCAAAAGACAGAAATGTTTGCAACCTATATTGGGTGGTTCTTGGAATCAAAAGTGAGAAATGTGGCGGTTCTTTGTAACTTGTTGGACTCATGAAAGAATTCCAAAACCTTAAATGATGATGTTGGCACGATGAAGTCCAGAAATTTCCATGCCAAGAACATTGAAGAGTTAACAGCTCCTACCAAAAATATTTGAGGGTGTGAAACATGTTGCAGCTCTGTTTAATAAAGCAAAAGTAGTAATCGAGCTTCTGGTAATGACAGAAAAAAAATACTGAAACGTAAACAGGAAGAGTAATGTAAAACAAGACCAAATAGAGTACTCTTGTAATAATGGATGATCAGGTTGAAGGCAGGAGTCACATTTAATCAACAATAGATGTTCCAAAACAACCAAATGGTTGTGGTGAAGTTTAAAAGACATTTAATCCTTATTAGGAACAATCTGATTCATCGACGTGGTCTTTTTCACTTCTACCACCCCCCCCCCCCCCCCAAAAAAAAAAAAAAAACCACCTGTGGCATCACCTTTGAGCCTCAATACCTTCTGATCTTGGGACTTCAAAACTTCCAATGTCATTGGGAAATTTCATGCTTCCCAATCTAACTGAAACATAGAACCAAAGCAATGCTCAAACCTGTTCTCCTTTTAACTTGAGAAAGCAAAAGATATCATGTCATGAAGACGGAAAGGAAAGCGACAAAAAATGGGGGAAAAATCTATGTACCAACCTGCTTGCACCTGCGAGAGGATTACAAATGCATCATAGCAAAATGGCTTCCCAATATAGATTATAGAAACATAAATAAAGATTTTGGAGGTAAGAAGATATATGCAGCCTCAGGATTCCAATACTTTAATCTTTTCAATACAGTTCTGCATGTTCTGTAGAACAGCGTCGGAAATCTGAACTCGTGGAGTTGATTTGTACTGCTCAAACTTCAACTGGTCGCACTTCAAAGCAGCATTCTTGCAAGCTTTGATATTTCCTAGTATACACCAACAGAAATTGTAAGCAGCTCCAGTGTTTAATAATGAATGAGGCAGGGAGCACATAATAAAGCAGGAATAATAAATCATGCATCAAGACACTGCAGGGAGGAGGAGAAGAAGAAGAAGGGAAAAAAAAAAAGAGAAAAAAAGAAGCCGCACCACTTAGGTCGAGTAAGTTGATAATGACAGAGCAATTTACTATACTCCTAACCAACGTAATTGCAGCCCAAACTCGTTGGTAATCCTCTCTTGATGTTCTAATGATGCAGAGTTTCGTAATTGGATTCACATATTTCACTGCAAGAATGACAGAGACAGATCAAAGAAAATAAGTAAATATACGGGGACAAGAAGATACAAAAACACTTGAATCAATCATAAAAGAAAGAGGAAAGGGCAAACCTTGAAATGAATGAAGGGACGAGGCAAGCCCACATTCCCCAAAATTCATGAGCATGCTTTCTTTTATAGCATTAAAAAGGTTCAACTGAGTTATGACAACAGGTTCATATTCCACCTGATCTTTAGTGGGATCCAAAAGCACCTCCATGACCAAGTAGCGGTTCTTAAACCCCACCATGACAGCACTCTTAGTTCGACGATCAGAAAATGTACAACACAACTGGCAAGCAAGCAAAGAGCAACCAACAGTTAGGGGGAGCTAACCATAGAAAGGATTTGACTAAGAAGCAAATATACAATAACAATAACAGAAGGAACAGCATATATCCTACTACAACATCAAAAGTATACCAAACGCACAACCTAATTGAAGACTAATTAGTTTAAGTGATTGATTCTGATGAAAGCAGAGTTCAACAGCTTACCAGATCTCTGCAGGATTATGGGTTTGAGTACAAGGCCTGATACAGAATGATTATATGAAACTTAAGTTAGTTAATATATAGGCTACAAAGAAAATAACAGATTGAAAATAATTGATGGAAGAGAGAGCTCACCTGAAATGCGTAGTTTGGGGCGACCGGAACTCCTAATACTAGACAAAAGAGGCAGAGTACGGACACCTGAGTAAATTAGGTCAAACGAAAGATCTTTATAGCATCTCAAGAAGAAAGCAATAAAACAGACACAGTCAAAAGTAAGAAATTGAAAGTATAACTGCTCGGCTTTTGCAGAAAAAACCTCAAACCTAACGAAATCTACAACCATAAACATTCATCACGAGTTCTTTGAGAGCTATCTGGTTAAAATTCAAATGATTTTAGGCAAACACACGCTCACAGTAGATTCGGAGAATACTTTATGGGCACTAAAAGCATGCGCAAAGCCAGCCCAATCACCACAGCATCTAACAAGATACAATATACTGATCTTTGGACGTTTCAATCGGAAGATTCTAGCTAATCCAGAAATTAGGAACTATCATTCTCAAGTAACAATTCAGTAAAATGAGGAAAACCTCAAAGAAGAATGCCATAAACACGAATTGAAATTCTAATACGATCCTAGATGCAGAATAAGTGCCCAAATTCACAACACAGTTATAAACTCGCGATTTCCAATTGAGCGCGTCAATATCTGAAAACGGAACCAGTTGAACTAAAGAAGTTTCCTTACCGGAACAGAGTGCTTGTGACGAGAAATTAGCCTTCTTGGTGGAGTTGACCGGAAATCCAAGAACGAGACAGCAGAAGCAAACGGCAGTGCCACAGTGATAAGCGAAGGCAACTTGGGCTGGACTCTTGTTGGGAGTTCATAAGTCAAGCCCATTCTGCCTCTGGATCTGAGGGTATCCCATTTGGCCGGTGGATCCAACCAAAGGAGATGACGTCAGAGACGGCAAAAGTAAACGGCGTTTGGTCAACTACCTACGGTACTGGATATTTTGTTTATTTTTGTCTTTTCTCTGCATTTTTTTATAATGATTTATTTTAATGAACGTTACAAAAAGAGAACATGCTAACGAGTGGGAAGTCAAATGTAAAATACTTTATGTATTAGGAAGATATCAGAAATGAAGGTATCTAAAACTTGCCCTTGTTGGAGTTTAGACACCTTTTAGCTCATTTTGTAACTTTTAGTACGAAATAAATTTTGTTTTTAACTTTTATGTACGTACATAATGTGTGGGGGTAGTAGGTAAATAGCGGACTTTAGTTTTTTTATGTTTAATTTTCTTTTCTTTTTTTTTTTATAAAAAAAGTTGTGCTGATATAATGATAATTACATTTTTGCAATTTGATATATTTTACCCAAATATTCCTCCACAACTATTGGTTGAACAACTATTTGATCTAATTTTACACTAACGGAATATTTTAATATTCATCGGGCACAATATAATAAAAAATGAAAGCTACATTTTGTTAATGTAGTATTGTCTTTATTCCCAAAAAACAGCCTACAAATCTTAATGCTCAATTTGATTTTATTTTTAAAAAAAATTGAAAGAGTAATATCTTGGGTGTTAGTACTCTTCGCTTATTCACAATAAATAAATGTTGATGATTTGAACTTCCACAACTATTGTTAAAATTACAATCTACTTTTCACACATTAACAAAACTAAATATACAAATTGCAAAATTGACTAAGTAAACATTTTTATTTATCTTTAAGGGGTAGGTAAACACATATACATTTTTACCATGCAAAAGACAAAAAAAAAAAAAAAAGAAAAAGAAAGAAGAAGATTGTATTGTATAATGTGTAAGGTTACAAAATCAATTAATATATAGTTTACGAGAATTAAAACTCTTAAAAACTACAATGTCGGTTAACCTTAATAAATAATTTACAATATCGGTTTTTGCATCAATAAAACAAGAAGGTATGAACCTGGTTCAAAGATTGATTAGCTACAATTTGCAATAGTTGAACCAGCTGTGAATATTGATTAGCCTGCAATAGTGATAATAATTAGTTGTGATAAAAAAATAAAAAAGAAATGATCGTGTAATGCTGATATCTTTGGGTATTATTTTTCAATAGTTGATGTCTTATAAATTTAAATAAATTCGCAAGTGGTACATAAATGAAATGGCATGTGCACAGTGCATATTGTAATAGTACTAGTTTTTCTTTGGTTCTCTTAAAGTGAATGAAGACAAAACATGGAAAAAGAAAGGCTTAAAAGACAACTGAGTCCCCTAAGCCCCTGATGAAAAAAGGCAAAGAGGTAAAAGAGAAAAAGGACATTTGAGGGAAATTAAAGGTGGAAGTAGCAACGAACGTTAGTATTAACGGAGGAATCGGAATGGGATCAGGACCTTATCCGAGTAAGTCAGTCAGCCCTCGTCTCTCTCCGTGCTTATAAATAGACCCCAAAGCTGAGACCTCTTCTCTCGCCGTTTCGTAGGTAAATTAGGCGCGTTTCCTTTACTTTTGGTGTGTTGTTGGCTGTCTAGCTTCGGTGGAGTTTCCGAAGACGAGTTTCAGAGAGAAAGCTCTCCCCGTTACTAACTGTAAGTGTCCATTTCTCCTCCCTTCTCCCTCCATCTTTCCCCCTCTTTTTTCATTTTTTGCTGAATCGGATTCATTTTTAGTTTTTCATGTTTCCGGTCATATACTGGTGCTATTAATTGTTGTTTTTGCTTTATTTCCTGCGTTTTTTTTTTCCCGTTTTAGGTTTGATTCATGTGCTGTTCTGAGTCTTTGTTGCTTTCGTAGCTTTTTCGCCACAATAACAATGTTGCTTTTGGTAATTTAGTGGATATTCCTTTTTCATATGAGATTTGTACGTATTCTGTATTTGTCTTTGCTCTTTAGGTTTTCATCTTATTATTGTTGTTGTTAGTGGAATGTTGTGGATCCTCCTCTTGTTTTACTTTTGATTTACTCCTAGTTTATATTTTTAATTGTTGTTTTAGGATTCTGCTACTGCTTAATGGTTGTTGTTAATTTAGCGATAATTGTGTTTTTATACGTTTCACTTGTATGTTGTTTATTTATTGTTCATTGTTCTTTGTATGTTATCCTTCATTTCATAGATCTAGTCCTGTCTTTGGAGTATCCATCATGTGAGAACCATTTTCTTAAACTTACGTCACAATTGTCTATATGACTGGGTTAATTGCACCTCAGCTTTTTCCCGTTTAATCTTGGCAAATGAACTTCCGGTTCTGGTTCTGCGGTACGTATTGTTAAGCGTAGATGTCTTCTAGTTTTGTGTCCCTCATTGGCAAAATGCTGAGATGGAGTGTCTGGCCTTCAGACGTTTTCTTTCTTTCCTGCCACGTTTGAGTGTTTTAGGTTGCAGTTTTCATTCCCTGTAGAAACAAACTCCTTCCTTCCACCGAGGTTGATGGTTTTTCGCTATTGTTTTGGGTCTGCAGAGTGTTGGCCGCTATTGTCTTAAGGTCCTATCCGACACCCTGCAAGCTTCAGATCAACAAAAGCTGAAAAGATGGAGGTATTTGGCAAATCTGTGGTACCTCTTCCCACAAATGTTATTTATCTCTCCAGTATTCTTGGTCATGATGGGCCAGACAATGTACACAAGTGCGATTGGAAATGTGAAAATGAACATGTATGTGGGAACATGTACCGCTGCAAACTAACTGGGTTGACTCACATTTGTGACAAAAACTGTAACCAGAGAATCCTCTATGATAACCATAGCTCCCTCTGCAGAGTTAGCCGGCAGATTTTCCTGCTAACCCCTGCTGAGGAACAGGCAGTGAAAGGTGTTCGGAGGAAGCTTGACGCTGATTGTTCCCCACCCGATAGCTGTGCTTTTAAGCGCAGAAGGGATGCACAGTTTCATCCCTCGCCATTTGAGAGATCTTTCACTGCTGTTAGTCCCATTTGCAGTCAAGTTGGAGATGGCATGGATATGAGCTAGATTATCATAACTGCTTCATTTCATGTTACTTTTCTATAAGCTCCTGTGTTAGTTTTTTGTTTCCCATGGGACCAGTGCGGATCACCGAACTCATAGTAGCACCTAAGTTGCAAGCTTTATGTTTTGCTCTTATGTAGGAAAGAACTTATATTTGACTTTCCCTTTCGTAGATTGCTTCACTTCCTACAGTTTAGCACTAACTGGAAGTTGAGCACTGTTATGGCGTTGAGAGTTGGGATCTATAGCAAATCACAATTGGACCTTGACTAGTTCATGGTTCCTGTAGCATGTGTTACTCTTCCTTGTTATAATGGAGCTAATAATTCTCTTGGCAATTGTGATCCCTTTTTGCTATATTGTCTCGATTTGGATTCTTTCTTCTGTTAATTTAACTTTAGAGGACCGTAATTGATGTCGTGCGTTTTGTTTTCTTTTTTCATCCTCATTTATTTCTTCTCTCTTTTGACTGATTTCCATTATCTAACATCATTTCCTGATGGTGTATGGGAGCCTACGGTGAATATGCTATTGTTTGCTTTGTTATTTCATTTACAGGATGCCAGTGCAGCTGAAGGGCATTTCACTGTTTGATCTGGTGGAATATTGACAATTATTTTGTATTGTTGTTGGACTTTACCATTACAGTTTGGGGGATATGAAATCCTTCCTGATGTTTTTATGTTACATTATCCTGGGCAATTAATCATTTATCATATGTTTATTTTCCTTCGTCCATGAGATCATTCCTGATGATTATTTTTTGTTGCAGGGGTTGCAGTTTGAACAACTCTGTAAAGTTGAAATAGCTTGTCTTGCAAAATTGTACATTAGCAATGCCTTGAGCAATTTCTTATTCCTCAACTTGTTCATTTCTGCAGGATAGGACTTGGCCCTCAACATGGTGCAATGATGTTCAAATAAAGGGGGATTTGCTCAAAAGCCAGAGTCCTCCTATTTTACCATGATTATTGACGGAGTTCATCCTGGCACTCCTTGTCCTCAACCGGAGTCTGTATATGCCTTGACTTTGTTTGGTGAATCTGGTGGCGAAGAAATCCTCCCACAGAAATGCGCAATGTAATCTGTATACATACAATCTGATGAGATGCAAGTATGCTCTGTTGATGGATGTCAATCTGCGCAACCGTAGAAACGTGTACAGCTTAAATGATCCTGATGTTGACTGTCTTGAGTACACGACAGTTTTAATCGTATGAATCATCTCAATGGGAACTTTCCCCATCGATCTGTCATATGTGGCGTAGTTTTGATTGAAGCCCTTGTACATGTGATCGCTGTTGTTTCTGTATAGTAATTTGCATTCAGTATTCCGTTGTTGACACGAGGTTAGATTCCCTTATAGAGTTCTCCTTTAGAGGTAACATTTTCCACTGATCATACCCTGGATGATCTGAAGTTGATTGTACATATGAAACCAGAAACCAAGATGTTACAGATGTTTGAGCTTTTGTGTTATTGAGCTCTTGGTTTTTAGTAATTAAGGAGACATTTGCTCAATTCTGTCTTTTTGGCTTGCTTGGTGCATCAATATTAGATGAGTATTAAAAACTGGAAGAAGATTTATTACAGCTGTGAGTTGTTGATCTTGTTTAGGGAAGAAAGAAACTTTGAGCTTGGCTTAAGGGAAAGTTAGGTGCAGAGCTTTTTTATTGGCAGATGTTGGGCTCTGATTTTTAGGAAGATTGGATATCTGCTTGCCTATTTGATTTTCTTAAGAATCTTGGATGCCTTTGCAGTACTGCTGCCTTTTATGTCGAATCTTTAGTTTGCTCTTTTCATAGGGTCACTTTCACTGGATTCTGTCGTCTAATTTTTTTTTTTTTTTTATGTTCTTTAATAGATTTTTCTTCTTATTTAGAAGAATGTATTTTCTTTGATTCGTCATATGATTTTCTGAAGGTTGCTAAAGGAAGGAATTGCTTCTTAATAAGGCCATCCAAGATAAAAAGAAATGCTAAACCCAATAGGGTCACCTTGCGGCGGATTAATTTAATTTTCCTTTGGATACTCGTTACAAATCTGTTTTTTTCCAGCCTACAAATAAGAACGCATTAGTCTTACTTCCCTCCCTCCCTCCCCATATTAGGTATTAGGAATCAAGATTGCAAAAAATAAGGCTACATCACCTTGTTGGGGGATATAATTAGCATTTAGCATGCCAATGTTGATGCCACTAAGCTGGAAAAAGTTGACCAGCGTGTTGTATTCACAGCTTCTGATTATAGCCTCTTTTAGCCTTTCTGATTATTCATCACTTGCCTGCACATTTACTGTAACAAACAGGTGCCCCTACACAATATGGCCGGGTACACTAGCTGGTTCAGGTACACCCCAATTAGCCACCACAGGGTTTCGCCTCGACTCCGGCCAGACCATTCAAATCCCGACTGTTCCGGGATGGTCTGGTCGAATATGGGCGAGAACTGGGTGCACATTTGATGCATCTGGGGTTGGGTCGTGTCAAACAGGTGACTGTGGGGGGAAGTTGGAGTGTGATGGCATGGGCGCAACCCCGCCAGCATCGCTCTTTGAGATAACCATGGGTGCCGGAGACGGGTTGGACTTCTATGATGTCAGCCTTGTTGATGGGTACAATATACCGCTTGTTGCATTGCCGCAAGGGGTTGCCGGGAAATGCAACGCCACTGGATGTGTTTCCAACATTAACATGGGTATATATACAAAAGAATAACAGAGTCCCTTTGTAAAACCACCTTTAAATTATGCTACTATGTTAAGACCTCATCAAATCATGACCTTTAGCTGATATTGTTGCCTGCAGGGTGCCCCAAGGAACTTCAGGTGGTCGGAAACGATGAAACAGACAGCGTTGGTGGAGGACCAGGAGGGTACAACAACAACAACAATGTGGTGGCGTGCAAGAGTGCGTGCGAGGCTTTCGGATCGGACGAGTACTGCTGCAGTGGGGAATACGCGAACCCATCGACGTGCAGGCCGTCCTTCTATTCAGGGATGTTCAAGAGAGCTTGCCCAAGAGCTTATAGTTATGCGTTTGATGATAGCACCAGCACTTTCACTTGCAAGGCTGATGATTATGCTATTATCTTTTGTCCCCTTGCCAACGGGTAGAAACGCTTTTTTACTTTGCTCGTTTCGTTTTGACTAAGACTAATCATCTGTCACTGTGAATGTGTTCTATAATAAAATAAAATTAATAAAAACAGATGGGCCATAATAATATTACTATGAGTGACACACAATAATGACGAGGATTAGGATATACTAATAGAATTTGATGCTGATCTTAAAAATAACCAAACAGATGTATTATTCATCATATATAATCGATATCATTTCTATACTCCCGGTATTTTGTTCTTGACACATTGTACCACTATACTACTAGATAGGTTTGACTTGACTAGCCAATTAAATTGAACGCGCCACATAAAAGTTTTACTACGATTGAGTGGGTTTATGTGATAGATATTATCAGCACTATTTTGATGTAATAACGGGAAAATATTATTCATTTCACAATTCACTTAAACCCCTTAACAATTGTTTGCTTTTGCGTTGTCGGTGGTCAAAAACCAAACTCAACAACGTTAATGATTATTAATCATTGTAACACAGGATGAGCAAAACAAGTGGTCCACTCACGGCTTCCCCAATTGTAGAAGAAAGCCCAAGCCCACATGAGACAGGGCCTGCAAAGTTAGTCTCATCATCTTCTTCAACTTACATCTTCCAATGGTCCATCTTCTGCATGATATTACCACCCCTCATTATTCTCATTATTACTACTCTGTATCCCTAAGAGCTAAGAGAATGCGTGTGTATTTAAAAAAGAAAACAAGGGCACGTATGTTTGCCTTTTGATTGAAGGCTTCTAGTTCTAGCTACTCTCCTTTGTGGAAACACATTAACTACACAGAGAACAATTCCATTTTTAGAAGAATGCATAATCCAACAACAATTAGTCCCACCCCACAGAGGCCTCTTATATCCTTCACATCGGATATCCAACTTTAGCTGGATCCTAATAATAATATATTGAATCCAGCCGGCAGAGACAATTGGTTGATTTCAGCAGAGCAATTAACCACTAATCAAGGGTATCAATACTCGCTAAAAAAAAAAAAAAGTGATGAAGTAGTAACCTCTCATTTCTTACGCTTGCTTTCCTCTGTCTTTGGAGCTTCACATTTCTTCATTTCTTACTCTTGCTTTTATTTGTCTTTGGAGCTAGAGATTTCTTTTTCGCCCTCTTTGCTCCAGTACCCTTAGTCTTCTTTTGACTTGCTGCATTCTGTAACTGGGGAAAAAGAAACGTGAATTAGGGAACTCAGGGTTTCATTATTAACACTGTCCAAATCTACTCTATGTGTTGGTTCTTTTGGATTACACTAACTGTACCAAAATAACCTTGTAGTTACAATCTCCCATCCTAACCACCACCCACCCTATCCAATACTACTGTTTTCAACAAATCCAGAACAAAAACCGAAAAACAGGAATAAAGTACCAATGCTTTTGGCTTTCCAGCTTTTGCTTTCGTTTTCCCCTTGGGCTCTTGTGGTTCCTTTTCGTCTTCACCCTCTCCTTGATTACCACCAGCATTGGGTTGCGACATATTATCCATCTCCTCTTCTAAATCGAATGAGAATCCATCTAGAGTCCCTAATAATACAGAAGAAATCAATTCAAAATTCTGGTTAAGGATACCTTCATAACGAAAGATTTTACGGGTAAACCTTATGGAAACATGTAATATATTCAGGCCAAAGATCAAAACCCTCACCTTCAACCAGGGTTTCAGCTTCAAAGACATTGGTTTTTGGCATCAGCTGAATGAAGTCATTCATGACAGCCTCTATCTGAAAGAAAACAGATAGGATTCTGAGTTCAACCGCAATTTAAACCAAATATTATGCATCCCAATAGGTTCATTTCCAGAAGTGTGATAGCCTTTCTTAAACATTCAAACATGTCATCCTAATTCTAGAAACAATGTAATCGAAAAATATTAGGATCAGGTCTACTTTCTGGGTCACATCCGAAAAAATGGCAAAAAGAAGAAAGAAAGAAAAAGAAAAAAGGAAATGCTCAGATGGTCCCATGCTGACCATTTCTCTCATGCCGTTTTACTTCTCTTTTTCGTTTCATATCATTTCAAATGGAACTCTTGTTTGGCATGGAACAAAACAAAGAAGAATACACTTCTTACCTTGGCTTCTGATTGGCCAAGGCTCACCTGCAATATCAAGGAAAGTGATTAAGACAGGAGTGCTTATGCGAGAGATCCGTAAGAAGTACCCAAAATTTACCACACAAAATGTCCTGGAAGGGAGGATCTTTGTTCGATACACTGTTCCTGAAATCGTGGTATTACAGTGAAGGAATCAGACAAGAAAAAGTACCTATAAAACAAGTATGACAAGTGAAAAGAGAACAATAAAGGCAGTATGGATGAGACGGATTTGACTGCATGCATGGAAACTATTTATCAATTGACTAATGTTTGGAAAAGCAAAAAATGTTTCTCTGGACGATGGTTTCCCAGATTAAATTAGAAGTTACCAAGGAAACATGATCTTGCTTGTCAAAAAATATAAGTTTTATTTTTTTACTTTGTTAACTAAGTATGAGCTATATGAAATCAATATAGTTTTGAAGAAGCAATGTTTCAACGATACATAAAACAGAAGCCATATGTTTCAGAACCAACGAGTCAATGACATGCCTTTCAAATCCAGTAACATTTCATGTTTTCCAGAAAAGTCTTCCGAGATGACCACTCGGCCAACGGCACCCACATCACCACTCAAATCCATAGAATCACCTTCACACTCCACCAGTGCCTACCAAGAAATCAAAGTATCCATCAGCTAACAAAACAACAAATATCTGGGGGTGAATAGCTAAATATGTGTTCCAATTTAAAAGCTTAAGATTGCTGATTCTTTAACAAGATAGATGAACTAAAAAACACCAAGTTCAGCAAGCAACTGACATAAAAATGACCATTTGCATTTACATATTCCCCATTTGCAATTGGTCACTGTTATGTTAGTTGCTTGATCACCTTTTCTCTAATGTTCTTCCTGAATATTCCAAATGTTCCTCAACTCAGCAATAATTTTCTCAAGTTGCAAGCAAAAAGGTGGGTGAATCTAAGACTGCTTAAAGTCATTCTGTTTCAAGAACCATACAATTCTTGACAAAGAAACTAAGAAACTTGTAAAAAGAATTCCAACTAATATAACCCTGTTGACAGACCTTTGTGCGCTGCACTTTCTCCGAAAGTACCAAGGGCAGTCTTGAAGAAGAGACCTGCACAGACACTTTTAAGCTTGAGTGCCACTTAAAATACTAGAAAACTGAACTCTTTTGATGGAAAGGTTATCTTCTCACATAAAGCCCACCACACTTCTCTGCTGTCTTTTCCTCAAGATCTATATCTCCAGCATTTTCTACAAACACACAAGATAACAAATAAAAGTCTCGGGCAAAAGTGTAAAAGCAAAAGAAACCAGGACAACTAGAGGTGTTTGCCAAACACAGCGTCTATCCTAATGCAAGGGATAACATTTTAACAATCAAGAAGTTGAACAAAGAATGTATTACCACCATCTTTCTGAACCTTGACTTCTTTTGCCTTTGCCTGTTTATCACTCTCCTTTTTTACCCTCTTCTTAGGAGCTTTCTCATCTGACAATTCATCTCGTAAAGATTCTTCGGCATCACACACAATATTTGCACTTGCAACAGGCTTAATTTCATGTAAAGAATCATCTGAATCTGAAGTTAGCGCCCAAACTGAATGATTATTTGCCTGTTCAACAATAACAGCTTCTACTTAGCAAAATAATGAAAGCAATTGAAAACTCTTATTAAATGGAGCCCTGGAGGATTCCTTACACTGGATGAGGAAGGTTTTTCTGATGTTATTTCCTCCTTCGCATGTCTTACGTCCCTTTGGTTCCCTGAAATATCCCAGAAAATAAATCATGATAGAAGGCATTGTTCTATTGAACTTAGCACAAGGCTTCAACCAGATTCTGGCTAATCAAGAAGATATCAATCCTGGATGAATCTAATCCAAGATGAAAAGCACCTGCAATTTCGTTACAAACTTCTATGTCCTCCTTTTCATTTTCTCCTTTCCTCTTCCGCTTTCTGCCAGGTGTTATCTGATCGTCTTTAATGGGGGAATTCTTTTTGGGAAACAATCTGGTCAGAGTTACTTCATCCTCATCATCATCACACTGTTTCACGGGGGAAATGGAACCTGATGATAAGGTCGGTGCCTATTCACAGGACATTAAGAAAATTATATCCTTAATAATAAAGATCGGAGCCGCAAGATAATACAAAAACTCAATATAAGTTGAGGATTTAATGCAAATTACTGCAACCACAACTGGATTTATTTTTTGCCATCTTTGGTATTTAGCCTAGTTTCTAACTTTCACGTTACTGCTTTCAGAGAGCCTCTTGGAATCTTTATAGATAATAATCTAAAACTACCACAATTCAGCTAAGGATAGCTAGCTAAATCTTGTTCCTAAACTACGATTCACACGAAACAGGAATAAACGAAAGGAAAAAAAAAAAAAAAACTCCAAATGCTAATTTAAACATAAAATTTGATTTGCTCACCAAATATTCAGACCAGAAAAATAGAATAAAAACACACACAAAACTGCTCGTTCACAACAACATAAATAACCCTAACATGTGGCAATCTTAAACATGTGGCAATCTTACAAGCAGATGAGTTTCAGAAGAAACTGTATTAGAATAAAAGTCAAAAAACAAAATTTGGGAGCTCCATCGCTTGTTATTAATTCAACACGCATCTAATTTTAAACAGTGTATTACATTCCCCGCGTAAGAACAGGGATATAAATTGAAGATCCCAGATAAAAAGGAAAAAAAAAACAAAGGATTTGGGGAAAAGAAACTGAAGATGTACCTGGAAAGAACGGAGCCAATCAGGAGAATCTTCTCTAGATGAGCAGCTCATTTTTGAATAAATATTCAAACACTAATTTACAGTCTACAAAGCTAATTTAATAGTCGCTTAGTTGAGTAATGAGAGTCGCCGGAGGTGGTGGGAGGAGGAGGAGGAGCCCAGAAACGACCGCGGCTTGCTTTCCCTCCTCTTTTTATTTCCTTTTCAATTTCAATGAACTCTTTTTGGTTTTCTTTTAGTGGGGAAAAAAAAGAAAAATTTATAAACAAACCAGTGGTGGCATTACTCAAGTTATTATTCTACGCAGGTGTTTAGCCCATTCATGCCATAAGGCCCAATGAGTCTGAGCCTCAAAAAGCCCATTAGTAAGCTTCGGACTACCATTTCAGCAGGCTCTAAGCTCTTTCTGGCTGGTATGTTTATGAAAAACTGATGTGATTGAAGATCATTAATAATCCATTAGATCATCGACCTTGCTTGGCTAAAGTGGTGAAGTATTTTGCTTCCCTTAAAAGAAAGTCTTGTGTTCGAATCTCGTGAATATAAAAAGTAATGTTAAGAGAGTTTCTCTTTTGAAAAAAGACTGATTCGGCTCGATACTGATTAGTCTGAGTGCAATGTACTTAAGACACCGTACAGTGTGTGCAGTATGAAAAAAAAAGAGAATAAATGATCCATTAGATCAGTTGTTTCACGATACCAAAGTTAAGGGTGCCACAATAAGTTCCCTGATTATATTTTCTTATAATTCACGAACTTCATTTACAATTTACAGCTAGCTTAAAAAAAAAATTAATATTTCTTTCGTCCCCAAATAATGTACTAAAATACAATAAAAAAAAGAAAAAAAAAACAAAGTGAAAATTTACATTGTCCATTTCAAAGAGGGGGTGGAGGGAGAAGATTAAGAAAGAGAGGTAGTTGAATTGGAATTATGGAAATGTTGGAGGATGCCTTCGGTTGTCCTTACTTGAATGACATCTGATAGTATCAAAACAAATCATGCGATATAGGTTTTACTTTTTAGGCAATTTGGGCACCATTTTCGGACATACTACTTCACAGGCAAAACAGACTTTATATTATCCGCCTGCCAGCCACCCCTCTTTCACCATTGTTGACTCTCTAATTTCCTCCTATTAGCCCACCTCTGTTTACTTCGTTGCAACATAGTGAAGTTGGATAAGGAAGATAAAACAGTCGTCAATTAAGCCATACATATATCTATGGGCGGCGGCGGTGGTGAGGGGAAGCAAGGAGTGGTGGTTATGGAGTGGCCTAACATGGCAAAGGGTTTAATTTTGGGTGACGGGGGAAACCCAATTGCTCAAATTCAGGCAAAGTACAAGGAATTGGAAGATGGGTTTAAAGGGTGGTTGGCTAAGCAATCTTTGCCCGTTGAAGCTGCTGTTGTTACCCTCACCAGTGCTACTCAAGGTGCTGCCATTGGCGCCTTAATGGGTACTTTTACTAATGATTTTGCCTCTTCCATGCCAACTCCCCCTCCTGGCTCCCCCAATTTCAACCCTGAAGCTATGGCTTCTCTCAAGCAAGCCCAGGTTTTGTGCTCTTCCTCTCTCCCCGTTGATTTTTCTATCTTCTTTTTTTTTTTTTCATTTAGTTGTTGAATTGGATTTCTAACTTTGTGCGTCATGTTACCTTTTCCGTTGTGGGTCACTTCTCTTTGAGTTGTGTTGCTGTTGGTAGCTATTGCATTTTTTTTCTACAGTTGTGCAACATGGTAGAAATTTCTCCCTTCTCAGTTCTTTTTTTCTGGGTGTATTGCCATTGATAGTTAGGGTTTTGGATTTCAAGGTTTTAAGTTTAGGTCAAATCTTAGTTGAATTGGCTCAGTACTTGTTGAATGGTTTAATCATTTTTCAACATCTGATTGATGCTTGTCGAAATCAATTTATGGTAAAAACTCTGCTGTTTTGGGAAGAATTTTTGTTTATTTTCGAATTAATACAAAATTTGCTTACAAAGGGGATTTTGGTAGGGTCAGGTTGCCTTGTTCACCTTGATATACAACCTCCAAATAACAAATGTATCATTGCATGTTTTGAAGCATAGTGTCTTTCCAAATCATTGGAAATCCTTGCTTTGTTGCATAATCGAAAGACCAGGGAGGGTTTATTTGATTGAAGTGGTTTAATAAGCTATATGAGAGTGCTCAATCACGTCGCTGGTGCAGATTTCCTGGATTTTTTCTGCTTTGAAACTATGATTGGAAGAGTTTGGATATGGAATTGCTTATAGTGACAAAATAACTGTTTGTGAGTGCACTTCCTAATGAATGTGTTCTTTGCTTGCATACAACAGGCTCTTTCGGGAGGTCCATTCGTTCAAGCTCGCAACTTTGCCGTGATGACTGGTGTTAATGCAGGCATCTCGTGCGTCATGAAAAGAGTGAGAGGCAAGGAAGATGTTCAGTCTAGGTAAAAGATCTAAGCTGTGAACTTCAAGTTATATTTGCCTGATATACCACCATTCTGGAAACCAAAGTTTCTGCTGATTGTTTGTATCATAAGTTAACTAGCTCTCTGATGTGGTTGCAAACGACAATTGTCATAGACCCTTTACCTTGTAGGACAACTACGTATGTGTTGTACTAGTTAGCTGTTTTCATGTTGAGATTTTACCATGTTTTTCTAGTCTCCTGCATTCCTTTACCTGCCTTTTTTCTTTCCAGCTTGGCTGGTGTGAACACTTGTTCATCTTCATTGATTTATAATTTTGAATGATTGCAGTATGGTGGCTGCTTTTGGATCTGGTGCAATATTTTCATTGGTAAGTGGTATGGGTGGGCCAAATCCAGCATCCAATGCTATTACATCAGGAGTCTTATTTGCGCTGTTCCAAGGTGGACTCTTCCAGGTAATTTACCAGGAGCTAAATTAGTTTTGTGCCTTGTTTAACCTTCTGTTGACATATTAGTTATGGGTATTAAAATTTCTTTAATGGCATTTAAGGAGCCAAATTTGATCTGGATTTAATCTTTTAGGTAACTATTGGCAAAAGATTTCTACACCTATTCTGGTGTAAGACAACCTAAAACGCTGATATGATTTTGACACGTGTCTAATCTCTACCCTTATGGGTTCATTCAATTGTGGGTTAGGTAGTGTTAGTATTAGCTGTAATTTTTAAAAGGACACCTGTCGATTTTATAAGTAGTCGGTAGGAAAATGGTGATGGTGATCTTTAGGTGTAACTATCTTGAAGGCCTTTCAAAAGTATGAGGATTTATTAGTCAGAAGATTGTTGTGTTATTAATGGATACTAAAGAAACCCATAACCCAGTCATAGCTGCACTCGATTTGGTGGTATTCCTCTTTACGTTAACTGAATGCTTTCGTTTGCAGGTTTATTTTTGAGATGTTTGATACATGATTGTTATTACTAGTATTACTTTATTTCGCTTGAGATTTAGAGGGAATGACAGCATTATATTCCCCTTTCCTTTTATTTGGTTCATGCAGCTAGGCCAAAAGTTTTCGACGCCACCAGCTGAAGATGTGTACTATGTCAAAACAAGGTCCATGTTATCCAACCTAGGTTTGCAGAACTATGAGAAGAACTTCAAGAAGGGCTTGTTGACTGACAACACATTGCCGTTGCTCACCGATAGGTAAGTCGAATATACAAACACACCATTCTAGTTTTCTGGTTGTCGGTGAATGGGGAAACTTTTGTTCTTTTAGTTGGCTTAATGAAAGTAATACGTGATTTATTTGTTCATTTTGCAGTGCCCTAAGAGACGTCAAAATCCCACCGGGACCAAGGCTTCTCATCCTCGATCACATTCAAAGGTTTGTTTGAGAAACAGTATAGTTTCTTTTTCGCACTTGTTTGTTTTCTTGGGAAGAGAACTCGCATTGATTTGGGGGTTGGAAAACGCTTGACTTGATTTCCATGTTTTGTAGTGATCCCGAGTTCAAGGAGAAGAAAGGAAGCCGCAAGTGAAGGTTGCAATTTTGTTTGGTTTTAAATCTGTTGTCGAACGAGAGTACTATTATCTCAAGTTATCGTATTACCGGATTCGAACTCTGAATGGCAGTGTTTTTTACGTCTATTTTTATTTTTTAATTTTTTTTTTCCCGTGCAATTGGATCAAATTAGACCTTGAAAAGTTGTCATTTTTTGATCTGTAATTGAAATGAAACAATGGCCCAATTGAGTGAGACATATGTGGAAATGGAAATCCACGGAACACAAACTGAAACAAATTGCTGCTTGCTGGGAGATACAATATACAGAACTGTTGCCTCTCAAATTTCGATTCAAAGGTTTTCGAGAGAGCCAATCCAACACCACAACATTTACGACAACATTTCCCATATCTATTATACATGGTGGTTATAAAACTACCGCCAAAACGCGACAAAGAACAAAGCCAAAAAGGCTCAGAACCTCTATATATGGACGCATATCCACCAAAATCCTTCCTATACACCAGGAAAAAGAAAATGAAATCCCACATTCGGCCAGAGCAGTAGCAGAGTCAACAGCCAACAACAGGCTGTAATCTGTTATTTGCCCCTCTCTCAAGAACCCTTCATCATAGTGCGTGGTGGTCGGTGGGGAGGGAAATGGAAGCGGATTGAAGCAGCTTATGGGCCGCAGATAACTGATCCATGAGAACGGAGAGGTGGGCCCGGTAGGAACGGGCCTGGTCGACGGCCTCGGCCTCCAGTTCGCCGAGCTGAGAACACAGGCGCTCCTCCGCTTCCTCCGCCACCCGCAGCCTCTCCCACAGGCACCGGAGTTGCTCCTTCATCCGATCTTCCCTCTCCACACTCATCTTCAGCTCCCTCTCCAACTCCTCGTTCCTCTTCCTCATCTCCTCTTCCTTCCCGGCGTCGGCGGTTTTCAACGACACTGTGGCTGCCATTTTTCGCGTTCAAAGAAAAAAAATAAAATCTACAAAACTTTTTGCAGATTTATTAGAATCTTCGGTTAAAAAAAATGGGGCAAGGAAATGGGAGGCTGTATGGGGCTTTATATAAGATGAAGAAGAGAGTTGAAAAAGCAAGGCTGGAAAGGCTGGAAGTTTGGGGGATACAGAAATGCGTCTAGATTCAATGTATCTTTACTCTTTTTCAATTTGGCTTCAAAAGTCATCCAGGGTTCCGTTGGAATATTCGGGAAAAAATTGGGGTCAATTCCAAGGTTTTAATAATTCAACCACAATAAGGCGTCATCACATACACAACCAGAGTTTGAAACCCTTTATTCTTTCTTTGCTTCTTCTTATTAGCAATAATAAATATTTACTACATTCGTCTCAAAAAAAATAATCTATATTGATTTTTAAATTTATAATAAAAATCAAAACATAATGTGAACTATATTTGTGGAACAGAGGGAGTATGTATGAGTAATTTTTTTAAGAAATCTGGCTGATGGTATCCTCCAAAGTGAAATGTGGCTACATGTATATAAACGACATTGAATATTTTTATTTTCCCTTTTTTCAATTCTGAAAGCTGACAAAAACCTTATTAATTTACATTTACATTTCCATTCTGTGAACTGGATTGGTTGAACAGAAGTGGGATTAAGAAGATTTTTGCAGGTAAATAAAATGTTAATTATCCAAAAATAAAGAAGAAAAAAAATGGTGAGGAAGACAGAGTAATAGTAGTAGTTTAATGAGGTCCCCCATTTGGGATCGTCGATGAGAAAATAACAACAGCTGATAACGAAATTACGACCCCAAAAAAGAAAAAAGCATCGGTTAAGCCGTGCACGTCCCACTACATGTGCTTCGTTTTCTTCTTTTTTTTTTTTGTTTCCCTTCTTAACGCAGCCTGGTTTTGTAACTTCTGTTGACAAATTCTCATGTCATCGTCAACTTTCTATCCCTCGACCGTTCATATGATTTCTATCCTACACACCAAAATACTCCCATTGAAAGAAAAAAAAAATATTCCATATTGTTGAATTTTATTATACTAATAAAATATAAATCACAAGACTAATATCGGCTATTGTTTCATATGGAAATAATATTATTTTACTTTCTCATTGTATTAATAAAATTAAAAAAAAAATCCAAACTTGACACTAATTTGATATTATTATAAAAAAATTCTTTAATTTTTATTCTAGTTATTGAATATCTTAGAAGCAAATTATGTATCCTGCGATACCTCCACCGGTGCATAAAGTAGAACCATCCATCGCCTTTTTGTCCCTATCATCTCAGAATTAGTTACGTATTGTTTTCAATATTCCAATTCATGTGAATAATGCAGAGTTTTAATCATTCAAAAAATAAAATAAAATAAAATAAAAACCTAATAGCTAGCTAGCAAGATAAAGTGACCCGGACAATGAAAAGAAGAGAGATTTGACTTTTGGAATACGTACTACGTTACTACATTTGATCTTATCTCTCTTTGCTTTTTGGACGTCGGTTGGTCCAATAAAAGTTCTGAACATAAGTGTGGCGTGTCGCACAAGTATATTTCACACACGACTTGTGTGCACAATTCCTCCTTCCCATCAATTTTTAATGCCTAGGGCTTGTTTTGGATGATCCCTCATTTTTTACTTTTAAACACACAACACAATTCACTGTCTAACTAATATTTTAATTTATCTTTTAAAAATTATTTCAAACATTATTTTAACAAAATTTTCATCCACATCATCGGACCACCGCCGCCACTCACATCAGTCGCCAGACTGCCCTCCGCCACCGCCGGCGATGGGCCACAGATGTGAGTGGCGGTAGTAGTAAAAAAATAATATTATCTTAAATAAAATAATATCCAAACAATTTTTTAATTTTCTCTCAAAACACATTTTAAATCACATCTCAAACTCAAACAAAAAATTAAAATAAATCATCATCTATATACAAAACCCTAATTTCTCATTAAGATTTTATAAGCGTATTATTTACGTATATAACTAAAGGTGAAATTCTAAATTTTTTTTTAAGTTCAAAATCAAACCTCTCATAAATAGGATTTTATATACGAATTACTTACGTATATAACTAAAGGCAAGACTCGAGTTTCTTTTTTTTAAGTTCAAAATCACGGCTCATAAATAGGATTGAATCAAATCGCATATAAATTTATGTAATCTCAACAGACCATTCACTCTTCTTGTATATATAGTTAATTACAAGTATCTCGTCTATTAGATGTGGGTAGGATTTATGAGTAAAGAGATAGTATTACTACGCGTTTATATCTCAATCTGGTACTTGAAACGCTTCCTACGAATGTAAATTGTCACGTGCACAACTCCACACAGTGTCGTTAGTGGGTCGAATCCTGATCTCCCAATATTGATGCCAAAGACCGTTCATTTGGTCTACTCCCTTGTTAGCACAGACCATTCACTTGCTTCTAAACATTTATCAAATCTTACAGTGGACTTTATAAGATTCTTGGGTGCTAGTACTAGCTTGCACTTGTTAAAAAGAACCACCATATAAATAAATTGGAACCGTGATAAGAACAATATTATCGGTGTTCAACCAAATGCACCTCCGTCTCGTTGGTATATTCATAGTTTTTTATTAATAAATGCATTATCTTAATATTTTTTTATTTTTAATATTATTTTTTTACATTTCTGATAAAAAAAACAATTAAAAACACGTGCTAAAAAAATCCAAAATAGTTAGATAACATTTTCGCTCTTTTTATTTGCTCTCCCACTTTTATTAGAACTAGTTTTGGGCGGTCGCGCTTAGCGCTGTCAGTTCGTAATTCGCTCAGTATGTTCTATTCGTGTCCTAGAAGTTCTGCTGCATTAAAAATATTTTAAAAATCTATCTTTTGAATTGTGTATTATTAATTAAATGATCATATAGGATACAAAGTTGCCGTTAAATACTCATATTTCTTTGTTGAATTTGCTTATGCGTAGCTTTGCTTGTATTCAACATATAATATATATATATATATATATATATATATCAATATAGTTTTCGGTGAAAAATCTAATAAATAATAAGAAGAAAGAAAGCCCGAATCATACAGGAGACCATCCTGCATCAGCAGCCACTATGCTCTACTTTTGATTCCAAAATCTATCAAAAGAAACCTGATTTTTTTCTAAATTGAGTAGTTAGACAGAAGTATCAGTATTTTCATTGCATTCCACTATTGCAGAAAAACAAAGATTTAAAAGAATATGCTAAATCTAGACCTTTTTTTATTTTCTTTATGTGCTTGTTGGAGACCTTCTTTGCTGCAATGCTCTATTGGAATGCTTCAACAAGGGTTTAAAGATAATACATGAATGCATTTCTTTGAGCATCTCGGTAACTTCGTTTCCAACAATTTTTATATTATGTGCGTCGTTTTGTAGTGTTAAAATATTTACAAACTTTTGAGAAGTATCGCATGATAAATCAGAGAATTGATCACATACTACCTTACATGCTGATTTTGCTTCTTCACCAAGTTTAAGCAGTTATTAGAAAAAACACAGTAGAAATGAAAGCAGCAAATACGAGATCGTCCACCCGAGCTTTTCATCACCAACACAAATTATCATGCGATGGTCGTTTTGGAGCGGGGGATTTTATAATGACATAAAATGATTTCGTTTTGGGTTCCGGGGAATCTTTTAAAATAGGTAAGGAAAATAAAATTTATTTATAGATTTACGACTTTGTCTCTAATAAGCTGATGATGTCATGACGTCCGTCAAATTTATTCATATCGTTGGATGGAGACCTTTGGACGGTTTCCACCTAAGTTGAATATTTTTCCCTAATTTCTTAGGAACTCAGATTTTTATTAAGTGTAAGAATAAAAATATATTCAAAAAAAAAAAAAACGCACAATCAAATGAAAAATAGCCCATGGGCTTTTTATAAAGTACAATTTCTTAGCTTGGAATTTATCCATTTGAATTGGACGAGTGGCCAACTGTATGGTTTACTTCAGTCTATTGGAGGCTGAATGGGCATGTAAAAGGCCCAAACAATTTCTAATCTCCATATTTAGTACTTCCTACTAGATGTTACCTAGATAAAATATTTTTATGAAAAAAATTTGTAAAACTTTATTCATAGCTTGAAAAGAAATGAATCTAATTAAAAAAATGCATTAAATTTTGAAAGAAATCAAAAGTCCTTTAAACTCGAAATAAAACTGAAAGGAATTGTTGTGCAGTTTAAAATCTCTCTTTGATTTCTTTATTAGTATAATATACTATATATATATAAATTTAATATTATCTTATAAAAATAATTTTTTCTTAGTTTATCAACATCGTTGAATCAGAATATAAATTGATTAGTTTATGTTTTCATGTTGATATTGAATAGCAAAAATTTTTTTTTGTGTTAAAAATGATGTAAAAGTAAGAACTATTTAGACTCAATTAAACTAATTTTCTATTTATTAATAAGTTTTTGAAATTCGTTATTAAAATTTTGGAGAACATATTTTGACAACTCCTTTTTTCTGTGATTAGAGATGCTTTAGAGATAAATAAAACAAATCTATTTTGCCTTAATAGGGTGAGATGTATTTAAGCGATCTGCTTCCTTTCATATATATAAAATAATGTCCTCATTTGAACATATACGAAAATTAAGAAAAAGTGTGTGATGTAGCTAATTTCAAGTTAAATTCTTTATATTCTATCCATTCTAAAATAAGTATTATTAGATAATTTATATATATTTTAATAAATACTTAAATAGGATAAATACATTAATAGAATATCCTCAATCTATATCATTAAAAAACATAACTACCGGTTACCAAAAAAAAAAAAAAAAATAACTACCATTAGTACTATTTATTTAAGAGTAAATTTAAAAAATTTAGCTAAAAACTGCATTGAAATAAGAAAACTACAAATATTTTATAATATCTTTATTTTGATAAAACGATACGGATACATCCACATAGGGGGTGGTTATTAGTTGATGAGTGGGAGTAATAGTTAACATTAATTAAATATTACTGATTTCAGTAAAAATTGTAAGAGTATACTAAAAAAATGTATAAATAAAACTTAATTAATTGTTTGAAGTGGTACTAAATTTTAATGTAAATTGTTGTAACACATAAGGATGATAATGTGGTACTACGTTAGATTGTGTGCAGCTATTGTACCTTGTGGGATTGTAAAGTTAGACACGATGAGTAGAACAAAATTATAACTTTAGAGGAAAAGTGATAACTTCCACGGACATTTTAAGATTAAAATTGGGAGTGTTAATATCTGCTGCACGAAAAAAGATATAGATGTACCCAACATTTTTTCACACATGTTGTACCTTAGATTTTTTTGCATATATGAAGTGTTGCAAGATTATAATTTATGAGATCATTAACCAATAGTAACGTCTCTAATCTCCATTCAAACTCCGTGGAAAACCGATAATAATCCAGATACATTGGTAATGATGATACCTGGAAATTGGAATGATGCACAAATAGAAAAACTCGCAACATTAGGAATATTTCCTTTTCCGTTCTTTGGTTGTTTTTGATAACTAATGACATTTTCTATGTCATCCAACTTAAAATCTAGATGTTATATTCGTTGTTTTCATCCCAATCTGAAAAAGATAAAAAAAATAATAATAAAAAAAAATAGAGCATTCATATTTCGAATGAGCATAGTACAAAACAGATCCACCGCTAAAATAAACACTCTCTTACCAAACTGTAATCATAATAATAATACTGACGTATCAACTCTAAGAATGTATAAAATGTGATAACAGTTAATAAATTATAAATAAATTAAAATACTCTCTGTCTCAAAATATTCAATGCGGCATAAAAAATAAATAAATAAAATTTAGACCTGCTAATTAGAGTACTATTTGGCAAAGGAGGGAGTACTAGTACTAGTCTACTAAATAAGGTTAATCATGATTATAAAGCAAAGATAAAACGGTAATAAGAAGCAGTAATTGAATACTAACTTGCTTTGCTGGCGGTGCTGGCGTCTTTGCCTGCTGAAACAACAAAGTCTGCCCATTTCTTCCTCTCTTATTTTTCCCCCTTCTCTCGGCGCAGCACTACGCAATCATCTCCAAAACTGCCCGTAAGTTTCCATTCGATGATTTTTTTTTTTTTTCCGCGAACTTCGTTTTTTATTCTGTACAATTTTGGGTCCTATGAATCGATGTTGTCGTTTAAATTTTTTTTGGTTGTGATTGACATAAAGATATGAGAGCATTATTAAGTCTTACTTTGTTCCTTTTGTTGTTGTTGTTCTGTGTTTCTTAGGGCTTAATTTATGGTGTTATAAACCGCTTTAAATGTGATATTTTGATTCTGCTCAAGTCCCATTTCATTGATCTGGCTGCTTTTTTCTTTTTTTTTTTGAATTTTAAAAATTATACGACTGCTGCTTTGTTTGTTTTAGCACACGATCTTTATTGCTTCATAAATTGTAATCATCCACTGATGAAATGACCTGCCGACATGCATGCCCGTTTTTGTTTTTGTTTACGGTTTGTACCTTTGTGATGTAGAAATTTTCAAGATCAATTTAATTTTTTGTCTCCCGAAGACCTTTTATGGGATTGTTCATGGGATAGATATGGTATGAATTCATCCCAATTTCCCATTAGAGTTATTCCGTTTTCCTTATACCTTAAAAATGATTTTTGGCAACCCTTTTCCCTGAATTTCTTTTATTTTCTCAGGTGCGCATAATATGCGTTTCCAAGTGTCTTGTAGTCCTGAGCCTGTCTCTTTCATCACTTCAGTTAATTACATTGGAAAAGGACTTCGGTGGGCAAGATTCGCAGGGTAGGTTTGTGTTTTTACATCGTCAGCACTGGAGGATGAAGTTTTAAATCATCGTTTGGATTAGAATTTGAGGAATATTCGAAGCTAAAGCGACAGAATACCTTATGCCTTTGCTGGTTTAGGAAAAGGATAGTATGGACTTGCATGGTAATACTCCTCAGGTGGAGCATGGAAGGTTTGAACAGATACTTAACCAGTTTCTTCTTAAGAGCTTACACATTATATTGGACTCTAGGGTTCCTTCGATCCGGATGCCCTTGTCCCGACAACAACGTGGTGGAGAGCTCAAAAAGAGTGATAAGTGGTTCAACTTAGCACTTGGGGACCGGCCTGCTGTATTGGACAATCTCAACTTTTGGCATAGGAATCTAATGGAGCCGATGATTATTGATATTATACTTGTTCAAGACAAACCGTGTTCTTCTTCATCTGAGAGTGGCTCACGTACCCCTACGTCTACTTCAGGGTTGGGGAATACACTTGCGGAGACTGTTATAGAGAGGTGGATTGTTCAATATGAGCACCTGAGGACAGTGCCAATGGCAATGTCTCCTCAATCTACTGGTGATGTTTCGTACAAGAAACTCTATAAGAAATCGATTATACTTCTACGCTGCCTTTATTCAATGATGAGGCTGCTTCCAGCTTATAAGGCCTTTCGCAAGCTTTCTTCATCAAGTCAGACCTGCGAATTCGATATTAATTACAAAGTTTCTGCATACTGTGTTCCCTTTTCCAGAGCAGAGGAGGATTTAATGAAAACTTATACCTTTACACCTGTAGATGCACAACAGGGTCGATTCTCCATATCTGTTACATACCGGGAAAATCTGTCGGATTACAACCTGGAATGTTCGACATCTTTTCCACCAGAAATCATTGCTGATTATGTTGGTAGTCCTCTTGCCGATCCTCTAAGGGCTTTTCCTTCCTCCTTGGAGAAAGGCTATCATCATGGTGCATCATTGTTGTCAAGAGGGTCGCCGTTACGTTCTTCTACTACGCCCTCTCAGCGCCCGCACAGCTGGACTAGTGGGCTCCACCGTGGGGTTTCATCTCCTCAAGGACAGCAGCATATGCCAGCATCTCCCCCCCTGTATCGTGTGACCTCATATGAGGGCTCACCTTCGGATATACATGGGCCGAAGCAGCTACAGGATTATAGGTCGCCTGTTCACCAGAAAGCTCTATACTTTGAACATGATTACCAGCTTTCCCCTCCATTTTCACCATCTCCTCCTACTTATTTCCCCAGCAGCACTCCTCCTGTGCAGACTCGTATGAGGTCAGAAACTGCACCTGTCAGTATTCCACATCAACCAATCTTGGGGAGAGGTTCAAGATATCTTTCTCCGAATTTGTCTGATCCTAATAGGAATTCGCTTCCACCTCTATCCCCTCGTTTCGTGAAGCATGAATCCTCGTCTCAGGAGTCTCCATCCGGAGCCAGATCATTGAGGAGACCAGAATCTTTGAGATCTGGGGAGTCGAGTTATGGGATAACTAATTTGGGTCAGAAAGTAAGTTGATATCCAAATTTCTGTTACTAGTTTAGTACTCAGCAGCTCTTTTGAACACTCATTTTTCTAGTGGAATGTCATTTGTAACCATCTTCCAGGTTTCAAGGGACGCAAAGGAAGATTCGGGGCGGTTCTCTGGCTTATTATCTTCCAGCGATTCACCACGTGTTGGTTTCTCGAGAAGTTCTAGTAGATTATCTTTTCAGGATGACCTGGATGAGTGTGATTTTTCTTGTCCTTTCATTGTTGATGACGTTGATACTTCTGATTCCCATGCCAGGTATTTGCCGTCATTTTAAATATATTTTTCTTTCTTTTTTCTCCCTATGTGTAACCTTTTGCCGTCAAGTTGAGCTGTAAAATGAAATTTCTGTTTGATTCTTTAGTATCTTCTAGATTAACATATTTACCCATTCGGCTATGTTTCCTTGTTAGAGGATTTGTTACATCTCAGAATAATTGTAATTTTATAAAGAGGGTTAGGAATTCAGCGGAAATAGCTATTTCGGGATCTGCACTTACTATCTAAAATGACATTGAAGGAAGAAATTATGATTTCCATATTCAGCATCGCTTGTATGTTTTTTTCCCTCCCTATCAAGTGTGTTGCAGATGATGCGGACATAGTAATGGATTTGTAAGTTTGAATCTCAACCATCAATGTATTTGGATCTAACAGCACTTTTAGACCATGAATTGTTTACCACTAGTTGCATCATCTAAAACACTCTTCATGAGCCTTGGCACCACCTTACACAGTTTATTAGGATGTTATCAGCATCTATTTGATCATGTGAATTAGGTATTTTTGAATTTTGTAAGCTGTAAGTTATTGCTTTTTGCTCAGAGGGTGATGATGTCATACATCACTTCCCTGTGGGTTATGGAGAATCGTTGCTTTGAGTTAAATATTGAAGGTCGAACTTTTGTCTTCGCAATCTTGCTGATATGATTATGGTTCTCTGCCTGACCCTTTTAACAGTCACAATTTTGATCTCAGAGGAGGTGCCTCAGAAACCTCTATGCGAGCATATTCAACTGCACGGCGATCACAAGATGCCGCGGTCGGTGCCCTTGTTCACATGCTGCGAACAGCTCCTCCATTGCGTCTGGACTCAAGTGGTTATGCTTCTCGTTCTGATTACCCCAGTGACATGGGGAGCGGCGCTTCTTCCGGGTTCTTCCTCCCTCGAAAGACATCTGATGCATTGGAGGAGCTCAAGGTTTACAAAGAAATGAAGGAATTGCTGCTTTCCAAGAGTGCAACGAGGGAAGTTGCAGCCAAGGAAGGAGCTGCGCCTTCTGGCTAATTTTTTCATGCTGCTTTCCATACATTTGGCTGTATCAGATAGGATGGTGTGACTGAGTTCAAGTAGGATAAATCAGAAAAAATGTTTAGCCAAATTATGCGCAAGATTTTAACTTTTCTCTAATCGTGATTGGAATTCAGTGAGATAAAATGTGGATGCAGGACAGAGAGGAGGGAAAGCTGATGACAGTATTCCGATGGAGAAGTTAAGGACTTTCTGATTATCCAATTGAACAAAAATTGTAAATATGATGAACAGAAGCTATTCTATATCGGTGTTCTTGTATACATATCCCTTTTTAGATAGCTCAACAGTCATAATTTTATGTTTGTTAGTTTTGCTGAGAGCAAAGTTCTGATATGCTGTTGTTATATTTTCGCTTCTTCTACCTGAACTTTCCTCTTATGGAAGCAATCAAGATGAACTCTGAGAAAACTGTTAAATCAAGATCTCTTAAACTGATACCTAAGGCCTCGACCGTTGACAAAAGACAAGTTGAGGCCGTATTGGTAGTTTTAGAAAAGTTAAGGGGTGATTGTTTTACATAATTAACATCATTGGGGGGGGGGGCGAATTATGCAATTAGTTCCAAGACGAACCAGAGAAACAGAAACAAAGAGTATGTTTGAATACATTAGGCCGCAGAACTGACTGGAGTTTTTAGAAGTTTTGAGACAGAGAGAGAGAGAGAGCTGAAAATGGAGTTTTTCACATGCCCTTTGTGCCACCGATTCCTCCCCTCCCACAAAATTGAGAGGTATGATAACAGTACCATATTACTTTCTCCCTCTTTTTTTTTTCCTTTTGAAAAATTTCTGATCTTTTCAGGTTTATAATAATACTATTATTACCCCATATGTACGGCTGTCGTTGTACTTCTAAGGTTTAAAGGAATTACGGCCATTTTTGTTTCTGATTGTTTTCCCCCCTTTGGAGAATTTTCTTGGGAGCAGATTTTTTAATTTATTTATTTTCCGCAGAAAGATATAATCTTTGTCTCTTTTTTTTATTTCCCGCTTCAAATGATGCGACTTAAGTCATCGACTGATTTTAAAGTAAAATGGAATAAAACAAAAAAAAAAAAAAAAGTTACCATGATCCCCTGTATTTTACTGAAAATTTTCCCAAAACAGTGAGAGATTCTGGAATTTGATGGTTTTACAGGCATGTAGATGATCATTTTACTGATGAAGAATTGTCCAGGGACTTGTTGTTGGCCCAAGAGGTTGTGCATGCTCCACCATCTCCTCCTCCTCCTCCTCTTTCTCTTCAAGTATCTTTTCCTCTAACTCCTTCCCTTTTAATGTAAATCTGCACGCTCTGTGAATCGCTTCACCTTATTGCTGTGTTACTTTGAAACGGACTTACAATAACATCATTGGTGGGAATGAGTGTTCAATGTTATGGTTACCTTTTTGTTGGATGTGTATATTATAAGTTGGGATGAGTAGGATTTTCAAATGGGATTGTTGCATTATGGCATATAACAACTTGTTAAGAACTAATTTTGGGATCCGGATGGATTGCATTTGTCCTGAAATCCATGTTTAAATGTTACATTTTGAATTGTCGTTGTACTTTTTGTTTCACAACTTCCAATCCATAAAGTTAGATAAGGGGTAAAAATTGATATGTATTTTTGAAAAAGCTGTGTGAATTATAAAGTCAAAATATCCGGAATCCACATACATATTTCAATGAACCGCAAATGCAACCATAGCTTTTTGAAGGATTCTCTTTTAAGATTCACCAATGAATATGGATATCATTCATTGTTTCTTGCAGTTTGATGCATTTGCTAGCCAATTTTTAATTTGTTGAGCTTGTGACGATGTTAGGTTGATAGCCGTAGAGGCGCGTCTAGCAGCAGCAGTACCTATGGAGGAGGTATAGATATTGATTCGAAATTCGCTTCGTTGATCAGTTTGCAAACTAAAGAGATCCTTTATCAAGTTAAAGGTGAAAATGGTTTGATGACTTGTTTGAAAGATTGTTTGACCTTCGAGTCTGAAAAAGATGCCACTAGTATATTATCGGGTTACATCGATCATTTCCAATGTCGAGAATCTGAAGATGTTGGCTGGGGTTGCGGGTGGCGAAATATCCAGATGCTTAGCTCACATTTGATAAAACAAAGACAAGAGGCAAGAGAGGTTTTGTTTGGCGGTGCGGGATTCGTGCCCGATATTCCTTCCTTGCAAAGGTGGCTTGAAATTGCGTGGGAACTAGGTTTTGATACACAAGGTTCTAATGACTTCAATAATAAAATTTACGGCAAAAGAAACTGGATTGGAACCACCGAGTGTGCTGCGCTTCTTCGTTCTTTTGGTCTGCGTGCAATGGTAGTGGATTTCTGTGGTGAAGAGACCAACACGGGAGGCTCAGCTAATAAAATGTTGGTGAATAAAAATGTAAGCAAAAGGAAATTAGCACAAATTCACGGACCAATGGACAGGTTTTTGTTTAAAGAAGATCAGAAAGAAAGTTTTAAACATTTAAGCAGTGATGCTGGGAAGAAGGTTAAAGGTCCTGAGGTTATTATAGAGTGGGTGTGGAACTATTTCTCTAATAATAATTCCACTAAACTTGGTAGTAAGCGTGTTATTCTCAGCGAGAAAGCGTGAGTGTATCGAATTTATTGCATTCTCTAATAAGGTTATTTTGGGCATTTCAGAGAGTTGTAGCATTGCATTATTATCCATTATGTTATGTGTGATCAGCTTTTTGTTATGCAGACCCTTGTATTTTCAAGAAGATGGTCACTCGAGAACTATTGTCGGAATTCAAGCTGTTCTCAAGAGTAACAAAATGCATCAATACAATCTACTGATCTTAGACCCAGGTCATGTGAGTACATGCATATGTAGTTGAATAAATAATATGCTGTCATTGATCCGGCAATGTATTCGTTCTCAGGCCATACTCTGTATTTATGTCTTCTTTCTTGGTGCCTAATGTTGACAGTATTAGTAATACTTGTTAAATAGTATTTGAAATGGTTGGGTGATGAATTTTTGGGTGTCAGTCTGTTAATTTGATAGTTCCCACTTTTTATCTGGCAGTTGATGCCAGATCACCCTGTGGAAGTTTTCAATTTCAAAGGAGTCTAGATAGTAGGTTGATTTGCTTGGTAAAGTTATTATTGAGTTGTCATTGGTTGGTACTAGATTAATTATATAAATAAACTTTATGGCTATCGTAAGTAATTTATTTCATGTGTACTGTCATGGCAAATAAGAACTCTTAAGACATTCAACTCCCAATTTTCAGCAAACGGAAGCTTTGGAGAAATCCATGAAGCAAAACTTTGGGTGGCAGAAACTGATAAAGAGAGGAATTCACACACTGAAGAAGCACCAATATCAGGTTTTACTTGTTCCGGTTGCTTTTCTTTCCGACTGTAATTTGATTTAACTAGTTCTGGCTAATAGGACCTTGTTCCAGCTGTGTTGTATTTGTAATTGGATTTAACTACTTACAGCTAACTAGGACTGTGTTTCAGCTATGTTTTATTGAGCCTGGAATAGCACGTGGAGAAGAGATCGAGAGGCTAAAGATTTTGCGCGGCATTCATCACGAAATCTAGGTCAAGTGTTGAGTTGTCTGTTTATCTAATCAATTTATCCCAGATGGAAGACCCTAATTTTGGGTTATGAGGCATTTTTATCCTGGTTGCCTGGTATATAACTCTACTTCTTCTAGCTTACTATTAGAAGTTAGTGTAATGAAGTCTCTTGAAGAACTGAATTATCACCGTTAATTGCTGTGCAATTTGCTTCTGGAATAGATCAATCCTTCTTCATGGACTGGAGTTTGTAGAGTTTAGAATAAACCCCTTCTTCTGATGCTGTTACTAGAGAAGAGTGTGATCCCATTTCAACAACCCTACCTCGGTCCATGACAACTATGAGATCAGACTTTATGACTGTGGAAAGCCTGTGTGCTACTGTGAGTTGTGTCATCTTAGCATTATTCATTACGTTCGGTAACTCAAGTGCTGTCACCACGGCTCTTTCTGACTCTGCATCTAGTGCACTTGTTGCTTCATCTAGTAGCATAACGGCCGGTTTCTTCAAAAGAGCCCTCGCAATTGCTACCCGCTGCTTCTGTCCTCCAGAAAGTTGGCATCCTTTTTCACCAACCACAGTATTGTATCCGTCAGGCAAGGTGCATATGAATTCATGAATATTAACTTTTCTGGACACATCAACAATCTCAGCCTCCGAGGCGCCTGGGTTCCCATAGCAGATATTTTCTCTAATTGAGAAACTAAATAATAGTGGCTCCTGTTGCACCAACCCAATCTGTGACCTTAACATCCGTAAATTGTAGTCCTTAATGTTTTTGCCACCAACCAGAATTGTCCCATCATTTGCATCGTAGAATCTTAGCAGTAGTGCTATAACAGAAGATTTGCCAGCTCCACTTGGACCAACCAGAGCCACCTTTGATCCGGCTTCAATTTTTAAATTCAAGTTATTTAGTACTTTCATCTCTGGTCTGGATGGATACTTGAAACAGACATTGTGGAACTCGATTTCCCCCTTGATTCTGTTGTCAAATGGTGCATCATTCTCTAGTTTTTTGTCTGGCTCAATTTGGGTTTGCCGATCAAAAGTTTCAAAAACAGGTGTTAGTATGCTAATAGCAGATAACACTGTGGGTATGAGTGTCCAAAGTTCTGTGATGGATGGCACCGTGAGCGAGAAAATCTGATATGATCGAATTCCATCCTCGAATGTTGCTTGCCTTCTTTGAACCAGAAGAGTAGTGTACCATAAGGCCACAGCATGGGCGATATTCCATAAACAAATGGCCACGCCTTGAATGATTCCGTATTTAATGCTTTCTTTCCTGCCTTGTTTTAATGGTTTCTTCAACGACAATTTGGCCTTCTGGAGAATGTGTTCTTCATGGCAAAAGGAAGCAACCGTTTTGATGTTTGTTGCAGATTCTGAAGCTAGGGCAACCAGTTCTGAATGGGCTGCAGTGCTGTCACTTGCAAATCCTTTTGCGGATTTTGCTTGTATCAGGCCACCGATGAAATGGCAAGGCATCACTGCCCATGCCACCAGACCCATTCTCCAGTTGACTTTCATGCTGACAGTTGTTGCAATCAAGATAGAAGAGATGCATTGGACAATGACAGACATCCGGTCAGAAATTATTGTCTTGACCATCGATGTTTCAGTAATTATACGAGATGTCAGGGAGCCGACATTGTTTTCAGGCTTCTCAAACCATGCTAATTCATTGCATAGCGTGGCTACAAAATGAAGATTTTTCTTTAGTTATTTATTCAGGAGAAAGGCAGCAAGATTGATGGTGGAGTGGTCTATAGAAACGAAAGACAATCAATATTATTAATTACCTGAGTATAAAGCTTGCCGGAGATTTGTCATGGCCTTCTCTCCCACTGTTCCAAACAAGTAATGCTGCACAGTATGGGCAAACAATGACAGTATCCCAATTGATGAGAAGATTAACGAATACCATCCAACCCTCTGCTCGGCTTTAGGATGGAAATATGCTACTCCTATGGTAACGATGAAGTATCCAAACACAGGTTTGGAGACGCCAGCAAAGGCTGATGAAATAGATCCAATAAATATCTTACCGAACTCTTTCTTGTTTAATCCAAACCAGATTCTGAAGAATATTGGAATTTCTTTAGTTTCTTTATCCTCCTGCCCCTCAGGGGTCTTTCCGAGATCATGGTTCTGCAATGTTGTCTCTTTATGTTCCTTTGGTGTCTCAGATGAACTTTCCTGCTCGATTCCCTTAGTTTCTTTGGTGGAACTTTCTGGTCTGTGGATAACCAGGGAAAAGGGATCTTAAATGAACAGAGATAATGTTTAGAAACTCAGGCATCTGCCCTTTTTTCTTTTTCTTTCTTTTTTTTTTTCTTCCCTCAATGAATTGTTTATGCATATACAGTTTACCTACCTCGTCTCATTTTCTTGGTAGATATTCTGCATTGTGAATAATTTGTGGTAGAATTTGCTGGTTTCCAACAGGGAGTTGTGTGATCCTGTCTCAGTAACCTTTCCATTCTCTACAATGGCAATCATGTCTGCATTGACAATGGTTGACATTCTGTGCGCGATTAAGATCACTGTCCTCCCTTGCATTGCAGTCTCAAGTGCGTCTTGAACTACTCTCTCTGATTCTGAATCAAGTGCGCTGGTTGCCTCGTCGAGCAAAAGAATAGGAGGGTTCTTTATAATGGCTCTTGCTATTGCAATTCTTTGTTTCTGTCCCCCTGACATCTGGACACCCCGTTGCCCTACCTGCATGTGGGATCAAGCCAATCATAGTGTCGATTTGGGATTTGTAAGCTTCCCCAATGAAAGATCAAATGTGAATTTAGAAGAAGGATTGAGGTTACCCACGGGGCATGGTTATAATGATGACCAAGAAAATATATTTGTACAGAACTATTTTGGTATCAACCTTGCCATCAATAAAGTTGGAAAATTCACCAGTAATTCCTTTTCAATCTACCACTTGTCATTTATTTACTTTTCGTATGATTCTTAGCTCCATTCATCTCATCAGTGTTTATCATTTGTTACTACACTAGCAGTGGCCTGGCGTTTTAAATGTCCCTAGGATTTCATTTTAAGACCACCACCCACACCACCACCACCAACCCCCAGATAAAAAAGAAAAATCCTTTGTGGAGGAAGTTCAACTGTCTGAGCAAAATTTGAGAGGATAAGTGCCAACCTGGGTTAAATACTCATCTGGGAGCTGGGATATGAAGGAGTCTGCATTTGCTAAAATTGCAGAGCTCCGTATCTGATCATCAGTTGCATCCATATGCCCAACCTTGATGTTCTCCTTGATAGTTCCAGCAAACAGTGAGGGCTCCTGGGAAACTAGTCCTATGTTTCTTCTGAGAAACTTCAGGTCAAGTTCCTTTATATTGTGGTTGTCAACCAGAATGTCACCTGGAAAAAGGTTCAATTTGCTTTCCTATTTAGGTTTCCATTCATCCATGCAATTCATCTCAGAATAGTGTTATGAGCTTGTCTTATCATGTTTGTTTTCATAAGTTAGAGGAACCTGGAGAAAATGCCAGCTCGACAAGAGTTACCTTTTTCAGGATCATAGAAACGGGAAACTAAGGAGATGATGGTGCTTTTGCCACATCCACTGCTTCCAACAAGTGCCACCACCTTCCCGGCTGGGATTGACAAAGAGAATCCATGGAGAATAGTCCTTTCTGGCCTGGAGGGGTAAGCGAAGTAAACATTGCTTATGTCAATGTTGCCATTGATCACTTGCAACATTTTCCCTTGGGATTCAGAACTTATGGCAGGTTTCCTTCTGATAACCTGAAACACTTCCTTCCCTGCAGCTTTGGCTTGATTGAAGATTTGCATGTCTGGTGCAGCGTACGTGAGTGATCTGCATTTTAACAAGTTAAGCAGTTCTGTTTCATGTTATATAACTTGTAGAAATCAAACTAAAACTTCTTACATAGCCCCGAAGAGGATGCTCATTACTGCAGCTATGACGTCTCCCCCAGTCGATTTATGGTGCACAACAACAACAGCCCCAACCCAAACAATGAGAGCCCATGAGCAGGAAGTGACAGCTTGAAGCATACCCGTCCCTACGCCCTTTATTAAAGCTTCTTTCTTACTAGCCTGGAGCTGCTTCTGTAAGCATTTTGATAAAGATGTGATAGCTCGATTTTCTCCCACAAATGCAAAGACAGTTTTGATTTGAGCAATTGTCTGCAACGTGAAAGATCAGCCCATTGGAATTATTCATTTTTATGAGAAAGATCCACCTGGTTCTGTGGAAAGACAAAGCTTTCACAAGGTTTGTTATCTTACTTGTTCAACCAATGCCGTGGCGTCAGAAAGGTACACCATCTTGACGGCCGAAATAGAGTTCATTTTCTTGGTATACAGAGCCCCGATTAGTAGTACCATGGGAACTACAAACAAGGTAAGCAGCGACACTTCCCAAGAAGATATGAACGCAATCAACGCTCCAGAAATGAATGTGGCAAAGCATGATATAAAATGGCCCAACTGTAATACACGCTAGCCAAGGTAAGGAACACGCTCATAGATGAATATAACAAGATATCAGATGACTTTTCATTTCAATGTTTTGGTGGTATTTATGTACCTTCTCTCCAATGGCATCCTGCATGACATTCATGTGGTTAGTAACTCCATTGATTACGTGAGCACTAGTTAAATCAGTATCAAAAGCACCAACATCCTGCATCAGGACTGCTCTCAAAAATGCCAGCCTTACACGAGATACTTGTCTTTGGCTTGTATACATCCAGCATCCTACTTCTGCAGTATCCCATAGAAAGAATTTGTCTTTTCATATTAGCGTCGTCAAATGACTGAATTAATTGTGCTAGTACTAATTATTTTCCTTCTTCTCCTTTTTTTTTTTTTTTTTTTTTCCATCTCATTCCATATTCTTGACAGTAGTAAGCTGTAATGACTTTTACCTAGTACTCCAGCAGGAAAGGTAGCGATGGCCATGTACCACACGTATGGAACAACCTGAGAAATGAGAATATCATGCGGGGGGAAAGCTAAGCAATATCTAACTCACTTATTATATCGGAGAAAGATAGAAACGCAAGGTGTTTTTCTATTTTTTTAAAATTTTATTTACTAGTAGGGAAGTACTCTCATCATCATGAATAATATATGGTTGGAATCATTTCTGTTTGTACCTTTTTCAGGGCTTTAACCATGGCATCAGTGTCACCGATGTTGTTACCGTAAGCATTAATGGCTTTTCCGAGCAGCAGATAACCAACAGGTTGGGCGAGGCCGTGAACTGTTGAACCCAAAGTGCCCAAAAGCATCATAATCCAGTCCCATGTGTCGGCATAGGTCAGGAGTTGAATAAATGGCAGGGCCTCATCATCATCATGAATGCTGTTTTTCATATCTTCATTTTTGGCATCATCTCCTTGATGATGGTGATGTTTATCTTCTTCTACCACCTGAGCCTGACGAAGGGACATTTTTCCGTTTCCCTTCAGCAGCCAGAGAGCTCTTCTTGTGCTGGTATGATTACGACCCAACGATCTCGATACGTGATATTTATTGAATATTTGAAGATGGTGATTACAATGAAAGCATTGGGAATTTTATAGCATATAGGATGAAGTATATTCCTTTGCATGTGTTAAAAATGAGAAAATAAGGCCCTCACGGAAGAATTCCATGTCATGAGTCAAGACAGCGAAAGTTGGTAGTTGGCACTTGGCAGTTTTTGTTAGCTTACCATAGTGTTGGTTAGAATATGCATAAATGGATGGGAAATGCCGGTAGTACTTTTCACGATCTACAACACAGAGTATATCATTTTAACTTTCTGGACTTCATGTTGTAAGTTTGTAACTCAACAATGCAAGTGTTTTTTATTCAACTTGCGGTTCAGATGGCAGTTCAATATACATAAACCTGTAACCTCTTTTTTCTTTTTTAGCATATAATTTGCATGGCGCATCTTTCAGATCCACGTAGAGCCGCAGATTTGTAAAGAAAATGCTCTTTTGCAGGCTGTGTTTGCAAGGTGAATATTTCAAAGGGAATGACGACATTACATTGTTGATAGTGTAGAAAAGAAGGATTTTTAGTCCTGCAGAATATATAGATGGTAGTGTTTGTCTTTGCTTGTTCAGGGTATGAGAAAACATAGTTAGATTAAAGCTAGGGAATATACAAGAATATTCACATTGATCCTTTGATTTTGCATATGGAAGTATTTCACTAGATTGCCTCTGTTTTGTACTTTTGTTTGTCATGTCCTAAGATGAAAGAGCAAGAATAAGAGAATATTCAGATGGAGATTTTCATGAGATATAGAAAACTAGTATTCAAAGAAAATAAAAGGCATTGTCCTAGCTGGATGTTCCTGGCCTGAAGCTTGAGGAACTTTGGGATTATTATTGTCTTTTTATGAGGATTTTACAGTATATCCTCTCCTTTTAATAAATAAAATGGAGAAGGCGGTAGCTACTGCTTTTGAACTCTCCTTAATGGATGAGGTCAGATAAAACTCAACACGATAGGATCTACCCTACTCATGCTTTTATTACATTTGAGCTTCTAATTAATCTCATAAAGCATATGGGATGTACAAAACTTGAAATTGGTACCATAACTCCGAGTTGATACCCAACTACATAACATATTCATATTACCACTTTTTTTTTATATATATATAGAACTTTCCTAACTCCTGAACAATTTTAGTGCATGTTTTGTTTTGGAACAATGAAGTGAGAGCTTTGGCAACCTTTGAAAGTCCATTGATTGGCCCGAAGGATGTTCGGGAAGTCGCAAGGAGACAAAGACGATTTTGCACACAAACAGCTAGCTGGGATGTGGGTTCGTTTTCCAGCCCAATTATACTCTGCCATAACAGCAAATTCACTGGGAGCTGATGGAGGAGAAATACTGAGAGACTCTTGGGCTTCATGGCATCCCGAAGGATGCATTCATAATTTCATATATTACTTCTCCTCCTCCTCCTCCTACCATGTATGTTTGTAACCTTAAAAAGAACTGTACGTTTGTGACATTGTCTAAAACTAAAAACTAGTACATTTTCATTTTCACTACAAATTTATATTAAAGTGAAATTTTTAAATTCGATAATCATTTTGGGACTTGTGAGTATCAACCTTCATGCTACCTTCTCTGGTCGCGCTTCCCTTATTGTCAATAAGCAAATGCATGATTTCCCACCATCTTTTTTACCCTCAAAACCAAATAAAAACAAAAAAAAAAAAAGACTTTGAATTTCATTTTCCATCTCATTTACAGATTAAAGTGTTGAACTTCCTCCTCCTAATGGTAATTTGCCCTTTTACATCATCACATTGTAGTATTGATGGGCTACCTAGCTTACATCAGTTTATACTGTTTGTGTGCTTTTTTAATGGTTGTAAGTTGTAACTTGGTAAGTGTATCCCACTAAAAGTTAGTAGACTTATAGTGATCAGAATGGAGAGAGAAGAGCAGCTGGGTAGGTGGGATCTCCAAAAGGAAGAACCCTTTTTCACGTTGGGACAATCAAAATCACGATTTGAACAAAATGGGGAGGACCCTTTTGTTGTTAGCATTGGTGGAATTGGCATTTATGCTGAAAACAATGCCAATAATCATCATAATGTAATACCCGTTGCTGCTGCTGCTGTTGATGATGACAAGATTAAAGTTGTTGTTGATCAAGAAGGCAAAGAAGAAAAGTTGGCCGGAGTTACCCAGGTTGAAGTTGATGAGATTCATCATCATCGCAGCGGCAAAGTGGAAGCTGCTGATGACCCAACCAAATCCAATGCTTTTGCTTCTTCTTCTGTCTATTATGATCCAAACGAAGGTTAAGTTCTTTCCTTTCTTCCTTATTATGTTAAAGGTCGGACCTTTTCTTTTCTGGGATGTTCTTCCTCTTCCATTTCCTTGTTTTTGGTGTTTTTGGGCCTTTTTTTTAAACCCTTATTTTTGCCTCCTTATGATATCCCGAAAAAAGTTCTTACTTACTTCCTTATGTTGTCCATTTCCTGTTCGTAGATGTTTATGATTTCTTTTTTTATTGATTTTGAATTGCCCTAGAACTAGAGGGCCCTTTTCTGATGGCTACTGCCAAAACTGTACAATGTTCAGCTTCCTGTCCCAGATTTTTGTCCAAATAGCTTGCATTCCTTGCATTGCTTAGCGGCCAAAGCTTTTTTCTTTAAACAAAAACTTCTTAGCTTGCATTGCTTCTCCCTTTTCCAAAAATGTTTGTTTCAAAATTGAATTTTGTGTGTTAAATTGGCTGTCCTAACTGCTTAAACTTAAAGCTATCGATATTATAATCCACTCTGATGTAATTCGATCCTGCTTTGAAATGACTTTTATCACTTTGCCGTTTTAATATGATCATATTCAAATAGTAACTATTGATACTCTTGTTTTGGTGATACAGGAAGTAAATCGAATTCCACGCATTGTAGAGAACAACATGCCAGAAGAAAACCTGGAGACACAAAAGATTCTAACTCAGCAAGCCTTCAGCATTCTGAAATTCTACCCAAGTATGATGGCACTATCATAAGTAGTAGCAAGTCTGTGGGAAATAATGATGAAAGTGAAGATTTTGACCTGATTAATGGAAGTGATGCGGGAATAGAAGTAGATTTGGAGAATTTACTAGGGAAGCAAAACACACATGATTTGTATTGTCCAAACTGCAATTCCTGTATTACGAGAAGGGTGATTCTGAAAAAGAGAAAACGGAAGGTTCGTGTTACTAGTGAGGATGGAAAGCGTAACAAACAGGAGGCTACTGTGGTTGGCTCAAGCAGTGGGGATCTGAATTCTAGAGAAATTCAGTCAGATGTACCTACTGTAGAAGAACTTGTGGGAAATGACTATGAACATGATGAGAGAAAGCCCGAGATCTTCAGATGTCTATCGTGCTTCAGCCTATTCATTCCCACAGGTTTGAGTTGTTACAAATCAAATCAAACTTATTCATGCACTTGGATATATGGAAAGACCTGACATTCCCAACATTAAGAATTTACATGCTGGAATCTTATTTTGTTTAAATAGTTTTGCACCTGTAACAGTTTGCATTATAGTATACATTATATTTGTTCTTGATGATTTCCTTTTATCCTGCAGTCCATTTTAGTTGAACTTGTTTCTGAAGCCTATTGCTTACTACTTCTTGTATCTATTATTTAGCAAGTTTTCTTGATGATTCAGGAAAGGGTTTTACAATCTTTGGAATGTTTCCGAACAAGGGTGAGAACAAAGCTCTCCAGAAACAGCCAAGATCTGTGAGTAAGAACTGGATATCTTCGATATTTAGATCACATGAAAAGCCAATATCAGGAGGTACCATCGCAATCCTATTTCATGTTACTCTTTTGGTTATATTTTCTTTTTTTTAAAAAAAAATATATTATTATTTTGGTTACCTCATTTAGTTCCTTATCATTAATTGGACTATTGGAGGATACTTTCGTGGATCATGGTTCAAGACAAACATTAATGAACTTACTAATCCCTTTTCCTGAGAACCAGAAGTGGAGTCTGAACCAGAAGAAAGTCCACAAGTTTAACCTGTTAATTGTAGGACTAAGTGGAATTATGGTTTTTGCAGATATTGACATTAGATCGGGCAATGCGCTGACAACTAGCACTGTATCACCCCTTCCCTCATCATCCAAATTGGATGCTCAAGCTCAATCCTTAGGAAAGCAGAAAGACGATCTTTCACATATCTGCGAACTCCCGGGGCCTGGAAAAAGTGGAATTGTTTACAAATCTCAAAATGACGTAGAGAACTCACGCGATTTAACAAAAGAAGAATTGGTCAATGGAAAGGAGACTTCCCGTGTTGGAGATAAATCTGAAAGTGCACTTGGAATAAATACAGGTAACAGTGATGATTAGTTGTGCTTCTTAAATTTGCAAGTCCTCAAAAAGGATTGATGTCCTGAATGGCTACATTTATATTTTCGAAGACATGTGTACACTTTTCCAAAAGTTGTGTGTAAGAATAGGACAGCATGCAATTGGTGGCTATTTAGTCTTTGCTATTTCGAAGAATAGCTTTTTAAATGGTGGTTCAGATGTGAAACATTTTTCTGGTTTTCAGAACCAGGCTTCCTCCACAAAGCTGTGCAAAGCATCTTTTCCATTCTGTAGTTAGACTCAAAATGAATTGACCATCTGGGCTGTTGTTATTTTGTGCTAAATGTTTGTGTGGAGTCATGAACAATGAGTATTTCATTCATTACAGTGAACTTCAGGGTCTTTTGGACTGAAGTTCCTCTTCTATTTTTTACTTTTAATCCATAATTCTTGGTCCTGAAATGTAGTTGCTTCCACAAACGAGCACTTTGAGGCAGTAGCAGGCAGTCATGGAAGCCCATCAAATATCTTCATTTCTTCTGATGCAATTCCTGTTGATGGTGGGGAACTACAGGAAAATGTTATGTCAGTTAGCACACAAGATGGACGTAAGCTTCTGATCTCTTCACGAGGCAATGATTCACCTACACGCAAGAAGGTGGCCATGGTCCAAAATTCTGACCTGACAATGCAAACTTCCTCCAAAGGTACTTCCATTTGAAGGTCTGGAGGCTCCTCTTTCCAAGGTCTTTAAATACCTCCTCCACATGACAAATTTTATTACTTTTCCTTTGAAATTTCAAATAGATTGTTTACTATACATATTGTCTTGATTTAAGCATATTGTCTTGGAAATTTGATCATTTTGTCATTTCAATCTCTGCTGAAACTTGGAAAGTCAATGCACTTGTGCTTCTAAAATGAACCAAAATACAAAATCCAGGCAGCCTTTTTTGTATCGTATTGGTATTATTGCAATAGGGTATTATGTTTTGATAAACCCGTAATAATGACAATGGTATATTGACCTCGTTTATTGGTGGAGTTGATATCAATAAAAAATCTCAGCACGCAGTCATCAGCAACATCATCACAAATAGGATTTATGCTGGGGAAGTCCTTAAAACCAACACGGATCCATTAGTATGGTCAGAAAAAGATCCATTAGTATGGTCAGAAAAAGACGTAGATGTTGTTCAAACTGAGCACACTAACTTAACTAAAGATCATGGAAAAGCTACACCTAGCTTGTCCGGAGGTGAAATTGCATTTATATCAAATCAAAATATTGCATTCTGATTCTGTTTCTGAGGGAATTATTTCGTGTTTATTGTTAATTAACCTTCATTTCTGGCTAAATGTATAGTGGCTTGTTTAGTGATGAATATATTGACTAGTCACACTTATACAATTTTTTTGCAGGCAAGGATACAGTTATAGTAATAGAACCCAACGCAACTGTCTGTGAAGTAGCTACACAACAGTCACGAAACATGCACATCTCAGAAGATACTGGGGACTCAGCACGTTCAGATATGGTTACTTCTGTAACCGAGCAAAGACGAGCCAATGTTAGAGAATCATATGGAATTGACATTATAAAGAGCCTTGTTTATGGCGGCCTAATTGAGTCCATTGTCAGCCTAGGTATTGTATCATCTGCAGCTGGCGGTGGTACAGCAACATGTAAGTATTAATGGATGAGTATTACTGAGAGTCATGGCCTTTGTGTCACAGATTAGTAGAATGTGATATAGCACCAGGGCTTTTTTTTTTCATTTTTCTGCAAAACCTGTTGGATCTGTATACACTTTGTTTTTAAAACCTAATTTGTAGGTTATTGTTATAGGGATATGCATCTCACCTGTGTTTTTTTTTCATGTCGTTTGCAGTGAACATTTTGACTCTATCACTGGCTAATCTGTGCGGCGGAGTTGTCCTCATATTTCACAATGTGAGCTTTGCTTCAACTTTAAGCTGCTTATAGTAAAAATTTTATGATGCATTTTACAGTTCTTTCCCCTTTTTAGGAATAATAGCCAAAAAGATTGTACAATATACCGATATAGTATTAGAAATCAGTATTCCTCCTTTCCTTACAAATGCATTGTTTTCCATCCAGAATGTAGACATACAGTTGTTACATTTATGCTGAACTTATTCTCAAAATTTGCAGCTTAAGGAATTGAAGAAAGAGCCAATGAGCGATGATCACCCCATAGATCGATATCAGGAACTACTGGGACGCCGTGAGAACTACTTGCTTCATGCAACTGTCGCCATCCTCTCCTTCCTGATCTTCGGGTTAATACCTCCGACAGCTTACACCTTGTCCTTCCAGAAGACAAGCTATAGTAGTAATGCTAGGGATCTCAAGATGCTTGCATCTGCATCCTCAGCTCTGGGGTGCATACTGGCGCTTGCGACTGGGAAAGCTTACGTTCAGATGCCTCCCAAAGCGTATGTGAAAACCATAGCAGAATTCATCCTCATGGGATTCATGGTGTCTGGGATTTGTTATCTGGTTGGTGAGCAACTCGATAGGTTATTGCATTTCCAGACGACCTCTGATGGCCTTTTAGGCTTACCACACACGATGACAACTTCTACCGGCTTCAATTGGGCGACGTCCTCTGCCAAAAGAGAATAACATGATTGCAAACTCTGGCTCCCCAATTTTTTTGACGTTTGAGAAGACATTCCATTGAGCGTGCAACTGAGTTAGGAGAATAAAACCTCAGCTGGATAGAGAAGAATTTCTTTTCCATTAGGTTCTCCCAAATGCTGACTTTAAAGGATAATATCAAAAGAATAACATTTTCATGCAGGAAGCAAAATGCTTCATCATCACAAAATAAATATTCAAACTCCCAACTTCAGAGATGAGAAGCATCGTGCACCACCATGGCATGGCTGCTCAATCTCTCACAGTTTTCGTAGTTTTGTATCACTTTAGTACCTCCATCCCAATGAAAGAAAACACTATCCAAGTATCCAAATTACCCATACACACTCATAAAAGTCCTTAACCTCTGTTTTGGGGTCCTTTTTTTGCAAAATAGCACGTGCACACTTTCTTTTGGCTCTGCAAAACAAAAGACAGCCACAATTCGCTCAAGGAGCTGCTAAGAACTAAAACAGACTTAAACCTAGAACAGCCACAATTCCAACATGTAAAACACAAGGGAGCAAGAAGACGAACAATGAATACAATGAAGATTGATCAAGCATCAACAAAGACCAAAAATATTTTGCCTAGATTCAGCATCAAATACCAAACATACAAGGAAAACTTTACTACGGGAAATCCTCCGGTTGAAGCTATCGAGCAAAAAAATGGTTTTAGACAACATGACTTTTCTTCAAAAATTAATAACTAAACCAGGAGGTGTACTACTCAGCCCACACGCCTCGGTACTCTACAGAATTCAAAAGTCTGTCAGAAATTATCAGGAGCAAAAGCCCTTCCATATGCAACAGTATTTGAATGAAGGCCACGAGGAGAACATAGGACCTATCTTGATCATGTTCTTGGAACTACTACAGTGTAAACACAATCAAGGAAGCAAGCTCCTCCTGTGAACCTATTGACACTTGCTAGATCCCTGACGATCCAATTCTTGCTTGCTTTTGCCTTTCTTCATCTTGGCTTTAACCCGTGACTTGCTTACCAGGGTTTGCACCGTGTTGGCAAAATTCCCAACCGCCATAATTATCAAAAGTATACCACATGTGATTACCTGCCATAGCACAACTGAATGTTAAAATAACAAACAGATCTTACAAACGTTGCAGCCCCACCCAGACCCAAAAAATAATAGAAGTAAAGATAAACATCCTCCAGTGAAAAATTTTAGATGTAACTTTACACATCAGACTAATTCACCTGCCACTCAGATGTAACACCAACCAATGCAGTTTTAAGCAACAGGAGTCCGACATACGCTTCAAACCCCTGAAATAAGGAGTTAACAAGCCATCATTTTCCAAAGATGAGCAGCATAGTTAAAACACAATTACATTCAAGACAACATCTGCTACCAAATACACATCCATTCTATCGGCGATCAAGACACAGTGACAATAGTTGGGTTGTGCCCAATTGTGGTGCCATTGGGTTTGTGTTTAGGTTTAATTTCACATTCCGAAAACAGAGGAAAGCAAGTAACTCACATGGATGCCTAATGACAAAATAAAATGATACTTCAACACATGGAAAAAAAAAACACGTTTGGCATTGTGCACTTTAACAACCCCCAAAAAAATAAATAAATAAATAAATAAATAAAAGAGAAAAGTCCCAACGATGGATCAAATGCCAGAGAAGAAAAAGAAGACATGCCAACCAAGAGAGAGAGAGAGGGAGAGCGAGAGAGAAAATCCATAAAATTGCATCTGCCCATTGAATAAACATCTTGAAGAATATACTAAAGAATCATTGATACAAAAAACTATTACTAATAAGGGAACCCTGCCAAAAATCAAATCATTTCAGCGGTCGAAAAAACTATAATAGGTAGAAACTTATTCTTTTGAGATTTTCCAGATAAGATGAACCCCCAAAAGAAAAGTTATAGTCTCAAAAACCTGAAGTACCTGCAAAATGAAGAGTATAGGGCATAGCAGCCACAACTGGCCCTCAACTCCAGCTGTCTCGCCCCACACCACGTCCATTCTTCCAGCCTATATATAAACAAAAAAGAAACACATCTTGAAGGGGGGAAAAGACCTGATAACTGGGAAGTAAAACAACTCTTGGTGATTCCTATGGATTGTTACCGGAAAGATAACAATCAGACTGAAATACTTCTCCAATCCTCAATTTTTAAGTTGTTAGAAAAACATCAATCATTGACTTTCAGATACAAAAAGAACAAAAATGATGGACATCGAGTATAATAAATGAAGACATGGTAATAAAAGAATATTACATCGTGTTATACCTTGCCCAGAGCAATCCGTGTATACAGTCTTTGCCGTTGATATCTGTTCTGAAGAAGCATGGCAATTCCTTGCATGATAGCCCATCTCAGGAATAGCAGAACCCCTTTCTGAGGAAGGAAACATGATTCCAACCAAAAATAGAATTAAGAAAATAGGAAAACCTAGACAGAAATCTATGCTTTTAGATGGAGACATTAGTGTGAAATAGTGTCCATGTCATAACCTGCTTCTGTGCACAATCAGGCTCTCTTTCTATTTCCCAAGTAAGACTTATGAGTGCCATAGCCATTGCAAAGTAGTGATGATATATCCACCTAAAATACACAAAACCGCAACCGCTCAACAAAATGCAGATATATTGTTTGTTCAGTACTATGTACAGTGTATACAACAGCACATGTCAGCAAAACAAAAATGACATATACTTGGAACAAAAGAGGACGGAACCCTGACAGACTCCATTAATTAATAGGGTAATAGAAGCTGGTTACCATGGACGAATGTCACTTCCATTCACTCTCAAAATGTTCTCTCGTAAAGCCAAACCGGTGTACAGATATAACAACCAAGCCTGAAGTGAAGTATATACACCAAGTAAATATGGAGTAAAGAAGCTATAACTTTAGGTAAACAAACAAGACAATCAATAAGAGCCTATGTGGGTTACGAGATGCCACCTGGTAAAGCTGAACTGGCAATGCCGGTAGGCATCCATTCCAGATACAAGACCTTGAAACCAGCAGCAACAGGGGGAAAAGAAGGAAAAGATATGCCGTCCTGTCCTGCGCATTGAGAGGTTGATATGAATATATATTATTCAGACAAAGGAAGAAGAACATTGAGGAGGCCTTGTAGGCAAACGTATCAGTGTCAATGGGGGTTCCAACATCAAAAACAGAAAATTAATCAGGTGATGAACACACATACATATGGTTAGACAATAGTATAGCCACCACCTGAGACGATTGGGCTGTGACAATACCATGCAAATGAAGTAGTCAACAGTATATTTTTTAAGCTAAAGATTACAGTCAGGAGACTAATCAACATGGCAACAAAAGATAGTACCAAGAATGAAAATTAATGTTACTAATGAAGTTATCTACAATACAGAAACCATTCTAAATTTCTCAGCCATGGACCCATGGTTACGACATCAATAACTTCAGTGAGATCTTTTTTAGCACAAAACAGCATAAGTGGTAACAGAATCATCAAGAACTTTCACAGCGACTAAAGAGGGCATCTACAACAGGGCAACCATTCTTAATCGTCCAGCAACGGTTACTACAGCAATAACTTAACTTAATTTCGTGGCACAAATCATCCTCATTGCTATAGCAATAGAGTGACTACAAAACGGAAAGCATTTTGCACTATGAATTTGAATACATACTCTGAAGCTATTGTACTCCTCTTTCACTTTCAATTGTACATCTTTGCGACTTGCGCGCACATTAATTGGACCAAGAAACATCCTCAAGAACCGGCCTGCAAATCAGTCCAATAAAGAAAACCCAAGGGAAAAAACTAATATTAAACTCAAATTCAAATTAATATTAAACCTAAATTCAAGCTCACCCAAAATAAAAGCTTCAAGGCAAAAGCATAGCAATACTGTTACCGTGAGATTTGCTAGGCAGAAACGCAGCAGCATCTCCTTCGCTCAGTATATACCTAGCTCTAAACAGTTCCTCCTCCAGCTGAAGAAAAAGCAAATAATAAGCAAACAAATAACACATATATATCCCAGGAAAAGTATGAAAATAAAAGGATAATACGGTAGAATGAATGAAGATTACTTTCTCGGAGCGATTGGAGTCGAGATTGGATTTGCGGACGGTGGAGAGGAGATTTTGGAGGGTGGAATTGAGAGAGTTGGCTCGCTGTCGGAGGGAATCTTCTTCGCGGGAGGTGCGAGAAATTAAGGAGGAGGCGGATTCCTGGAGCTCCTTGGATTGCTCCACCAGACGAGAGACTTGGTCGGCGAGGTCTAGCTCGCCGGAGCAGGGGCGGAGACCGCCGACCGTCGAGTCGCCCATAAAAGTTGTGGATAGATAAATCACCAGTATTCCCGCGCGCAAACTCCAAGGGCGCGGATCACAGGATGTGAGAAAATAACACTTACGGATCAAATAAATGGGAACAATAATGAATGAATTTCCGATGATTCGTTTTTTTCTTCTCCTTATTATTATTATTACTACTTCTTATATAATTCCATAAAATATTGTAAATAAAATACTATTAAAAAACTGTATTTATAAAGACTGCAAAAAGAAGAATCTTGTTCGTCTAGTCACAAGTGAAAGAGAGAGAGAAGAGAAAAGGGAGGAGAGGAGGTTGCGCCGCCGAGTAGTGTCGGAGGAGTATGCCGGGCAACCGGTGACGCTGTCTCTCAGTTTAGGCCTTTCGGTGCGAATCTCCAGTAAACCAACAATAATAAATGCATAAATATTTGTGTTGTGTTATAAATGTCCCCCAGTAGAATAATAATACTATTATTTTTTATTTTTATTATTATTATTTTTTTTTTAACTTTGAAGACTACTAGTGGTAGTATTCATTTTAAATCCTACACTTTAGACCTTGGAGGGCCAACTCTTTTTTCTGAAATTTTGTTCTGATAATTACTCTTTCCGGTTCTTAATTAAAAATATTTTGATTTGTCCTAAATTTTATTTAGTATAGAATTTTTTATTAATAAAAAATCTTAAAAATATATTTTTATATTTTTTATATTTTATTGATTGTTATGAAATATTTTTAAGGTTTTTATGTTAATTAAAAATCCGTACTAAGTGAAATTTAGAAAAAAATCAAAATACCTTATAATAAGTACTGGAGGGAGTATTTGTTTAGTGACTTTTGGGACATACAGTGTATGAATAAAGGCAAATGCCCTTCTAATTTGGTTTTCATCGTGTCAATAAATAATTAATATAACTATTTTAGAAAACATACAAGCAATATAAAACTTTAGTTTGTATTTTCGTGTCATTTCAGGACTTTTACACATTAAAACATCGAAAAATTATTACCTGCAGTATAAAAGGTGATAATAATGAGTTATCAAAGCGTGATATAGTAAAACCTCCATAAATTAATAACATCTATCAAGTAATATTTTTCTCAACCAGTACAAAAAAAAATTAATAAAACTCGATTAATTTATAAGATAATAATTTTTCAAGAATTTCCTATTGTAAATATAGGTCCCCACAATTTTATAAATTAATAAATATCTAAAATAATAAATCATATTTGAAGATTAACTTAAATTTTGACTTAATTATTTATTTTTATGTTTGTAATTATCATATTTTTGTTCCATTAAGAAATTTATAGTGTTATGGTTAGGGCTGCAAGAGACTTTTCTTGATATAAAAATTACTAATTTTTTGTACTTTCCTACTTATAGGATTGAAAAAACTCTTTAAATTAATAAATATTAATTTATCGATAAATTTCATAAATTAATAAATCTATAAATTAATAAACTTTTGGAGGCCCAATTGTATTAATTTATAGAGATTTTACTGTAATTGTTAATGATTAAAATTTACATTTAAGCTTAATGATGAACAAATTACTAGCAGCTTCCGGGAAAATAAAGCAAGAAAATTGTTTAAATGATTTGTCCCCGAGTCCCACTCCTCCGAAAATAATAATAATAATAATAATAATAATAAAAAGGTACGCATTCTTGTGCCAATTGTAGTAAGTATATTAAGGTTGTGGTTTAGTGAGAAGATGATGTTCCAACTTGGAAGGAAGGAATTAGAGAGAGGTAGATGATCAGATTTGGTAAGTCTTAGGAATAAGTAGTTCTGACTTTTTTTTTCTCTATTCGCTTCAAACGATACTGGTACTTTTCAATTCACATTTACTGAGATGGGATCAAATATACTAATGGTCAATTTGTAGGAATGGTTTCATAAACTACAACTCCTACTAGTCAACCACAAACTCAAATTTAAAGATTTTGGACCAGCCCAAATGGGCGATCAACATATGCTGTGTTTGGACTTATTTTGTTTTCATTTACTTTTGTACTCCCTCCGTTGGCTTTATGGGACCAAATTATTCTTTTTTCAGATCTAATTTGCTATTCACTTTTAAAATTTATTGATACATTAAAAATTTCATATACAGAAAGAAGAAAGATTAAAGGGGCTAGAGATTGAGATCTCCAATTGCGAAACTGTAACATCATATCCTGCGCTCTAGGGAACATTATTCCGTGAAATATTATCATCATTGGCAGACATAGGGGCACCATTAGGGGCGGTCGCCCTTATCGCCTGATTTTTTTAAAAAACATATTCTTTTAAAATTTTAATCTAATTTTTTATAATTTTATCCTTGCTAACTATTCTTTTTATACATTTTTTTCATATATTTTACAAATTCTATCTCCACCATTGATTATCATCTTCTGAAAGATGAAAACTTAAAAAATCAATAAATAAATAAATAAAATTAGAGCATCGACACTAGTTGCCCTTTTCTTGAATGTAATGACTCAAATTATTTTAATTCGACAATAATAATAATAAACAATACTACTCCGGTTTTAAAAAAAAGTCTAGATATATATTATAATTGCATAATGTAAACTTACATTTTGTAGTCCTTTATAAATATTAACTATGAGATTTTTTTTTACCTCTCTTTTAACCAAGAAAATGAAAAAGTTTTATGTGTTACATTTAGTATTTCTTTAATGTTCTAATCTTTGATCTCCTTCCATTAAATTTTCTTTTATTTTTAATTTAAATAGATTTTGTGTGTTACATTTAGTATTTCTTTAATAATGCAACCTTTAATCTCTTTCCATTATTTTTTTAATTTTAATTTAAATAGAATTTATGTGTTACATTTGGTGTTACTTTAATATTCAGACCATTGATCTCCTTCAATTAATTGTTTATTTTATTTTAATTTAAAGATCATAAACAAACTAATGTTCGTTATTAGTTGAATTTTGATTGGCCATGGTTTCAAGTATTTTACAGATGTAAACTCTTTTTATTCTTATTTTCTTCTTTGAATTATAAGATTTCATTAATAATAATTGGAACGATATTCTATAACTCATATAGAAAAATAAAAGTTTTGCACTTTGAATTTGGCAGTATATATAATATAACTTTAAGAAGTAGGAGCTTTATCATTTTATTTGGGTCTTTTCACTTGTCTGTTTTTTGTGCTCGATGAACTTTTAATCCAAAACTCATTAAAGGTAATCTTAATTATTTTTACTCATTTCTTTTGAATTTCCTTCTTCCTTTTTTTAATGGGGGTTGTTATGTACAAAATTGATTGTATTATATTGTTCATTTTGTGTATGTGTATGTGGTTTTTTTTTAAGAGTTTTAGTACAATTTGTATTTACACAAAGTTATGCAAAATATTTTTTATTATACTATAGTATGGTTTACGAACGCGTTTATTTCATTTAGTATAGACTAAATTTGGAAAAAGTCGATTTTAATACATATCTCAAAACTAAATGTGAATTTTTTTCTAAGATAGTAATAAATCGATAAAAATTGCACGGACTTTCATGTATGCATCCTAAAAAAAAAAGAAAGAAATGTGAGTGTGAGTGAGTAGAGTAATAATTTTATTTATTAAACCAAAATAATCTGGATTATAAAAAATATTTAAAAATAGATGGACAATGTTTTCATTTTATTTAAATATTTTTTCATTGGAAACATATGGACAGCGTAAAATGAAGAGAGGGAATAAATTTGAATAAAAAAAAAAGAAAAAGAAGAGAGGGAATAAAAAAGGAAGAAGTGTGGCTGACGGTGATGAAGAGAGTGTGTGGTTTTGGGGGCATTCAACAGTCAACAGCAGTAATAGTGGGTTTTACATTTTCCAAGGACCCCACGGCCTAAACTTGCGAGCCCTTTTCTAGTTTCTAGACTTTCTACCCTCTCTATCAGTCTACTCTCTGCCTCTGCCTCGCTGCCTGCTTCCTCATCATTCTCCTAACTATAAATCATCAATTAACATTATTATTAATTTAACTTTGTGTTTATCAAATTTTTTTAATAAATACTAATAGTAGTATCTCGTTATTTATACAACCAAAGAAATTATGCATTGAGAAATCATCTCTGGCACTACGTAAGAGAGGATAGATACTCTCTGTTACAGTATTACCAAATTTTTCATTAAAATTTTCTTTCATCTTCTTCTTAATCTTTCATCTTTTTTTCAAGAATTTTTCGTAACATCAACTTTTTTCATATAATTTCTATTAAATTCTCATATACTTACTTCACTATAGCTCCAAATCTCGAGATATTGAAATTAAAATGAGATCAGTGACAACCCAAAATTGAAGGATAACCCAAGAGATTGTTTTTGTTGCTTGCTTAAACATATGATGCTGCAATTTATTTTTTTATTTTTTTATTGAATTGAATGGCTTCAATGTTAACAAATTATTAATTGTTGCGAGTTTGTGGACAAACCTAAAGTTTGAATGTATCTTGAATTTTACAGCCCTGTAAGCACGTTAATGGTATGCTAATCATTAAAGTAATTAGAATCTCATTTCATAATTTCATAATATATTAGTAATAAAAATGAAGACACGCCAACATTCCTTTAGGAATCTATTTATTTTACTTTATTTAACTTTAAAATCCAATAAATGTTAATTTTACTCTATTAATTTCCTAGCAACCAAATAGGTTTTTTTTTCCCACAACTCAAACTATAAAACAAGTAAAACCGAAAAAAAAAATGTAAACAAAAGGATTTTTTAATATTACTCTTTATTTATTTACATTTTTTTTTCTCAAAATGGAATTAAGCTTCCACATATAATTAGAATTTGGAAGCCATTTAGATGTAGAATTTTTTTTTGTCTTGTGCATATTCTTCATGGAATTTTATTATATATATACATATTGTTTTATCGCGGATTCGAATCTCGTCATCACTGTGGATTAATTTTATATTTTTCACCAATTGTTTCATTCATAAAAGTATTGTAAATTTAATAAGAGAGATAATTCACTATTGTGAACGGCCGACTAGACATCCTAGAATTTGCAAATATGAAAAATAAATTATATAAATTTATCAAGAACATTATCAACTAGGCTAAAATCATTTCCCTAAACCATGAGAATATATATATATATATATATATATATATATATATTATATCGTACTATACATCAGTTTTTTCTTTTGTTAAAGTATATTGATTTTTTTTTTTGGATTATAATGTAATGAATTATTATTCCCTCCACCTCAAAAGAATAATTTAATTCTTTAAAAACTGAAAAGAGTATTTAGGTTGTAAGATGTATCACTAAAATCAGATTTTAAATTTTTCTATATTCTAAAAATTATCAATAATTTAGGTGTTTGTATAGATATCAAAATTGGAAATCACATAATTTACTATTCCAATTTCGTATCTTTTTCAATTAGAAATATTTAATTTTGAATTTATAGAATATAGTTTAAGAAATCAAACTCTTTTTTTTTTTTTTCGAGACGAGAGAGTAACTTTTTTTCACTGGAAAAATGAATATTGACAAAAAGATTTCCCAATTCATCAAGTAGTACTCCCATACGGTCGTTATTATAAGGCATTTTGATTTCGTCTTATGTTTTACCTAAAATATCTTTTTTTTAAAGAATAAAGATCTTAAAAATATTTTATAATAATTAGAAGAATACAACGAATATGAAAATGTGTTTTTAAACCTAGAAGGCTAGGATAGAATCAAAATGTCTTATAATAAGGACTAGTGATGTCTGTAGATCTTAAAAATGTTTGTATATGAAAAATATTTTTTATTTGGCTCAATATATTTTAGAAATATTTGAAGAATTCAGAAATATTTTATAAGTGTGATAATAGAAATGTTTGTATTTGGCATAAAAAGAAATTGTATTTGGCCCGGTACGTTTTAGAAATGTTTGAAGATTTTAGAAATATTTTATAAGTGTTACTTCTTAAATATAAATAAACTTGATTAAATATATGTCTTGAAGTAAATGCTAGACAAAATATAAAAGCATCCTGATAAGTTTAAATATTAGTAAGATAATTTATTGATGTTCTCTATTGGTTGTGCCAAATCAATAATTAGTTTTGGAGATTTATAATAGCTTTGTAGTGAACTTCCTCCAAAGGGTATACGCTTAATTGTTGGAATTATTTCTTTCAAAAGTTTATAGGTAGTAAAATATCAAAAATATGATTTTGAAACTGGTTAATTGTTGAAACTGGTTGATAACAAATATGAGAATGAAAATCATGTAAATTTGCATAGGTTTCAATTTATAGCCAAAAAGAACTCATCTCACCATGGCAAATAAAAAAAAGAAAGTAAAAGATAGCCCATTAAAAATTGAGAAATTTATTTTTTTCTATAGGTAAAAATGATGTATAAAAACACAAATAAACGTAGAAATATCATTCATTCCCTCCCCATCTCAAATTCATAAAAGGCTTCCCCATAAATTAGTTAGAAGAAGCGACCTAAACTATTTATATGATGAGAAACTAAAAAAATCCAAAAACCAAATTCAAAAAAGTATATTCTTGAAAGCCTGAACACAAAAAAAAACGCGCTTCATTTTGCAAATAAAATAAAATGATAATAATAATAATTGGTCAACAGGGAGTATGAAACAAAATTAAAAGTAATTAAACAAAGAAAACACACACTTCATAACTAAATATATACGAAAAAAACCTGAGACTCCATAATTAAAAGAAGAAAACCACTCAAATTGAATGAAACATAAAAAAAGAAATTTAAAAAACCTAAGTTTGTAACAAAAACTCAATTAATCAATTCAATCCAAACTGAAATCATATAAAAATTATAGGCTAACTAACCATATAAGAAATCACATCATATTGCCTGACAACGACTACTATAGCTTAACGGATGGACGCATAAAAATAATAGTAATAACACTATTCTTGAACGGGAAAAAAAATAATAAAAGCCAAACAAATGATCTGTGGAAATAAAATCATTTAAATTTTAATACCTGTAATGGAACCACCACAACGGCCGAAGTAAGATCAATGAGATTTTTTTTTTTCCTTTGTGTTTATATAGAAAGGTAAAGAGAATATTTTGTGAAGTCGAAATTGTATCCGATTAGGATGTAGTTGATCATCACTAATGAAAAGATTGACATGCTAATAGGAATGGAATATATTTCACCACATATTCTCGATTGATGATTGATAAGGAATTTGTTTTTTTTTTTATTGTGGAGAATTGATTGATTAGGGAGTCGATTGTCGTGGAAATGGAGATTAGGATTTGGGTTTTATATGAACCCAAATCAATTATATTTTCTTAAATATTGTAATCACATCCAAATATTTTAATAGTGTAATGATATCATTATCTAATATTTGCAAAGAATATTATTATACACTAATTTGCAAATTTTGGATGTGATATCAATTAATCAGTTTAATGGGATTGTGATTTCTTAAATAGTTTTTGTATAAAAATATTAGATGTCAAAAAAAAAAAGAGTGTAATTTAAGAATACTCTTTCGAAATGAACTTAATTGTGTTACGACCATTTTATAGTAACTTAATAAAATTAATAGCAGTGATTATGTATGTATCATTTCAGTATTTTTGTTGTAAATTTTAGCTCAATTAATCCACATATAAGAATTAGTTTGAGTTTATATATATATATATATATATATATATATAATAATTGATCCAAGAAGGTTTGGTGAATATTGACAAATTACTGTAGCAAAAGATTCTATTAGCTAATACATAAATGAGGGTCGATGATTTGGAAAAAATTTTAGAACCGTTGTCATGATTTTCTACACGGATTCAAAACCATAATTTTTACACGTGGAATTTTTAAACGTGAACTGGTTAAAAGTCGATTGGTGGGTAGAATTGTGGAGATTGATGGAGGGGGGAGAATGACATGAAAAGTTCTCCTATTATATCCTAATAGGAGGTGGAGCTAGATTTGTACTGCATTTGTCTTTTAAGTCTAGGAAACTGATATATAAATAAAAATTTATTTTAAAAATATGATGTGCAAATGCCATATGGTAAATGGTGGTGCTTTCTCTTAAGTGTAGTTTTTGTTTCTAATATAGTAAGACATGAGAGAGTATAAATTTAGGGAGGATTTTCTATTTTTTTTTTTTTTAGACTGGGAAGAACCGCGGGGTTGAAGAACAAATCTAAAATGTTATGAGAACTAAAGAAAAATACTTAAAATATAAAAGAAAACTCAGAAGAAAAAAAGGCGAGCGAGTCCATTCGATTTGGGAGAAGTAAATGGCTACGAGCCTGAAATTCAACCCGATTATCCCATGTCCGACCCGTCAGAGAAATCTCCAGACCCGTCACGTGGCGCTGGGGGCGAAGGCCTTCAGGCGGAGCGACTTCGACGGCTTCGCGAGGCGGGTAACCTCCGGCGAGGCTTGGAAGGACGCGTGGCGCACCGCCAACGAAGGATTCGAGCAGCTTCTGTACGAGACTAAAAAGGCGGCGGAGCGCATCGACCGCCAGTACTCCGTTTCCCGCCGGTTGTACGAAGTCTCTCAGGCAGCCTCTGACCGAGCTCGGGAGCTCGATCGAGAGTTCGAGCTCACCCAGCGATGGCGAAACTTATCTCTCGACTTTGCTCGGAATTGGCCCGGGGTATGCTAATTCTCTGTGCAATTAACACTCTCATCATTTAATATCTTTTTTTTAGACATCACAACCCTGATTCTTATATTGCTGAATGAAATTATTCCATTTTGGTTTGATAATTGCTGCTTGTCTGGGATTTTTGTTTTGCCGCAGTACAGGAAGCAGTTTAATAACTTTCTGGAAACGCCATTGGGGAAAAGTTCTGCTGTAAGTTCACTTAAGCTGTTGTCATTTACTAAATGATGTTGGTTTTCCATTAACAGTCAGTATTAGATTGTTTTAAGTAAGAAGATTTCAGTGGAAAGAATGGACGTCAAGTTCCAGATTCCCTAATAATCGGGACTTCATTCAGTAGTAGTGCATCTATAGGATGGTGTTGTCACATCGATTATTTATTACAATTCTTTTACATGCATGTTACATGCATATGTCATCTTGCTCATATGCATCTAAGATGAAAATAGACTTAGTTCTCCAACTTAAAAACGTTTCACCTGCCTCTACAAGTTTAGGCGTTGATGTGTTTCCTTTCTGGAATTGACCAACTTTATTTGATTTTCTAAGTAATCATTTTCAGTATTGTAATAAGGATCAACTGGAAGATATATGCGGTATTGCAGTTGGTTAACATGGATGTTTCTAATAACACTATTAACACTGCCAAGGCAAAGTGTGTGCATTTTTTGGTGATTCATGAGCAATGTACTTACCATCCCAAAAAAATAAAAAGTGAACATTTCTTCTCGTGTCTCATTGCATTAGGATACTCATGGTTTTGTTACTTCACACAGACAGTCTTCTTTCTCTGGTTTGCTCTCTCCGGATGGATGTTCCGGATCCTGATATTTGCAACATGGGTGCTACCACTAGCTGGTCCTCTTCTAATAGGAGCCTTCGCCAACAATCTTGTCATCAAGGTAAAAGGCAGCTCAATATTCTTGTACTGCAATTTCATTTGAGCTTCTTCTGCTTAAGTAATAACTATTCATGCTAGTCCCATTTGCACATCAAATTCTTGATACAAAGGCCAGCGAAATTTTTAAAAGCCGATTTCTTGCATTGCAGCTTTTAAAATTGTATCCTGTGTAACCGGGAATCTGTTACCATGCTTCATTAGTTGTTCTTATTTATATGGTTAACTCCTAATTTTACATTTACAGTCAAAATTTTCCTTTTTCTAGAGTTGTAGGGGTGAAAATTCATGTTCTTTCCCGGAAATATGTTTAAACTTGCATTGACTGGGGATTTCATAATGACTAATGACCGTATTCTTGGGTTTAAAATGTCTGTACTCATCATTTTCTCCGGGACAGGGAGCATGCCCGGCTTGTAGGAGGCAGTTTGTTGGATACAAGAACCAGACAGTCCGTTGTGCTGGCTGTGGCAACATAGTATGGCAGCCACAAGGTGACTTTTTTTCAGGAGGCAACAGCAAAAGAAGTTCTAGACCTTCCTCTTCTTCAAAGTCAAACCCGGATATTATTGATGTCGAGTTTGAGGAGAGATGAATTCAAGATAACCAATGGCCACCACCCATTATGAAGGATCCTTGTTGGTGAAGGGCACACAAAGTAAGAGTCTGATCTCAAGTCTCAAAATTATGTAATCATGCTGTGGACACATTCTCTCCTTTCTCTTCCCTTTCTCACGAGTCATAACAGCTTTGAATGTTCTTATGTATCTCCAGTTTAGTTAGTTATTGCTTCTCTAAGTTTGTATGTAGATGTATTAATATGATACTTATAGATATCTTTGATGATAATAAAGTAATTATTGCCGGTTCACACAGTTTGTTACTACGTGACTCTGGCAGAGTGTATGATCAACTTCCGAAAGGAATTTTTTGTTTCTTCCTTTTTAGCATTTCTTGGTTTGTTTTTTGGTTCTCAAAGCTGCGGCCGACGAAATTAAAGCCCTATGAAGAGTTCGTAACATGCATTGTAATGCACTAACAATTGAATCGAATTGAAACTTGATGAAACCAAGTGGTAAATGTCACCCTTCATCCAGCTGTTTGCTGGGGGAATCCCCACTCATTGTAGTTGCAGTCACTTGACAGAATGAGAATGGATGAGGTAGTAGTAGATCCGGCCATTATTATTATTAGCAAAGCTAGGAGAGCAGGAATCTTTTTCAAAAAGGAGAACACACAATTTCTCCTTTCTCTGATGCTCATCCGGTAAACTCCCCCAGATCGTAATATTCATACCGTGTGGACATGCTAGATATCCAGTTACTGCTTACTAGAGCTAGAGAAAGAAGTAGGAGAAGAAGATGGAAGGAATAAGAGTATGTTTCCAGATGTTCAAATGCAGCGTGTGCAGAAACGCAAAGAATGCCGTTGAGGGGTTCTGATATTGGGTTGGGTTCGGCATTAGAGAAGTTCTCTAATGTAATTGGAGCCCAGAACTGATGCTGTTATTACTTTGTATATTAAATTTGAATACTTTGTTTAGTTGAATAATAATAATAGTAATCATACATGTCGGATTGAAAATTTTTTATTAATAAAGAATTGTTCTGAAAATATTGAAAAAATTAGTTTTTAAAATTAAATTGTGCGTCTTCATAATTTAGTTTTAAAAATACCTTTGATTTAAGCCCCTACAATGTATGAATTATACATTTATGGATTGTCCCCCTCTTTTTCTTTCTATTTATGGAATTATTACAATTGAATAATATAATTTTATATATAAAATATATATCTTTATGGTTTTTTTTTGGGGTATATTCACCCGAAAACTACTAAAAAAAACTTTATGCAATATTTATTTTTTTATGCTTATTGTATGAGGGATATCCCAATGGAATTCCGTTCGATTTGGGTTGAGATTGATGACCTTTCATGCAAATGTTTAGTTATACACCTGGAAAAAAGAAGAAGTTTATAACATTAAATTCTCAATATTGGAGGATTAACAATGATAAAAAACGTAAAATTAGATTCAGAGGATTTTTGCCTGTTCGTATCATGTAATGGAATCAAAATTAGTTAAGTGCCATATATTTTTCATATTCTCAGTTCCAAAATAGTTTTCATGTTTATATTGTATCATTAACACATCATTAATACATTATTAAGAAACAAAAAGAAAACAACACTAATACACCACATACTATTATTATTAACAAAAAAAAAAATTGTCGTGGGGCTGGGGCCTTGGCCAGTGCTTATCTTAGCCGGTAAGACCAGGCAAACAGACTAGCAAGGAAATCAGGCCGGAATCCAAACCACCACCCTGGCTGATACCATTCATCCGGAGCTATGCCATGTCACCACTACGGGATCAAAATCTCTATCCATCCTTAATTAAAATATCAATAATCGAGATGCATGGAAAAGTTTCACCCAACTCTCAAGCCATGCTCTGAATTCACAACTTATTGTGCATCATGTGGCCTCTTTTTCCCTAAAACAATTCATCATAACGGGTACTTTTCCACCCAATGCACTTATTGTTGAGTTTTCCGATTGAACTCTAATCGGAACCAATCTCAAATCATCGTATTTTAATTAAAAGAGAAGAAGGAGATAGAGCTTCCATGTATAATTTATGTAAACAAAAGCCAAATGTTTGATTCAGACAAAGGATTTACTCAGACATTGTTTGAGTACTTCAAACTATAAATTAAAACAAACTTAAAGGAAAAAATTACCTTTAAAAGCTTCTTCTATTCTTCAAACTTGAAAGATATATTTACTGAATGATTTCTTTACAAGGGAGAGAGAGAATTTCGAGATAAAGGAAGAAGAAAAGAGAGAATACTTGGAGAGAATGATGCCCTCCAAATGAGCTTCTACCTCCTATTTATAGACATTTCTAAATACTATTTTACAAAAAATTATTAATTCTTGTCATTATTTGACATGTTTTTCTTCGATTTGGTGATGGTGGGGTCCACTTGTATTAAATTTCAAAAGTAGATTCCTACTTTTGTCATTTCATTCTTTTCTTTCCTTTGGTGATTGAATTGTTTCTTGAATCTGTAATGCATTTTGATGAATTCATCGTGATCGTCATCTTTTCTCGTGACCGAGATTCTCCTACCAATACCGCAAAAGAATTTTCTTCATTGGAAGTTATACTCTTCATCGAAACATCTCGATTTTTCGAAATATCATCATTGTCGAGATTCTTTAAATTTCTCATGAGATCTTTTTAACTTCTTTCATATAGGTGATATTATCTCTTCCTTATTAATTGCTCCTTCTTTGAAGTGAATCCGTTTTGTGATGTGTTTGAACGGACTTTCTTCATCCTGGGTTTGCTTTGAGTGTTTCTTTGTCTTGAGTATATTCCTTGATTTTCGGGCAATTTCGTCCAAAGAAATCTTGTCTTCCATTCTTTTGGTATTGTGATTCATCTTTGTTAATTTATCCTTAATTTGGTATAATATGTCTTATAAAGACGCTGAATTTGAAATTCATTGAATCCCACCTCGTGGACCCATTTATAAATCCAAGGAATCGAGAATTCAATAAAGAAGTATAACAGAGTGATTTTTCCTGGAGCACAGATATGACTGTGTTGAAGTTTATCAATGATAGGGGAGGATTTTAACCATTGATAATATAATTTTGAAAAATTATCTGGCAAAATTTTTGCTGTTGGGCCATATAATGCCCACCACTGAATAAACCAATTGGGTATGGGAGAAGAATATACATGGGAGCATATTTTAATGAACCAAGTATGCTTTTTTCTGGGGTTTTCATAATAAAAAGTTTTGTAAAAACTTTGAATACAATCCCAGTAAGTAAATTTCAAAGGAGGAGAAGTAGGAGTATTACGTACTTCTCTTTCAGAAAGGGTTGAAATTCCCCATTCCTCATAAGATAAAATTTTTTGATAATAATTTTGAGAAGTTATAAACTTCAATTGTAGTCCGATTATACTTGAAAATGTGTTATTTCACATGTTTGTTTGAGAATATTCTCATAATAATTTCGGGTTTGTATGACTCACCCGTATCATTACCCTTTCGCTAAATATCTTCGAATATTACCCATGGATCATTTTTCCACCGAATATCAGCGTTTTCAAGAAGGAATATTACTTCCTTTGTGGATCCTTTTCATATGACCGGATATCATCCTGGTCGGTGTCACTTACTTTGGCAAAGAAAGGTATCACTTTGTTGCTCTTGGATATGATCCATAATCGCTTATATAATGCGTAATCATTCGAATAAAATCCATTATTTGGACCAATTTCGCATTCGATGAGGAGGATTCCTCCGAGATTTTGAAAAATCAGCAGACTATTAGCTTTTATTCCCATGTTGTATTACAGGGTTTATTGTTCTTCCTCTACGACCTCTATTAGGGCCGCGTCCTCTATCGGGCGGATACATAATCCTGTAAAATTAGAGAATTATTAATGATAATTTTGCTTTACAATAATTCAACCTTTCTTCACTTTCAGTTAATCTTTCAGTGAAGTCTTCTATCATGTCATAGACAAATTCAAGGTCTTCTGAAACAGATGTTATCTGTTGTGGTGAAGTAAATTCATCAGCACAATCAAGAATTGTATTACGAACTCGTAAAAAGTGATTTAGTCTATGCTTTGCAAAAATATATTCCATTCTACAATGCTTATATTCAGCAACAATCTTATTATAAGCAATATGTATTACGGATAGTGGTTTAAGATAATTAACTTGTGGCCACTCCATCCTCGCAAATATTCACGTGATAAAAATCGTAAAGAATTATCACTACCTTTTTATATAAAATTTCAAAATCAAAAGGGGCTAAATTAGCTCGCCATCGGGCATATATTTGCTTTGAAGAATCATGCTTATAATCTTTATAAATCATGTGTTTAACAGCTAGTGCATCAGTGTGAATGACAAACGATCGATTAAATAAATCATCTTGGAATTTTAATACACATTTTACAATAGCAAGAAATTCTTGTGCAATGATTGCATATTTCTTTTGAGGTTTCGTCCATTTACCGAATGATATCTAATAAGATATTCATTATTATCATGAGGGTTAACTGTTTCAAGATTCCACCGAATCCTATGCTACTAGCATCGTTTCTATTATCTTTTCCAATTTGGATTTGCTAATGTTAAACATGGTAGAGTTTTTACTTTTTCTTTTATTTGTTTAACTAATTGAGTATGCTTTTCATTCAATCAAATTTAATTGATTTTTAAGCAAATCATATAAAATTGCTAAATCTTTCGTAAGTTCTTATAGTATGGTGAAATATAATTTAAACTCCTAGAAATCTCTGGAGTTGAATTTTCTCGGTGAAAATATCAGAAATTTAGAAGAAAATTCAATTGATCGTTGAATAGGGTTATTTTCCTTGACTTATTTGATGACCAAGAAATCTTATATTATGTTGAAACAAAAGCATCTTTGGTTTAGATATTACTAATCCATTCCGTAAAATAACATCCTTTAATATATTAAGATGTTTAAAATGTTGTTCAATATCATCAGAGAATACTAAGATATCATCAATGTAAACAATTATAAAATCCATATAATGAATAAATATATCATTCATGATTTTCTCAAATTCGAAGGAGCATTTTTAATCCGAATGGCATCACATTCCATTCAAATTGTCCTATAGGCACATTAAAAGCAGTTCTATAAGTATGCTCAGGATTTATTTGAATTTGCCAATATCCAGATTTTAAATCGAATTTAGAAAATATGTTGGCATTATATAATTTTGATAATAAATCTTTTTTATTAGGTATAGGATATCTTATCCATTTTAAAACTTTATTAAGTGGCTTATAGTTTATTACTAATCTCGGGACGCCACGTTCTTTTTCAGCTGCATTATTAACATAAAATGCAGTACATGACCAGGGAGATTGTGAAGGTTTTATTAAACCCTTTTGAAGCAAAGAATGTAATTCTTCTTTACATAAATTCATATATACAGAATTCATTTGACATGGTCTTGCTTTAGTAGGAATATCCTTTTCATTAAAATTATCTTCATAAGGAAGATTAACTAAATGTTTTTTTCTATTCCAAAAAGCATTTGGGTGATCAACACATACTGATTCTTGAAATTGTATTGTGAGATGTTTTATTTTTTCTTGTAATTTAGTATTACTCAATAATTCAGGTATTGATAAATTCATAATTTCATTTTTAATGAAAAATAATTGTTTTTCTTTAGCTTCTATTAATGACCTAATAGACCTTGTTATAGGTCCGAGACAAACTGAAATTTATTGATTTATCTTTATAGGTTCCTATAAAACCTTGAAAATTAACTTCTTTAAGTGGATATAACATACATAAAAATGGAAGTCCTAATATAATAGGCACTCTGGCATATTTCTTACTAATAAAAATGTTTGTGGAAGACAAATATTATCTTGACAAACAAAAGCATTAGGCAATTTATATGAGATATCTAATGTATGATTAGATGCGGATTTTAATGCATGCGAGGTTTTTCAAAATATTGCGTAGGTATTAACCCTTCTTGAACACAAGACAAATCAGCACCACTATCAATCATTGCAATGATGTTTAAGACAAATTGTCTATCTATCATTAGAGTTAATTTTATATACCATCTTTGAGATGTAATTATTTGTATTATTTTTAGGAATTCATAATTATGATCTTCGATATATTTTCACTAAATTGAATAGTTTGTGGATCAACTATAGAGGTTTCACCGATTGTGAATACTCAATTGTTTTAATCCTTTTTTCTAATAATTCGTTATTTTGTTTCAAATATTTTATTTCATTCTTTATATTATGAACTTCTATTTGTAAATCTGAAATAGTTATAACTGAAGAAGATGATTCTTCTTTATTTAGTAATTTTTTCATTCTTTTTTCTATTTCCTGCATTGAATAAGGATTATTATTGAAAACTATATCCTTTTTATTAACTTCCTTTTCTTTTTTATGAGACACATCTATCATTTTAATTATTTTATCACGAATATCATGATCTGGTATTTGTTTTAGTAATTCTAAAACATTATCAGTTGTTAACATGTTAAATTGTAAATCTTGAAATTGAGATATAATATTGTAAAGATTATTATCCTTACAACAATCATTATTATTATTATTTTGACATGGAAGACATTCATCCGAAGAACTAGATGAATATTCATCATTTTCAAGCATATTATTTTCTGAGCTATTAGTTTCTTCCGTTTGGACTCGATTCGATTCTTCTATTACTTTGCATATTTGTTCTTTAAGTTGTTCATCTATTTCTAATAATCTAATTCTATTAATCTTTTTACAATTAGGGGCAATATGACCCTTTTGACCACATTTGAAACATTTTATGTCTCTTTTATTTTTCTATTAGTTTTTCTAAATTCTCTTTGTTCTTTTGGTCTTTTACGTCGTCGTTTTCCTTTAGGTATATAAGGAATTTTATTTTTCTTCACTCTTTTATCCCTATTTTCGATCCTATATCCATAGCAAATTGATCACGTAACCTGTCCTAATTGTCTTCGTTCTGATAATTATTGTCTTTTAATTTGTTGATTTAACTTTATTTCATTACATAAAGCTAATCCTTCTTGTGTGCAAACACCTATTAGATGACCATAAGTATAATCATCATAAGGAATGTAAGGAAAATCTTTCCTAAGAACTTTTCTTATTCGTTCAGTAAACAGAGTTGGTAAGCCATCTATAAATTTAGCTTTCCAATAAGAGCTATTACTTTCTGGTAATTCCATGACTCTTGATAAGAATGAATCTTTATACCATCTAAAAGAAGTCAGTGTTTTACACTTAAAATTATTTAACAATGTTAGAATATTTTCTTGATTATTAGTAAATTTTCCAGAAAAATGTTCTAATATAGATGCTATCAAAGTATATACTGCATCTTCCATCATAATGGGTGTAGATGTTCCTTCATTCTCAATTTTTACTGTATTATAAATTTTTTGTCTATCATTTTCAGTTAAATAATTATCCCACCATCCTTTAAGGACACCAGTAAAACCACAAACAATTATTTTTGCGATTGCCTGATCTGTATTACCATTTGCTTTTGCAACTGAGGAGTACATTAACATCCTATGCACCATATTAGTTAATTGCCTATCAGTAAATGCGTCACAATTCCATTCATAAATGAACGACTACTATAACTATTAGTAGTTTCTTGATGTTCTTCATAAAGAAGATCTTGTGGAGAAGGTCGAGGTAATAATAATGATTCATATATGGTTTATTAGCAAATTTATTATGTCTAGATTTATGAGAAAGACGATTTATTTCATCTCGTAGAGTTTTATCAAAATCTTTCTGTATATTCTCAGAAAATTCTAAAGTGGATAATTTAAGGTTTTTAAATTTTTCTTCCAATAATTTTTCTAATACATGTGGAGATTCAAGATTATAATCTTTTACTATAGGAGGAGGTTGTATAAAATTTTGTATTTTAATATCTTTATTTTTGTTTTCAATCAAAACTGGTTTAACTGTTTGTTGAAGATTGTTTATAAGAGAAAATAATTTGTCAACTTTATCATGTAAAGAATTAATTTGTTCTCCTAAAATTTTTACATATAAATTTGTATAATTATTTTGCTGAATAAATTTATTTACTAAAGAAAAAGTAGAAGGTAAAACTTCACTTTCAACCAATTTTGAAAGGCGTAAAAGTTATATGAGTTGCATTTGTTAAAACAAATTCTTTTGTGGAGGGTAAATTCCTTTTGTAATTTTTCCATCTGCAAGATGATATTCTCTTTCAAGGAGGAAAATATATTTATCAAGATAAGTTATTATAAACCACGGAACAAAATATATTATTTGATTGTGAATAGAAGCATATTCATAAAATTCTTTTTGTATAAGTTTTTGATTTTCAATATCATAAGTAGAAAAGAACTATTCTCTGAAAAGTTTCCACTTTTCGATTGAAATTCTTGTTTTATTATTTGTCTAATATTAGATCCTGACTAAAATCTAATTTTTCAAGATTCGCCATGATAACCCATTTCGAAGGTGAAGGCATATCCTTATCAAACGTCTTACTATCAGCAGACCGAACAATATTATATGGATCAATTTTTACTTGATTTATTCTATTTGTTAAATCTATTTCAGGAATCGAAGATGTCGAATATCTATGAGAATCGACCGGATCAATATAAGATTTAAAAGATCTTTGAGAGCTGGATCTTAGTAATTTAGGAATTTTTGGTTTATCAAAAGTAATACTTATCTGACCATTATCAGATTGTTCAATTTCTATAACATTACAACTTGTAACATTATGAGTTAATGAGTTTCTTTTAATTCCTTTATTAATTTGCCAAGACTCTGGAAATTCAATTTCTTCCCATTTAATAGTTTTACGAGTACTAATTTGAGATTTATAAAAATTAGTTTCTATTAGTATGGTTTCATCAGATGGTTTACTTATAATCTTACATCCGGGTGTTAAGGTATTTAATAATTTAAAACAAATACGGTAGTGTAAACAAATAAGTTCACTTCCGGTAAATAATTATAACCATGTAATTTTACATTTAAGGTTAAAGCATCGAGTATATTAACATCGACAATGATAGTGTAAATTTGGATAGACATTAAAATAAACTGGACCATGAGCTAGGCTGGATCAGATTATGCCCATTAGGATTTTTTCCAATGTAAATTTCTACCATCACGTAAGGCAAGAATAAAAGATTCAGGTAAACCTTCTAAAGTTAAAGGTTTAAATGCAATTTGCACCAATCCAATATGCATTAACTTATAATTCTTATGAGATCTATAAGATTCAATATCTGTAGCAGACAAAAGTTGTAAAACCCTTTCATCAGAATTTAAAGCAATTGATTGTTCAGTAGTTTTAACTACCTGTTTAACCAAGTATCGATCAAACATACCATATTCATACAAAGTATTAGTCGGTACCTTTGGTATTGACCATTTATTAAGAAGAGCAAGCTGTTGAGGCATATCGTATTCCTCTTGAATCGAATTTTTATGAAGTTGTTTCTAAATTATTCATTTTTAAATTAGGTTCTGAATCAAACAAATCTTTTGTAAACATAAAAAATACATAACCGCTCTGATACCAAATTGGCGTGGGGCTGGGGCCTTGGCCAGTGCTTATCTTAGCCTCATTAACACATCATTAATACATTATTAAGAAACAAAAAGAAAACAACACTAATACACCACATACTATTATTATTAACAAAAAAAAAAAAAAAGAAAACCACATATATAGTACTACACTAATAAATTTTTTTAATTTATTTTTTATGTTATAGCATTAATAAAAAGAAATTGTTAAAAGCGAAACATATATAGAGCCGTAATATCTTGAAACCATTCTCAGTAAAATTTTAAAAGAATAATGGGATCATAGTTTGACTTTGAATAGCTTAAACCCTGACTCCGGTAGTTGTTGCTGCCCGCCATTTTGCTCCGACTCCGCCGCCTTCTTAAACCCTCCTCATTTTCTTCGGCCGAACGGAAGAAACCCGAGGAAAAAGGTGATGGGCATACCCGCATTTTACCGATGGCTGGTCGAGAGGTACCCCCGTTCAGTCGTCGACGCCGTCGCCGAAGATAATGCTCGCGGTTGCGGCGTCGATGCCTCCAAACCTAACCCTAACGGCCTCGAATTCGACAACTTCTACCTTGACATGAACGCTATCATCCATCCTTGCTTCCATCCCGACGGCTCGGTACTGGCTTTGCTTGGTATTTTTTTTTGTCAGCTTTTCTGCTTCCGTATTTATATTTTAATTAAGGAAATTTTTGCTTTATTAGGCTGCTCCGGAGAGCTTTGAGGACGTGTTTAAGGCGGTGTTTAAGTACATTGATGCATTGTTTGCCATAGTCAGGCCTCGGAAGCTTCTTTACATGGCTATTGGTAACAACATCTTAATTTCCTTTTTTTTTTTTGGGGTTTTGGGGGTCGGGGTTGGGTTAAGAATTTTTAAGTTTCCTGCATTTATTTGAATGCTTCCGCTCTCATATTCGTTATTTCTTATTGATTAGATGAACCTCATAAAGAAGAGAATTGAAGAAGAATGCAGGAAATTGCTTTCTGCCTGTAGACATAGATTCCAAATTGTAGTTGTTTCGTATTCGATTTTTTAATGAGATTATTATGCTTCGTTGAATCTGATTAAACTAGATTGCTTGTGGTGATTTTTTTTTTTTTTGAAAAAAAAAAGAAGAAAAAGAAAAAAAAAAGACACTATTGATAAAGAAAGAAACTTTATGCCCTCAGGTCCTATTTCAGCTATTACATGTTTAGTTTTTGAAGGCTATTCTATGCTATTTTAGGTCTGATTATACTAGATTATTGTTTGCAAATATTGAAAAGAAAAGAAGAAAAAGAAAAAGGACTGGAGGTTTTTGTCCTTAGGGTTTAAATTTCTGTTAGTTTCATGGTAAAGTTTTGAATGGGATTAGTCGAACCTTGTATTTCTGACAATGCGTAGATAGCTGGATGGCATATGGCTTATTTAGTTTCTTACCCCCCTCCCTCTCCTTTTGTATGAGGAAATTTCAATGACTAGCAAACAGCCTGAATTACAAACAAATTTTACCTGTTTCCATTATTTTGTAGATGGTGTGGCTCCTCGTGCAAAGATGAATCAGCAGCGGTCAAGGAGGTTCAGAACTGCTAAAGATGCTGCTGATGAGGTAGCCGACGCTCCTCATTGCAGATTTCTTTCTAAACTCAATTTTTTTTTTCTTTCCCTTTTTCCTGCTATTCAGTTCTGAAGAATTAAGTGTTGAAATCTGATTACGAGCAGGCTTCTAAAACTGAGACATCGAAACGGGACTACTCTCGGGAAGGTCTGGAATCGAAAGAAAAGAAGCTTGATTCAAATATAATCACTCCGGGGACTGAATTTATGGAATTATTGTCATCTGCACTCCACTACTATGTACACTTGAAGATGAACTCTGGACCTGGTTGGCGGGGAATTAAGGTACTCTGTCAGTCAAATTCGAAGTTTCCGGCTTGATTCTTCATCCCGGCTCTTCGATTGTTTTAATGTCTATCGTCTGCATGCTCTAACATAATGGGTCTCTGCTGGTATAATTCAGTTGACGATCCTTATCTTCTTTAGGTTATTCTATCTGATGCCAGTGTGCCTGGTGAAGGAGAACATAAGGTTATTTCCTACATCCGCTTGCAAAGGAATTTGCCAGGATTTGATCCCAATACAAGGCATTGCATGTATGGACTGGTAAATATTTTCTCGTTGATCTTTTTCCTCCTCATATTCAGTAATGTGATGTCCTTCTTCTATTTGATTTTGCCTCTAAATAATGCTTTCAACCATGTAAGTTTGCTTTGGAGTAAGATGTGATTGTACATTGATTGAAGGAAAGGTCTTATGGTATTCTGAACTCAATATATATGCTCATAAGAGATTTGAGCAATATTTTATTTGATAGAGGCTAGCCAACCCCACATAGCAGAATAAAGGCTTCGTGTTCTTGCTGTAGCTTACACCACATAGTGGAAATGCTTTGTTGTTTTTGTCATTCACATTCTCTTCGGTGATTGTAGGATGCAGACCTGATCATGCTTGCATTGGCCACTCATGAAATCCATTTCTCAATTTTAAGAGAGGTACGTCTTTTAACCACTTGTACAGAGCAATATTTTATTTTATGCAATAAGTTTAGTAGTTGGCTGGAATAGGAGGTATCTTACTTCCCCGAGTCATATAGGATGTACACAGAGCATTGCCGAAGGAGAAAGATTCACTACAAGGTTTGACAATGCCAAGTAATGGAGAAGGGTATGTGAAGCTTTTTGAAAACTACATATCAAATCAAAGATTTCAGGTAATAGTTCTAATTATTTTTTAGTCTAATTGAAGTTCTTATAAGTTAGTTGTCCTAAATCTTTGCATCCTCTGTTTCAGTAGTTGTCCTAAATCTTTGCATCCTCTGTTTCAGTTTCTTCACATTTGGATACTCAGGGACTACTTATCTCACGAGTTACGAATTCCGGATCCAAAAGTCAAAGTTGACCTTGACCGATTGATAGATGATTTTGTGTTCATGTGTTTATTTGTTGGAAATGACTTTCTACCGCATGTGCCATCACTTGAAATATCAGAGGTTAGCGTGCTTTCTGAATGATACTAGATACTAGCTTACAAAAATTAAACCATGTTTTGGACTAATTTTGCTACATGTTTTAGGTTGTTTGTGTATGCTTACTATTTATTGTTTCCTTTGATTCTTTGCTGTTAGGGAGCTATTGATCTTCTTATGATGGTCTACAAGAAGGAGTTCTCACTCATGGGTGGTTATCTTACTAATTCTTGTGAGGTATACTGATGCATTTAGTCTTTGTATCTCATTATGCAATAAGAATTTTCTAGACCTTTTATTTGTGTTCTCTGATTCAATGAATTGTGCATTTGTAATGCTTATTACTCGAAAGAATTTGTTTTTTGCCTAGAACTTTCCTGAGAATCAGGGGCCTTGATTGTGTAGGTTGATTTGGATCGGGTCGAACATTTTATACAAGCACTTGGTGCCTACGAAAGTGCTATATTTAGGAAACGTGCACAGGTATGAATCTGCTATTCATTATATCGTAGCTAGTGCACAGGTATGAATCTGCTATTCATTATATCGTAGCTAGTTGGTTCTTGGGTAATGTTCTTCTCAACTTGGTCACTGTTTTATTCTCATTATTAGGCTCAGAAAGAATGGGAGACACGCCTGCGATGCTGTACATCTAATGTGGGTATTCTACATTCAAGCCTGACACATAACTAAAGTTACTATTTTAAGCGTCTTAGAGGGCACTCATGTGTTTTGATCTTGTGTCTTAACCAGACAAATTCTAAGGGGGTAAAAGGGTCCACAAAATTATTAGTGGAGATGAGATCTGCAGTTGACGAGGTCACTTGCTACCCTTCTATGCCGTCCTCATTTTTGTTTGATCACTTGAGTTCTTTAGTGCTAAAAACTTTCAAGTATTTCCTGCTTTAAAACCTGAAGTTGAAGTATTGTTTTCCCTCCAGGTTAAGTTAGGAGAAGAGGGTTGGAAGAAGAGATATTATTGTGAAAAATTTGAAGTTGTGAATGATGAAGAGATTCAAGGGGTGCAAAAGCATGCAGTAGGCACTATGCTTTTCTTAAACATCATCATCTGACCTTCATTATATTCTGTCCGTCACCCGGTTGTCATCTGTCCTGCCATATTAGTTCTATACTGTTATGGTGGGGGATGGAAGAGTGAATATGACTGTACCTTAATTTTGCATCACACATTCTCACTGTATTTGGTTTGATGTAGGTGTCAAAGTATGTTGAAGGAATCTGTTGGGTCATGCATTATTATTACCAAGGCATTTGCTCCTGGCAATGGTCTGTTCTGAATTTGATAACTGCTTGCGTTTGTCAGATTCTCTTCCGAGATTTCTCTTAACATTGAGTAATGGTTCATTCCAAATTAAACTCATCTTTTCTAGTTGCATTGGAATTCATTCTGAAAATTCACTCTGCAGGTTCTATCCTTATCATTATGCTCCATTTGCCTCGGACTTTAATGGGCTGCAGCAGTTTGAAATAAGTTTTAATCTTGGCAAACCATTCAAGCCCTTTGATCAGTTAATGGCAGTTCTCCCTGCCGCAAGGTACTCTTAACACCAAGTATACTTTTAATGATAACCTTGGAAATTAGCCTATAACTGGTGAGTTTTATCCAGTGCGCAGGCACTCCCATCTTCTTACAGAAAATTGATGACTGATCCATTATCTCCCATTATAGACTTCTACCCAACTGGTATGGTGATTTCGTCTTTTATACTTGATCAACTTTTTCTTTTGTGTTTTCCATATGAGAAACTAAATGGAGATGTCATTTTCCAGATTTTGAGCTTGACATGAATGGGAAAAGACATGCTTGGCAGGTATGAGACTGTGAGTCCATTAGTCTGTAATCATTGTTTTTTCAAGGGAAGGAAGAAAAGATCTTCACATCAGTGTCCTGATTGTCTGGCAGGCTGTCTGTAAATTACCATTTATTGACGAGTTGCACCTTCTCATGGAAATTAGAAAAGTGGAACATACATTGACGGTGAGTGTTGACAATGTATCTTAGCATGACACTGCATGGGCATAAATTGATTTTTTTCTGTCTCCTAGGATTTGAAACACTTCTACTTGAATATTTCCTATAGTTCCCTGAACAATAAATATTGTTCTGATTCAGGATGAAGAAAAACGAAGAAACAGTTTGAGTGTCGATGTATTATTTGTCCACTCCTCACATCAGTTGTCAACTAAGATCTTTTCATTCTGCAAGCGCAACAAGAATAATCCTAAGTTGCTAAAGGCCAAAGTTAAAAGGAAAATTGACCCTGCATTCAGCGATGGGATGAATGGATACATATGCATCTCCACTAAGCCAGTACAACCTGCAGAAATCAATTCACCTGTTGACGGGATGGAGTCAATTACTGAGAACAATGTAGTGTCGGTCTTCTACAAGCCCCCGGCATTTCATCCTCACATTCCAAGAGTCCCGAAAGGAGTAGTGATGCATGCAAATTCTGTTAACAAGAATGATATCCAGCCGGCTCCCATCCTGTGGCATGAGAAGACGGCCCTTGTCCAACAAAGGCGGTTGCAGAGGCGTCTTCCTGCCAAGTCAGTCTCAGGTCCCCATCTAGCAAAATTGGCTCATCAGCTTGTGTTGCAAAAATGTACGACTGAAGTTGGTAAGAAGAGGAAGGGGGACTGGCCAGAACATAACAACACTATGAACCGGAAGAAGAGGAAGATAAAGATTAGAAATAAGTTAAGAAAATTGAATTAAGCCTAGTAGCTCGGGCCGCTAATCTGTTGCTGCCGTGCTCTAGTGTAGTGTGGTGTTTAGGTACTGGTTGCATTGTGCCTCGCTGTCCTCAGAAGAATTACAAAGTCAACAGGAGGGCAACAGACAGTTGATGATAACTTAAATGATGGATCAGGAGAAAGAAGAACCCTAGATTGGATGGGAGTAGATTTTTCGTCTGATGATAAACTGATGGATTAGAAGAAAGAAAGAACCTTAATTAGATGGGAGTATATTTCATTCACTGAGTTCGATTATGTATGGCAATCCAATATCCACTTTTCCTGGATTTGGAAAATATACTGGCGGCACCAAAATTTTGCAACTATTTAACCTGATCTAAGTTGTTTCATTTAATTCGTTGCTCTTTTGTGAGGTTAGCAGTTGTCTGTTTCCTCGAGGCATCAAAATGAGTAAAAGAGGTGACAGAAAGAGCGTCTCTGAAAAAATGGCGATAATTCTCGCAACAGCCATAAACCAGCTGTAGCCCTTTCATCTAAATTTCCAAAAAGCAGAAATTTGCAGATTCCATCCTAATTTTAAGACAGTATTCTTTTTTTTTTCTTTTTTTTTAATTCACTTTCCCCATCTAGATAGAATCAGCAAGCCAACAACGGTAAAGCAGGAAGAAGCAACAATGGCCACCACAAGAGCAAATGCAGAGGCCAGATTGGGGAAGTTGAATTGTGTCTGTATCCTCCTCAGACCTTTGTCGATGAAAGGGGCCAACCCAGCAGCACCAGCCACCCGGAATGGTCTCGTCACATTGTTGCCAGTCCACATCAAGATGACAATCTGGGAGTAGGTACCCAGAATCAGAATCACAGTCAAGAATCAAGATTGGTTTTTTTTATTATATATAAAAAAAGAAAGGGTAAATGAAAAGAATAGATGAAATGACGAATACCCCTAACAGAGCTTTGAGATTGGCAGCAGGGTTGTTGCCAGTACTTTTCTCATATCCAAGGAATGCAAGTACAAAAAAAGTTGTGTAAGTGAAGGCATCAAACAATCCATATGCAAGCACTGCTGACAGACCCAACTTCGCCAGTTTTCTGCTCATCTCCCCTGAGTTCTCCTGAACCCCCCCAATCACCAAAACCCAAAACCATTAAAAAAAAAAAAAAGAAAGGAAAAGGGATCAAAATTTCGAAGTTGTTCCCATAACAAATGAATAGGAAACCCTGAAATTACAAGTGACTTAGTATTTACCTTCCATTTCATCCAGAATCCTGCTGGGTTCTGCTGATTCTTATTGAACAACAAGAAAGAAAGCTAATTATTCTCAGACACTTATGATAAGCACTACCAGGAAGATAGGAGGAACAAAACATAAAAAACAAAGTAGACTGACATTTTGGTGGGGCAAAGAGGCATCTGGTCCTATTCCTTCATCTGGAGAAGAAGCAGCAGAACCTTGGGCGCTAGATGATGAGGAACAACGGCCAACTTTAGTAGCAATAATCGGCACCGGCTTGTTAGGGAAGAGGGTGGAGAGTGAAAGCTTTGGATTTTGGGGAAGAAGAAGAAGACCAGGAAAATGAGGCAACGGAGAGGCCGAAGCGGCTGCCCAACTATTCATCCTCCAGACTTAAACCCCTGTGCCTTGTCTAAAACCATACAAATAAAAGGCTTTAAAGGTTAGGTTTTTATACAGCAAAAGGCTTCGACCTAACAACTCATCCGCACACACATGGGCATTTCCCCACTCCAGCAGGAATATGGATGGGCAGAGTTCAAGATCCACAAATCATTCATGAAAAAAATAGTAATATTGATTGGCTGCCTAAGAGTTTGTGCAGTGTTACTGTAATGAATTTTTTCTAAGCCTTGTGCAATTTGTTCGGCGATTTAAAACTGGAAAGAAACAAGAAAGACAAACACTATAATGATTTTTGTTCACATTTCAGCAAAACTGCTTGTCCAGTGCACCTTATACATCACGGTAATTAGGCCAAACGCCGAAGAAAGAAAAAGCAAAAAGAATACAAGTCCTTTACATTGGGGGACGTCATCCCCATACCTGTTGTCCGATGGATGGAGGTTTAAACCATCATAATAGTTACTGTAGTTTTCCCCCACCACCCTCAGAAAATAAAAACAAAAAAAAAAAAAATCAAACTAGGAACAATATAACCACATAACTAAATCACGCTCTGAAAACTGGATCCATTATCCACATTGTCTCCTCCATGCAGAAAAGACCGCCATCAATGAGCTGCGCTTCGTGTAACTCATTGTACTCCCAACCCGGATGCTTCCATTCATTCGTTCAAGCAAATCCAAGTTGCAGCCAAGATAAAAGCAAACTGGAGTACAGTATACTTTTGCTTCTTAGCAATTCCGAAAACAGGCCAATCAGATACATTTGAAAAGTCTTCTCCAGAAACCAGCTACTACTACCTCCTTTGCACCATCACTTGGGTCGACTGGTTCTTTGAATCTGGCCTTCTTGCTAAGGTCCTCAAACGCGTGTACAATATTCTGAAGCCTAGCTACAAACTCAATCAACGAGGACGTAAATGTGGACAACGACAATGCACTAGCACTTTCATAAGTCCGCACTTCACGTTCATTGAGGATGACGTCACCAAGGACAGACAGTCGGGAAGGCCACATCGTCTGCTGGCGTAAATTTTCTTCCGAGGAATCCCATTGTGAAACCGAGAGATGGATGCCCTGGTTTGGATTCTGTGAATCCCAAGCTCGTAGTGTCTGGGCTGAGTTTAGATTGAGATTTGCTTCGCTGATGGAGTTTATGACTACTGGCTTATGTTCATTATCCTTCAGTTCTTGTAACTGCTCCGGATCTTCATATTTACTAGGTCGTTTTCCACTTTCCCAGCTCTCCGCTTTGACTAGAAGGTAAGATTTCTGATCAATTAACATCTGCAACTCCTCCGCAGCTTCGTGCACTTCGTCTAGTATGTCTCCGGTGGGGCTTAGTTTTTCCATCTTTTCTACTTTGTCTCCGATCTGTCGTAGCACTTTAGCCCCTGCAGTCCCCACTCGCTGAATCTCGTTTCTGAACACTTGCCTAAGCTCTGCTGAAGCCTGAAAACCAAAAGCAACACTTCATTACTGCCTGAATTTGACCTGCTCAGCAGATTGGCAAGGATTCTAAAACATTTTTGAGTCATTCAAAAGCAGCATCTAGGGCTCTAATGCAGCAATATTGAAAACAAAGCGAAGTACTCATCAACTCGTGAACTTCTTTGATATCTTATCTGACAACTGACCCTACTTTATTTTTCCAGATTAAGTTGGAAACCAGTACAACTCTACAAGACATGAAAAGGTCAATTTGAGTAAGCATCATGATGAAATTGGTCACACTAAATTCAATTAGGTGGCAGCATCTTTAAGGCATAGCATGTATAGCTCAAATTTTCAAAATACAGTCAAAGATAAAAAAGCGGAACTGAGAGATTCCAAAACAAAGCTCTTGCAAGATAACTAACATAGTAATTGCATCTCTGCACAAGAAAGAGGCAAAACACACCTGTATTTCTGAAAGTATACACCCATGCATCGCCATGATCATGAATGCACAATGCCTCAGTGCACCGCTCACTTTAACATACTCGCTCCAAGGATAGTTAAACATTCTGTATGGGCCATGAGGGGGTTCCCAGAGAGCAAAACCCAACTGCAGGAAAGGAAATGCATACGTCATGATAACACCTCAACAAGAACCAGTTGGACAAGGAAAATCATGAAGACAAAAGTAAAGGCATACCAGAGATTCCTCTTTGCTGGAGGACTCTAATGCAGCTCGGTATCCACTGTACATTGGATCATCGGAAGCCTGGAAGACAAGAATCTTTGAAGGTATCCTTTCATATTGGACGCATTGCACATACCCATCAACACAGCCTAAACAAAGACTTGCAGGAGTAACGAGCGGACCGTGTTAGTTTCTAAATGCACGAAGTATGTGGTTACACATTCAATAAAAGAGGAGAAAGAAAGTTAAAGCAGAACTTCTAGACAAGGCAAATGTAAATTGTACCTTCCAAAGAAGTGGCGACGCTCCTGAAATTTTTTACCACCAATTTGTGCAAATCCTCTCCAGCCCAGATGGGATAAACGCAGACATTGATTACCAAACAAACACAGGCCCCAACCGCAATCAGAAGCAGCCGAGAAACGGCGGTTTGCACAAAGTGTGAGGTCCCCGAAACCAGGACAATGCAGTAAGTCAAGAGGAAAACGCGGAACCCGTATTCATACTGCTTCATCACAGGGAACAACTTTAAATAGCTAGCACAAAATCCTGAGCCCATAACAGTGAGTTGAATATGAGTAACAGCATGGTTAGACCAAACAAATAAAGTGTGATAACAAAATCACTGTAATAGGTGATGAACCTGCAATGAAGATGCTAACAACAATAACAACTTCTTGGTATTTGCCAGCTAAAAGAGATAACTCGGCAATTCCCAGAGCCAATGCTCCAGCAGATAGTGTCCCGAGGGCGCGATTAAAACCTTTGTTCAGCGTCGCCCCTAAGAAGTAAACAAGAAGAATGGTCATTGGAAAATTGGTATCCAGTCTGTTTGAACTTTTGTTCAATGTAGCGCCCTAGATGCACCCACAAGACATACAGAAACTCGTAAGCGGACTGTAAGCTCCCTTAAAAGCGCACGTAATACAGAAACTGATATACCGGAAAATCACAATCCAAATCTTGTTAGCTTTGGCTCTTTTCCAATGTAGCTCCATAAAGATCAAATAACAGATATAAGCAATAATTGAGATATCAAAATCCAATCTTTTTCAGTTCCCCCAAAAAAGCACTACCAGACGGACATCACTCCTGGTGGGGGAAATAAACTTTCAATTTTTTTTCATGCTTCTTATAAGCCTGTTCAGTTCCAAAAAGTACCTATGATAAGGCGCAATAAAAATCCGAACTTTTTGCTTAGTGCAGCCAACTCACTAACAGATAGAAACTGATAATGGGGTAAACCAAAGTCAAAACTTTATCTTCTGTTCAATGGGTAGCAGCTACCACCTAAAAAGCACATAATTGAAAGTTTCCTTGATTTGTTCATTTCAAACCCCCAATCAGAACTATTGTACAAAATTTAAAAAAGGGGGATTCAAAAACCTTTTTCCTTCTTTTCCCGGTTGTTTTAGTTCAATGCAGTTAACTAGAGAATCACATAGCAGACAAAAAACTGATGACGGGAAAAATGAAAACCCAAAATTCGATTCCCCTGATCAAAGTAAAACAATATCAACATTACTAAAATGGAAAGAAAAAGAAAAGAGAAGAATGGAAGTACTCACCAATGCTGAATTCAAAGACAACAACCACAGTGAGGATAGCCCAGATGGAGTATTGACCAATGTAACTAAGGGGCTCTTTAAAGAAGATGAGCACAGAAACCAGAGATAAAGCCATACCCATCTTGAGTGCAAATATGATCTTTCTGGGATCAGACCTACCAATCTCGTATGCCTTAACCCCAACTTGCTTCAAAGAATTGAAAAATTCACAACATTTATCCCTCAAATAACAAAAACCCCTCGAAATGAAAGGCTTTCTTCCTCCTCCTCCTGTTGGTTCTCCTCCTCTTCCTCCAAGTTGTGAATAATCTTTCCTGGATAGCAATCTTTCTTTGCCTCTCTCGACGAAGCTATGCTTCAAGGATCCAAAATTGGCAGCCATAATAATTTAAAAAGTCAAAAAACCAACAGCGTTGTGTAATATCCTTAATCCAATCACATATAGTTAATTCTATACCCAGGGATGAAAATCATGAAAGAAAGAGTACTTTGGACCCCTTTTTATTGGTGGAAAAAAGGAAAGGAACTTTTGAAGAAAAGAGGAAGCAAAATCTGGGAAATTTGGAATGATATTTCAAAAGGGATCATCTTAGAAGTGTATACGATCCACAAGTTGAGCTTCACATCTTAATCATTGTGATGAATAAAGAAATGGTATCAGAGATGGATAAAACGTGGATGCATTTAATTTTAAATAAAGAGGGGTCTTTCGTGGGAAAAATACTCCCTTAGTCCCAAATTAATAGGTTTATACAAATTTTTCAGTGTATCAAGATATGTGTTATTGAAAATTTGTTTTTTTTTTTTAATAAAAAACTAGTACCTATATAAAAAACACCCATGCTATTATATTGTATTCTTATATAAACTGCATTATGTGAATCTCGACATCTAATTCACTGATTTTAATCAGACAGTAGTGATGAAAACTCGAAATTAAAATACGAAGTGGTCTAACCACCTCTTGTGCCTCGATCGGAAGAGATTCAAGGCCATAATTTGTGACTAACAATCGACAATCAGTGTATACTTTAACTTGTCGGAAGCCAAAATTAGCCGCATCTTATAGAACCATTAGACAAGTCATTGTCTGTCATCAAAGATAAGTTTGACATAGTTATCCACAGGATCATTTGCGCCAGGATCATCATCATGATTTGTTGTAGGATGGAGCAGTAATCACTCCATATTACCCCGATGTTGTCGAACCTCTTGTTGGATCAATCGTCTTGAGATAATCGGGTCTATACTTTGGCTTCTTCACACTTATTTTAAAATTAAAAAAAATAAAATAAAATTGGATGGCCCTAATAAGAATTCAGACTCTCGACCTCCTAATAATAACAATCTCCATACTTTATCATTTCTTTCTATCTATATTCTCTAAAATATTAGGAGAAAAGATTACATGTCCTGTGAAATTGTGAAGTTTAGATCATAGAACATACCAGTCGAAGATAGAAGATATAGCCATCAAGTATTATTTGGAATGTAGGATAAGTAAAGCTCCAAATTGCTTGTGAGATCGGGCATGTGAAGAAGAGATGGAGGTTGTCATCAATACTAGTGAAACCCCCAGGATCTGTGATATTCGTTTGTACTCCTCTTTTACTTAACCCTTCTTTTGAAGGTAAAGCATTGAGTGTCGCTTACTAGAAAGAGAAATCTGTGTTTTAGTTGTATCTTAGAGTTTCACAATTTCTTCCAAGCTAGTGTCTTCTTATTGAGTCTGTCTTGGTTTCGAGTCTGGTTCGGAGTTACCAAAATCAGATCGTATGATAACTTGATTGGACCGTATAGTCACTGTACTTTGTGTGTATCCATTGACCTTTATCTTTATGCATGAAGCGAGAATGATCAACAAAGATACCACAAATGTACGAAGTGAGGTTATCTGGGAATATGGTTTTGAGGAAGGGAAGTTTCCATTGACCATGATAACGTATAAGATGACTAACCAACATATTAGAGTGAAAATTGTTAAAGACTCATTAGCTCCAAATTCAAATATCTCATCTAAACTCATTTAAAAAAATAAATGTTGTCCCATTCCATTAAACAAATGTTTGCTATTGCTGTTTTTTATAATAATAATAATTATTATTATGATGATGATGATTATTATTATTGTATATCTCCATTGGGAAATATGTTTTCATCTCAGGAGTTAATTCTTTGTGGTATTGCTATTAAATTTATTTAAGATGAAATAAAACAACCTATTGTTCAAAAGAAAAAATGTATGAGCTACTACAATGATAAATATGTATAGTCTTAGAGATAGAAAATTAGATATTGTAAATGAAGGAGCAAAATGCTTTAAAAGATGGGAATGACTCATGTACCAAACATAATTAAAAAAAAAAGAAAGAAAGAAAGAAAAACAGTCACACACAAATATGAACAATGTTTATATGTGAGTACATTTTAGATATTGTATGTTTGTAAAAGTTGATGGGTTCATAGTGGAGAATGCTCATAGGCTAGTTAAGGCAACCCTCCGGACTGATCAGCATTGAACATGTTGTTTTGACATATGACAAGTGTGTTTCAATAAATTCCTAAGTTTTCCTCCAAAGTTAAGGACTAAAACAATTCACTTCGGAACTTTGGAAGACTAACTTTGTCAAGATGAAAACTTTGTTGGCTAAAGTATAGATTTATAAATTCCAAGTACCAAAGATGCTATTGTCGCCTTGTTCATTTGACGATCAATTTTCCTCCAAAGTTCACTTTACTAAATTTTCTCCCTCAGCGAGAGGTAAATTCATTCCCAACTCTCTCTTCCTACTCTCCCCGTTTTACCGTCAACGTCGCTATCACCGTCTGGGTCTGACTGACCGACCGATTAGGTCATCGTTAAGTTCTCTACATCCCACCGGTCAATACGCTACTCCAACTCTTTTAATTTTTTTTATTATTTTGATCTCAGTAATAATAATAGTACTAATAATCAACACCCAATATCCTTCTACTCCAAGCTACCTCCACAGCCTTCGACTCAAAGGTACTCTTTCACTTTATTTTTCTTTTGTGATGTTCGTCTGAATTCATTCACGTTTACAGATTACGGATTGAAGTTCAATTATATTATGCGATCCGATCAGTTTTAGTTATATGCATACTATTTAAACTTTGTTTTCGCCGATTATTTGGATTTTATTGGTAATGTTTAGGTTTCTATGTTATTTCAGATAAGTCTTGCAGCTCTTTTTTTTTTTTTTGGGTCGGGTATGTCCGTGTTTTTGTTTTGTTAATTTTTGGTTGAAATCAATATGGAGGGTTAAATTGTTAGAAAAAGGAAACTTAAAGCAACGAAGATGATTGGTCTTAATTTGATGGATAAAGTCAATTCGATTGTTGTTTATGATTGAAGGAGAATTGTTGTATGCGAAATGTCTTAGTTTGTGCTTTGATTCGAAAGGAAATTAACATTTTAAGTTTGATTTCTTTTTTTCATTTTCTCAGGGTTTGTAGGTTTGTTTTCTTTTGTTGTCGGGAAAAGTAGAAGGTAGCAAGTAACAATGAGCGACAATAATTTGATGGATAAAGTCAATGCTTTGGGGGAACGTTTGAAGATTGGAGGGTCAGAAGTTGGCCAGAAAATCAGTGCTGGTATGAGCTCCATGAGTTTCAAGATGAAAGAATTTTTCCAAGGTCCCAACCAAGGCGACAAGGTCGTGGAGGAGGCCACCGCTGAAACCTTAGACGAGCCTGATTGGGCTTCCAATCTTGAGATTTGTGATATGATTAATCACGACAGGCTCAACAGCGTTGATTTGATTAGGGCGATTAAGAAACGGATTATGTTAAGGAATCCCAGGGTTCAGTATTTGGCTCTGGTTCTGCTGGAGACCGTTGTTAAGAATTGTGATAAGGCATTTTCGGAGGTTGCCGCTGAGAGGGTACTCGATGAGATGGTCAAACTGATTGATGATCCCCAGACTGTTGTTAACAACCGAAACAAAGCTCTCATTCTCATTGAGTCGTGGGGGGAATCGTCTGGTGAACTTCGCTATTTACCTGTTTTTGAAGAGACTTATAAGGTAGACTTTTGGGTGTTTTGACTGCTTAGTTCTTTCTTTTTTCCTTTGCTGACATATTGGTCTTTGTTGGCCTTGTTTTATTCTTCCCTTCATATCCCCTGATTTGTTTCCATGCTACTTTACTTTTCTGGTTATGTCTTTGGAAAAACTTTTTCCCTTGTCGTGTCCTATTTAAACAATAAAAGAAGGGGAATATTTTGACAAGATGATTCAATTTTTCTACACTTCCATGTCATGAGTGGTTTTGTTCACTTAACATATGAACTGTGCAATTTTTGCTAATTTACCTGAAGGAATACCCTCCTTCATAAATTATTCCTGCAGTTGTTGACATTCTCCACCTGCATTATAAGCTCTGTCTGAGTTTCCTTTGGTTAAATTTTTATTTCTCCAGAGTTTGAAATCCCGAGGGATAAGGTTTCCTGGTCGCGATGATGAAAGTTTGGCTCCAATATTTACTCCTGCGAGATCAGTCTCAACTTCAGAGGTGAATGCTACACGTGCGCCACAAAGTCATCGTGAAATTCCTCTCCCTACTTATTCTGCTGAACAAACTAAGGAAGCATTTGATGTTGCCCGAAACAGTGTAGAGCTCCTTGCCACTGTTTTATCTTCTTCTCCTCAGCAAGATGCGCTACAGGTATTTTTAATTCTGGTTATGTCTGTGAAGTTGAATATTATTCTGAAAAGGAGATGGATTTATGTTTCTGACTGGCATGTGAGTACTAATACAAAGTGTGTGGTTTCTTTAACTCATGACTTTTACTTATGTTTACTGGGGATGTGTCCAGTAATGTAAAATATTTATATACTGAAGAGCCATTTGTAATATTTTGCTGTTGTAGCTGGCTTAACATTGGAATTTCCCCTCCCCTTCTCATTTACTTCTGAAGTTTGGAACATGATTACAATGACAAAGCGGGTGGTGTAGCTGCTGACATATAATTTACATTCTCTCTGTCTCTCTCTCTCTCCGTGTCTTTTTTTATTTCCTTTTTTCTGTGTGGATTGTTTTTGAACCTTGCGTTAATCCCTTGGTGTGGATTCCTAAAATGTCCAATATTGTCAACATGTCTCTGCAGGATGATTTAACAACCACACTGGTACAACAATGCCGGCAGTCCCAATACACCGTCCAATCAATCATTGAATCAGCTGGTGACAATGAGGCCCTTCTTTTTGAAGCACTCAACGTGAATGATGAGATCCAGAAGGTCCTCTCGAAGTATGAAGACATAAAGAAACCATTGGAGGTGCAGCCAGAGCCGGAACCTGCAATGATACCTGTGGCCGTGGAACCTGATGACTCCCCTCGTGTAGGAAGAGAAGATGCCTTGATCAGAAAACCAGCAGGGTCCCGGAACACATCTCAGGGAGGAGGGAACAACAATGATGAAATGATGGATGATTTGGACGAGATGATATTCGGTAAGAAGACAGGTGGGGCATCCGAAGGAGGGAACGAGGGGAAGAAGCAGCAAGGCGGGTCAAAGGATGATCTCATCTTGTTCTGAGTGTGACTCTGTGGGTACGGAAGGGGAAGGGCGGAGATGCTGTGATGATGTCGTTTGATACAGGATAAAAGGATTGGGCGGGACTAGGGTTTACAAGAAATTATAGACTTACGGTTTCTGGTGCTATTTTGAATTGTTTGAGGTGTCCATTTTCATGTATAAATTGGTTATTATTATGCACACAATGGAGTACATTGTGTAAATTGGTCATTATGCACACACTTTTGCGTGAAACCGAAACGGAGTTGATTGTTGTGTCTGCTAGATTACTATACTGTGTACTGAACTGTGTAATGCAGAACCAAATCATCATCAAATCAGAAGTTGGTCTGGGAGTGTTTAATTGCTTGATTGAAAAAGTAGATTAGTATCGCATGGATGTGATGATTTCACTTTTAGGGATTTGATCTCTTAAAAGACGCCTGGTTCTTTTGCTAAAATAAAAAAAATACTAGATTTCATCAAGAAGATTGGTCACACACTCACAGTGCATCTCCCGGGCCCTAATAAGAAGAAGTCCATCAGATTTGTTGGAGGCCCAATTCAATCTGAAGTTTACACAACTTGTCTCCTTCCTCCTCTGCTGTAGTATTCTGTTTTGGACAATCCATGGCCGGAAGACAACCGTCCCACCTCCCCAGGGCCACCACCACCGCCACCGCCGCTAGATCCCTTCCCGCCGTTATAGCATTCTCCTCCCTCCTCCTCATCGTCCTATTTCTCTACTTCACCTCTTCCTCCCCTCCGCAACTTCACTCCCCGGATCCCGATTACTCCTTTGTCACTTCCCTCGACAAATTCCTCAAACTCTCTCATAACGACCGCCTTTCCATTCCATTTCAATCCTCCGTCACCCAATTAGACGATGCCATCTCCACCTCCGAATCTCAAAGGCTCTACCCCTCCTTCCCTCTCCGGGTTTATGTTTATCAAATGCCTCCCAAATTCACCTACGACTTGCTTCACTTGTTCATTACTACCTACCGAGATACTTCCAATTTGACTTCTAATGGCAGTCCGGTTCACCGTCTGATCGAGCAGCACTCCGTCGACTACTGGCTTTGGGCGGATTTGATCTCCAAACCCGAGTCCGATAGGAAGCTCAAGGACGTGGTGGTTAGGGTTTTTAAGCAGGAGGATGCTGATCTTTTCTACATTCCCTTCTTCACTACCATTAGCTTCTTCTTGCTAGAGAAACAGCAGTGCAAGGCTCTTTATAGGGTGTGAGTGCGTTTCTTTTCTCTTTCCTTCCTTTTTGCACCCTTAAATCGGTGCTGATTTTTCTCATACAATTTCATGGATTTTGTATTGTGTATGTGATGTGAATGTTGCACGACTATGCGCCAGCATGAAAATTTGTAAATGCGGGGACTGCAACCCATAAACTGTGTGTTAGATATGAGCTTAGGTGAAACTATCAGTTTATGGTTTGACTTTGGCTGAGTGGTAGAATTGTTGATAGATTCCTAAATGAAAAAATGAATGTTTTGGATCCAAAGGGTAACTCCTACATTTATTCCTGAGCTCGTTAAAGAAAGTTTCCCCCTTTTTTAAAATGTGCTCTCCTTGATACACTGAGCAAGATGTTTTCAGTTTTGAGATTTATTTAATTGTGATGTTGATCGTGCAGGAAGCTCTGGAGTGGGTGACGTCTCAGCCAGCTTGGAAACGGTCTGAGGGAAGGGATCACATTCTTCCTGTGCATCACCCTTGGTCTTTTAAGACTGTTCGTAAGTTTATGAAAAATGCTATCTGGTTGCTGCCGGATATGGATTCCACTGGAAACTGGTTTGATAACTCTGCACTACTCAGCTTTTCAATTCCTTTAAGAAAAGAAACGTAACCGGTATTTGCTTTGGCTCACCAAGTTACTTCATTCCTCAGGTATAAACCTGGGCAAGTTTATCTTGAAAAAGATCTCATACTTCCCTATGTCGCCAATGTTGATTTTTGTGACTCGAAATGCTTGTCTGAATTCGAATCTAAGAGGACTACATTGTTATTCTTTCGTGGAAGGCTCAAAAGGAACGCTGTAAGTTATACCCTGTTCTTGATTAATCATAAAATAATATCTTCTAGCATCTATGATTTCATATGCTTTGCTTCTCATGAAATATAAGAGTCCGTGCTTCACCAATATCTATATGTATCACTCTGGTGATTATAGAATCGAATACTTTTCAATCATTTAGGTGCCAAGCTGTTCATACAATGTATGTATGTTAGGTTCCCTAGAGTGTGTTAAAACTGTATTTCCTGCTGAATTTATTACGATATTGGTTATGTGGCAATTTCATATATAGGAGGGTGCTCAACAGCTTCTAAATGGCATAGGATCTGGCATTATTTCAGCTTGTCGAGTGCCAATTGTTCTCTTGTGATCATAAAATGATCATACCTCTTCATGCTCCTAAAAGCCTGCAGTTAACAGGAATTTGGCATTTTTCAGGGTGGGAAGATACGCTCAAAACTCGTGACAGAACTCAGTGGTGCCGAAGGTGTCATTGTAGAGGAGGGAACGGCCGGGGAGGCTGGCAAATCTGCCGCGCAGAATGGCATGCGGAAGTAAATTGATTGCTATAAATAAACTGCCCTTTGACTTTTTTATTCGTTATGCATTTATTAATTACTGCTTCCTTTTGTTTGTTATCAGGTCTTTATTTTGCTTGAGTCCTGCTGGTGACACCCCATCATCTGCTAGATTGTTTGATGCAATTGTCAGTGGTTGTATACCAGTAATTGTTAGTGATGAACTGGAGCTTCCTTTCGAAGGAATACTTGACTACCGCAAGGTTTGTATGCTTTTCAGAAGAATTGTTTTCTAAATTCATTTTTCCCTGCACTGCCTGGTGTTAGAATCAACATCAACAGCATCGTACACCATTCCCGAACAAATTGCGGTTTGGGGGGTGGTTTGGGGGGGTCAAGTGTATGCAGCCTTACTCGCGTAATATTATAAAGAGATTGTTTCACTTGCTACCCTTGATACATTGCTTCACATGATGTATTGATTTCCAGCAACTTTACAAATAGAAGAAGCACGGGAATGTAATAGATCCATTTCGATCTAGTCCATTAAGAGCACAAAGCTAAAAGAGTTGATGATGACTTTTCCATCTCCATTTGCTTTGGACATATGTCTGGTGTAATAATGTGGACAGTAATGATAGGAAAAGCATTAAGATTGAAGATGGCTTGGTTCTTTGAATCACACAGAACATGTATTGGTTATCACAAGTAAATGGAGGACTCATGCACATGTGTACATCTATGTTTGCCAGAAAGAAACTTTGCAAAAGGCATCTAAATTAAAAGGGGCAGAAGTGAATGAGTAGAGAGGGTCGGTGGGTGGAGTTCCGAAATTGTACTTTTGGTAAACTGATGTTCTTATATTCTGCTGCAGATAGCTTTATTTGTTTCTTCAAGTGATGCATTGCAGCCAGGGTGGCTTATAAATTTTCTGCAAAGTATAAGTCGCTCTCAAATTCGGCAGTTGCAAACGAACTTAGCTAAGGTTTGTGTTGGATCCACCGGCTGTTTTTAGCTTCGTTGCAAGATTATTTCCTATGCAGCAAAATAATTTTTTCTTCCTTTTAGATTTTCGCTGTATTTTATTTTTTTGTCTTACCTTTCTGCTTTTTCACCCTATTCAAAAGAAAAGGTAGGGATTTGCCTAGTTTCAAGCTTGTTCTGAGTGCTGACATTCTCTTATGATTGCAGTACTCGCGGCACTTCTTATATTCTCATCCAGCTCAACCACTTGGTCCAGAAGATTTGGCATGGAGAATGGTTGGTCCACTTGGTCCCTCTTTTTGTTTTCTTAACTGTTACACTTGATATTGATCTCGTGTCTGTAGGCTGTATTCTTCAAATTATCGTGTTTTCTTAACAACTGATTATTGAGTTCCTTGTGTGAAACAGATTGCTGGCAAGTTAGGGAATATCAAGCTTCATATCCGAAGGTCGCAACGCGTGGTGAAAGAATCAAGACATATTTGTTCCTGCGAATGCAGGCGTCCAAATACTACAACTCCAGTTTCATTGTCTTGAGAAATGGGAGGAAGACATCATACAATTCATCATTGTTTCAGTTTTTGCCACCCTCAAGATTCGAGTCATTATGTTAATGGATTGGATGTAGAGAAGTGGTGGCAGAACACTAGGTTCCACTTCACCTCAGCCTTCTGATTAGCTCCAACAAGTCTTCTTGTAGCAATGTGTAGATTGAAGGAAAACCCGAAATGGAAATCTGTAATTTTTCCCGTTCAGAAAGGATTTTTGTCTTTGGATGTTTGTATCGATATGGGTTTGTCACCTTTTTTTTTTTCTTTTTTTTTTAATGGTAAATTAGAAGGCTCTCAAAATTTTGGTTCCTGGTGGGCATGATCACGTTCTTTAAAATTATTTCCTATTTCAAAGTTGTTGACAAAGTAGATCACCGACTGAGCCTTTGATGGTATTATGTGCTTTTGCTGTTTGACCCTAAAAATATGCTCATATTGTTGCGTGTCAAGTTTTGTTTTTTTTCATGAAATCTGGTTTTCAAGTTGAAGTAGGGAGGAAAAGAAAGAAAAGCACCGACTTTCTCCATGTTGGTGTTAATGAGTTGTCTCCCACATGTATTTCAGCATATGGAGTCCCTAACTAGTGGTACTTCGAGGTGGAAGAAGAAGACTTCTTTTTCTATTTTTGATTTTTTTTTTCCTGACTATCAAGGAAGAAGACTGGCGACCTGAAGCCAGTAGCCATTTGGCTTTTCTCCATGCCACATTGAATTTTGAGTTCGTACTAGTTTTAGTACAAATTTGAAAATTCAATGTGGACTATTTTTCTAGGACGGAACCAGGGAGTATTAAATATATGGTAGTTATATGTTATGCTGGGGCTCTGTAGTTGAAGAAACATGGAACATGACGATGAAGATGATGATGATGATGCTCTGTCTGTAGCACATAAAAACCTTTTCCAGATTTAGATCTAAGATAGAGTTGTAGGTCCACTAATATAATACTACTCTTCTATTATCCCTGCTTTGTCTGATTCTGGAATTTGGCATTCTCACTTCCAGTTCTTTTTTCCAACTCAACATAATTTCTTATTCTCCACATCCACCTCCGTAATTGCTCTTTGATTAGTTAGATGGGATTTATTCCCCAGTGGAAGAACAGCATCTTAAGCTGAGTTGAGCTGACAGTGTAGTTGCTTGTTGGGAACTTGGGAGGTGGCAATCAGTAGTTCTTTGGTGATTGGAAACAGTAACCGAAGTAAACTGTTCCTGCATTATGCTGCACCTGCATTCATCAGTCAGTTAATAGGGAATCCCTCTCTGTTTGTCGTTGGGAAATGGCATCATCAGCGCAGGACAGTAGGCGAAAATCGAAACTTTCCATCATGACCAGTTGGAGAGATGTATCATCATCCGTGAAGATGACTACTTCTTCCTCGGGGCATTATGCCAACCTTTCATCATTAAAGGAGGATGACTATGGTGATAGCGATGATGAAGATCCCATCAGGAACGACAATGAGAAGGTGGATGAGGAGAAAAGGCATGATCCTGAAATACTGCCGGCGGCAAAAGGTTCCCGGTGTGCTGTTCCTGGCTGTGATACATATGTGATGATTGACAAGGCAACAGGGAAGGATATCCTTCCCTGTGAATGTGGTTTTAAAATATGCAGGGAATGTTATGTTGATGCTGCCGGAGCTGGAGACGGGATTTGCCCCGGGTGTAAGGAGGAATATCAATCTACAAATATTACTACTTTTAATTCAGCTAAGGTAACAGGTGGTAATGACCCCCTTCCACTTTTGCCACCTCCTTCTGCTGCTTTTACAACCTCAGGGGTAGGGAGACCACTGTCAATGATTAATTCAACCAAATCGGTGTTGTGGAGAAGCCAGACAGTAACGGATTTTGATCAAACCAGATGGCTCTTCGACACCCATGGAACCTATGGATATGGGAATGCTATATGGTCAAATGGAGTAGGGGGAGGGGGAGGAGGATTTGTGGATGGGAATGACAATGAAGTCAACATTCAACCTGCTGATCTAATAATGCACAAGAAGCCATGGAAACCGCTGACCCGTAAACTGACAATTTCAGCTGCTGTTTTGAGCCCATATAGGTACATCCTGACTGCCTTGCCTTCTCCAGTGCAGATATGAGAATATATAATTCCATAAAAAACTGTCAGTGGATACTTTAATGACTATTTTTTTCTATAAGTTAGCTTGCTATCTCTTTTTGCAGGATTCGTTCAGTTTATGAGTAGTTTTGAAAATTTTGTTTATGAAACTTTCTTGTTACTGCATCTTCTTTTTGTCAGGTTACTAGTTCTTGTGAGGATGGTTGTTCTCGGGTTTTTCTTGACATGGAGAGTAAATCATCCAAACCGTGATGCAATTTGGTTGTGGGGAATGTCAGTGGTTTGTGAGATATGGTTTGCATTCTCTTGGATTCTAGACCAACTGCCAAAGCTCTGCCCTGTAAATCGTGCCACTGATCTGGTGGTTCTGAAAGAGAAGTTCGACACTCCCTCGGGAAAATCAGACCTTCCTGGAATAGATGTCTTTGTCTCCACTGCTGATCCCGAGAAAGAGCCAGTTCTAGTCACCGCCAACACTATATTGTCCATTCTAGCTGCTGATTACCCCGTTGAAAAGTTGGCTTGTTATGTCTCTGATGATGGATGCGCGCTTCTGACGTTTGAGGCCATGGCAGAAGCTGCAAGCTTTGCTAAATTTTGGGTTCCTTTCTGTCGGAAACATAACATTGAACCAAGGAACCCAGACTCCTATTTTAACCAGAAGAAAGATCCTTACAAGAACAAGGTCCTCCATGACTTTGTTAAAGATCGAAGGCGTATTAAGCGCGAGTATGATGAATTCAAGGTCCGGATCAATACTCTCCCGGAGTCTATTCGCCGTAGGTCTGATGCTTGGAATGCTAGGGAAGAAATGAATGCTAAAAACCAGCAGGATAGCAAGATCCCTAAAGCCACTTGGATGGCCGACAAATCCCATTGGCCCGGGACTTGGTTGAATTCTGCGCCCGAGCACTCCAAAGGAGATCATGCTGCCATCATTCAGGTAATTTCTCATCAGGACTTAAAAAGTTTTCATCACAAGTTCATTCCTCTCTATGTTTCCACTTTTTGGCTATGTTTCCTAGGATGATCAATCTAATCATAGAAAGATGTGAACTATTGCTGAGCAGGTGATGCTGAAGCCCCCAAGTGATGAACCGCTAAAAGGTGGTAATGGCAATGATGCTGCGGATGAGATGATTGATCTAACTGATATAGATATTCGGCTCCCAATGCTCGTATATGTTTCTAGGGAGAAGCGCCCTGGCTATGATCACAACAAGAAAGCCGGAGCTATGAATGCCTTGGTGCGAGCCTCTGCGATCATGTCTAACGGTCCCTTTATCCTCAACCTTGACTGTGATCACTACATTTACAACTCCCAGGCTTTGAGAGAAGGAATGTGTTTCATGATGGACAGAGGCGGCGACAGAATTTGTTACGTCCAGTTTCCTCAAAGGTTTGAGGGAATTGATCCGTCTGATCGATATGCCAATCATAACACAGTCTTTTTTGATGGCAACATGAGAGCACTTGACGGAGTTCAAGGTCCTGTCTATGTGGGAACTGGATGCCTCTTCCGGCGCATCGCGCTTTACGGGTTTGATCCACCACGTTACAAAGAGGACAATTATGGGGATTGTTTTGGCAGGTGGGGGAAAAGAGGACACGTTAATGCTACTTCTTCTCATGCTCCGAAAAACATGGAGGATGATAAAGAAGTGAACCAGGCGTTGAGATTTGTTGCTGACTATTTTGATGATGAAGATATGAACATATCGGCCTCACTGACTCCCGGAAGGTTTGGCAGTTCAAGCTTTCTTATTGGATCCATCCCGGTGGCTGAGTACCAAGGCCGTCCGTTGGCAGATCATCCATCTGTGAAGAATGGAAGGCCACCTGGTGCTCTCACTATTCCAAGAGAACTTCTTGACGCATCAAGCGTCGCAGAGGCTATTAGTGTCATATCTTGCTGGTACGAGGACAAGACTGAATGGGGATCCCGGGTGGGATGGATTTACGGCTCAGTAACAGAAGATGTGGTGACAGGTTACAGGATGCACAACAGGGGATGGAAATCTGTATATTGTGTGACAAAGCGCGACGCATTTCGTGGGACTGCACCTATCAATCTTACAGATAGGCTTCATCAAGTCCTCCGCTGGGCGACTGGCTCCGTTGAGATTTTCTTTTCCAGGAACAATGCGTTCCTGGCGAGCTCAAGGATGAAGTTCTTGCAGAGGATTGCATACCTTAATGTTGGGATTTATCCATTTACTTCCATCTTCCTCCTTGTCTACTGCTTCCTTCCAGCATTGTCCCTATTATCGGGACAGTTCATCGTTCAAACCCTCAACGTCACTTTCCTGACCTACCTGCTTATTATCACTATGACTCTCTCCATGCTGGCTCTTCTCGAGGTGAAATGGTCAGGTATTGAGCTTCAGGAATGGTGGAGGAATGAGCAGTTTTGGTTGATCGGAGGCACAAGTGCACATTTGGCTGCAGTGATTCAAGGATTACTGAAAGTCATTGCTGGAATAGAAATTTCCTTTACTTTAACTTCGAAATCAGCTGGTGGTGGTGACGATGAAGTCGACGAGTTTGCTGATCTCTACATTTTCAAGTGGACTTCCCTCATGATCCCACCGATTACCATAATGCTAGTAAACTTGATTGCCATTGCAGTTGGCATCAGCCGGACAATTTATAGTGTGATACCTCAGTGGAGTCGGCTGCTTGGTGGCGTTTTCTTCAGTTTTTGGGTACTTGCGCATCTTTATCCTTTCGCCAAGGGGCTAATGGGCAGAAGGGGAAGGACGCCTACTATTGTCTTTGTTTGGTCTGGACTTGTGGCGATTATCATATCACTTCTGTGGGTGGCGATCAACCCTCCAGATGGTGCTAACCAGATTGGAGGCTCATTTCAGCTTCCATGATTAGTAGGCAGAAAGTTTTTGCTGTATAATTCTTTCATTGATGAATTTGTAAAGTTTGGTTCGTGGCAATTTCGTACTTTGCAGGAGGAAGCAATCTACGTATTCTATGGTCTTACGGCTGGTTTCTCAGAAGGCGGTACTATACAACTGAACATCTCATGTAAATCTGATACCAATTGAAAATATAAATTTTTTATTTTTTATTGTTTTGTTTTCGTTTCAGTTGTTGTGTCTTCTCAGCTTAGCATTTCCTCATTGCGTTGATTGTGATGTTAAAGCTAGCAAGTTCGAGTAAGATCGTTGTCTTATGACCTGAAAAATATCTCTGTGTAAACTTTTTACATATGCGGTAGGCATTGCAGGGCGGGATGCGGTTTGGGTAAGGTTTTTTTCTTCTCCTTCTTTTTTTGTCAATATTTCGTGCATTTTTCAGTTTCGAGAGCATCACACAATCAATAATGTGAGTGTAATATATGTGACAGAGTGAGAGAGTTTGTGTAGTTTAGAAAACTCACCAAAGATAACCTTAAATTAAGTGATTCTTATTAAGTCATGCAAGAACAATGATCTTTTATAGTATTTCATTGAAAAGGTGAATGTGGGGGGGGTTGTTGGGCACAGCAAGAGTGCATGTTCAAGCTACCGGCGCGAAATCAGGGCGTGCATCCCAATCTCTCTCCATTTCGTCAAAGAAATTGTAGAAATGAGTCGCATTTGGCACCAGTTTGTGCAAACTTCATTGCCACCAGTTTGTGCTCCAGTCATCCCATATCAATCCATAATAATGATGATGTTGATGATGAAGTTTTTAGGTGTGATTATGTTTGCAGCAGCAGGAGTAGCTGTAGCAGCAGGAGTGGAGAACATCAAAATCAGGAGTACTAGTAGTAGTAGTAGTAGTACCCCGGCTGGGTCGGCTAGGAACCAAGACCTTGTGGTAGCAGAAGAAGAGATGCAAAGAGCAAACTACTTTGCGTACGTGATGCTCATCCACATGGGTCCTCCGGATTTGTTTGGGGGCGGCAACGTTACATTCTTGATGCCCAATGACAAAACTCTGGCGGCCTCCAACGACAGCATCAGCAGTGGGGTGGTATCGGATTTCTTGCAACGGCATTCGATTCCATCGGCTTTGATGTTTGAAGACATGGAACACATCCCATCAGGATCCATCTTGCCAACCTCAAAACCAGGCCTGATTCTGCGGGTGAACCACAAGGGATCAGGGAGGCGAAGCTTGTACCTCAACAACGTGAGGATCATCAGCCCAAACATATGTAGTAGCCAGGGAGCATCAATCAGGTGCCATGGCATTGATGGAGTCATCCAACCTGAATTCCTCCCAACAGATCAAGACGGAGGAGGTACAACAACCCCTCCTCCTGATCAGTGCAGCAACCAGAATGATAATGATAATAATAGTACTAAAAGTAGGCCAACTCCTCCTCCAGCAGCAGCAGCGTCGCCACCACCAGAAAGCCACAACAACAGTGAGTCAGCACCTCCAGCGGGTACAGCTTCAGGGGCGGCTTGTAGTGGTTATGATCGACATCAACTTGTGATCCTCCTCCTGCCTCTAGCCTGCTGCTGCTTCTTCTTCTTCTGGGTCTAAAAAGTGTAATAATAACAAATAACAAACAATAATTCCGTGGCTGTACTGTTCCTTCAACTTTGTGTCTTGTGGGGAGTGCTTACTAATTACATTATTATTATTATTATTATTAATATTATTTAGTGCATGATAATGAATTGAATTTCCGAAGGATGCAGTCAGCCAAACACATGTTGACACATTTCACAAGTGTGTTCTTCTAGACTACTCATTAAAAATTGATTACCATCACAAAACATGTCACACTCGTTATTATTTGTTATAATGAATCCATGTATATATTACTGAATTAATAGAGTGATCCCATCCCACATTAGTCTTGTTTCTATTATCACATTGAAAAAGAAATAATAATAACAATTAGACGGCTTTACGAATTATAATATACCAGAACCTGAAGGGAGGAGATGGGATGAGGAATTGGTAATAACCAAGGCAACAATGTTGACAGCAATAACCAAGGCAATAATCGCCAAACTTTTAGCCATTCTCATCTGCTTCGATTTTCTTTCAAATTACTGCAAAAACTGTTTCTTATATATTATTATTATGCAATTATAATAAGAATAATAATCATAAAAAATAAAAAAAAATCCATATGTATTTGCCATTATTCCTCCGAAAGATGTTCATGGACCTTCTCTTTTTACAAGCCGATGAACCAGCCCAAAAAAAACTAGCCCAAATCCCACCGAATAAAATCCCACCGAAAAAGAAGAAATAAGGAAAAAGGGGAAAAAAAAAAAAAATTAGAATGAAAAACCCTACAAAAACCCTGAAACTTCTTCCCCAAACCAAACCTCAATAAAAATTGGGGATTGCTATTTGATGCTTATTTAGCAATCTCCAATCCTTCATCATATTTTAACCCCATTTTATTTATCTTGCTGCAAACCCTGAAGAAACTAATTCCTTATGGCCAAGAACTATGCTGCTGGTTTGGCTGCCACCATAGCTGCTGCTACTGCTTCTACTTTCCGAGTTGAAACCGCCTTCTGCGACGCCAACGTCGGTGGCGGTTCCGGCGCCGGCGGCCTCCCCTTCAAGTTTTCTCCTTTTTCTCCTTCCACCAATCCCAATAATTCAACTCCGACCGCCGCAGCCAATGCTGGATTCGCCAACAATTCGCCGGCAAATCATCCCGCTAATGCTACTCCGCCGGCGGAGCCCGCCAAAAATAAGCCTCGAAATGATAACCCTAGAACCACTGCCGCTGGATTTGATCCGGAGCCGTTAGAGAGAGGTCTTGAGACTCTGGAAATAATTAATCGTTCTAAAGATCCTAGCAAGGTTAATTCTCTATTTCTTCCTTCTTGTTCCGCGGCTTTGTTTCAAGAATGTGATTTTTTTATTTTTTTTAAATTTTTAATTATGAAGTATTGAAGTTAGATATTGTCCGTTTGGAATTTATGGCTTGGCTTAACCAGAATTTGATCTATTTTGGCTCTTTCCCATTGCTTTCAAGTACAAAACTCTAAGCTCCTCACTGTATCGCAGCCTGGCTGAGGCCCTCCATGGCTGTCTGTTCCGAGACGGAATTATGTATGTAGCTAACTATGATCCATATATATGCCACTTCACCTAGCGGACAAAGCCTTAGTTTTAGTCGTCTTTGCTTTTGTAGCTATTATGCAATTGTTTCGTGGATGGGCTTTATCAATTTTGGATGCTTTTCTCATTTTCAGGAGACTGAATTCAGTAACGAAATATATTCCACATATTCCAATTCACCCAGTGGGATAAAGGCTTAGCTTTTTTGTTTTTGTTGTCATAGTTGTTATGTAACTGTTTAATGGATATGTTTTAAGGATCATCTGCATCCTATTTCTCATTGCAGACATTTAAAGTAGTACTGAAGCAAGAAGAGACCAAGCAGACCGAGTTGGCTGCCAAAACAGCAGAGTTTAAAGTGCGACAAGCTGAAGCAGAAACTGTAAGATTTTGTGTCTTCCGTGCTTATTTGGCTGTAATGTGAGCAATTAGGAGGTAGATTTGGTGTTGTTTGGGGTTTGAATAGAAGGGACTGTTGGGGCGGAGAATCTGACTTTCTAGTCCTGCAGGAGAGGCAAAGGGTTGTGTTCGAGGAACAGAGGAAACTTTCCCAGAAGCAAGCTGAGAATAAGGCTCAGATTGCCAAGTATGAGGATGAATTGGCTCGCAAAAGGCAGCAGGTAAACAAACCATGGTGTTGTTTTATATTCATCTTGCAATATTTTTGTATCTTGTGGCAAGGTTTATGCTATTGTTGATGCCCACAGGCAGAAAATGAACTGCAAAGGGCCAGAAATCAAGAGCTAGTAAAACTGCAAGAGGAATCATCTATGAGACAGGAAGCCGCGAGGCGAGCATCAGAAGAACAGATTCAAGCACAGCGTAGGCAAACAGAGCGGGAGAAGGCTGAGATTGAAAGGGAGACTATCAGGGTTAGGTCCATGGCCGAAGCAGAAGGAAGAGCTCACGAAGCAAAGCTTGCGGAAGAGGTCAACAGACGCATGTTGGTCGAGCGTGCAAATGCAGAACGGGAAAAATGGGTGGCTGCCATCAACACAACTTTTGAACATATTGGAGGTTAATTTTTTTCCTTTTCAGTTTACCTTTCTTGGACCTTTTTCTAAATTTGCATTCACCTCCAAGTTAGATAGTTGCTGCAGATTGCTTTTGTACCTATTATATGCTTTTTGGCATAAGTTTCCTTTATGTTTTGTGATAGTTGAGATCAAATTATTTATGACTGGCTACATACTCTTCCCATGCAGGGGGTTTAAGGGCCATTTTAACTGACCAAAACAAGCTGGTTGTAGCTGTCGGTGGTGTAACGGCCCTTGCTGCAGGAGTATACACAACAAGGTAATGAATTCAGCATTGATAACGAGAATAATCGTCAGTGCCGGGTATTATATCATTGGCTTTGCTAAATTGATGTATCGGTTGGCAGTTTTGTCTTTTGCCCGAGAATACTCCATACGCAACAGTACTAAAACCGTGAATGAATTGCTATGCGTGGTCTTTTATATTGAAGTTCAGACTAGATTGGGGTTCTTTGTTTCAGTTTGGTCCTTTTACCTATATGATGTGTTGTAGAATGTGGTTGAGTGACCCAGGCTTGGCATATGCACGTGAGACAAAAAAATTTCTGCAAGTTTATTTTCATATATCTTTTATTGTCGTCATCTCCGGAATATCCTTATTTCCCTCTGGCCAGTATGGTGTGTTTTATGCTAACTTCTTTGGCTGTGTTTTGGCTGGTGAAGTTTCATTCAGCCGTTTCTAAAATTTTGTAAATGGCATATCAAAGCTTCCTATACCACTCTGATGTTGCAGTTGGTCCTTTTTCTTTCAATTGCAGAGAAGGAGCAAGAGTAATCTGGAGTTACGTAGACAGAATACTAGGGCAGCCATCATTAATTAGAGAATCTTCCAGGGGAAAATACCCTTGGTCAGGCTTGCTTTCACGTTCTATGACCTCTCTTTCTCGACGGGGAGTTGATAAAAACTCTGGCAATCAAAATGGAAACGGCTTTGGTGATGTTATTCTGAACCCTTCTCTTCAAAAACGAATTCACCAGTTGGCAAGTGCAACTGCAAACACCAAATCTCATCAGGCACCATTTCGGAATATGCTATTTTATGGTCCTCCAGGAACGGGGAAGACAATGGCTGCTAGAGAGCTTGCTCGCAAATCTGTATGGGACCTTCTTTTCCCTTTTCCTCCTGCCACTATTTATTCACTTACTTCTTAAACAGAAGCTCATTTGCTTTGTTTGCTACGATTTGCTCATAAGAATTAGCTATTATATCTGTAGTTGAACTCTAATTCAGCAACTTGAAAGAACATACCTTAGAAATGATGTCTTATCTTTATGTTAACCTGGACTTCAACTCCTTTGTTCTGCTGTAACTGTTGACAATTGTTTTATTATTTAGGGCCTCGACTACGCATTGATGACAGGAGGAGATGTTGCACCACTGGGTGCACAGGCAGTTACAAAAATACATCAGCTGTTTGATTGGTCGAAGAAGTCCAAGAGGGGTTTGCTGCTTTTTATCGATGAAGCAGATGCTTTTCTGTGCGAGTAAGTAAAATCTCAGGTCATTTACACTTGTAAACATTAACTTTCGAAATAGTTGATGCTTGCTTAGCATCTGGCAACTGGCATTAGTTACTTTAGTGGTAGTGGAAATTATCTTTCTGTCCCCTCCTGGCATGGTCAGAGGCAGGTTTCTAGTTTTTTGATTGTGTTACATTCTTTATTGGTAAACAGTAGTAAAACCGTGTTCGGAATAAACACTAGTATATGCAACTTCTTTGTGAGAACATGGTTCGCTCCTTTATTGTCCCAAAACGCGGGGATGCCAAAAATTGTTTTCAGTCTATATAGTCTCCTGCTTGTTTACGAATGTTATAGGAACTGATAATTTGAAGTTTATGCTCTTTGTCGTAATTCTCAGGAGGAACAAGACATATATGAGTGAAGCCCAGCGGAGTGCTCTTAATGCGCTACTGTTTCGCACTGGTGACCAGTCCAAAGACATAGTTCTTGCACTGGCAACTAACCGTCCAGGCGACCTTGATTCTGCTGTGGCTGACCGCATTGATGAGGTTCTAGAATTTCCTCTTCCCGGCGAAGGTGAACGTTTCAAGATGCTCAAATTATATTTGGATAAGTATATAGCTCGTGCTGGGGAGAGAAAACGGGGCCTGTTCTCGCATCTCTTCCACAAGCAACAACAGACGATAGAGATCAAGGGATTGGGAGATGACATATTAAGGGAAGCTGCTATGAAGACGGAAGGGTTCTCAGGAAGAGAGATCGCAAAGTTGATGGCAAGCGTACAAGCTGCCGTATATGGCAGCGAGGACTGCGTGTTGGATCCTAATCTTTTTAGAGAGGTTGTGGATTATAAGGTTGCTGAGCATCAGCAAAGAAGGAAGCTGGCTTCTGATGATGTTGATGTTGATGTTGATGGTCAACATGCCTCTGCTTAGAGGAGGAAGTTATATGTAATTTTTTGTCAGGGAAAGGAAAAGGAAAAAGAAACCCTTGGAGCCCTGAATTTTGGTTCTGAGCTGTCAGTTCATATATAGCTATGTTCCCCGAGAAAATGCATTCGTTCTGTTAAAGAGTTCTAGGCCTTGTTTAATCAAATAATCAAATATTGCTCAGCCTCTAATGTTGCTAATCTTGCTTTCTCTGATTGCAATTCCGCATTCCCCAAGGAAAAACTTTCAGAATGTAACTACAAGCAATTTATTTCCTTTCATCATAACTAAAACTAAAAGAAGAATCAATTATGTTCAACTCTTTTTTTCTTTTTCTTAAAAGATAATTAATGCTGAACTCTCTATAGTGCTGCAAAAGCTTTTATTGATCAAGCTCCAAAATTAACAAATAGCAGTGAACCAAGATCAAAAGTAAACTTGGAATAAGCCAAAAATCGGCATTCATGCCGTATACATGGCAGCTTTCACAGTGTTTAAACATCATACAGCATAAACATGAAGGGTAGATAGTCCTTTGCAAAAAACAGGAACAATAGACCAACTCGCAATCTAGTGATGGTGATAACCATGATCCTGAACATAGCGTAAACCACAATACTTGCATACAGCTGGTGCATCCAGATCAAGACATATGAATTCAATAGGATGTCCAAGCGCAGGATTACTGTCTGCATTGTGAGAAAGATTTGATATATTATAAAATACTGAATCTCTAGGAGCACAAAAAGTTGCTGAATCTGCACATTGTGATGATCAAATGGTCGCATTCATTGATAAATGAGAAGCAACAAAAAGAACAGAATGAAGAAAATCGAAGCAAACTGACCTCCTTCGCAACAAACAATTCTGCCTTCAACCTTAATAGGTGGAACTTCATTGATCAATTCCATCGGAGACTTCCGACTGGTATCCTGCAACCGGAGCATCAACGTGTAAAGGGGAAGCAATTGCAGTACAAGTAAAACGCGATGAGACAAGTTTCATTTTCGGCATGGCAGCATGAAACTAAAATAACAACAAGGCTAAAAAGAAACACGCCGAGAAACATGAACACGACATGGTCCAAAGAGAAAGCAAGAACAATCTTTTATCCCACTACATGTTGATCATATGTCACCATCATACTTGATCAACACATATCTTCATGTAAATTCAAATTAATCAAGTCTTCTAATGCTCCCTCCGGTCCTAAGGCATAAATTTGAATTAAGTTGTGTTAAGTTGCGCCTTATAATTAGGACCAGAGGGAGTAGTTTCTTTCCAAGGCATTTAGCATCGGCTAATTCTTATCTAACCAACATGAAAGCATTAAAAGAAACTGAACTCTAAAAGGGTAAAATATCAGGAAAATGATTAAAAAAAAGGCTCAATGATTTCAAAATGCACTATTCTAGACGAAATTATAATTACATATTCTGGACTCATTCTCTCTCGTATCATACTGATAGCTGATTTCCTAGGAGATTACTGCATTATACCAGGTTAGGGAATTGTGACAACAGATTTCTTCAAAGATCTGAAGGATTTGGGACCCAATTTCAGGTAGGTGCGCACTATTGTCTGGAAGAGAACTTAAGTGCCTAGATGCATACAAGAACATTCCGAATTGGTAACCCAAGATGCATCTTGGAGAGTTATTAAAGCGCACTACAAGGGTGTTTTGATCCAGAGTTCTAACGGAAATCATAATACCGTTTCTATGAATGATTCTTTTACATTCCAAGTAATCTACAAGGCCTATACAGAAAAGATATTCGTGGGATACAAAAAAAAAAAAGAAAAAAAAAAAAAAGGAATCCCAGTTGAGATGAGCCAAGTTCTATAATTAATAACAAACAAATAACCAACAAAGACCCTAGTAGATGAACAGAGAAAGTGACACGAAGAAGATTTTAAAAAAGATCCAAACTATTTATCGGGAAGTAGGGATCGGAATGTCAACAATTATCGGAGCCACGACGCAGGTACCCTAAGAACAGATAGAAATTGAATGAAGTAATTGGGAGGGATTGAAGGATGCATACCTGCATCCATTTTGCGGTGTGAGAGGTGGTGATCTCCGTCCTCACAGAACCATCTCCGGTGAGACTACCGGTTGTTAAAGCTCGCCTGGCTACAGAATCAGCAGCAGCAGGAATGACGGGAGAGGAGGAGGCTGCCGGTCTAAAAAGGGTTTTCCACAGACCGGTGGCAAAAGTTGCTCCATTCCTGATTCTTCCGGCCATCTCTTTTCTTTCTTCCTGTCCTATGTATCGCCCTAATCCCCAAATCAATATTCCCGAACTACTGTAAAATATAATTTGTGGAATTTAGCGATAGTGGAAACTGGAAAGTATTAGGAAAAAAAAAAACAAAAAAAAACAAAAAAAAGCAATATCAGTATCGCGGCGAAATGCAAATAAAAAAAACAAACATAAAATAAAAATTACAACTTAACCCCCGAATTTTGGTACGATTTACATGAGTTTTGATAATATTACCTTATGCCCCTTTGACTGATAATTAACCTACCAAATAACCTCATCGTCAATTTTGTGTAAACGGCTAAAGATACCTTTCAATCAATGCTTTTTAAATTATACCATTTATAAATGTTTTTAAAATATATAAGTATATTAATGCACTTAAATAAATTTTTGAAATTAACTATATCAATTTTTTTGGAATAAAATAATCTTCAATAATTTAATTTGTTTTTGAAGCATGCCAAACTTATATTATTAATTAATCATGAATTAATTTTCATTTAGCAACTTCTGTTATAACTAAATGTAAAAATGATAGATTGAACCATTTCATCTTTAATGGCAAAAAACAAGAAAGACAAACAAAAAAAAAGTAAATGAAGTACATATGTAAAACCATGCTCAATTTCGTCATTTCAGTGTTCAATTCATGCTCGTGGGGTATATGGAAGTACTAGATATGTACCCAGTCATTGCCCTGCTACTTACACACAATATTATAAAACTAACTATACAAAGTGATAACTGTTTTTGGTGATTTAAAAAAGAAGTTGCAGATTTAAGGGTTTATTTGGATTTGAATTATGGTGAGGGTTAAGGTTAGAAGTGGATGAGATGGTCGAGTGGAGGAGGTTTCCGATGCGAAGAAAGGAAGAAAGAAGTGCGGCGGCAATTTTTGTTGTGGGAGAAGGATTTAATGGAAAATAAAGACGTGGACAGATGTGGAGAAAAGGCACTTGTGGATTTTTCATCTTTTTCATCCAATGCTTGGCTGGAATTACAATGGCTCCCCCCCCTCCCTCCCTAAATTCTGTAATTGGAGGCCCTTTTGAATGTGTTGGTGAATTGAATTACTGAATTTTTAGGTAGGGAAGGTGACGATGGAGAAGGAGAAGCAGAATGCAGGATTTTTTCTTTACCTTTTTTTATATTTTTTTATTTAAAATGTTAGGAGAGCGTCTTCTCAAGGCTTTTAAAATTAATAATTTTTTTTATTAATTAAGTAAATATTTGGCCGGAATTGGCTTGATTTTTAAGACATTTTACTCAAGTCACTGGTTGACTCTTAAGGCCAAGAAATCAAGGGATGTTTTTAATATATATTCAAAAGGCGAGGGTATTTTAGATAATCGACTAAACCTTGAGGGTGTTTTTGATATTAACCCTAGTATATATTATCTCCAAGAACTAAAAAACAAGTATCAATAATTCATATTTTACTAAATATTTATAGTTATCATTATTTTTTTTGTTTTTATTTTTAAGGTATTTTTTAATTTATGGTATTGTTAGGACCTATAGATTTGTAGGAGGTTTTCTCAAACATTATTATCTTATCGTTTTATTAATTTTTTTTTCACTTTTTTGTACTAGTCCTGAGTTGGGACCAGAGAAAATTATTAATTGCTATAAATTATTAATTTAGTGACGTTCAACTGTATAGCGAAAACCATGATTTGTTCACATATGTGCTCACTTTTTTTCTTATCCACATTTAAATGGCATATATATAAATTGAAATAAATAAAAAACTTAAAATATTTTTAATTTCCGAAATAATATGACAATCTTGTCGAATTTTTTCTCATCCACATTTAAATAGTTGTATCATTTTATTTTATTTTATTTTACTTTGTAGATTTTCTTGTTAGATTCTACTTGCATGTATTAATAAATTATTTTAAAAAAAAAACTCTAAACACACTATGTCAAGAAGAAATAGTGCGTTTGGTTTGTTCATGGGGTTCACTATGATTTAGGCATGATAACAAGAAGGATTCATTATCATTATACCCATTACAACGCAGTTGTTTTGTTTATCAATTAGGTTGAGGTATTATTTATTTTTTATATTTAATTTATAGAATTAATGTACAAAAATTAATTAAAAATTTTTAAATTTAAGAAAATATTTTTATTAAATTAATGAATTTTTTTATAAAAAAATTAATTAGTTTTATTGAATCCGAGTAACCTTATTTTAATATCAAATTTAATACAAGAGTTTCCCAATTCATTTTAAAAATTAACCAATATAAATTATAATCCAATGATATTGGTAATTTAAATTTGACTAAGAAACTTTAAATAAAACTTAAGTTTTATAGTTAAGAAAAAAAATTATTTTTATAATATAATAATAAATTTATATACAATTGTGGAAATCACCATAATTGTGCAGTAAATTAGGAATAGATTTAATGTAATATTAATTAGAAACTTTAAATTAGTTTTCTAGGCTGATTACACTGCTAGAGTTTAGGATATAGTTATGTCCTTTCCTTATATATCTTGTATGGGCTCTATAATCTATATAGCTAGTACTATTGTACAAAGCTAAAAGAAACAGAAATACAGAAAAGATACTTCAGTCTTTATGGTATCACGAACCTGGTTTATTGAAGCAGGAACATAGGTGATAATAGTAAAGGGTCTACTTCCTCTCAAATGGAAGTGACTCAAACACCAATCTCGTCCCCAGGTGCAATTGATCCATCTCTTTCACTCGGGGTAGACAAACTTCATGGAAAAAACTTCCGTGAATGGTCTCAGTCTATCAAACTCGTCATTGATGGCTAGGGAAAGATGGGCTATCTCACAGGTAAGACGGCAAAGCCAACATCAATCAATATTGCTGCCCTAGAGAAACGGCAGTCAGAAAACTCTACGGTGACTGGATGACTAGTAAATTCCGTGGTGCCAAATATCAAGAAAACTTACTTGTATCTGCCATCAGCCGAAGATGTTTGGGATGTTGTATGTGAAACTTACTCCGTTGCTGAAAACTTTTCTCAAATCTTTGAGATCAAAACCCAACTTTGGCAGATGAAACAAGGAAATCGAGAAGTTACTGATAATTATGTTGACATGTGTTCTTTATGGCAAGAACTAGATTTCATAACATATGAAGAATGGGATTGTGTCTAAGATAGTGTGTGTCATAAACGTAGGATAGAAGAAGAGCGAGTTTATGAGTTTTTGGCTGGACTCAATCAAGAATTTGATGATATTCGAGGCAGAATCCTAAGCCGCCTTCCTCTCCCTTCTCTGAGAGCATTCTTCGCTAAAGTGCGGCGTGAAAAGAAACGTAGGAGGGTGATGTTAAAGGGGTCCAAACCTGCAACCATACCTCCTGAAGTTTCAGCCATGGTATCTAAGGTACCAATGAATGGGCCAAACCAGAAAAATTAACAAATGCATCTCTGGTGCGAGCATTGCCGCATATCTAACCACTCCAAGGAGAATCGCTGAGGAATTCATGGAAAACCAGCAAATTGGAAGCCTCAACAGATCCATAAGCCTCGGGGTTTCCAAGCAACAATTGAAAATTCTGGTGGTCCATCCCAAGAAGAATTGAACACTCAGCCTATGCCTAACCCCAACAGTACCTTCAATGCCAAACAATTGGAACAACTTTATCACATTTTTTCCAAGCTTCAAACTTCTGAGGCTTCATCTGCAACTCGTTCAAGTTCATTAGCTCATATACATACTTTTTTCCATGCATTAAGTGTGTTGTCTAGAGTTCTAAACCCTTAGATTCTAGACTCTGGGGCATCTCATCATATGACCTATGCATATTATTTGTTTAAATCCTACACACCTTCTGCTGAAAATGTGAAAGTTAAAATTACTGATGGCTCATATGCTCCTGTTGCTGGAAAGGGGAGTATTCGACTATCTGATTCTCTTATTTTAGAGGATGTACTCCATGTTCTTAAATTGTCATGCAGCATACTTTCTATCAGTAAAGTGTCTAACTAGTGCAAATGTGTAGCTCAATTTTTTTTCTTCCTTTGCTAAATTTCAGGAGCTATCGTCGGGGAAGACGAATGGCAGTGCTAAAGAGTGTGAAGGACTTTATTATCTCGAAACAGATAGCGTGAGCATGATAGCACAATATTCTGCAGTTGTTAGTGATTCTTCACCTAATTCTAAGGATAAGGAACTATTGTTATGGCATTATAAGATGGGTCATGCAAATTTTCGATATTTGAGAGTTCTGTTTCCTTCTTTATTTTCAATAAAAGAGTCAGTTATTACTTAATGTGAGATTTGTTAATTAGCAAAACATTATAGTGCATCATTTCCAAAATTTAGGTATAAGCCATCAAAACCATTCAGCCAAATTCACAGTGATTTTTGGGGTCCATCTTGAACTCTTAGTCGTACACAATCCAAATAGTTCCTTACATTCATTGATGATTATACAAGGGTTTCTTAGGTTTACCTATTGAAAAGTAAAGCATAAGTGCGCTCAGTTTTTACCACATTTAATTCCATGATCCAAACATAATTTCAAGCACAAATACAAATTTTGCGCACGGATAATGGCACTGAATATTTCAACAGTAGTTTGGGGAGTTATCTTCAAAACCATGGTATCATTCATCAAAGTTCTTGTGTTGACACCCCCTAACAAAATGGGGTGGCTGAACGCAAGAATAGACATCTTCTTGAAATGACCCAACCTTTATTATTTTCTACCAACATGCCTAAACTTTTTTGGGGGGGATGATGTCTTAACCGCTGCCTATTTCATTAATCGAATGCCTAGTCGTGTTCTTTCCTTCAAAACACCCTTCCAAAAACTCCAGCAATTCTTTCCTACTTAGCACCTAAATTCAAATATTTTTCCTAAAGTGTTTGGTTGTACAACATTTGTTCATGTTCATGCTCAAAATCGTAGTAAACTTGATCCTAGGTCTCTCAAGTGTGTTTTCATAGGTTACTCTGCCTCACAAAAGGGTTATAAATATTATGATCCATCTAGTCACAAAGTGTTTGTTAGTTTAACCTTCTTTGAAAACACTCTATACTTCAAGAAAACCTCGCTTCATGGGAAGACCTCAAATGATGAAGTTCGGTTTCTTAACTTTGATTTGAATGTTCCAGAATCAAGTTTCCTATTCTACATTTGAAACAAGTCCATCCCTTGACCCAGATTCAGGTCATACTCTCCAAGAAAAAAACTCAAGAAACAGGTCCTAATCTTCTTTTAAGCACTTCATCACCTATACAAGAAGACTTGATCTTTGGGGGAGTTAGAGGAATAAATGACAAAAAGGAACTACTGGTTTACTCAAGAAGGCCAAGATCAAGATACAGGGAAGATCTCACACTCGAAACACCACAAGAGTTAACCCCGATAATATCTCCGAATGATCATGAGCCATCTTTGAATCCATATAAGTTTTCTGATCATGATCTTCCTATTGCACTTAGAAAGCAGCCTTGATCTTGTACTCTTCACCCTATCTCAAATTTTGTGTCTTACCATAGTTTATCTTCTAAGTTTTATGCTTTTACTTCAAATCTTGATGATGAAAAGATTCCAATGAATATACAGGAAGCCTTAGCAATACCAAAACGGAGAGATGCTGTTTTGGAAGAAATGCAGGCTTTAAAAAGGAATGAAACTTAGGAGGTGATGGAATTACCAAAGGGGAAGAGGCCATTTGGTTGTAAATGGGTGTTTACGTTGAAGTACAATACTAACGGGACAATAGAGCGTTACAAGGCTCGTCTCGTGGCGAAAGGATTTACCCAAACCTATGGCATTGACTACACAGAAATTTTTGCACCAGTAGCAAAGTTAAATACAGTCCGAATTCTACTGTCATTGGTTGTAAATCTAGACTGGCCTCTTCATCACCTGGACATCAAGAATGCATTTTTTAATGGGAATTAGAAGAGGAAGTAGTCATGGCAATACCACCTGGTTTTTCCGATGGAAAGAAATGAAAAGTATGGAAGCTCAAGAAATCTCTGTATGACTTGAAGCAATCACCTAGAGCATGGTTTGACAGGTTTGCAAAGGTGATAAAGAGACATGGATACCAGCAAGGGCAATCAGATCATACTATATTTGTTCATCACTGCAAAGATGATAAGAAGACAATTCTTATTGTGTATGTAGATGACATAATTCTTACTGGAGATGATCCTCTAGAAATAGACAAACTAAAGAAAGTCTTGGCCAAAGAGTTTGAGGTGAAAGATTTAGGAGAACTGTGATACTTTTTAGGAATGGAAGTCGCAAGGTCACGAAAAAGAATGGTTATCTCCCAAAGAAAGTGTGTGTTAGACCTCTTTGTTGAGACTGGTATGCTTGGTTGCAAACCAAGTGACACACCTGTTGAATCCGGAAAGTGACCTGCAGATGAAGGTGATCTAGTTGACAAGGATAAATATTAACGACTTGTTGGGAAGTTGATTTACCTATCACACACTAGACCAGACATTGTATTTGCTGTGAGTAGAGCAAGTCAACACATGCATTCTCCGAAGGAAGTTAATCTGCAGGCTGTCTACAAGATACTTAGGTACTTGAAAGGCTCTCTTGATAGGGGCTTATTCCTCAAGAAGAATACAAATAGGCAGATAGAGGGGTTTACTGATGCTGATTATGCAGGATCAGAGGATTTCAGGTCTACTACTGGATATTGCACTTTTGTATGGAGAAATTTAGTGACTTGGAGAGGTAAGAAGCAAAGTGTTGTCTCTAGAAGTAGTGTTGAATATGAGCTTAGGGCTGTTGCACAAGGATTATGTAAAGGACTTTGGATAAAGAAATTGTTAGAAGAGCTTAAGATGGATGTAGAAGTTCTCATGAAGCTCTACTGTGATAATAAATTAGTCATCGACATGTCCCATAGCCCAGTTCAGTATGATAAAACTAAACACGTGGAAGTGGATAGACATTTCATAAAGGAAAAAGTTGAAGGAGGTATCATTTGTATCACTTATGTTCTAACAAAAGATCAAATTGGTGATACTCTCACCAAATGATTACCTCGTTCACAATTTGAGGATTTCTTATACAAGTTGGATCTTATCAACATCTACCATCCAACTTGAGGGGGAGCGTGGAAATCACTATAATTGTGCAGTAAATTAAGAATAGATTTAATGCAATATTAATTAGAAATTTTGAATTAGTTTTCTAGACTGATTACATTGGTAGAGTTTAGAATATAGTTATGTCCTTTCCTTATATATCTTGTATGAGCTCCTCTATATAGCTAGTACTATTGTACAAAGCTAAAAGAAACAGAAATACAGAAAAGATACTTCAGTCTTTAATAATATAATATAGAGAAAACAAAGAGTTGAAGAAAAAAATATTGAAAAAACGGGAATTAGATGAAAATCCGATCTCTTTGTGAGTTTTCTATACAATTGGGTATTAATCCATTCCTAACAATTCAAAGTCATTCCCTCATTCCCAAACCCACCAACCAAACACCCCTTTTGTTTTTCCAACTTTGAAGTTTAAGAACTGAGCCATTGACCCGTCAAACAACCAATATCGCGTATCTCTCTTCCGCCGTCCTCCTCCCTCTCCCCCTCCCGGTATAAAAAAAATTAGGGTTCGTTCATACGGGCAGCCGACGGTGGCCAAGACGACGTGGGGAAGAATTAGAATTCCATTGGAGAGAGTAAAAGGTGAAGCAAAAAGAGATGGCCAAATATAACGTAGTACTGAAGCAGAAAAGGGCTGCACAGGCTGAGCAGAAGAGAGCCAAGTACGGCGACCCAGTCTCCAACAAGCTTACCCAGAAGAGCAATCCTAACTACCCTCTCCATTCCGTCTCCGGCAAGCGCAAACGCAAACTTTTCAAGAAGTGGCGTAGGGTCGGTGACGTCATCATTTCAACCCCCTGTCTTTTCTTTTTTCTTTTCTTTTTTTCTTTTTTTTTGGTTTTTTTTTTTGTTTTTAAGAATAATATTATGGTATTAGGGCTTGCTAGTGTGATTAATTTAATTTAATTTTGTTTGTTTGTTTGTGTGGTTGATGGTGGAAAGTAGGAGCAGAAGGAGGCGTTGGCCAAGGGACTAGTCACCATGCAAGATGTGGAGATGGCTGTCGCTGATGGTAATTTCCTGTGCACATTTATGTTGCTTTTTGCAATTTCTATGAATTCGACTGTTTCTGTATTTCCTGCGGAGAGTTAAGTCTTGTTCAGATTGTAGATGTTGTTTTTTAAGTATCATTAGAAATCTTACAGTGTCCTAAATTTAAATGTGAGTTTAGCCAATTTTAGTTTACAAATTGAAATACGATTTAGGTGGCGGTTGAATTTACGGGTGAGATGTCTTTTGTGATGCTCCATTGATGCATAATAGAGAGAGTTTCAACTCAGTTACTCCAAAACTGTAACTGGCCAAGACCTTTGAAGCTTTGAAAGAAATTACAAGACACTGTCGAATTATGACCTATAACCTGTCTCATTTAGTGACATCGAACAACTGTATTTTGATGGTTTGGTGGTAATCAAAAGCATGAGTGATGTTGGACTTCTTCATTTAGTATTTGGTGACTGTTTTCTTTTTATCATGATTCATGTGTTGGAAAGAAATTACCAGACACTGTCGAATTATGATCTATTACCTGTCTCATTTAGTGAGATCGAACAACTGTATTTTGATGGTTTGGTGGTCATCAAAAGCATGAGTGATGTTGGACTTCTTCATTTAGTATTTGGTGACTGTTTTCTTTTTATCATGATTCATGTGATTGATCAAACACTAATTCGGTTAGATTTTTTTTTTTTTCACACATGTGCATCAAGATTCCAACTGATTTCAGTATTTGAGAGTTATTCATTTCTGTTCAGTTAGTTTCTTTATGGAACTTAATTTGTTGACCATTTTCTGCATTCTTGAGTTGATGTCCTTCATCTATATTAGGAGGGGCTTCCAAAGATGCCACCAAGTCTTCTATCAAGTTTCACATGAAGAAAGCTCCAAAGCTCAAATCAAGGCTTTCCAAGAAAAGTGGTGTGTTCATATGGCTTTTTTTAATCCTTTGTCCTTTTTGTTAACTTTGTTGAATCCCCTTATTTTAAAGACTAATGTAGATGGATCATTTGCTTTGCCAGAGATCAAGCACAGAAGAAAATTTGCCGGCCAAGTTGCTGAATCATCATCATCATCTGCCATTGCCATGGAGGAATAGAGAATAGATGCGATGCTCATATTAGAGAATAGATGTGCACTCAAATCTTTGTTTCTGTTTTATCTCAGTTTTATATTTGTTATGAACTTGCATAAGGTTATGGTATTGGTTGGAAGCTAAGAAAATATTATTTGGCTTCTACAATTTTGATCACAAGAAAAAAAAGACCTTGGCTCCCTTCTGGTTTTGGTGAAAAATAAAAACTGAAGTCCGGAAAATAAAAACTGCCAATCTGTTAACTTGTCGTCCATGGAACAGAAGAGGTAAAGAGTAAATGTGGGGTGCAGGAACACATCCGCGCCCATCTGATCAGCAGCTGCTCTTCATCATGATGAGATGATCCTTCAACAACCCTTGTGACAAAGATAACTAGAACCCTTGAGGGTTTGACGACACTATCCCTATATTGATAGCTGTTAACTACTCTTTTGACAGAGATTACTAGAAACCAGAAGCCACTATCGCCTAAACATGCCGGAACTTTGAAGCATTCTGCAATATTCCATAATTATGGAAGAATTCTTGACCACATCCCATACTTTGGCAGAATTCTTGATCCAGTCACGCTCAGACACTATTCTTGTAAAGGATGACGACCCACTCATGGACAACACCTGGAAACAAACAGGCCAACACTAGTATGAAAATACCACTCTTTTCAATCCTCAAAATGACAGGATGGATGTATACAAAAGTGACCTGATTGCGAAGTTTCCGCAGCGCGCATTCATGGCTCTCGTAACTTGGTTTTGGAGAATTGTCTCTATTCTTTGATGGCAATAAAAACAGTTCTAGTGATGATGTTGAATCTGTGTCTCTATCACCATGATTATGGGATTCAAACCTCTTAAAATATGAAGACCTAAAATACCGATTGAGCGCTTTCTTCAGTTGCAGATAATTTTGTGGGGTAACATCTTGCTCGCGCAATCTGCAGAACAATGACAACAGAAAACCGTTACTATGACCTCATGACATCAATCCAGGAAAAATGGAACTCTAGGAAAACCCTTTTCATGTATGTGTAGAACTCACTTTGTTTGCACAAAGACTGGAGTGGCAAGATATTCTTTCCCAAACTCTAGGGTTTTATCTTTAATTTCCTTTTCCGAGACGACCAGACTGGTGCTCTGTGGGTGCGACAGGGATACCGAAGATGGTTCGGGTATACCGAGCTTCAACAAATCCACCTGCAAAATTCACAAGGCATTCCAAATCAGATGTTACTCACCATACTAGAAACTCGGATGTCAATAATGATGAAGCAACAGAATCAATGCAGTAAATACATCACCCCTCCAAAATGAAAGGTCTCTTATTCAGTGGGGTTCCGCAATTACTTAAGCAGGTGGAAGATGTAAAAGTTTGTGGGAGAGAAATGGATACCGTTGACATTAGGCGCCACATACTAAGATCATGAACTCCCTCTGATACCACCAACACAACATGACAGATTGATGCCAAGAAAACACCTAGCTAGAAGGATCCTTGCAGCATCGATCAAACAGAAATTCTGGTTAGATATTTTTTTGCTAAACTTCCACGTAAAAGGGTTATAAGATGGCAATATTAAATGTATCTAATTTTTCGCTTGTTCCTCTCTTTCAGGATTTCGGCAGATACCTGAATGTTCATCAGTTCATACGCCAATTCAGCTGAAAGGGATGATTCATCACTCAGAACAGAGATAGTGGAGGAACCGTCGGGTCTAATCATCTCGGCCAGCACAGATGGACTAGATACAGGCTGTACTAGCAAAAAAAATTTCACCACTCCATATCATTAACCTCTAGTATTGCACTCGCAATGCTACACAAATAAGAATAAAAAAGAGCAGACCTGGGTATCAAGAAGTATTATGCGTTCAGATGAAACCCGGGGTTCAATGCCGATGGTACAGTGCTTGGTCATAGCTCTGGTTTCTTCTGATTGAACTGGAAATGGCGGCAACATTCCTAAAACAGCATCACCATCAATCATCATCCAAACAGTATGATAGGGTTCACCCAATTCAACAAATAGGGATGGAAGTAATAAAGGAAAATTAGTACCCACCAGGTGAGGAAGGATCAAAGCCGTAAATTTGGTTCATGATGGTGGACTTGCCGACGCCAACCGGACCAATCACTCCGACCACCATGAAATCAGTGTTGTCAGTAAGAAACTGCAACAACAACAACAAAGGCAAAATACCAAACTATTCACGAAAAGCATAATGAATAAATAAAGAAGACCCACCAAGAAGAGATTCATGGAAATCATTAAAAAAAAAAAAAACAAACAAACATGATAGTAAAAATAGTAATACTATAAGAAAAAGGTAAGTTAAATTGGTAGGTTAGTAACTGACGGGGAGGAAGCGATCGGGGTTGAAGTCCCAAGAATCGGAAAGGAGGTTAAGGGATCCGATGGAGGGCGGACGGGAGCGTGAAGCGGCGGCGGCGGCGGAATCGTCTTCTGCGGCTCCACCAGCAGCAGCGCCCGCAACAGAAGTAGGTAACCCTCCTCCAGGTCGATTGACAAAAGCGGGAGGCTTAGCAAGCAAGATTTTGGGAGCATTTCCCGGTCCCCCACCAGCCATTGTATTTCTGATTATCCCTTGGAGATTCGTCCAGCTCCACTTTCTTCTCTTCAAACCCAAAGATATATATATATCTATATATATATATATATATATTTTTTTTTTAATCTTTTACTTCTGTATTTTTCTGCTCTATATTTTGTATGTTTTGGTGGTCTTTTATTTATTTATTTATTGTTTTTAGAGACCTTAATATTCTATTACAGTATAATTTTTTCTTCTTTTTTTTTGGCTTTCTTTGTCCAATTATCTCCTTCTCCACTCTAAAATCAAAGAAAGAGAAACCCAGTTCAGAATCTCCCATTGCTCTACTCTGTTCCAATCCTGGAAGGCTGCAACTCCCGCCAAAAGGGGCTCAGACCTTTATATTTTCTTCATCCATCCCTTTTTCTTTTTCTTTCTTTGATGGTAACGGTTACTAGTAAACCTTTCGACTACTCAAAATGGAAGCTCTGAAATCCCCTTTTCTCAGCTCTGTTCCTCTAAAATTTCAATCCTGGGAAACTACCAAAACCCCCAGACCCAAACCCGAACAGGAACCCGGTTATACGTTCTTCCCCCGCTGCTCCTCCTCCTCCTTGAATGTCACCCCAGACCCATGGACGCTCAGCTCTGGCAACACCAACAAAACCCGCTTAAATAAACCAAAACCCAAGTCCAGAAACCCAAAGAACCCACTTTCGGACGACAACGCCCGGAGAATCATCAAGGCCAAAGCCCAGTACTTGGGGCAACTCAGGAAAAACCAAGGCTCCATGGCCCAGACTCCCAAGTGGATCAAACGTACGCCTGAGCAGATGATGCAGTACTTGGATGATGACAGGAATGGACACTTGTATGGGAGACACGTAGTGGCTGCCATCAAGAAAGTCAGGAGTCTATCCGGGTTGCCTCGTGGATCCTATGATATCAGGCAAGTCATGGCTTCCTTTGTTGCTAAGCTTACTTTTAGGGAGATGTGCGTTGTGTTGAAAGAGCTCAAGGGTTGGATTCAAGTGAGGGACTTCTTTTTTTGGATGAAATTGCAGGTATGTTTTTTTTTTTTTTTTTTTTTAATTTATGAAATAGAGAAAATAGATTATACTTTATAAATACTTTCCCTTTTTTTGGTTAACTTTGGTTTTGCGTGGTGTGTATCATGATTTTATGACTGTGTTTTGTGTTAGTCATTTTGTGTATCTTTTTTTCAACAGAATATGCTAAACAGACCTTATTATTTTGCCTGTGGCAATTAGTATTTTTTAAGCTTTTGTTTTTGGCTTTCCTATATTGTTCACGTATTAATTTGGTGTAACATTAGATGGTATGATTAAACAGCTAAGCTATCGGCCTAGCGTTATTGCCTACACTATTGTTCTTCGTGCCTACGGCCAAGTTGGGAAAGTCAAGCTTGCCGAGCAGGTCTTCTTAGAGATGCTTGAAGCTGGATGCGAACCAGATGAAGTTGCTTCGGGAACCATGTTGTGTGCTTACGCTAGATGGGGGCACCACAAGGCCATGATGTCCTTTCATTCTGCTGTAAGGGAAAGAGGCATAACGCCCTCACCTGCAGTCTTCAACTTTATGCTGTCTTCTTTACAGAAGAAATCACTTCACAAAAACGTTTTGGAAATTTGGAGGCACATGATGGATGATAAGGTGGTTCCTGATCATTTCACTTACACGGTTGTCATTTGTTCATTAGTGAAAGAAGGTCTTGCAGATGAAGCTTTCAGGAACTTTGCTGAAATGAAAAATTTGGGATACGTGCCTGAGGAAGCAACCTACAGTCTTCTTATTACGTTGAGTATAAAAATTGGGAAAAATGCCGAAGCTTTAGACCTCTATGGTGAGATGAGATCACATAAAATTATTCCGAGTAATTTCACTTGTGCCTCCCTTCTGACATTGTACTACAAAAGTGGGGATTATCCGCGAGCTCTTGCTCTTTTTAATGAAATGGTAAGGTACGGCATTGTTGCTGATGAAGTCATTTATGGATTACTTATAAAAATATATGGAAAACTCGGTTTGTACGAGGATGCTCGAATGGCGTTTGAAGAGACACGGACTCTAGGCCTGCTAGTTGATGAGAAAACGTATACTACAATGGCACAGGTCCATCTCAATTTTGGAAATGTTGATAAAGCTTTGAGCTTGATTGAGGAACTGAAGTCAAAAAACATTTTGTTATCGAGGTTTACACTGCATATCTTGTTGCAGTGCTATGTCATGCTAGAAGATGTAGCTTCTGCTGAGACCACATTTCACGCCATATCTAAGACTGGATCTCCACAATGTTCCTCTTGTAATGTTATGATTAATCTCTTTATGAAGCTTGATTTGATGGACAAGGCAAGGGAGTTCATTTTGCAGATCCGGGATCACCAAATTGAATTTGATGAGTTGCTTCTCAAAACAGTCATGAGGGTTTATTGTAAGGAGGGCATGCTCACTGAGGCGGTGAAATTAACAGAAGAACTTAGCAGAATTGAGCCGTTTGAGAAGAGTACATTCGTCCAGACATTTTTGTTGGCAGTGCAAGATGGAAGACGAGAAGCTGAGATAATCTCTTCTTTGCCCTCTGAAAAAATAAACCTACTCGCACTTGAGCTGATTCTTGACCTCTATATTGAGACAAAAGATTTCGTGGAGGCGGAGAGAATTTTTAAGCTGTTGCTAGGCACTTCCAATGGTTTGTCAGTAGCCAGCCAGCTTATCACAAAATTTTGCAAACAAGGCAAGTAGCCGTGTGGCATTCTTATGTATTGACAGAAGCCATATTTGTCCTAACACTACTTTTATTTTCCTGTTCTTTTTTTCTTGGTGCACTTTTAGGTGATGCGAGGAAAGCAGAGTACTTGTTTCATCTGCTGATTGAGCAAGGGCAACAAGCAGAGGATGCCGCTTGTGGATCTTTGATTACTTTATATGGCAAACAGCAGAAGCTGGAAGACGCCCAGAAATTCTTTGCAACAGTGGCAAAATCCTGTCAAGGACGCACAAATCTGTACAGATGGATGGTTGCCACTTATATCAAATGTCATAAAGTTGATGAAGCGTATTTGTTTTACAAGGAAGAAATTCAGGAAGGAAACGACTTTGGTCCTGTTGCTATCAGCATGCTTGTGAATGCATTGGCCAATACTGGTAGATTTTGCAATACTTCTTTTCCTTCTTTCAATAAACATAACATCGGGTGTTTTGAATTTTTAAAGTGAGTGATAGTATCTTTGGAAGCAGCTGCTTATCCTTGCTGAACTTTAATCTTGATTTCTAAACTTTTGCAGGCAAGTTTCGGGAAGCAGAAGATGCCATTCATAAGAGTTTTCAATCTGGTTTGAAGCTTGACACTGTGGCTTTTAATACTTTCATCAAAGCTATGCTTGATGCAGGTTTGCTCGTCCCCTTCTTTTGTGAACTGTGGTTAATTTTCTCTTAGAAGGATTTCACTGAAGCGGTGGTATGTCATTGTGCAGGGAAGTTACGGTTTGCTGCTAGCATTTATGATCGGATGGTTTCCCAGAACATTACTCCGTCACTTCAGACATACAACACCATGATCAGGTAATTTATTTGTCAGCATCAAAATTATGAGAAGACTTCAAACTATTTCAATGTATATAGGAGGCTTATTTTACGTTTTCTTCCTTGTCAATTCAGTGTCTATGGAAGGGGCCGGAATTTGGACAAAGCTGTGAAGATTTTTGACATTGCTCAAAGTAGGGGCATTCCTTTGGATGAGAAAGCATATACCAATATGATATGCTATCTTGGAAAGGCTGGTAATGGTTTTCTTCGCGTTGTCAACTGGAAGAGTTAATTTGTTTCTACTTGATGTGTTCTATTTTGAAACACCTAAAGGAAATTAGTTCTTTCTCCTCTTAGCGCTAGGATGCAAAAATGCTCTGAAGTTTTGATATTCCAACTGAAAATGTCTATATGAATCTTAATTAAAGCATGGTGTATTTACATATCTTGGGACTTGGGCTTTAGTGAAGTAGACAATTCATTATGTTTGACGAGAAGATTTTCCTTTTTTTAGGGTGTGGATTGTTATTTGGTGGGTGAGCTGATTTTTCCGATTCAGTTTCTGGAATTCTCTTGAATATGAACTTAACTGCGGGGGTTTTTCTTCTTTGATTTCAATTCCGCAGGTAGAACCCAGGCTGCATCATTTTTGTTTAACAAAATGCAGGAAGAAGGGATCCAACCTGGTAAGGTAGGTGGTTAATTAATACAAGTGGAGAAAATGACTGTGTAGAAAATTTTATTGAAGTTCAGGGTTCCAAATTGTGTTGGCGCAATATGTGATTCTTTTCAAAATCTTGTCTCTCACAAACTGCGATTCTAATATCGTCAATCTGATACATATATACTCTGTCTTCTTGAAGGTTAGCTGCAAAGTAATGATAAAGATATATGCCACGGCCGGGCTTTATAATGAAGTGGAGGAAATTGTGCTCAGAATGAGGAGAAACGGATGTCCCCCTGATTCTGATACCTATCTTGTTCTTATTCAAGCATACGCCAACGCATCGAAACATTTAGAAGGCGAACAGGTTATTATTGAAATGCAGAGGGAAGGAATTCAGCCTGCTTGTGCCCATTTCAATGTCGTATTGGTAGGCTACACTAGAACTGGCTTAACCAAGGAAGCTGAAAGAGTTTATGGGGAACTTGGAAAGTTAGGCTTAACGCCGGACATAGAGTGCAACCGGAGCATGCTTAGGGGTTACATGGAGGCCGGACAGGTGGAAGAAGGCATCATGTTTTTCGAGCGTGTGGGGGGTCCAAAGGACAGGTTCATGATGAGCGCGGCAGTTCACTTGTATGAGTCTGCTGGTTTGAAGGAAAGAGCTGCAGTAGTATTGAGTAGTATGAGGAGAGAAGACATTCCATTCTTGAAGAATCTGGAAGTAGGTTCATGCAGAAAGAAAATTGAGGACCGAATGATGACAACAGGTTCGTAGGGCAAACGCTGCCGCTGCAATGTAGGAAAAGAGCTGGTAGCCGGTAACGGAGGTGAGTGTGTCTGGAGATTATAATAAGCTAGCTGGGAAGTAGAGATAGCTGCAATGATGAGTTGAAGTTGCTGATATGGATGGGGGGGGGGCATGCGATTGTTGGATATTGTTTTGGGAAGTTGAGATTGGATTGCATTTGCCACAGGAATAAGAAGAAATGACAAAACTGTTTGGGGAGGTTTGGGTGAAGTCGCGACGCGAGGAAGCAAAGAGGCAGATTAGTACAGATAAGAGGGAGAGAGACAGCAACAACTGCACATGCATGTAATATGAAAAGATCCCTATCGCCAGCTTTACCTGTTATGGGATGTGGGGCAATCCTGTTGGAATGAAGAACTTCACTCAAACTTGGAATTGATTGATATAATATTAACAATTTCACAACTAGGTGACCTTCTGACAAACATGTGACTTATAGAAATTCTAATAATATAGTTAAAAGTTGATTAAATTTAATAATTGAAACTTTTGACTATGCTCATCAATTTTTAAATTTCACCTACATAAAATACAAAATATGTTACTCGTCTCATAAAAATAATTCACATTGAGGTTTGAGTTTCGTATTGTTTTTAGTACAAATTTGAAAATTTAATGTGGACTATTTTTTGTAAGACAGAGGTAAATTATGTGTATTTTCTTTTGGGCTCAATAAGGTTTGAATTTCGGTGAGAAAAAAAAAGAAATTCGAGTTAATTCAAATGAAAGCGAAGAGAAAAGAAAAATTTATAACTTTTGGGAAGGAAAAATAAAATCTTCTATTATAAATTATGAAATATTTGCATTTATTTTTAAAGTCAACATATTTAATTTTTCTCATCATGTAAATTATGACTTCTTCCATATTAATATCATCAGAATATTACTATCATTTTATGCTACATTGAAATAGAAATATAGATTTTAATTTTTGAATTTTTTAAAAAAAAAAGAGATTTTATTTTAGAAGTTAAAGCCATGTCTATGTTGTCGAATTATAATGCCCAAATTTACAAATATTGCCTACTTTATTAATGGTCCACTCTACAATGCTCCTAATCTAAATTCTCTATTAATTATTTTATCTCACACCATTTTCCCATTTCAACCAGGAAGATAATAATATTTGACACTGTAAAGGTGACATTATGACTGAGATTTTTTACACACAAATTGAAGATGATTGTGAGGATTTTTATTTTTTTTTTCCCCACATTCTACACTTATTTTTTTCTTATAAGATTTTCCATTTCACGTATTAGAGTATGAACCCATATTCCCATCCTATATAAATTATTATTAACAATAAAAGAAGAAGCCCAATGTAACTCGGGCTGGCATTGGTTTAAAGCACTGGCCCAATCACTTTAAAGCCGATCCGTTATGAGGCCCAGGCTTGTGAGAAGAAAATGAAAGGGGCAAAATTTACACAGAGAAGAGAAAAAGCCAGTTTGGTGGAGAGAGGGAGAGAGAGAGAGATGGCTGGGGTAGTGAGGAATGCGTTGAAGTCGATAAGGGAAAAGGGGCTCCGCAATTTCTTCGGCGAGCTCAAGGAAGAAGGCTATTTGTAAGTTCCAATCCCATTTTCTCCAGCTATTTATTTCTTTCATCTGGAGGATTTTAATTAGTCCATTTTCGTTCGTTCATGACTTTTTTTTTTTTTTTTAAATTGAGATTCGGATCCTGCTTTTTTGTTTTGATTATGATTTTTATTAAAAAAAAAATAGAAACAAAATTGGATTCATCTTTGGAAACACTTAGCTTTGATCTCTGATTAAAGATTTCGTGGCGTTTTTGTTCCTTGTCCCTCTAGTTGTTGTTCAATGCGTCGTATTGTCTCCTCTTTGTAATAAGCATTTGTTAAAGGTTTATTCATTAATATGTTAGAAAATGTAACAAGAGGTGTTTTTGTTCCCAACTCCCGAGGTATGTTTTTAGATTGCCGTCATTCATAAAGCCTTAGGGGAAAGATTTGAGTGTTTTGAGTAAGAGTGGATTGCAGATAACAACTCTTGGATTTGAGTTAGAGGAAGGATTTTCCTCCCGAAAGACTTAGTACCCTTATAGCCGTCACTTATTTTCTAAACGAGCTTTGCAGAACTATTGTGCCTATTGCAGATGTATCAGAATTATGTGTTTCTGCAGACTTGTGCATTAAACTGACTTGAGAAGTGTACTTGAATCTGCAACTTTGGAATGATTGGAGGCTGTATTCTTATTTTCATTTTTTTGGGTGCAAGGGCACACCAGCTTCATTGTATCTAATGGTGGTTTGAAATGCTTGTCAGTTACCAGTTTATTAAATTGTTGTAATCAGTCTGAACTCTGCACTTTGTTGAGGCATACCTTCTATCAATTGAGATTCCTCCATCTTTATCTAGGTGTTGCTGATTATCTATTTTTCCTTTCTTGCTTCTTTGCAGGAAATGCCTCTTGGATGGAAATCTTCTGTGAGTTGTTGAATTTTAATGTTACCGCTATATTGTTTGTTTGTCTCATGAAGACCATTTGATGCATAAACTATGGTTAGAAAGCATGTTTTGCAAGCGGTTAAGCACTTTCCTGGCTCTGGTGAACTTGAAATAAGACTTTTAGCGACTGAAAACCTGAGATTGTAAAAACTTGGCTGTGGGAGGGAGGGGGTCACGAGTTATAGCGATGCTGTGGGATGGCGGGTATATATAGCTTATGCCGTATGTGATGGATCTTAAGGCTCCGGCTTAGGTTTTAGGAAAAGTTTAACAATATAGTTAGTTTCCTTATCTTTTAGGCTTTCTATACGTTTTAGTTTCTTTGTTATTAGTTTTCAGTCACTCTTTTTGTCCTATTAGGTTTTGGAACTATCAGCTGAACCTTCTATGAGTAGAGAAGTTCTGCAGCGTTATTAGTTGTCCTGACTTTTTGAGTAATAAAAACTTTAGCTCTCGAACTCAAGTCTTTTAAATCCCTACAGCTGGGGTGTATTCCTCTCGTTCCTATAATTTGATTCAGTCCCTTGTTTCCCATCAGTATATGCCTTTGTGTTCCATGTTGAATTAACTTAGTCGGGTTTTTAAAGTTTACTAATTTACCATTTAGGTCCGTAACCGCATATGACATTTGTTTAAGAAATCTTTTTGCTTATTTTAAACATACCTAAACGTAGAGCATGCTGATTGAGAGGTGCAAAAATGTAGGCACGACTCTGCCCTTTGTTCCGATAAGAAGTTTGGTATGCTTAAGATCTTCCATCTTCATTTTTTGGCTGTCCACTCTAGATTTGCGTTGCATGTGAAACCTGAAATTCATAACCTTTCACTGAAATTTAGCAAGAAGGTCCAAAGTGGATGATTTAGCTAAAATCAAATGCGATCTGAGGGGGATGTCAGAAGTTGCACATAACATCTGTAATCTTATTGTTGACTGTTTTTTTCCTTGGCCAATGCAGGCAGACAAAGATGCAAAATATTGGTGCAACCCTTGTTGGCATTGATAAATTTGGCAACAAATACTATGAAAAATTCGGTGACACTCAATATGGTATGAGCTTCTTTACCCTTATGTTATAAATTAGAAACTTTGACTGTAACACTTCCGCTATAGATATTGTGGGCAGAAGGGCAGACATTTAGACACTATACCCTCAACCTTTTTTGTTGTTTGATTGAAATGTTATGTAGGGTGTGGAACGTGGATAGTAATCTTGCATTTTAGTCTTTGGAGAATCTAATACAGTTCAAGAAACCTCTGCTCTCTCTAAAACAGACCTGAGAGGGGTTTGCAAGATACATTGACGGAAATCTGTGACTTTTTGTCTTGTGTTTCATCCTTCAGACTCTTTCTTCTCGTTTGCTTGGTTAACAAACAGTTTCTCTTTCCTTGCATTTTTGAAGGGAGACACCGGTGGGTGGAATATGCATCAAAGGATCGCTACAATGCTTCCCAGGTCCCACCCGAATGGCACGGTTGGCTGCATTTTATAACTGATCACACGGGAGATGAGGTGAGGCCGGTCTTTTTAACCTTTTGCGACTGTTTATAGAGTGATCAATGTTGTAATAGAGAAATGATCTGATTCTGGCATGTCACTCTGCAGCTTCTATTGCTGAAACCCAGTAGATATGGGGTTGAGCACCGGGAGAACTTATCTGGGGAAGGTGATGAGTACATTTACCACTCCAAAGGGCACTCCCTTAACCCAGGACAGAGGGACTGGACCAGATACCAACCTTGGAAACCCACGAAGGCCTAATTCGGCTTTTCTGAGGTTCCAAAATGGAATGAAAGCTAATCAGAGTATTGGTTGGATGCTTCTGGCTGTTACCTTTTTGTAATAATAAATTCCTTGTCGTTATAGGAAGATGAGACTCTGTGTCAATAGTGAAGATTCATTCCTTTCCCTTGAGTGTACTTATTGATGATGATGATAATGATAATGACGCGGAATAAGCATCTGGGAGTTCTGTACCCTTTTTTTTTTCTTTTTCGGGATTTTTGTACCTTGAGCTCGGTAGTGATATAGATATAAGTTATAAAGCACCAACCAACCCGCCGCAGTAACACTCTCTCCTTCAAACATAATTGTTAATTCAATCAAGATATCAAACATAGAAGAGTTTCTTACAAGTAGTCACTCTGTACAAAACACGGAAAATATAATGCTACTTTGGATTGTAAGGATCCCTCTTCCTAAAACTGGCTAATGGCTCAAATGTTTCAGATTCTGAAGCCGAGTTCCTGAAATCAGCGTCATTCCTCCTCTGAATAACAGAGTTAGTGGACCCAAATGTGTTATCATCTGTGGATGATGCTGATGATGTTGATGACTTGATATACTGTTGCACCACCAGCACTGAAAATGTGGACTCAAACTCGGAAGTAACCAAGAGGTCCCCGATTGGGCCTAATTCGGGGCAATCACACCAGTCTGTAAGTCCTGATGTGAGTGGCGATATCACCCCTCGCCCTTTACCTACAATGTAGAGGTCATGATCTTCGTTATCCATATCCTTGATTGCATCGACGGCTTCTTCCTCGTCGTTTAACACGAGTTCGACGTATTTAACCGAGCTGTCATTGACTGTGGAAACCCTGAACTTGTTCAAGAAGTCATCATCCACGGCTTGGTCTCTTTTAGAATCGATTTCTATTTTGAATTCATCATCTTCTTCCATGAATTCTCCTGCTTCTTCTCCCATGTCGATTTCTTGACTTGGAATGAAGCGCACGACTCTCAACTCGGTATCAGGATGTTCTGCCATGCGCCACGCGTAAGCCAATGCCTCTCTATCATCGGGTCCTCCGAAGAATAACATTGCAATCCTTCTACCGTGGATTTGATTCATAGGATCAGCGAGTCCTCCCCTGTCAACTAAGATCCCAACCGTGCAAGGGGCATTCGCCATCACACTCTCGTTGACATTTTGTTCCGCCGAAGGGTTCAGGTCTTCCATGTCTTTGTCTTGTTGTCGATTAAAAGGGAGGATAATGATGGTTGCCCGTTTGTCGTTGGCAATGCTGCATATATCTTCATCCATGGTTGCATAAGGTGACCTGGCAGCAAGCACCTGAGTGTGAACACCCTCACATCGTAACTCAAAATTATCGAATGCAGATGCGATTTGATCTGTTTGAGCTTCTATGTAACTTAGATTATTTCGTGGACCTGATTTGTTGGATGTATGGACAACGAGCATGGCGGAGGCCCGGCCTGTGAGCTCAATTAAATGAAGCACGAAGATGTTAATCGGAGATCGCGGAGTGGAATTGGAAACATGAAGAAGGTTGATGATGGAAGGGACATTTTTGGTATCGTAAATACAAGCCAGAACTCGTAGCTCTTCATCAGATTTGCCTTTCTGAATGGTCCTCCGCTTGTAGGGGATCTGATTCTTGGAGGGACGATACAAGCTTATTGCTGGTGTTACCACCATTGTCATTACTAGAATGGCCACGATCATTAGTATGTAACTTTTTGGTAGCAAAGCCTGCACAATGTGTGAGTGTGTGTAAACTACAAAGCAAAAGTTACATCTATATATGGGTACATATGTACATATTATAAGAGAGACTTTTAAGCGAAATATTGTCCAACTTCAAGAATGAGAGAAGAAGAAGATTAGGATAATTTTACCCCTTGAGTGAGTCCAACTTCAAGAATGATCAAAGCTACAGTGCTCTTGGTATTGGAGAGGATTCCAACAGCCACAGCTTGACCAGGTTGTAAATCATGTAAGAAAAATACTGCAACAGCACCAATGATCTTGGCAGCAAAAGCAAAGATGATGACGAGTGCCATCTTGATCCAACTACCTGGGGAAGTACCAATGTCATCGAGGTTGGCTCTAAGCCCACACACCAGGAAGAAGATGGGCATTAAGATGCCGTGAACAAAGTCACTGAGCCGGTCCAAAAGCAGAGACTCGAGAACATCGTTGGGAATGATGAGCCCAAAAATGAAGGCACCTATCATGGGGTGTGTGCCACACACGTCTGTGATCACCCCCATGAGGGAAACTCCAGTGAGAATACAACAAATATAGTATTCACTGTAGCCTTGGCTAACAGGAGTGTTGCGAATGATCCAAGCAAGGGCAGGGCGAAGATAGAAAGTAGAGAGCAAAACCAAGGCGGAGGTGGTAATAATGATCCATAGGGGGTGGGAAACTGTGAGTGCGAATCCAATGGCTAGGAAGAACCATGAAAAGACGTCACTGAGCAAGGCAGAAGCCAAGGCAGTCTTGCCAATCTCGGTGAGTAGGATCTTTTGTTTCTCAAGAATTCGGGCGAGTACGGGAAAACCGGTAACGGATAGAGCAGCACCCCAGAAGAAGGTACCGCGGAGCCTAATATCTTCATCAGTGGACACAAAATACAAGGTGGACCCAACGACGAAGGGGATAAAAACACCAGCAACGGCCACATGCAGGGCTTGAGTACCAGATCGGGTAATGGCTCGGATATCCATCTGGAGTCCCATGAGGAAGGCGTAGAGCACCAGAGCGTAATGCGCCATCGGCTCTAACACATGCATATAGTAAGCCGGGAACAACATATTGTTGAAGACATTCAACTTGCCAAATGCTGAAGGACCTATTAGCATCCCACCCTACCAGAAATCACGTACACACACACCCCACAGTAAATTAGGTTGGGGATGTCGTATGTATCCCAAATTAATTGACACGAGAATGAATACAACAAAAACTGAATGATGATGATAAAAAAAAAAAAGAAAAGAGAATTTGAGGAAAGTTAGCATGGAATTAGTTAAATATTGAAAGGAAAGAATAACCCACCAAAATCTCGGCGACAAAAGGTGGCTGGTTAAAAGGTTTTAAAGCAACAATGAGGAGACGAGTGAACAAGATGGCAATGGTCAATTGAATGAGGAAGAGGGGCACAATAGGTGACAGCGGATTAGGGCCTTCCCATACCCCATTAAACCTGTAAATTGTGTCCGCATGGCATCGAATCTCATTGTATAGTGCCTGCAAATCAATATTTGCAGATTTATAATCCATATTTTTCAATTCCCAGCCCCCCACCTCAAAATTCTTCACCCCCCTATTTTTCTTATTTTATAGGTTTCGTTGCGCAGGGGCGAAAACCATATTTCAGGTTGCTGCCAGAAATTTAATTTTTTTAAAAGAGAGAGAGAGAGAGAGAGAGAGAGAGAGAGAGAAAGAAAGAGGAAAAGAGAGATTTTAGTTGGACGGAATTGATTGGGATTTAGCTAGCTTGCATGAATATAGGAGGAGGAGCTAGTTAGAGATTTCAGTTGTTTTATTTTTTTAAAAAAATAAAATAAAATAAAAAAATGAAGAAGGACTATATATAGTAGTAAGTATATTGAATGGAAGCCTTTTTGTTTTTGTTTTTCTTTTTTTCAAACCAAAATACAGTAATTGACATGAATTTGAGGAAATGATCACTACTCTGTCTGTATCGTATACACATTGTGCAGAATAAATTTAGAAAATATAAATATGCGCGTTATGTTTTTAGTGAGAGAACCAAAACTTAAGAAAATGTGAGCTGTGGGGATCTGAAAAATGGGGATTAAATCTTCTTGCTTTTGTTTTTAAGTAAATGTAGAATCATCATATATGATATAAACCGATGAAGAAATTTGCTTCTTTTTTTGTTTGGGTTGAATATTATGGGAAGTTGATGTGTTGGAATAGAAACCAAGAAAGAGCAGCAGCGGGGGGAGACTACGTCACCAGATTTGGAACCGCACGCATTTACAGCGCCGCTAACTCCCTCTGCAACCAAACCCAAAATTAACACCAACAAATTTTATTTTTAAAAAAGGAAAACAAAACAACCAAATTTCTCCCATCCATGGCTTCTTCCTACCCTCCGCATCAGCCTTCTACTTCCTCTTCCTCCCTCCAGGTCGGGTCTGCCTTCCGCCCCTTTACCTATTTCCCCCTCTTTTACTCTTCTTTGTTTGGATTCTGATGCTTACTTATTGTGTCAACCATTACTGTATATGTTGCAGGACCGGAACTCCAACTCCGCCGCCGGTGCTGCTGCAGAGCCTCTTTTGAATGGACTCCCCCCCTCCCGGAATTACTCTCTCCTCTCCGCCCTTCTTTCGTCAGTAACCTTCCTTCCTACCTAACCTCTCTTTTCTCTACTGAATTCCATCTAAGAAATTCATTGCTGGTTTCAGGTTTATCTTCCCAGCTTTCGGAGGATTACTCTATGGTTATGACATTGGGGCCACCTCTTCTGCCACCATCTCTATTCAGGTTCCTCTCTCTCTCTCTCTCCTTTGCTTCTGTGCTCACTACACTACACTTGTTATCTTTTTTAACTACGATGCTTCTTTTTCAGCTCTTTAGCCCTGAGTTTGTACTTTCTTGTCACGTTTTAGTGTTGTATTTATCCTCCAATTCATTCCCTTGCAGTCCCCCACATCAAGTGGAATTTCATGGTATACCTTGTCCTCTGTCGATATTGGCCTCATTGTAAGTTTATTCATCCCCCGCCCGTTGCTGTTTAGGCTATTTGTTCCTTTCGTGTTACTCTTCCCTGATTTTCATGCTCTGAGCTCCTCTTCCCTGTTGCAGAGTAGTGGCTCACTCTATGGTGCATTGATTGGCTCCCTCGTCGCTTTTAATGTTGCCGACTTCCTAGGTTACCATTGAACCTCCTGTTGTTTCACTATTCCGTCTTCTGAAATCAATACCTTTGATCTCTTTCCTCCTGTACTTATGAATCATTCCGATATCAGGGAGAAGAAGGGAGTTGATGTTGTCGTCTTTGTTCTATATTGTGGGAGCTTTGGTCACTGCCTGGGCTCCTTCATTTGTTCTTCTGGTCATTGGACGGCTCCTGTACGGTATTGGGATTGGTTTGGTAAGATCCCCTACCTAGTTTTTCTTTTTGCATCATTCCCTTTCTTAAATTGTTATTTTCACTTTCTCATTCCACCATTCATGTATTTAAATGACTAAACATTGTTCATAGCCATTAAACAGTCGAAGACATTTTGGAGCGTGTTTCGGGTTCAATTTTTTAGTTAGACCCCGTAATAACTTTTCCCTTGCTTGTGATTCTGCACATTGTGCTTGATGTAAATTAATTCTACAGCTCTTCACTATAACTCATCAGACCATTTAGTTCTTGCCATCAAAATTCCTTTCCATAGGAGTGATCGTCTAAGAAGTTTTTATCTCCCACTTCTTAGGCCATGCATGCTGCTCCAATGTACATTGCTGAAACATCTCCTAGTCAGATACGTGGCCAACTGATTTCCCTGAAAGAGTTCTTCATTGTCATGGGGATGCTTGTAAGTTTTTTTCTGTGTTGAGGACAGTTGTAATGTCGCCATGTTGCGAGATTTCATAGATATTATCTTTCGCATATAATGGTCCAACTCGTGAACATATTGTGTGCACTGCAGTTGGGTTATATTGTTGGTAGCTTCTTGGTTGATGCTGTTTCGGGTTGGCGCTATATGTTTGGGGTTAGTGTCCCTTTGGCACTTGTGATGGGAGCTGGAATGTGGTGGCTACCTGCATCACCAAGATGGATTCTTTTAAGAGCTATACAGGACAAGGAGAAGTTCCATGATTTAAGAGAAAATGCCATATTCTGTGTGTTCCGGCTGAGGGGTAGAGTCACTGGTGATGAGGCATCCCAGGAAGTAGATGAAATTCTGGATGAGCTTTCTCAGCTTAGTGAGGAGAAAAAAGCTACATTAGGAGAGATGTTTCAAGGGAAATGCTTGAAAGCTCTTTTCATTGGTGCAGGATTAGTCTTGTTCCAACAGGTATTTCTAGTTACGAATGTGCTCTTTATGACCTTTTCTTCCTTTCTTTTTGGTTTCTTGTTAACTAGGCACTGATATTTGTGACCTGCTACGTGGAAGATTACAGGCCAGCCCAGTGTTCTGTATTATGCAGCAGCTATTTTTCAGGTACAAGTGTTGATTTAGGATGATTTCCACATAGAATGATACTAATTCTTCATATTAACTTTGCCGACATGTTGTGGTCCTATTTTCTGGGCAACTAACTAGATTCTTTTGTAATGACAGAGCGCAGGTTTTACTGCAGCATCTGATGCAACAAGGGCCTCAATTTATCTTGGGCTTCTGAAGGTAGTGTATATTGAAATGTACTGTTTCTGGTTTCCTTAGTGCATGATTATCTTTTCTGGGGTCCTTTCTGTGTAAACTGTATTGTAGTGTCTCCATTAGCATATTATAGAGGGATCAAAGTTTAGTAGTTCTCTTTTATGAAGGAAAATATGCTGCTTTACTTCACCATTTTGGGTACCACTGCGAAGCATTGACTTTTAGAGCTTGATGTTCAATTTTCTTCATGGTTTGTTAATTGTAGTGCGTCTCAATGTTTTTGCAGCTGATTATGACTGGATTAGCTGTATTGGTAGTGGATAGGATCGGCAGAAGACCTTTGCTACTCGGTGGTGTCTCTGGTATGGTAAGTATTTTTTACTTCCTTTGGGAGTTTATTACACAGTATCCATAGTGTGGAGAACAGTGTCTTACTCGGTTAGATCTCTTAAGGCTATCTATTACTTTATATCACCATCCTTATTATTTGAAGCCCTTAAAAAATAATTTGTACCGTGTGACAGGTGATATCATTGTTTCTTTTGGGATCATATTACACCTTCTTGGATGGTATACCTGCCGTGGCTGTCGTTGGACTGCTGGTCTATGTTGGTTGCTATCAGGTGCAGTAGATAGTTTTTGGCTACTTTATACATGCGAGTCTTATTGATGTACGGTAAACTAATTTAAGAAAGATGAAAATGCGGTCAGAAGACGGATTTTGGACAGACTGTCAAGTACTCGAATTTGCTAATCAGCTTGGAAAAATGAAATACCCATCTGTTTTGTCTATTTTTGCAGTTATCATTTGGTCCAATTGGTTGGTTGATGATATCAGAAATTTTCCCATTACGCTTGAGAGGACGTGGTTTGAGTATAGCAGTCCTGGTGAACTTTGGTGCTAACGCGTTGGTGGCTTTTGCATTTTCTCCTCTGAAGGTTCTGGGCAGGACTTTATTTCAATCAATCTTATTGCTACAATTATATGATATTGAGGTCTGTCTCCTAATGAAAAGAAAAATCTTATTGAATACCGACTGGTTTCTTGTCATTGCAGGATTTGGTTGGAGCTGGGACTGTGTTTTTCATATTTGGGGGGATTGCTGTTTTGTCTATCGCTTTCATCTTCTTTATCATACCGGAAACAAAAGGGCTTACCCTGGAGGAGATAGAGGCCAAATTCTTATAGGATGATCCTCCTGATGCATACATACCCTCTAAAAAGGTGTCGTCATGAGTTCAAAACTCTTTCTAGTAACACATGTGCTTCACTTCATCTGTACGCATGTATGTAAATTTTCTTGAGACATTACTGTGTAGTATATATCTGGGATTTTGCTCCACATGGAAGGGATACACTTGCAAAAAATAATGAAATCACATGTTTTTGTTCTTGTAAGTTTCAGAATACCTCACTGAGAGTTAGACACCCCTGTGTTGTTTTCTTTGTAATATAGTTAGTTGACACAGACTTTTGTATTTCAAAACATGGCCATACAGTTTTGTTTTGGTTCTGAATTGAATTTAATGGGAAAAAGATTATAATGTATCGTGAATGTAAGAGGAGTTTCATGTTAAATAGTCTCGGGTTTTAAAATATTTAGCTTTGGTCTGATATTGTCGTAGGTTTGGGTATCTGATAAATATGTTTTGGCAGACCAACTTCAATTAAGGTATACTAGTTAAATAAGGGCTTAGTTATTATTGCTGTTGTTTATTGGAGAAAAAGATAACTAGGAGACAATCAAAGTTCATCATGGAGCAAAAATTGGTTGGACCTGTCAAAGTCCTGGTTTTTGAAGCAATATTACATGAACCAAACATGTACAATTCTCCAAGGAAGACCTATCATTTACTGTATGTACTGTAAGAGTATTTGTTGTGATGCTGTGTCTGTTTCTGTTTGTCTAGTGAAAAAATCTTCTTTTAAACTACAAACTCCCAACATATTGATTTATCCTTTGGCCAATGTGGAAAGAGAATCTGGGGAAGGGAACTTGAAAGCGTTGCTGTTTCTCATGAGATTCACAATATCCGAAGCTGAAGGCCGGAGGGAAGGAGTTTCACAGAGGCACATAGCTGAAATTGCAGCCATAGCCGTAACTTCTTCCAAGTCAAATCTTGGCAGGCGTGCATCCACCATTTGAACAATCTTGGATGGATCCCTCAAAATGGGGCGTAAAACCGATGTCAACCTTTCACCAGAGACAGGATTAAGAGCTTGCATCCCAGTTATGAGTTCCAGAACCACAACACCGAAGCTATAAATGTCATTCTTCTTGGATACAATCCCCGTCCAGAGATAATGAGGATCAGTGTACCCTGGAGATCCCATCATCATCATTTTACTTGATGATGACGAATGGGAATGGGATTGGGACGGTGGCAGCACTGCTGATGAGAATCCCATTTTTGCTGATCCGAAATCGCAGAGTTTGCTATCCAGGTTTTGGTCTAACAGAATGTTGGAAGCTTTGATGTCTCCATGAACAATCTGGAGTGGGCACTGGTGATGCAGGTATTCTAGGGCCTGAGCTAACTGGAAGGCTATCTTCACTCGGTTCCTCCACGAAAGTAAGCCATTTTTATCCTCACATGTCTTCTTGTTGGATGATGATGTTTTTGTTTCTCCGTGGAGTTTCTCTTGCAATGTTCCATTTGGGACGTATTCAAATACCAGGACCCCTTCCTCTGCAGATTCAAAGGAGCCGTTTTTAAGACAGAATTTCAGTTGAAACCCCTGAATATTTTTTAGGTTAGGGTGCAAAAGTTAACGAGTCCAAGAGACTTCCTACTGTTGAAAGCATGGATGGACCTATTTTTTAGATTCCGTTTAACCTGGGATGATTAACTAGGGCATCGTCTTAATATTTGCATTGGATTGACCATTAGCAGCCAAAAGTGAAAGACTAAATTCCAAAAGGTAAGGGATCAGAAGTTCAATCTGAAGGAGAAAGACCAAAAGAGAGGCCCGGAAGCTCTTCCGTTGGAATAAAAAAAAAGTGTAAAGATGGAAGGGGTGAATAAGGTGAAAGGAAGTGGTTACCTGTGTGGTGGCAGTAGCCAAGGAGGTTGACGATGTGAGGATGAGACAAGCCTTTTAAAATGAGGAGTTCCTGGTGGAAAACCCGGGTGAGACGGTCGGTGGAGCCGGAGAGCAACTTGACAGCGGCAGGGAGGGGGAGACCGGGGAAGTAAGCAAGGTAGACGTTGCTGAAACCACCGGAAGCTATGATGGTAGAGAAGTTGGAGGTAGAAGACTGAATTTGGTTCCAAGTTAAGGTTCCTAAAATAAGTTTATCGTCATCATCTGGTGGGGTGTGTGGTTGATGAGGATGAGGGGGGGAGGAGGAGGAGGCAAGTGTTTGGGAGTTGAGTTTTTTGCGGCGGAGTTTGAGAGAGGTATTGAAACAAGTGAACAAGAAGGCCATGAGAGAAAAAGAGGGAGACCAAGAAAGCAAAACAGGGGGGGGGGGTGTGAGTGGTGGTGGTGATATGAGAGATATTGAGAATTGTATTGGCAGGGTATAAAAGAATGGTATAAACAAGGAAGGAAGGAAGGAGGAGGGGGGTGGTGGCTTGACGGTGGAGATATGAGAAGCTACGAGGAAGAGGGGTGAGGAAGAAGTAGGGGAAAGAAACAAAAAAAGACTTCCCAATGGTAGTTAGCAGAAGTAGAGACTACAAAGGGTGGGGGTGGGAGTGGGGGTGGTGGTGGTGGTGGGTTAGGGAAGCAGGAGTACAATTGAATGAATCCAATGATTAAAGAATTTGGACAAATCCCAGCCCCGCCCGTGTGGGATTAGGGAAGGAGGGGGGTGATTTGGGTTTGGTTGTGTTGTATTGTATGGGGGTTGGTGGTGGTGGTGAGGTGTATTATCAGGGAAGTAAAGTAATGCTATTGCTAGCAGTAGAGCAGCAGCAGCAGCAGGCGGCAGCAGAATCTGACACGTTTTTCTTCCTAACAGACGACAAAGGGAGAGATTCTGATCACCACCATCCCCCCCTTGTTTTTGTGTTGTGTTGAATGAAAAGAAATAGAGATTATGGTGGGAGAGGAGAGGGTGGTTTAAGGAGGAATCGGGTGGCGATGATTGATTAAATTTTTGTTAAGAGGATGGAATGGATGTTTCTTTGTTTTGTTTTTGTTGGTTGGTTGGTTGAGACGTCATTTGTCATCCGTGCGTTTTTTATTATTATTATTGCTCTTATTACTACTTACTCTGTTCTCATATTACGCGCCTTTGGGGGTTTCGGGAGACTTTACCAACCAACTTCCTTCGTTCGGTAGAGACCTTTCTTCTCAACATTTTTGTTTTTTTTTACATACGTATCCGGTATCTAGCTATTATCGTTACATCCGTGAGTATCGACTGACTGCTGACTAAGTTGAATTCCTCCAAACGCACTATTGTGTGTATCATAATACATGCATTCTTTGTTTCTTTTTTTTATTTATTTATTTTTTATAAAAAAAAAATTCAAGCTAGTGGCTTTAAAAAAAAAAAATCATTATTCATTTTGAAGGCGTGGAGTTGATTTTCAATTCTCGGTTAACTAGTCGTACTCATATTCAGAATCTATTTATTATTTTACAAGTTTAAGGTTTCTAATAAGTAGGTCTTATTCATTTTGGAGCTTAGATTGGTCCGAGTATGTGTCCCGTTAAATTATTATTAGTCAATATTGGTTTTATTATGTGATGTGATTTTTTTTATAAAAAAAATTACAAGTAAAAATAAATAAAATTGACAACTGGAGCCGAAAAATAAAAGAAAGCAGGCGTGTGAATTGTTGTTTATGACAGATAATATATCCATAATCACACACACTAGGGGGGTGTTTGAATGTGACTACTATTGGATGATATTGAGACTTTGAGAGGATTTGGACGTCTGAGCTTACTTTTTTTTACTACTAAAAATTTAAGTACAAAAGTTACAAACTCCCTTTATTTATCTTTTATCGTCGCCCTTTAGTTCTTATCACCACTTCTAAGTCTGCTACTACTTTTTTCATTAACCAACTAACACGCGCTTCACTCATTTTATTGTTACTATTTTCTTTCCTAAGAATATATATATTCTAATTTATTATATTTTTCTTTAATTCTTGTTCACGTTTACTTATTCAACTTTTTGCTTTCACACAGTTCACAATCTATCTGATCATCAATCATATTCTCTCTGCTTCCAAATAATTGTTTAATTATAACTTTTATTTTTACTACAAATCATAGTATAATAAGGTTTATTTTTTTATTAAAAAAAAAAAAGATACTGTAATTTTTTTTTAAAACACAGGGAGGGAGTAACTCTTGTCAACATTCCAGTTCTTTGTTGGCGTGTTACCACCACCACCACCAAATTGGGAGCCTGATTTCTAATTGCAATACCCTCGTTTTTCACATTCCATTCACGTGCCCATATGATAAAACTCTCTCTTCATACCTTTCTCTTTTTCATAGTCAAAGATCCTACCTGATTTATTCTGTGTTTCAAAAAATAAAAATAAAAAATCCTTAAAAATGGCTAACGTTCAATAAATCAATCACAAAAGTTGTTCGATTAAGTTGTACTCTTCTTTCCATCATTTTTTTAGATTCCAAACCATTTATAAAAATTGTCTCATCATGGTCATGGTCAATAGTGCCAGACAATGATTTCATTCTTACCATTATTTATTCATCGTCAACTCACAAATCTCTATTCCCTTCCTTCCAAAATGAAGGTTCTTTTTAACAAATTTTTACTCATAATATAAAATAAAAATTCAATCGAAAAAACATTTTAATCATTTTGAGACAGTAAGAATGTTGTGTCATTTTATACAAATTATATTTGAAAAACGTTTCCAATACCCAATCGACGCACGAAAAAAATTGTATACGTGAAGTGTTATTCAATGATAGTAGTATCATATTTCCCGGTAAATACCATGGTCATAAGAGTCTGGTTGATTGCAATACTTAAAAAGGGGAAAAAAAATCCCGGAAATGTGAGAGTGCGTCAATTATGTAATTGGGTGTATAAGTATCTAATCAAATACAGTGACAAGAGGAATTTGGAAAAGGCGTACTTGAAAATTCTCATATGGAACCTATGTGACTATGAATTCGGAATAAAAATCATGTCTTTTTTCCAAAAAATACTAGTATATATTGAATTTTGACATTTGTATTGTTATAGCGTACTTAAAAAATTCAACGTGAACAACTTTTTTTGTTACCAATGCAGTAATAAATTTGATTTTTGTACGTCTAAAGAGGTAATACTAAATCTCTGCAAAATCGTACAATTGAATTAAATTATTTAAGTATAGTTTTCTTACAATTATATCTAGTTATAGATGAAATTTTCAATAAGCAAATACATCCCATACAACACACGGGACCACAATCTAGTTTTACGTATCAAATAGAAACTTTTCATCATATTTTTTATTAATGACTTTATCACTGCTCCAATATATATATCCAGTAATACATTAGTAGTTTATTATGGGGAATGTGGCAAAGTACTTGTATGGACACGGGGTTATTTAAATTTTTAGTTTGAATTTGAGATGTAATTTAAATTACAGTTTAAAAGAAAATTTATTTAAACAATATTTTAATTAAAATAATATTATTTTTTTACCACCAGTGAACTACCCACCTCCACCGCCGTCGGTCGGCCAAATTTTGGTTCGCCAGAAACCGGGAGGTCGGCGGTGGTTTGGCGGCAAAAGAGGGTAGTCCGGCGGGTGGTGTCAGTGGTCCAATGATGCTGGATAAAAATTGTACTTTCTCCGTCTCAAAAAAAAGTCCATATTGAATTTTGAATTTTTTACTATTTTTAGTACAAAATGTGGATTATTTTTGTGGAATGGAGGTAATACTAAAATAGTACTTGAAATAATTTTTAAATAGTAAATTAAATGTGGTTTGAATAGTATTTTATTTTGTTTTTGGTTTTATATTTACAAGGAGAAAAAAAAAAAGGCAAAACAAAAGGCATCCATACCAAGTCAAGGTTTCGTCTTCTTTTTTTTTTTAATATATATACTGGGGAAGCTTTATAGCTTTGTTTACAAAAGGACTCATGGTTTTGTCTATTAAACTACCATTTCAGTCCTATTTTTTTAGGTGGACTCTCTTTTAGACTCTCGGCTCCAAACCCACCTTTTTTTCTGTTTCTAGGCAGAAATTGATAAGCCCAAGTAATAAAGCCCACTCAATATTTTCCTAACTTGACGTTAATCATGTCATCCCATATTTTCTTTTTTCTTTTCTTTTTTTTTGATAAATCCCCATATTTTTTACTCTCTCCTTATGAGTTCCATTTTTTAACAAACCCCCATAGTAGAGCTAACCAACTAAACGATTGAGCTATAACAAAATCTGCCATACGCACTTTTTCAAACGACAAATAAATTTAATACATATGTGTATAATTTTGAATCGGCTAAATTGGTAAAATCGTGGTAACTTCATTAATTATAAAGGCAATAAATACCCAGAAATTCAGAGACCAAAATACAAATAAGACTATTGTATAAATGAAGATCCAACAACAAATTCCAATAAAAACACTGGATAATCTAACAACAAGTAGTAGATAGACGTAGTTGTTCCAGATTTATTACTTTATTTCCAATCTTCAACATTTGACCTCCAGTTCATTTTCATATCTTGCTTGCCGTTTTTGTTAGACCGCAGATCTAACATTCACCAAATCCGTTCGATAAGCACCTTAAAAAAAAAAAAAAAAAAAAAACAAAGAAACAAGATTCCATTTAAGGTTAAATCGAAATCTCTAATTGGAGAAATCGAACATACATCGAAAAGTGAGCAAAAACTCTAAAAAAATAAGAGAAATAAACCCCAATTCGGGAGAGCAATTCAAAAGCGGAGAAAAAACTAATATAAAATAAAGAATATTTGAATTCCAAAAAAGGAATAGGAGATACGTTTTGTTTTGTTTTTTTAGTGTGTATTTTTAAGTATATTTTGTATCGAAAATATAAAAGAGTGTATTGAAAATGTAAAAAAGTATATTGGGATGAAACACTTAATAATAAAATAATCTGAAAAAACCAAAAAAAAATGAAACAAACGGAGATTTTTTTTGTGAACGTAGAGAGAAAGAGGAAGATGAAGAAGAGAGAGTATCCATGTATAGCTACTTCAAATATAGCTAATTGGATTACTGGACTGGAATTGCATTTTGTCACATGTTCATGTAGTAAAGATACCTTAAAATGTTTTTGATATGATTTGAACATGTAATCTTCAAGTCAGAGTGATTTTATTATATCCATAATAATTCACCAAAATTCCTCCAACACTTTCCTTCATGTCGATGTGGTGGCGGTGATAGTTGAATCCGCCTCCGTTTATTTATTGCTTATTTCAATTAGGTTACCACATATAAAAGGCTCGATCCGGGAA